CAAAAAAAAAAAAAAAAGGCATCTGAAATACTATCCCCATGGCGATCATGCAGAACATCATCTCCCGTGTCCCATCACACTTATCAAAAGTGCTTTATATCACAAAACATGACAACACCTCATCACACTTTGCAGTATACGCTATGTCAGAGGCATGCGTCAACACACTGGCGAAACATCCCATGGGCTCGGAAAACTATAAGGTCGAGTTAACTGCCATGCACAAACCCAATGGGGAACGACCAGAAGATGATGCCCGGTTCTTGGTCGACGTTGCAGATGATGGGTCAATGTGTATTAGGGAGAGAACGCTGGGAAGTGATCCCGTGGAAGCAGAGGTGTAAGTTCATTTGACATTGATCAAAGGAAGATTTGTTAACATGATTAGATCCCTACCAACGCCACGAGAGAAGGGATGCTCCTTTAAACTACACACCGTTACATCTTCGACTCAAAGCTCAGGGTACATAAGCCACCCATTACCTGGCAAGATACATAGACAACAACTCGTCCGATATCCATACCTCACACTCTCAGGAGACCATTTCAACGGTACCAACATATCCAACAACCAATACGAATGGCAGGTCCATCCAACAGAGAAGGGACCTCTTCGATACGAACTAGTCGACCTAGGAAAGCAGCGTGCTGGCGAAGACGACGACTCAATAATGGCTATTTATCACCACAATGGCTTTGAGAACGAATTGCCTGGATACTACAGTTCTGGGGTTTTACTGCTTCCTTCAACCTCAACGTCGCAGTTCGATATCGCTGTTGTGTCGAGTCTTTTGGCTGTTTTATCTGCTGTGAGACAGCAACCGGCATTGAAGAAGAAATCTCGACTTCGCTCATTGATGGCGTGTCTTTGATCAAGAAGCGGCTAGGATGCAAGGTGTATTGGCGTCGGGTTTGCAATAATAGAGGGATTGTGACTATAGACCGGTTTTGTTAAACTACTCTCGCATGTAATGAATGATAGAAATTGCAATTGATTTCTTTCTCATTCTAAGATGCGCAGCTGACTACTATCACTCCCACTGCGCTTCAATCCCTTTCCCTCATAACCAAACAGCCCTCAAAGTACTTGTTCAAATCATCAAAATCCTCCAATTCACCAACCCATCCAACATACTGATCAGGACGCACAGCAACAACACATCCCCTCTTCCTATCAACACCATAATTGCCATACGCATTTCCGTAGCCTTCATGGTAGCTCTCATCATCGACGTGTACCTTCTCGTAGTCGTAACCCGTGTGCTCATCCCATGGACGAAGGATGGAAGGAAAATCACGGATTATATCCGTGTCCCAGCGCTTGGAGGAGTGGATGGTCAGGACTTCGATGACGCTGTCAATTTTCTGTCCTTTGGGTGTGACCTTGTGCAAGAAACTGTTCGGGTCGTCCAGGGCTTGACAGAAAGCTTCCACGCGAGACTTTTGTGCAGGGTCAAGCACGTCTCCTGCAAAAAGCACGATGCGGAATCGGCCATCCGCCTTCAGTCGCTCTTGGAAATGGTACGGACGAGCACAAGCTTGGTTCAGCACTTTAAAGCTGTTAAAGCGCATTCCAACAGGAATGCCAGTAGCAAGAGCCTGCTTCTTGCCGAAAATCTCCTCGGTCAGGAAAATTCCAGGAGGTGAAACCACCTTGACGCCATCAGCCTGAGCCAAAGCATCACCGGCCTTGGCGACGATGTTACTAGGTCCATAGTTTACTGAAAGACCTGAAGCAAACATGTTGCCCTTCTCAAAGGCATCTTTGAACTCTTCCATGCTGACGCCTTCTTCATCCATGACATCCTTTGCTGGACGGCCTGAGAACAGGCGACTGAATCGATGGTCGAACTCGATCAGGTCCTGCGCTACACGGCGTCTCTCGCTTTGGTATGTCTTGAGAATATCGGGCTTTGCGATACCTTTGACAACGAGGGCGATTTTCCAACCCAGGTTGTAGGAGTCCTGCATGGAGACGTTCATGCCTTGGCCTGCTTTTGGAGAGTGCGTGTGGACAGCGTCGCCTGCGAGGAAGATGCGCTCATGGGAGTCGAAAGCAGTGCCAACTCGTTGACCAATCTATAGCATCACGTTAGTAATACTCATTAGTGTTCTCTTGTCCATTCGCCTACCTGGTAAGCAGTCCACCAATCGCAGTACTCATAATCCAACTTATAAGGACTTATAATCTTCTGCGCCGCCTTGAAGATGAAATCCGGAGTAATCTTGGATCTATCCGCCCGACCAGAAGCATCAGGCGTAACCTCCTTTAGCTGGATATACAGTCTCACCAGCTTATTCTCCCTCGGAATGACCATCAAACTACCGTTCTCGGCAGAGTGAATAGCACAGCGCACACGAATGTCGGGAAAGTCAGTCTTGGGAATGATATCCATCACACCCCAGATCATGTCGCTCGCTTCGCCTTGCAGCTCCAGTCCAATCTGGGAACGAACCCAACTTCGTGCGCCATCGCATCCAATAACGTATTTTGCGTGGATTGTTTCGCTGGCAGCGTCGCGAGCTTGGGCTTGACGAAGGACGCTGTCGTTGTCTACTTCATCATCAAAGACAAGGTTGCTTCTGAAGAGGCCGTCTGAAGCTTGGTTCTTGCTGGCAGTGGCTTGCTGGGGAGGGGTAGCTTCTTCTTCGGTGAGGTGACGAAGTTTTACCGTCACAGGATAAGCTTCCGGATTCTCAAGCTGAGACTTGTCGATATCGATGGTCTCTGGAAGGATGGCACGTCCGACCTTGATTTGGTCTTTGGAATACTTCTTGATGTTGTCGAGAAAGAAACGCTCGATGCGGCCTTGGTGCACGACGACTTGCTGGAAGCGAGAAAGGCCAACGATGGTATCGGGGATACGGTCTGAGCGACGAATAATTCCATCTGGGCCAGGATTCTAGTATCACTTGTCAGCTAAACCCTCCATGATCCCTTGCTGAGATCCCAATACGTACCCACATGCAGATCTGCCGATGAAATTAGTCAATGAAATAGTCACAAAATTGTAAGCCGACATACCTCAATCATATGGTTCGCCTCTTTCCAGACTCGGTCTGCAAAGCCGAGACTATCAAAGATCTCCAAGCTTCGGCATTGCAGTCCATCAGCCTGACCGCAGAAGATCTTGGTGTTTCGCTTGTCAATGATACGAGCGTTGATGCCACAGTGAGCCATCCATGCCGCGGCCATTAACCTGCACCGACATTAGTCTGCTTATCCGCACAAAATTGAGATCATTAAGCTTACCCAGCCGGGCCGGCGCCAACGATCAATCTTGGACGTTGTTAGCATGTTTCATTTTAAGACAACCCCGCACTAGCCATGCGTGGTGGTGAGACTTACACGTCCACTTTGTTCTCGTTCGCCATTGTACTTTTGGGCTGCTGTTGACTGGAGTGGAAGATGAGGATTGGCAACTCGGTTTCACGCTGGAAAAAGCAAAATTAATAAGTGGTCGCCGCTGAGTCTTCCATGCCGCTACCGATGGGTCTCAATGCAGTGCCAAAGAGGAAGGCGGAAAGCTGACAGGGTTGTTGTAAGTGATCTGTCACACCAAGGTCGTCAATTCGGGAAATTATCACGAAAATCTCAAATCAAGCGCTGTTCTCTCTTCACCCAACAAAATTCTCACACTCTATCTTAAAATCCCATATGTATGTTTCGGGTACCTGCCAACCTGGCTCTTGGTAGTAGATACAGGGTCGATGTCTCAGTTGGCCCGTTGACGTTGTTGATTAGCCTCAACGCCCGCCGTTCGCCTCGGCCCTCGTGTAAAATACGGACGCAAATCCCTGGTGATCAACGCTTTCTACTTAGACGACATATCACTTATCGCGAAAGCCTTCAAAATTGTGGCAGGGATTGCCTTGCTGGTGACGCGGGGTTGAGAGCCTATCAGTCCTCTGGAATCTTTGGCGAGGTTCTCCAACAGTACACCGTTCGTAGTGGCAAACTCGACCGAGAAGAATTTCAATCGCGGAGATTAGTAACACTTCGAGCAGCGGATATTCCACTGCATCTTGAGAGGAGCCGAGGCCAACATTCGACCGTTGGCTCGTAACGTTAATTTCTTCAACCCTCGCTTCGAGCCGCTCCCTCCCGCCCAACGACTCCATTAGTGGAGAAGGATTCTATTCTGGGTGCGATCTGCAGAGACATCTTCTCTCGACCTGGGTGCTGGAACCGACATGAGAGAACAACGCCAGGGCAAGCCAACATGCAGGTCTGCGGCGCGGCAGAGGCGTTGAAGAGCTTACCAGGGCATTGGGCTCAGATTTCAGGAGGCAAAGAAGACTTCCATGCAGATGACGCGCGATATGTGATCAATATTGGAATATGCTCGTGGAGGGGATCCTATTGGGTGCAGACGGGGTTGATAGGTCAACACAATGACAGAGGCGACATGCCAGATGTCCTATCATAATTGCCATTTGGCTGATGGGATGCACAACGAAAACGAAATTTAGTAGCTTCCTAAACAAAGCCAATTGCGGACGTAACTATGCCAGAGGAACGAGACTCTTTGCCAACTGTTTGGTGTGCGGTATGTAAGTACCTATTTTCCTGGTCGCCCAATGTGGCACGACTGGCGGAGGCGACTGAGGCTGAAACTCCACCCAAGTCTTCATCAGAAATGACATGTCTTATATGGCTCCAAGAACAAACAAGGCCTCGAACCGAGATTCTCGATCATTTGTCACATTTCAAATCCCCCAATTCGCCTTCCCCGAGGAGAACCTGTGCCACCAACAGACGTTGAGAGTTAAAGTTCATTCCTTTTTCTTTTTCACTGGCGGTCCGAGTCGAGGTAAACCGAGCCTTACCTTGGGCCCCTGAAAGTGATCTCCCGGAACAAGCAGAGTCCGCAGACGATCAAGCAATTAAAGTATCCATGTAATTAGAAGATGACTACATGCACATGCGATACTGATGTATATAATATGGAAGCCATCCGTTCTGTCGGGTTCTCCTTACCAGATACTTTCTCGTCGAGTCTTGGCAGCAAACAATGGCGACCCCAGCTGAACAACAAGCCGCCGCAAACGCCTTCATCCAGGAGGTTTGGGGTCTTCAAGGCGCTGCTTACTTCGTCGTTGGACTCCGTTACTACAGCCAATTCTCTTCTTTCGGTCGAAGATTCCAGTGGGATGATGTTCTTATGCTATTAGCCACGGTAAGCCTCCCACAACTAGTACTACGATGAAGGTTCGATATGCTGACATGTTTTCGTTTAGTTAGTATACACTGCCGAATCAGTAGCAGCCTATTTCGTCGTCGCATATTGGAAAGGCCTCGCGAACAATGGTATAACACCAGCGCAGCGTCAAGCATTGAGAGATGACCCGGATGGTCCGGAATGGGCGTTGAGGATCAATGGGTCAAAGACACATGTGATTGGACTCTTGCTGTACATGACGCTACTGTGGTTGCTAAAGGGATATTGGGTCATTTACTACCTTCGACTCACGTAAGTGCACCGAATCTCCTCTGGGACGTTTACCTGGTGACTGACGTTGTGCAGCGAGGGTGTCGCTTCCACAAAGCGATATGCGCGATGGGGCGCTGTCATCATCCCTGTGACGTACATCTCATGCTTCCTCGTAGCCTTTCTCAAGTGTATACCGTTTGAGAAGCAATGGCAGATTGATCCCGAGCCTCAAAGTAAGACACATCTTCCAATAGCAACGAACTAAGACTTACCGACTTATTTAGACTCCTGCTTGCCAGCCATCACGTATATTCAGACCATTTATGTCATGGCCATGAACACCGTCACCGATTTCTATCTCATGTCGATTCCTCTTCCCGTAACTATTTCGCTTCCCAGGTTCGTAACGATGTACTAACACGTCGACGTAGATGATTTGGAAAGCTAGAATGCCTTGGCGCAAGAAGATTGTCATCATGTTCATGTTCAGCGGTGCACTCCTAGAAATGATCTTTGGCATCCTGAGAGCAGTATCCATTCTGACCGTAAGCCATTTCTACGATTAACCTGTTCCCATACTAACATTCCGACAGAAAGGAAACACTGATCCAGCCCAGTCAGGATACTGGTCCGTCCGCGAATCCTTCGTCAGCTTCGTCCTCACAAACCTACCAATGGTTTACCCTCTCCTCAAACAACTCGTCGAGAAGACCGTCTCTGCATCGAAAAGTGGCACCAACAAGACCAGTGGACTAGGTGACAGTCAAGGATACAAACTAGAAGATTACCGAAACAAGGTTCACTCCAAATCACGACCTGATGAAACAGAATTGGGAGATACAGTTTGGGGATCGAAGGATCATATCGTCGCGAACAATGGGCAAGTCAGTGCCGATGATTCATCAGTTAATAGCGGGAATAAAGGACAAAGGAGTTCACATGCGAATATGCGATCTGAGAATGTTGCGCAAGCTGTTGGTGGTCTACCAGTTGGTCATCAGCATGCTTGGGGAGTCGAGGCGGGTGTTGGGGAGATTGTGGTGACGAAGGAATATGTTGTTCAGGTTGACGAAGAGGCGGCGAAGCCTACAACGAGTTACTCAAAGCGCTTCTAGTATCGTTTTAATAGGTCGATAGATAAATTTACTCTGCGTGTTTTTCCACTTCTTCGATTAGCTTCTGTCAGTCGAATTGGCTTGATGAAACTTTCGAGACTGAACCAAACTTCTATCGACGAGAACATTTCACTTCACCCAGGGGCGATCAACTCATAATTACTCTTTATTCTACTTAATAATGATTGAATAACGATTTTTGTTTAGTGGGATGAGTGCGACAACATCCATCGCATGTGGACAGGCTCGTCACCACCGAAGTGGAGATAACCGCTCTTCCCCTCATTCGCTCGGCAAACCTCAACGTCAACCTCACAGATTCATTCTCAGAGACCTCCATGTTTACAGAATGACCGCAAACTTCAACCACCAGTCATTAGGTGCGACGCTGAGAGGGATTAAGAATGACAGAGTAACTCAATTTCGGGGAATTCCCTACGGCCATATCCCACGCCGTTTTGCAGCCGCCGAGAAGATCAACGAGTACCCTCAAGAGCTGGACTGCACCGCATACGGGTAAGCCTATCTGCCACAGACTCTCAGAAATATTAACAACTAATAAAATAGTCCGCGATGTCCTCAAGTTCACGTCGATGTCGGTCATTTGCTGCGCATACCGCCTGACCATCAATTTCCTCATGAGCCCGAAGATGAGTTCAAGTGCACCAACTTGGATGTGACGATGCCCAGCCTTGAATGCCCAAGTGGCCCGAAGAAGCTACCTGTATTCGTATGGATCCATGGTATAGTTCTTCTTGGTTCCTGGTAGCTGAAGTGACTAATCATAGGTGCAGGAGGATCTCAGGCTGTGACGTTTGGAAGCGCTGCGTCTGGTATTTGCGGTATGTATGGTCTGATTTATTTATAATGGATGAAACATGCATAGCCTTGTCAACATGGCTGACAGATGACTTACGCAGATATGACGACAATCGTGGCCGATTCTGCCCGCTTTGGTACTCCAATCATTGCAGTATCAATCCAATACCGTCTCAACATCTTCGCCCTCGGTTCCAAACCTGGTCCACCAAACCTAGCCCTACGCGACCAAGAACTAGCATTGCACTGGATTCAAGAGCACATAGCAGGTTTCAACGGTGATCCAGTAACCACCCTTCCCTACCTCTCACCCAGTAATCTACTAACATCCCCAGCAAAAAGTCACGTTAGCAGGCGAAAGCGCAGGGGCAGTTTACACCCACGCACATCTCGTAACCCGCGCCCCAGCAAACCAGTTTATTTTATCTTCTGGATCCTTGTACCTCTCTCCTCCCCAGCCACCGAACGCTGTTTCAAACGTTCGTGAAAGTGTTTCGAAACAGTTGCGAGACATGGATGCTACCCTAACTTTAGAGAATGCAACCGTTACCGATGTGGTGGAAGGGGTGAAACGAGCGGGTCTGGGGTCGTTTTTCCTCGAATGGGAAGACAGGTTTGAGGGTTGGGAGATAAGCACGGGAAACGCTGGGGGGTTGATGCTTAGTGATGTTCAGAAGGAGGTGAGTTACCCTAAAGCCCATGATAATATGATGGATGTTGATGGTTTAGGCGGTTATCTGGCAAACCGGTATTTTGGGAATGGATCACAATGACATTGTGAGCGCGTTCGATGCTGCGGGAGAATACGGTGAGGAGTTGAAGAAGCTTTATCACATTTACCCGGACAGGCCTTCATCTTGCAGAACTGGGGCATTGGATTTCATCAATGACCTCAGATTTCTACTTCCGATCCATCACATGGAAGAACTTTGGAAAGAAGTAGGAAAACCCGTCTACAGATGTCACATTGACGAAGCCAACCCATGGCAGCCTTCTGCCGGAGCTCATCATGCTGTGGATTTACTCTTCCTCTTCAACGGTCTCGATCTAAACTTTACACACGGGGCTAAGAAGGTTGGAGGCGAAATGCGCGAGGCTTGGATTGACTTTATCAATATGGGAAAACCATGGCCCAGCGCATCCGAGTCACCCGCTGCTTTCGGACCGCACGGTTACTGTAGGGAAGTATACGATTGGGACTTGCAATCCCTTCGACGAGTCGCCGAAGCCAAAAGACTGGCAACCATGGACCAGACCCTCTTAACCAAAGCATTCATCACACTCGCAGCAGGAAAAGTCAGTTTACTCAACTAAAAATACAATTTTATCCTAGCTATGAATAATATCAAGATCATGCTCCCGTTCTCCCCGTTTAACCTTCCATGCCGCACTATGACTCAATCTCACAAGCTCCATAACAAACTCACTAATCTCCCTGATCCCCTCAATCTCCTCCATCGGCAACCGTTCCGCCGGTACTTTACGAGTAATGTTACTTATCGATGACAAAATCTGCAAATCACTATCTGCAGTGTTGCCGAGCGGGTGGATAAGAATGTTCATGAACAAAGGCATAGCTGCCATGGGCGCGAAATGAGAAACGATGTACACGGAATCTTCTTTCCAAAAGTCAACGACCGTGTCGAGGATGCGGAAGATCGAACGTGATGCCTCGATGGAGAGATCGGCGCTGGAGTGCACAACGCTGTGGAGGTCGTCGGGGAGGTTTTCTTCCAAGTCGCCGCATTTGCGAACAAGTGTGTGAATGTTGATTATGGTGAACAGATAATCGAGTTGAAGGTTGATAAGATATGTTCGATCTTCGAGACTCATGGTTGAAGACATAGAGAAAGATAAGTCGCTTAAAATAGACAGACGCGGTCGATAGCGAAGATCAACAGATAAGCGCCACTCTTCAAGTTCATCGTCCAACTCTCTCACGCGCGCAAGTAGCTGACCCTCATTATACTTGAAAGCTCGAGGCGAACACAGCATTTTAACAGCGTTCTCCTTGATCTTGGCGAGATTCATGTCGCGGGATTGATTGTACCAAGGCGGCTCTTCTGAGTCATTCACATCACAGTAGTCTGATGATAAGAGGGGTGGTTTGTCGGTGCGGAGTGACATGTCCTTGTCGAAGCAGTAGCAGATCCAGAATAGTCGCCGGATGTGAAGGCGGGTTTGATGGTCGAATGTTGGACTGTGTTGGGGGAGGATGGCGAGGCGAGAGAGGGGGAAGTGGCCGCCTAGATCGCAGACCATGCGGCATGCGCTTGTGAATGTGACGGAGGCCTCACGGCATTGTCCTCTCATCTTTTGACAGGCCCACTGATGAATGTTAGTATCAACCAAAACTTCATTTTTGAGATGACTTACCAGAAGAAGAGTCCCCTGCAAACTATCCAAGTTCGTATTCCCATTGTTAAGAGTCAACAAGCGCGTAGCCTCATACAAACAATCTCTAATCTCCAACCCAAGCCCAAATTGCTGAAGATCAGTAGTCCTCATGACAAGCGCAGTAAGAGCCCACAAACACGCCTCAGCAGGGGCCCGCTTTCCAATATCAAGCTCATCGTAAGCCCGATCAATGGTATCCTGAAAAAGACTTCTCTCCAAGATAGGAAACATGGTGGACGTCTTCGCCTTGAAGAACGCATCGACAATATGTCTCATTACATCCTTGGCTGGTAAAGCCCTCGCTTGATCAGGAGGACTCAGAGGAGGAATAACCCCAATTGGATTGGCAAAAATGTCAAAATTCTCAAGAAAGACTCTCTCACCAGATCCATAGGTAATCCATTGTCGCCCGCGCTCAGAAAGAATACCAATTCCTTTAAAGTACCAATTCGTACCAAGTTGGCACGGTGATAATTTGTAAGGTTGCTTAGGACCTGTTAAACCTGCGATTGACGGATTCCGCGTGACAGGCGATCCACCGAGTCGAAGAGAAGGTGGACTGGGGAATGCTAAAGGTCTGTCTGACAGTGTAATTGATGCGCTTCGGGCGGGTGCGTTGACGTGTAGTGCCGTCTGCAGCGCTTCCTCGAGGGTTTCAACGCGCTGAGATAATTCCTGCACCACGTCGGAAGTAGTTCTGCTCCAATTAGACAATTGCCGAATTTTAATGAGTAATTCAATACCGTTTGTTGGGATCTTTTTGAATGACTCTGTCAAATGTGCATGTCAATCCTTGACTTTCGCACCAGTCACAGGGTTCGCCTTGTGTTTTGATCAAGCATTGAATCTATAAAATCAAGATTAATTAAAAAGTAAACGTCATATTTGTTGTTCAATTACCTTACCTTGCGTTTGTAGCATACATCGCATGCGCGCCTGGGAGGCATGATGTTGGTAGAGTAATCGGAAAGACGGAAACGAGGAAAAAAGAAAGATGGGGGACTATCGGACTAAGAACCTGCAGCTCAATTGGCCTCCACTGCAATCAAGGGGAGGGGGGCTTCTAGCTCTCGGAGCTTCTTGTTTCATTAGCGACTCCAGAGTTTTGGAACCTGCAAACTCCACCTGTCTACCAGATAAAATGTCAATTAACTTAAACGAGATCGAAAACAAGAGTTGATCGGTAAATGCTACTCTGGTTTACCTTAATTCAGCGTCATAGTTGCATTCGAGGCTGTGCTGGTTAAAACGAGATGATGTGACCTTGTCAAGTCATCCAGAGTTTCATCTCCGTCTCCGATTAGTCACCTTCGCTTACACTCTCGGGTGTCTACTCATTGGTCGATCTAGAGGCAGATCCATGCAGATGTCGCAGATCTTACTGGGTTAGGTGGACAGGACCTCCGTTGTCCGATGACTAAGTAGATCTACACCGGTCTTTACAGGGGATCTAGCCCCATGGCGGTGATTATCAGATCTACCGCGCAGAGCCCATTGGCAACCACGTTTCTCACATGAAGCCCCTCATTCTTGTTTGTCACTCCAATCCTTGCCATGAGACTTAAGCATAGTTTCCCATTAACCAAGTCACCGGGATACCTGTAGAAATATAAATCATTTAAATGCCCCACGTAAATGCAATGTGAAAGAAGAAGAGAGACTCACTCGTCACAGCTCACTGGTTCTTGAGCTCCCCATCTTTTTTTATACTCTTAAGCAGATCTTCTTGGCTGAGATCTTGGCTTGTCTACCATGTCTAATAACTTACTCGACCCAAAAGCCCTGCTGGATCCTCGTCAAAGATCCCTTAGCGAAGCAGGCACGGTCTCTACCGTTGGAGACAACACAACCGCCGTTCCAAGCATCAACACACAGACCCCCGAAGAAAAAACCATTTCGTTCCCTCCCAACACTTCTCCCTTCTGCCACTCCCCCGCCGATCTGAACAAGCTGCACGACCCCAAATCTCTGGATGTGCTGCGCAGTTTCGGCGGTTTAGCTGGTCTCGCCACCAGTCTCAATGTGGATGTCACCACCGGTCTCAGCGTGGACGAACTTCAAACAGCCACTGCTTCAGACCGTGTGCGCATCTATGGCAAGAACCAACTTCCTGCCAAGAAACCAAAATCTATTTGGAGATTGGCGTGGATTACTTTCCAGGAAGCTGTTCTTGTGCTTTTGACGGTGGCTGGTACCATCTCTCTTGCGCTCGGTCTCTACGAAACCTTTGGAACGACGCATGCGCCTGATGATCCTACGCCTGTTGATTGGGTTGAAGGTGTCGCTATTCTTTCTGCTGTCGCTATTGTCGTTGTTGTTGCTTCGCATAATGATTGGCAGAAGGAAAAGGCGTTTGTTAAGCTTAACACCAAGAAGGATGATCGTGAGGTCAAGGTTCTTCGGTCTGGCAAGTCGATGCTCGTCAATGTCGCTGATGTCGTCGTCGGCGATGTCATGTACCTCGAGCCAGGTGATTTGATCCCCGTTGACGGTATCTTCATTGACGGCCACAATGTCAAGTGTGATGAGTCTACTGCTACTGGCGAGTCTGACGCTTTGAAGAAGACACCTGGTGCCAAGGCTCTTACACCTGATCCTGCCCGCACCAAGGAAGCTGATCCGTTCATCATCTCTGGATCGCGTGTTCTTGAGGGTATGGGAACATTCATGTGTACCTCTGTCGGAGTCAACAGCTCCTTCGGTAAGATCATGATGTCTGTTCGCACGGACATCGAGTCTACACCTCTGCAGAAGAAGCTCGAGGGTTTGGCTGTCGCTATTGCCAAGCTTGGTGGTGGTGCTTCTGTTCTCATGTTTTTCATCCTTCTCTTCCGCTTCTGTGCGAATCTTCCTGGTGATGATCGACCAGCTGAGGAGAAGGCTTCCACTTTTGTTGACCTCCTGGTCGTCGCTATTGCGATTATCGCTGTCGCTGTGCCGGAGGGTCTTCCTCTTGCCGTTACCCTTGCGCTTGCTTTTGCTACCACTAGACTCTTGAAGGAGAACAATCTTGTAAGAGTCTTGAGGGCCTGTGAGACTATGGGTAATGCTACCTGTATTTGCTCTGACAAGACAGGAACTCTGGTAAGTCTCATTGATACTCGGTGTGATCATCGCTAACAGTTTAGACCACGAATAAAATGACAGTCACCGCCGGTCGCTTCGGTTCCTCCACCTTCACATCCGACATTCCCACCTGGGCCTCCAGCCTCCCCGCCGATGCCAAGAAACTCATCACCCAATCCGTCGCCGTCAACTCAACCGCCTTCGAAGGTGAAGAAGATGGCGTCGCAACCTTTATCGGGTCCAAGACCGAAACCGCCCTGCTCCAACTAGCCAAGGACAATCTCGGCATGCAATCCCTCGCCGAGACTCGATCGAACGAACAAATCGCTGTTATTGAGCCTTTTGACTCGGCAAGGAAGTACATGACTGCTGTTATCAAGGTTCCTACCGGTTACAGACTTCTCATCAAGGGTGCTTCTGAGATTGTTCTTGGATACTGCCAATCTCAGTTCAATCCTTCCAACGGCGCCATTGATTCTCTGGACCGTAAAGCTGCTGAGGATGCTATCGAGGCTTTTGCCAAGAAGTCCCTTCGTACCATTGGCATGGCCTACAAGGACTACCCCGAACTTCCCGACCTCGAGAACCTCGCCGATCTCACCCTTCTCGGCATCGTGGGCATTCAAGACCCTGTCCGTCCCGGCGTTCCCCAAGCTGTCCAGAACGCCCGTCGCGCCGGTGTGGTTACTCGCATGGTCACCGGCGACAACATCATAACCGCCCGCGCCATCGCCACCGAATGCGGTATCTTCACCGATGGAATCGTAATGGAAGGTCCCGAATTCCGCAAACTCTCCGAAGAAGAACTTGACCGCGTCATTCCACGTCTGCAAGTCCTAGCCCGTTCATCTCCCGACGACAAGCGTATCCTCGTCACACGTCTCAAGGTCCTCGGTGAGACTGTCGCTGTCACCGGTGATGGAACCAACGATGCTCCTGCGCTTAAGGCAGCGGACATTGGTTTCTCCATGGGAATATCTGGTACGGAAGTTGCTAAGGAGGCCAGTGAGATTATCCTTATGGATGATAACTTTGCTTCTATTATTACGGCTTTGAAGTGGGGACGTGCTGTGAATGATGCTGTGCAGAAGTTCTTGCAGTTTCAGATTACTGTTAACATCACGGCTGTTATACTGTCTTTTGTTACGTCTATGTACAATCCTGACTATGAGCCTGTTCTCAAGGCCGTGCAGCTATTATGGGTAAGCTACACTGACACATGTTGTGGGAAATATGTACTGACATTTGCAGATCAACCTCATCATGGATACTATGGCTGCTCTCGCTCTGGCCACTGATCCTCCTACTGATTCCATCCTCGATCGTCCTCCTCAACCCAAGTCCGCGCCACTCATCACCATGAACGTGAGTACACCATCTCCACCTAGTCACACCATCGCTAACAAATTCAGATGTGGAAAATGATCATCGGCCAATCCATCTTCCAACTCGTCGTCGTTCTCGTCCTCTATTTCGCCGGCGGTCCCATCCTCGGCTACGACACATCCATCGAAGCCGAGAAATTGCAACTCGACACCATCATCTTCAACATGTTCGTCTGGATGCAAATCTTCAACGAACTCAACTGTCGTCGTCTCGATAACAAGTTTAACGTCTTTGTCGGCATTCAACGCAACATCTTCTTCATCGTTATCAACTGCATCATGATCGGTCTGCAAGTCGCCATCGTCTTCGTCGGTAACCGTGTTTTCGACATTGACCCTAATGGTCTGGATGGTGTGCAGTGGGCTATTTCCATTGTCATTGCTGCCTTTAGTTTGCCTTGGGGTGCACTGGTTCGCTTGTTCCCTGATGAGTGGTTTGCGCAGTGTGTTTATTTTGTTGCGCCTCCTTTTGTGGCTGTGTATAACTGGCTGGCCAAGGGTGGGAATAAGTTCATGGGTCTCTTTAGAAGGTCAAAGAAGGCGGATAGCGAAGATGGCAATTCAACTGATGAGGGCAAGGAGAAGTCGTCTTCTTCTGGGCCCATGATTGTTGAGCCATAGGCTGGTGTACGGAAAATTGGTATCGGGTTATGGTATGGGGGAGTAAAAGCGCGGTTAGGAGCGGTGTCCCAGTCATCAATTTGCATTCTTATCTACTAGCGTAAACAATAAAATAAACGAGCTTGCGCAATTCCTACCAGGTGCCCTCAAAAAAGAGTCCTGAATACATGGCGCATGTCGAAAGCCAAGCACAACGTTCTCGTTCATCTTGCTCGTCGATTAAACTGACCTATCAGAACCCAGCCTCCACACCGATTTTCGGTCGCAGAATTGGAACCGGTCCGCAATGCTACCTTAGCCGGCGATACTCCACAACCAGATTAACCCGAATAATGTTAATGCATCTGCCGATCGAACAAGCTTAAATCTTTATTTGTTAGTTTACCGGCATCGTCAACTTATCTCGCGGGGTATACCTCAACTCCGGATATCTTTGTGGGGATGCATTATGCTTGGCATGGCGACTGGGGAACCACAATGGATGTGAGAGATATATAAACCCGGGAAGATCTGCCCTTCTTTCAAATCCCAGTCTCGAGCAGGCCCTTCCATCTTTCATCACCAGCCATGAAGGTCTCGTCCAGTCTCAGCACGCTCCTCGCCTTCGGGCCTGCTCAGCAGGTTCTCGCAACCTCCGAGTCCCACTACAATCTCGTTAAGCTGAACGGATATGGCAGCTTCTCCGGAACAACCATCAACAGCACCTTCACCAAGCAGGATCTTCCTGCTCCTGTAGACGCGTGGATGGGAATTGACTACTCCGTCCAGCCCTCCGGCAAGCGTCGCTTCACAGCAGCAGACTGGCCCAAACCCTTCAAGGGCGTCAAGCGCGCCACAAACTACGGAAAACAATGCATTCAGGAAGTTGCTTCCAAGACTCCTCTTGCGCAACAAGATGAAGCGTGTCTGAACTTCAACGTTTTCCGCACCAAGGGCGTGCCGTTGAGCAAGAAACTCCCTGTGTTGGTGTGGATCCATGGCGGTGCATTCTTCTCCGGAAGTTGGGCCAGTTTCGACGGTGCTGCGTTTGCGGCTGCGTCCAAGGAACCTATCGTGGTGGTCAGCTTCCACTACCGCGTCAATTCGCTTGGCTTTCTTCCTTCTGAGCTCTTCGATGAGGAAGGTCTGTCAAACCTCGGTATTCGAGACCAGCGCCTCTTCCTTGAGTTTGTCCAGAAGCACATTGGGGCTTTTGGAGGTGATAAGGATGCTGTTACTATCGGTGGCCGCTCTGCTGGTGGCCACTCCGTGGGTATTCACTACTTCCACAATTACGGCAAGGATACGGGCAAGCCCTTGTTTGCGGGAGCTATTCATCAATCTGGCTCTGTCACTTCTCGAGCTTTCCCCAATGTTACGTACCCTCTGTACAAGACGCAGTATGCTGAGTACCTAGAAGCCATTGGCTGCGATGGCAAGAAGGGCAACAAGGCTACTCTTAAGTGCCTTCGCGAAGCAGATATCGGTAGCATCAGAAACATCAGCACCAAGATCTTCTACGACTACAATCAGGCGGTGACATGGCCTTTCCAGCCCGTCCATGGCGGACCACTATTCGAGAAGCCTGGCTCTCAATCTGGCTACGACGGAACATTCTTCCACGTTCCCACCATCACTTCCAACACCAACGATGAAGCCAAGTTCTATATGCCTGGTGATCTTGAGACCGATGAGGACTTCCTGGACTATCTTCACAACGGTTCACCAAACCTGACGAAGAAGGAGCTCTCTGAGCTGAGCGCGCTATATCCCGATCCCGCAACGAACCCCGACTCACCTTTCGCCAATTCTCCCAATAGCACACAATATGACCGTATCTCTGCCGCATGGGGCGACTACGCATACATCTGCCCTGGTCAAGAAACCGCTTACAGAGCATCCATAGCCGGAGTGCCTACATGGAAAGTCCGCTTCAACACAAACAACAGCTATCCCGCCTGGCAAGGTATTCCTCACACTGCCGACACAGCGTACACATGGGATGAGCCTACTACTCAGTACCCCGAGATCAGTCATATTTACCATGGTTATCTGGCTAGTTTTGTTACAGCTGGTGATCCCAACACCCACAGATATCATGGAAGTCCCGAGTGGGCTGCGTATGACGGTGATAGTGAGGATGGGGCGCTGCAACTTGTTATTCAACCGGAGGATACGAAGGTTGAGAAGGATGATATTAGGAAGGAGGCTTGTCTTTGGTGGAGGGATCCCGAGAGAGCTGGTAGATTAAACAAGTAAGCCGATTAACAACTAGAGCTTTTTGGTTGGCTTCATGACAAGCTTTAATCTTGATTTAAGAAGCTAAAATACAAACATGCATTGAGTCACATCCCCCAATGATGAACAAACCCGTTAGGCTGCAAATTCTACAGACATGGCAGATTGCTCGATCGCGGGTTTTTTGAGATGTAATTTCTGAAAGGGTATGTGACAAAACAAGATGTGATGACACAGATTTCTCCGTCCAACTTACTTGTGAATTAAGAAGTACCTCAAGTTCCTACGCGAATTGTACTTCATTTGTGCGTCATCATTAAAGTAAGGTTGGTAAATACCCGGTGCGGTCATTCCCGGTGCATCTCCCGTCTTACTGTGCGGCTAAATGACCTGCATTGCCGCGAATCCGTCAACGTCTGTGTGGCTAGGTTTTCCTGCTAGCCGCTGTTGGCGATGGACTGCAATTGGGAAAGCTATTACTTGCCGGCCTACGAATTCAGATGGGATCGCTCTCGGTTCCTTGCTTTGAGGAAGTGCCGAGGCAATGCGGTCCATTATGCCGTTTCATCAAGAGATTTGGCAACATGCGATACTGCGCTATGTTGCGATGAGCAAGGTGAGCTGCCTGACTGTGCCTTCAATAAACAGTCTCACTGTAGTCTCTCAACGAGACCGATAATTGCGGCGAGGTTCACATGTGATCGGAAACGCATGATAGAGCAATGTAAGTAAGATTGGCGAGACTCTTGCAAAGTCATACGACAAGACCAATATGCAGGTTTTTGTTATTTGGTACTGTAACCCAACCCAAACAACATCTCTTTTGCAACCCAAGGGAGGCAAATGGGTAGTGCTTGCGAGGGAAACCAGTCGTCTGGTATCCCATCCACTGCAACTCAATACCCGCCCTTTCTGTCATCGATCATATCAGACGATGGTTCGAGACCTCTTCCCCAGAACTTATCAACTCGTTGTAAGGGAAGATGTCCCGGGCTGTACGTTCGAGTATCTAATTGGTCACAGAAGTACTGCCTCCGGGTTACAGTACCCTACTTCTAGACAAATGAAACCTCTCGGAGTGATTCTGGAGTTGTGAAGACCGATTGGACCTTCATGGCGTGATTCGAAATAATTTCTAGATTTGTGTAACCTGATCGATCCAGCTCGGCGGATAATGTCGGCGGATTTGAGGATTTGTTTCCCGAGGCCCGGCCTGTTGATTTTTCGCAGTCCATGATTGCAGAGGCTACCAGTCATTATCTCTCGATATCTGTAGTTACCAAACAGTTGTTACGATATTCGGATCAGGGTTCGTCCGTTCCCATGTAACGTCTTGTTAGTAACATCTTACAAAGAGCCTCATTCGGCAAAGAAGTTTTAAAACGGCGTTTTAATATGCAAGCATGTCAAAATGGAGACGACGAAATATACTTTCGGACTAATAGAACGGCTACAACGGCCTCCCACCTGCCATCTCCCACTCTGATGAGTAGTCATCCCACTTGGACCCGAAATCACAGAGTCCCTTTGTCAATGCTAGGCTTTGGTGTTGCGATTTCCTTGACAACGAAGTCGTAAGCACGGCAGTCTAGGCCGGAGAGTAATTGTTCTCGGAGGCTTTCAAGATTCTACAGCCAGGGCATAATCTCGTCCAAGAAAAAAGAGATTGCGTAACTTATCGCCGATGAAGGCGCTTCCTTTTTAAGCAAGATGCCAAATCCACGTGACAACCCAGACCGCTAATCAGACCTCAACCAAACCACAATAGTCCATTCAAACACACTTTAATCGATGAATTCGGAATGTCGCCTTCCGTGTTTGTCCAATGATGTCTTTTCAATCAATTGATAGACAGTCGGACTATCCTGTTCCGAACCATTAAGCGAGGCCCTTAATATTGGACTCCGGAATGTGCCCTTCCGATATTCCTCGATCGGCGATAAGAATACTACCTCTTGGGTCCGAGACGACAATCTTCAATTTTCAGGCCTAACAGTGAAACAGTTGACACTGAGTCGTGATGATAAGGTCGAAATCGTGGTCAACTGACGTTTGCGAAAATTACAATTGTCGGCTTGGTCTCCCGTGCATCCAGTTCAGATACTCGGCGGCGACCAAACCAAGGGCCACACATCTCGGCTGGTTTCTCACCTCGCTCCGGCCCGAATCTCAGTGCGAGATGTTAGCGTGTATGAACTTGAAAGTCAATCGTCCGATATGAGATAAGTCTAGACTGGTGAATGCTACAGCATGTCTTACAGACATCAATATTGGCACCCCAAAACACAGACATTCGGTGACAGAGCAGTGACGTTACCTTGTTTCCATCTCCATCATCTGCACTACAACCCCATTCGACCACGTTTTCGTTGATAGATTTCTCTGGGCATGTGCCAAGCAAAAACCTTAACTGACGGGGCCGACGGACCAGACTGGCCGAATATGCGGTTGTTTACTTCTGAAACAGCACTCGGAGGGAGCCGAGATAAGCGTTTGACACTTTTTGAAAGTGTCACTTCCCAGTTTGGGCTGCTCTGGATACCTAATGCGGGTGTCCGGCAGTCAGGGCCTGGGGTAATAGACTTTTCGACAGATCGCGATCACCGGGTGAAGTCCAGGTTTCTTTGACAGGCATACAGCCTTGTAAGGATCGTGGGATGAAGAAGGTTTATGTATAAAATCTTCGTCTTCCGCCTTCCATCCGATGTTTAGGTTGTGTATATCAGTTTTCTTTTATCACTCAGGGATAACACTTGGCATTCCTACAACAATCCTTCATGATGATACATCAAGGAGCCATGACGCTCGTCACACTGCTGGCATACGCCAGTTCAGTCTCTGCCACAGGCCTTCTAGGCTATGGCACAAACATCTACGATCCCCTCTGCGCAGAATCCTGTCTTCGATCCTTCGCCCCTCTAAAACTCTCATGCTCTATCGTCACAAGCCATGGCGCTCATAAGAGAGCAACTGCTTCACCGGTCTTCACTCCGCCAAAGTGCAAGGCTAACAATGATGCGTTCCTTACATCTGTTGCTTCTTGTTTCAAAGACAAGTGTTCAGAGGAGAAAATGTCTAAACTTGAACTCTTCTGGGAGGAGTCGGTGACGGGAACTAAGGATGTTCCTGCGAAGTGGACTTACAATGAGGCTCTTGCAGAGGTTGAGGAGAAGCCTGCAAAGTATCAGCTCAAGCCAATGGAGTTTTCTCTTAATGAGACTTCGATCGTTGAGCCGATGACTTATCTGAAGCAATGGAATCAACTTGGAGGTTACAAGAATGAGATGATGATTGAGTCAAGATACAGGTACGTCTATACCTAATGCCTACACACTTTATACTGACAAAGACTAGCATCGCACTAGTTGTCCTTGCAGTTGGCCTACCAATCGTCATGACCTGGCTGGGCCACATGCCCTTCATTCCCACAATCTACGACAAACTCAAACCATACATCCTGTACCCCAGCACAATAGGAACCTACTCCGTCCGTCCTCTGCCCTTCAAACTGGGCAACGTACCCAACATCGGTCAAGCACTCTACATTATCATCTTCATCTCTCTCACCGTCGTCTTCACGGCCGTAGAGTATGATGTCCGTCAACCCAACGGGCGTTTTGACAGCACCAAGCGTGAGCGGGCTGCTTATCTCGTGTACCGCACTGGATCCTTCGCGTATGCTCTCCTTCCGGTCATTGTTTTGTTTCCTGCGAGGAACAATATCCTTCTTTCCGTATCGAATTGGTCGCGATCAACTTTCATTCTACTCCACAGATGGGTTGGACGCATTTTTACGCTCCTTGCTGTTCTTCACGGCTGCTTTGCTCTAGCTGGATCTAAGAATCTTGGATCAGCGGATTGGAGACGCTGGGGCTCCATGACCCTTGTTCTCTCCGTTATCACCACCTTTGGAAGCGGTCTTTACTTCAGAAAGGCAAACTATGAACTTTTCCTGTTGATGCACATCATCTTGGCTGTTTTCATTGTCGTTGGCTGCTGGTACCACCTCATCATGCGATACGAGGCTATCGGCATGAGTTTCCCGGACCATACGTACGGTCAGGAAATTTGGCTGTACATGGCAATTGCTATCTGGTTCTTTGAACGTCTTGTTCGAGTCCTTCGTGTTGTTAGACTTGGTATCTTGAGATCTAAAGTCAAGGACATTGGAGCTGGATACGTCAGGATCGACATCCCTCATATTCGCTGGGGTTTGGATCCTGGAAAGCACGTCTTTGTGTACTTCCCAACTCTCGCTCCTCTAAGACCCTGGGAGAATCATCCCTTCTCTGTCATTCCCACTGTCGCTCTTCGAAGTCACGGATCATCTTCATCACCAACCTCCCCCATCTCACCAGGCGGTTCTTCCGGTCTTGAAGATCTCGAAAAGTCAGTGACACAAATCGGTTCTCGCTCAGTCTTACCATCAGCAGAGAGCTCAGCCGGAGTAACCCTCTTCGTCAAGAAATCCTCCGGCATAACCAAACACCTCCGAAGCCACGACAAACTCTTCACATTCCTCGAAGGTCCCTACCCAGGCAACGACACACGTCAAATCCTGCGCTGCGACAGACTTCTCCTCATCGCAGGCGGCGTGGGCATAACCAGTGTCTTCGCCCTAGTGCACAACCACTGGAACGTCAAACTCGCCTGGGCTGTTAAGGAAGATGCGCGGTGTCTCGTCAACGAACTTGAGCCCGCGATGGACGCTATCAGCACAGCACAGATTGACGTCAGAGTGGGATCAAGGTTCGATGTAACGGCTCTTATTGATGAAGAAGCTTCACGAGGATGGGAGCGTGTGGGAATTGTTGTTTCGGGACCGGGATCGCTTTGTGATGATGTTAGAGCTGTTGTTGCTGGTATTGCGAGGAACTCCAAGACTGTTTTTGAGTTGGAAGTTGATGCATACTCTTGGTAGACGCGGAGGTTTTTCATGATAGATACGTAGCGACTTTACGAAAATTCTCTTTATTCTATTAATTTGGCATGTTTACATGAAGATCGAATGATATCGGTTTCTATTCATGCTTATTCCCCCTGACTAGTGCATATCTTTATTGGATCTAGAACTCTAGCATCAAGCTTCGACCTCAAAGTCATCCACTTTTAGACAATTCCTTACTTCTGATTGGCCATCTTCCGAAAAAGAACAACACCAACATCGATAGTTTGCAATAGCTCGGAACAACGACCAGGATAATTAGATTGACAGGACGATAAAAACAGTCTGTAGTGCACACTTGGTTCTTTCTTTTCTCTCTCTTCTCTTTCTATTCCTCAACCGACCTTTGTCACTCGTTTTACAATGGTTTCTCGAACATTCCTTGCAGGTGCTTTGGCTGCGCTCTCGGCTCGAGCTGTCGTCGCTGGACCATGCCGACCTGTATCTTCGTCTACCGTTCAAGTCTCCTACGCTTCAGCTACCACTGACTCTACCTCCGTCGCTATCATCTCTTCTTCTACCGAGATTCAACTTACTGAAACTTTGTCCACCGATACGCTGTCGACCGAGACTTCTCTCACTCTACCAACCGATGTGACCACATCTACAGTCGACGAAGCTATCACCACCACTACCGAGGGCCTCACTACTACGGAGTTGACCACTTCAGTCGCCACCACCTATCATACTACTGAGACTACTGCCGTTGAGTCCGCAACGACTACCGCATCCGAGACAACCACCAGCGAAGCCCCCGCAGTCCCTACTGCCTTCAAATTCATCTCTTACGGTGGCACCACCAATGGTCTCGCCTTAAAAGCCACCAACGAACCAAGCAATCACATCCTCGTCGCAGACACCGTTCAAGGAATCTTCACCTACGACTCCGAAACAGGACAGCTCTCGTGCGAAGGCCTAACCCTCTGCCTCTACCGCGAAGACTCAGATTGGAACGCAGTAGTCAAGACGTGCTCAAGTCGGCCCAACCCAAGAGATACCCCGCTCATTTGTGAGAAGCCTGCCAATGGTAACTTGAAGTGCCGAGTGCCTGGAGCTCGTTGTGAACAACAAGAACCATGCCCTCCTGAGGTTCCTGATTGTCCCAATCCCAAGGAACCGACCACTGTGTGCAGGCCTACCGGTGAGGAGTGGTCGCAATTCTTCGTCAAAACTTATTTGGGTACTTGGTTTACATTGCATCTCGGTATTGAGAATCCAACTGCTGAACAGAATGATGAGTGGCATCTTCAGCCTATCAGACTACAAATTGAGCCTGTTGACGATTCATAAGATGGTGAAGGCTTTATCAGCTTCGTATATTCATCGGTAGATACTTTTAGAAAAGAGGAGCTGTTGCATTCACATAGAAATTAGTGACTATATATTTGCGGGATAAGCGAAGTTGAGTTGTAACTTGTGTGTTGTCTGACATTGATGATGGCCACGTTCTGTTGTGATGGGACCTTAGCTATCAGTACCTTTGCTACATTTCCCAACGCCGATCTTTTCGCTTGACTCTGTTAGTGTACATGTCGCTTTGCTAGTACACAAGAATATGCAAATACTGAACAGTCTACGCATAAAAAGTGAAGAAAAGACTCTTTCTTGAAAAAGAACCCCCGGTTGATGAATTAAGATGCTCTTTGATATACTATGACCCTCGTTGCATGTTCGATCACCTGGGTCGTGCTTTCCATGAACCTGGGATTTTTGCTCCGAGGTATAGGGTAATTGTCCCCCCCATCCACCAACCCCAACAATTCGCAAGCGAAAATGGCCTGCATCTTCAGGGGAAGTTCAATATTTCGGTCCTTTATCAATTCTCATCTCGTTGAGTATATCTCTTAGTCAACAGACGACATTGTCACTCGGCTGAGATGGTGAGGTGGATTGCATCAAATATGACCATCTCGTTACGCTAAAACCACCATCGCGAAAAAAAAAACGAGACAAGTCACACGACGTATGTGGCGTCTGCAAAACATCGTTCCAGTCTGTGCACACGGCCTAGCTAATGAATCCAGCTTCGTTTATCGCCTTACCACCCGTGATCATCACTCTGACCGTCACACGGTCCCTGCGTCCAACACCAACAACAGATCAACCAACACGAACATCAGGGTCAATTGAGACAAGAGCAACAGAATAAAAAGAGTGGGAGGGATTGGATGACGCCCTCCCAGTTTCAAATCACGGAGTAATTAAACTGTAAATCTCCCAGCCTCACTCTTTCCCGAGAATAAAAATACATGCGGCTAATTTTGCATGCATGCGCTTTGTTACGTGCAGGGATCTGCAAGACATGGACTCGTTTGCCGACGCTTGACAGAAATTGGCCGACTCTGCAGTGATTGTACTAAAAAGGTGCAAATCAATTGAGTGAATATTTAGAGCTTCAGCCTGGAAGCCGTTGAACAAGAGATCCATGGATGGTGCCGGCTAAAGTCAATTACCGCTTACGCTAGCAAGGCTAGATGCCTCAACAGACTCTACTCTCCAACCAGTAGAGATGACTCTCGTGTACCCCAGATCCTTGGCTTGGAATAATCCGGGTCAGACTCCATCCCCCCGCGTCTACATTATTCGCCCCATCCTCTTTCCCTCCTGTAACTTTCCATTCTCCCGTCCTCTACTACCACCGTAACTTTCCCTTCACCGGCAACGATGATCCATTCGGTATCAGAATGGCATCGTCCTCGGACGCAGTCCTAACTCTCACCTCGACGAGCATATGCGCCCTCCTCATCGTCGCCCGCTGCATTTACCGCGTTGTAGTCAGATGCAACATCCACAGCACATGCCATCGTCGCTGGCGCATCGACGACTTTTACATGACCGTTGCCATACTACCGCTCATCGGACGTGCGCTTTGTATTCTCTATTCGTTTCTGCTCAATCCGAATCATACGTACGAGCCTTCCACGAGCGATGCGGTTAATGCCGAGAGGGAACTTTCGCACAAGTTGCTGATACCCGCGAGAATATTCTACGCTTTGTTGTACGACAGTCAATCAATTGAGGGAGGATATATGCTGATATTGTTTAGTTTGTGGTGCTTGAAGCTTGGGCTTTTGGCCTTCTATTCACGCTTCATTGATGTCTTTCGCTGGGGAAAGATTGTCACGGATGCGCTTTGGTGGTTCATCGTAGCCACGTTCATCGCAGTATTTATAACCATCCTGGCAGAATGTCGCCCAATATCACTGTACGTCCCTCCCAATTCCTCCTCCTCAATTCCTCTCTAACTAATTGTCTGTAGAATGTGGGCGCTCAATCACGACGATAGCAGTAAGACACTGAATTCGCCATCCGACCAACCGCTAATTCGGAGTTCAGAAGTAGCATGCAACCGCGCGGTCGGAAATCTGATCCTAATGGCAGTCTGCAATATCGTTCTCAACGTCGCATTAATTATCCTTCCTTTTCCGATGCTGCGACATCTTAGACTTGATTTGAAGGAGAAATTACAATTGGGATTTTTGTTTAGTGTGGGCGCTGTGCTTGTCGCTATTACGATCCTCCGGCTGCCTCTTATTCTCAACGAATCCGTGTCGCAAAGATCACGATCAATGGTAAACACTCCAATTGCTGCATGCCTTTGGGATATAATGCTAACTTGTTGTAGTGGGCTTCAATTGAGATTCTATGCGCATGCATCGTCGCCAACACACCTTTCTTCTACGCTCTTCTCAAAGATCTACAACGACAACACGACGATCGACCCGAACGATCACCGTCCAATGCCACGAACCCAAGCGACTTTTACGATCTACAAAGTCTGCCGTCGTCGGCAGGCGCGCCAATACAAATGCCGATACCGTCTTTAATATCACCGGATACGTCGAAGGGAACGGTTAAATACTGCGAGAACGTATAACGAGGGATACAGGCCCCAGGGGGAATTTTATTTGTCTAATTAATGATACCCAATACAAAGAATTATAATTATATTGTTCATTCGTGAAGCGATGGGTTGGGTATCGCTCTTGGTGAATTGGTCTCCAGGCTGACAGTAGCGCTCCAGGGCTGTTTTTACAGGGACAGTTTTACTGAGTGAACCTAGAACAACTCAATGGCATCGGATCGCAAAACCTCCAATTGAGCGGATGGAATGCTACGATGCACGACTAATTGTATGGTCAATGGACGTGAACCACTAGGTGGTATCCGTGCGCCGGTTCAATCGTCGGGCGCTCTTGATCCAGTTCCCAGGTGCTGAACATTTTGGCGGGGTCGTCGCCCAGCTAGCGACTCTTCTCGCGCCAGTGACATTGGGCAGCTTCCTCAAATCAACATCAGCTTCATCAACCCAACCGCAGTCGAACAAATGCGAAGACCGCTGCTCGCCCGGTAGCTGACACCGAAAGTAACGTCGCCTGACCTTTCTCCACCTATTCGTGATTTGCACCCGCGCCCGCGCCTTCGAATCCGCACACGCGACAAGAGTTCGATGCTCTTGCTTCAATTACCGGCGTGATGGTAGACCGCACGTCCCAGCATCGTCGCTGATCGATCCAAACCGAACGCACACGATGGAGCCGCATCCAATCTCGAGATAAGACCGCCGATGAGGCCTCGACATTCGCATCCACCCAGAAACAAAAGCAAGCTCGCTCGACACCCTGCTTCGCGCTTCAACCCTCGATAGCGCAATGCCCATCCCGACGTCGTCCGCACCGAGATCTCAATTAGGTCAACCAGCCCCGCCGCTCTGAGAGTCCGATGAATCATCGACGCAACGCAAGCCCAAACAAAACGCGCCGCGTGCGCTTTCCCTCCTCCCTGTCGAGCAAGAAACCACACGAGCGGAACAATTAAGCGAAGCGACAACGGAAACAGAGTCTACAAAGCACATTGGAGGGTGATTGCTCGTGGGCCATGGCGATCAATGGTCTTTTGAGGCATTGTACTTGCGTTTCACGGCACGTCGCGTTTGACGACTGCCAGCAGGATGGGCCATTCTATGGCGAGGCAAATGCTTAGGGAATCCCTATTGCCCAGGACCATAACGATGGTCACCAAGACTACACCTGGACTTCTCGCTGCCCCTCCATCGCGATGGCAAGCCGCCGAGCGCATGTCACTAAATTTCCCGCCTGTTGTCACTGGCCGTTGTCGGCAACGACGAAGTGATGCTTAAGAGGAAATGCCCCGTTGGGCCGATTCGAACAATTGGTTGATGCGACAATCTACACATAGAGAAGGGCGATTACCAGAAAAAGCGCATTTACGATCTTCAATGCTTCATTCGCGTAGTCCAAGACACAATTGCCAATCGCATAACTTCATAATCATCATCATAACTCATGAAACCAACGGCCACCGATGCAAATCCCTACAAACCTCCATCCACGTACAAACATCCCCACTAGGCATCCCCTCCGCACAATCCCTCCTCCTCCAAACCTCCGTCAAAACCTCCTTACTCGACCGATAACTCTCAAACCCACTCCTCGAAAAACCCTTATCCAACCATTCCGCAATATCCATCCTCTGTCGTCCTCTCGCTTCCGCCCCCGCGATAAACGCAGGCCATGCCGTCCCCGGCCCTAGCAAATTATTTCGCTCGAGCGCTTCGTCGAATGCGTGGAGCGAATTGACCACGTCGTTTACGCTGTCTTGGAGAACGAGGGGGTTTACGTTGCGGATTCGCCTGTAGAAGAAGATCACTAGTGCTGATGCTAGGGCGCGCACCATGTGCATGTGTGGTGTTCCTCCGGGCGTAGTTGGACTTTCTGGTGATTCCACGCTATGTCTCGACCGGAACAAACACACTGCGTTCTCAAGATACGAAGCTCTAGGCTGCAGCGCCATAAGCGCTTCCGCATCACCCTTCTTCCTCGCAGACAACCGATCCATAGCATTCGCAAGTCTCGTAATCTGCGAAACAAGACTAAGCCACGTCTCCGGCACACCGTAGATCTGCATGTACATATTCTCATGATCCTGCGAGGTATCCGCAAGATGAATATCCTTTATATCCCTCCGCGTCTTCTTGCGCGGTTCGAGATGGAGAAAGTTGTCGAGGGTTATGTCGGGATTTATAGACTGTACGGGGACGGTAGCGGACTTGTTGGTTGTGTTGGGAAGGGTGAAGGGTGTTTCTATAGCGTGGTTTTCGTCGCGGTAGACGTTTAGACTTTCGGAGACGATACGCATCCAGGCGTAGATGTTGTGGAGAAGACGGGCGCGGCGGGAGATGCTGGGTTTTGTGAGGCCGCGCCAGCTTATTAGACGTTCCATTTCGGTGAGACACCAGCGGGTATCTGTTTCGTTGCCCGAAAGAAGCTAAACAGCGTTAGTCAATGGTTGTGATGTGATCCGTGGTGTTTACTTACTGCTGTTGCTAAGACGGCGCTTATGCCCATCAGCTGCTCCTTGTATTTCGCCTTATGCGGCCCAGGCTGCGATTCCTTCTCAAGACTGACTTTCAGATGTTGCTTTGCAGCTTCATATGTTCGACTTGACAATGCCTTCCAATGATCTCCCGCCCGTGCAAGACTAGGGAACGTAATAGAGTTCAGTGAAAGATGGAATGAAGATACAGCGATGAGAGCGTAAAACGTAGACAGATTCGCACGCTTGATCTGATCCTTGTTCACATCCAACATCGTCAGCTCGCTCAGCGTCATGATAGCAGACGGATAATGTAATGTCCTCCAAGCAGATTTCTCATTGATGGGTAGCGATCCCATTTGGCTGATGACATCGTCGTTGAAGTGCTTTAGGAGGAGTGGTGCATCGATCATAAGATCTAGCTGTGGCCAAGCAACGTCATCCTCAAATGGAATCATCGTATCCAAAGATTCAGAGAATGATTCGTTAGGCCACATTGGTAGCGTATCGAAGTTTTCGTAGGGTAGTTGAGGCGGATTATCCAGCACACTAACATCCCAAGTGAATAAATCACCCCAATGCAGAAAGTCTAGCGACGTTGTCGAGAAATCATTGGGAACAATCGTCTCGTCGACCATCGCATCCGAAATATTATCAACGGGCTCTGAGAAGGCTTGTGTTTGGGGTTCACTCAAACTATCAAGCTCCATATCATTGAAGGAGACATGGTCTGAGATAGTCTGGGCCGACTCAAACTTGAAGACCTGGAACGGTCCGACTTCGCAGATACTCGCTGCATCATCAAGACCCTTTGACTGTTCATCAATTTGATTCAATGCAGCTGTTACTGTAGACGGAACGTTGGTGAGGAGCGCATTGCTCATGAGCTCTCTATCCGCCTCTGCAAGGGTCAGCACTCCCCACACAACATAGACAGGGAACACTTACCAGTGAACAAATGTCGCCTAGAATATTGTTCCGCCCCAACTTCCGCTGTTTGAGGCGGCTGTCTATCATAAACTTCCCGTCCTGTAGAAACCAACCATCTAAGCGCAGGCGTGAACCCTTCACACGTCAAACCAGCCTGACGACATCGTTTGCAGCGTGGCAGACTCTGATCGCATTTGAGATGCCTTTTTCGACACGTCTTGCATCCGCCGAAAGAGTGCGTGCGTCTTGAAGTGCCCATTCTCAAAAAAGCCCAATCTGTACGAGTAAATTGACGTAGAAATCGAATAGGGAAGGCAGACCTGGGTGCGCAGTTCTACTTTAAAACGGTTCAGGAAAGTACGGTCGGGATCTCTTTCCTTTTGGGTTGGGGCTTATCTTTCGGGGCAGCCGATGAGTTAACCAATTGGAGATGGAAGCTTGATAATATTGGGACTAGGACGTTCTAGGGCGGGTTCTCTCCATGTTTTTACTGCTGTGTTATGGAGTCGTAGAATGGGATCGTGTCTTATTCTGTGGGGAAATTTGACATGACATGGAAAAGGGCGTCAATTGGGGTGTTTTCGTTGTGGGTATTGTGGAGGTGAAGTTGTTACTGAGTCAGAAATCTCGATGGTGATCTGGGTAAGCAAACTTGGTGAGGAATATCGATGCTTGGTCTCTTTCAAGTCATTGTGAGTAATTGATAGCAGGCGCCTACTTATCTTAAGCAGTGGCGGTGACACAACGTTGCGTGAACCAAGCTGTAGTGACCTGGTAGGGTGAAGGCATCATGGCCGTCAAAGCATTACTAATAAAAGGGAACATCACTATACAGAGAGGAGATTGTTCTTGAATGTAATGAAATCAATTAAACTCCTCCATGCTAATAACAATCTACCATACAAATTTATCTAAGCCTTAGCCTCAGGAGAAAATAACTTCTCGATTCGCTTATTGTTCCAATCCCAAGCAGTAATATCCTCATACTTGCAAGGCACACCCTCCTCAATAAACTCCTTAAGAGGAAATAGCGAAGCATTACGGTTAGGCTTAGCAAAGTAAGCAATAGAGTATCGCTCAGGAATAACCTGCTCGCCATCACCAGCCTTGATAGAAGGAGGATACGTCACACGGTGACAAGCAGCCTTGAAGGTATCATTCGTCAATCGCTGCAAAGAGTCACCGATGTTGAGGATGATATCGGTGGGAGCGGCGGACTCGACGTTGTTAAAGGTGCCGAGGTTCTCTTGGTCCTCGACTTGGAGACCGCCAACTGAGTCTTGGAAGAGCATGGTGATGGTGCCAAAGTCGGTATGCTCAGCGATACGCGTGGCGCTTCCGTCAGCGAGTTCTGAAGCGGGGACGGCAGGGTAGTGCAGGATACGGAACTCGTTCTCTGCACGGTTATGCAAAGACTTGAGATGCTCAGGCGAAACGCCAAGAGCAATAGCAAGAGCCTCAAGAAGCTGCATCTCCGTCTTGAAGGCCTTCTCATAAAACTCCTCCATAAACTTCCTAAAGCCGGGCAGTTCCTGCTCAGGAACCCAAAGGTTATCCACAAGCTCATCAGTTGCAGATCCAAAGTCGACAGTCTCCTTGATATCGCGAGTAGTCAAGGGTCCAAGACCCTTTTCGTAACCGCTGATGTTGGCGACGTTTTCTTGGCCGACGAAGGAGTAGCCGCGGTTGGGGTTTGCTTGGGGAGGGTGCTTGGCGATCATCTTTGTTTCGAGGGGGAGGGAGAAGAAGCGCTTTGTTTGATGGAAGAGCTCGTGGATGTCTTCGGAGGGAATGCTGTGGTTGATGAGTTTTACGCCACCGCGCTTTTTGAGGAGGCGGAGGAGGGAGTCGCAAAAGTCTTGCTTTTGAGAGGGTGTTCCGAAGAACAGGGACATGTCGAGGGTGTCTTGGTTGACAGCGGCCATTTTGATGGTTTGTAGGGGGTAGTTTTATGTAGTGATGAAGTTGTATACAAGGTAGATGAGAAGTAATTGTTGTTGCTTGAGGTGGTTGAGTGATGGTGTTCGAATTGATGTTGTCCTCGAGACAGTTTATATATCCAATCTGATCGGAAACTGTTACTCTTTACTTCTACTATTCCTTCCATTTTAGTTCCTACTATCATGACATGACTGCTCGTCACATGGGGAACTGTTCCAGAACATGTCATATCCCAAAGAGTATAGCCAACTCCTATCAGTCAATGCCGCGCTCAGCCGTCATGAGACTACCCCGGATGGTCCGAAAAGAGCATCAACAAAGTTAGTGAACCCGAAGCAAGGCCCATTTCCCCAGATAGACACGGTTGGGGTTACTCCATGGGCAAGACGGTTATCGTCGCTGATGACGATAAGGGAGTTGAGATTGGCCGATTGTTAGCATGTGGGGAGAGGATTGGTGGTAAGTGGAAAAGGAAAGAGATCCCGAGCTTGCCTAAAGAGTTTGACGCGCTAGTGTGGTTACCCTAAATTGAGAAGAATAACCTGGAATGTGTCACGAGGACGCATTACTCATGTATCTCGATGTCTTTGGTAGGAAGTTATATATCTTAGACTCGTTTGGAAATCATTTAACGGACTCAACAGGACGTTTTGCGAGTCTTTCAATGTGGTTGGGCGTGATGATGCGTGACATTAGCACTGAAGCATGACAAATCCCCACCGCTGACAGCATACATTGAAATGCTTTACCAGATCATGGATACGTCCTGGGATGAAACAAAGCCACCCAAACGGAGGCTTCCCAGTGAAATGTTTCATAATCTCACATTTATGCGATTTGTTAAATGCGTTACGATGAGTAGGGTCGTAGCTCAGAAACAAATGCCAAGCACGACCGTGTCCTTGGGTCAGAGACATGCTGGATGCAGATTATTCAGCGGTAGTTCGGCACTTACCGAGCCAAGAATAGCGTCAGCCATAGGTCAGACACTCAATTTTGTGGCGGCTGAATGTGTATGCGTGCTTCAGAGCATCTGAAACGTCGCCAATAGTGACCCAAATGGGCTTACTCTAGCGAAGCCGTCATAGCACAACGGGCAGGAAAAGGCCGACGACGATCATTTGTTTGAAGGCCCGAAGTAATTAAAGCGTCGGATGAATCGGCGCCTGAACACAAAGTTTGCGGGCGATGGTAACATTTAGGAAGAAAACAGCAAGGTTCAGGTGTTGACGATAAATTTCCATCTATCCGGTATCCGAACATCAAACATCAATGCTTATGATAAGCTTCAATGACGTATATCCCTTAATTAACGCACCAACGGGAAGACGAAACATTCCAACTTCACCGCGCTGACAACAAAGTCTTGACTGAAATATTGTCCGAGAGCAAGCCCCAAACAGGCGAGGCGGGAATGTTCTCGAAGAGGGGAGCCAGCCAGCCCTGCATTTTAAACTTTAGGCTATTCCCTAGTCGAAGCGAAGCGAGATGATCATCTCAACTGCCGCACGGATGCAATAGAAACGCGTCACAACGGGCGTGAACAAATTCTAATTTACGGCAGTTAATGCTATCTCGTACGATTGGAAACTTTGTTATAGTAGAGGGGCAGTGAAGAGGGGATATATAGTTGCACAAGTCTCGTCATACATTTCATGGTTTGTTATTTTGCAATTCACTCTTTCGACTCAACTTATACATTCCTTACTTTTCTTTCTTCTAACAATGTTGACTATCAAATCGCTATCTGCCTCGTTAGTAGGCCTTTTGAGCCTTACCAGCAATGTTGATGCTGCGAGCTCAGGTCTTGTCGCTTCGACTTACTTCGCTGGCTTCCACGCCAACCGAGGCTTCCCCGTCTCATCCATGCCATGGGATAAATTCACCGACGCAAAATACGCCTTCGCCGAAACCGCCTCCGACGGCAGTCTCGACATCTCCAAGTCCCAACCCCAAGAACTTCCCTGCTTTGTCAACGCTGCCAAGGCAAACAACGTCAAAGCTCTTGTATCTATCGGCGGATGGACCGGAAGCAAGTACTTCTCCAGTAACTTCGCCAACGAAAAGAACCGCACTGCGTTCGTGAAGACTTGTGTCGACTTTGTCAAGAAGCATGAGCTTGATGGGTTGGACTTCGATTGGGAGTATCCTAATAAGCAGGGTCTTGGATGTAATGTCATCAACAAGGATGATACGACCAACTTTTTGGAGTTTTTGCAGGAGTTGAGGAAGGATCCTGTTGGCAAGGAGATGTTTCTCACTGCTGCTGGATCTCTGTTTCCTTGGAATGATAAAAATGGTACTGCGTCGAAGGATCTGGGTGGCTTTGCTGATGTTTTGGATTACATCATGATCATGGTACGTTACACAGGCTGATGAACCTGAGGCATGCTGACAAGTGAAAGAACTACGATCTTTATGGTGCTTGGGCTCCTGTCGCTGGGCCTAACGCTGCCCTCTCTCGCTCTTGCGACGAGCGCAACACCATGGGTGCAGGCGACGAAGCCGTCGCCAAGTGGACAGGCGCTGGCATTCCCGCTTCTCAAATTGTTCTCGGTCTCCCTAACTACGCCCACGGCTTCAGAGTCAACGCCACATCAGCCTTCAACAAGCAAAAGAAGCTCAACCTCTACCCCGCCCAGAACTCCACCGATCGCTTCCAAGGAAGCAGCTGGGACAACGATCCTCGCATCGACGACTGTGGTAACCCTTCTCCTCCTAGTGGAACTTACCCCTTCTGGAGCATGATTAAAGAGGCCAAGTTCCTCGATACCAAGGGTAACCCTGCGCCCGGTATTGCTTATACTTGGGATAAGTGCAGTAAGACGGTACGTTTAGCTTACTCAGCGTGAGGAATATGATTACTGACGGGTTTGGTAGCCTTTCCTTTATGATGCTAAGAAGGAGATTTATGTCAGTTATGATAATGCGAGATCTTTTGCTGAGAAGGGCAAGTTTGTTGTTCAGCATAAGCTTGGTGGTTTTGCCACTTATGAGGCTGGTGGTGACTACAACAATATTCTGATTGACGCTGTTCGATCTGCTGTTGGTCTGTAATGATGGGCTAGGATTAAATACTTAGCCCAAGGAGCAAATGATATCATAGATAGGAGGAAGCCAGCTATGGCTCACTGGACGCAAACGATTCCATTTCCTTCTGTCATCTATACTTGCGCAAACATACGTAGTCCTCGACAGCCAATGTGATTGATCGAATACATCATTCTTGATAGATACAATTGTAAACGTAGAATGGGAAACGTCTACCCTTACACTATTTCCATTGTCATTGGCCAAACACACGATTGACAGGATGACGTCGGGACTTCTAAGGTCTGACGGCGATTTCTGGATGGGATGTAGACACATGAGCATCCGACACGAGATCCAAAATTCTCACTGACAATGGTGGCTTCCGAAAATCCTGGACGCGTGGAGTGATAAGTCGTTTAAATCCGGAGAACCCGGAGCCGATCCTAGCAACTTAGATCCCATGCTCGACTAAGATCTAGGACTGCGCCCGGTATATCAAGGCGATCACCAGATCAGGATATATCCAGCGCAATGCCAGAACCCAGCCAAGCCACTAAAACCCCAGATCACCGTCACCAAAGACATAACACGAGAAAGCAGACGCTACGTTTCATAGGAACAAGCAAATCTCCCCATTCAATTCGACCAGTCACATCACGTTGTCTCCTCCAACGAGGAAATTATCTCATGATCGACAGCTTACTCATCTGCGATATGTCACTGTGACTGGTCCATGGCGTACGTGTAAGGATTCAGTGCAGGCCTCGTAAATTTTACAAGTGCTTATGGGTGCGTCACACGGCAGTAGGCCAAGGCTGGTTTTGCTATTATTAGAGGATTGACGTGTGGGAAATGCATATGTGGAAATTAGCTGTACCACGAGTAAGGAGATATAAGAGTGAGGAACATCCTGCTTTCGAAATGGCATCAACTCACCTTCACTTGCATAATCAATTGAGCTATTCAAGATAAAATCACACAATCATGCACTTCACCGCCATCACCAGCGCAATTGCGCTCCTCGCCTCAGCAGCGACAGCTCAACCAACAGCTCGTCAGGCTCCCACAGCGAATGCAAACATCATGATCGTCAACGCTGCAGACCACAGCCAGCAGCCCGTCCGCATTCCCCTCGCGCAGCTCACCACTCTCAACTACCCAGTCACTGAGCTGCGCCTCATCAGTCTCGGCGTCAACATTCCTGACATCCCTTCGCCTGATGTCAAGGATATCGTGTGCCAGCGATACAAGGACAGGTACGGTGTCCAGTTTGGTAGTACTGAGTTTGGATATGAGAAGCCTGCACTGATTGCTACCAATCCTGTTGACTTTGGATGGGTTTTGTGTTATCACAAGAGGAGTGATTAGGTCTGGGGATGAGATGTTTGGATGGGAGAGGGGGTTATGTAAATAGAGGTTGGAGTGGTGAAAGAAGGTAGAAGGTTGAACGAGATGCAGAATGAGAAGACAAGGTGGCAGATAGTATATAAGATCTGTAATTTGGAATGCGTCTCGACATTTGTGAAATCGTAAGCAGTTAGCTAGCGAGATATAGTCCTTGAGAAGTAATATTTGCAGCTAGCGTTGATGCATTTACAACAGTCCGCATGCTGAGCGGTCCGGCATTTGTAAACACAAGCTTAAAATAATGCCCGACTAGCCGAAACTGTCAATAATCCATGCCATATGCCGTAAGATTTGTCTATCGTCCGAATTTCTAAGCATACAAGCCCCCAAAAGTCTTATCTTATCTCTCATATTCCACGGCGTTTCCCCCCTCTATTTCCTCATCCTGGATCGCCGTGGAGTCTCACAAAGGCATGCTGGGCATCGCAACAACGTTTTGAACTGCCGCGGAATATAACATCGTATAGAAAATGATCACGAAACGATTCAACATGATGAGTAGATGGATATAAGCTTAACAATCGACAAAGATGGAGATAAATGTTCGAGAAAAGGAATAATACTTAAAGGTGTGATGGTTTCGTACATCGGTTGTCTCAACACCAAACTGCATCAATTCAAGCATTTCACAGTTCAACACAAAATCTTAAACAACGAAACGCACAAGTGACAACCGCAACAATGTCTACCGAATCCAAATTCTGGCAACCTCTCAAATTGGGCAACATCACCCTCTCCCACCGCCTCGCCCTCGCCCCAATGACCCGTCTCCGCAACGACGAAGCCCACCTCCCACTCCCCTCCGTAACGAAATACTATTCTGACCGCGCCAGCGTCCCAGGAACACTCATCATCAGCGAAGCAACCGGCATATCCCCCACCGCCGAAGCAGCACCCAGTACGCCCGGCATCTCCAGCGCCGATCAGATGCAGCACTGGAAGCAAGTCTTTGACGCTGTACATGAGAAGAGGAGTTATATGTTCATGCAGATCTGAGATCTTGGAAGAGCGGGTGATCCGAATTATTTGAAGAGTCGCGGGTTGAAGTACTCTTCTAGTAGTGATATTGCGCTGGAAGGTTATCCTGTTAAGCCAGAGGCGTTGAGTGAGGAGGAAATTTGGGGAAAGATTGAAGAGTTTCGGCAAGCAGCTAGGAATGTTGTTGATGCAGGTGGTGATGGTGTTGAGATTCATGCATGCCATGGGTAAGAGGGCTCCGCGTCTGCGATTATTACTGACTACTAATTCCTTGTGTAGCTATCTGATCGACCAGTTCACCAGCGAAAGTATCAACAACAGAACCGACAAATGGGGCGGCTCAATCGAGAACCGCGCCCGCTTCCTCCTCGAAGTCGTTAAAGCAATCATCCAAGAAATCGGCGCCGAACGAATAGCCCTTCGCATCAGCCCGTTCGCAACATTTCAAGCAGCTTATACCTCCAACCCATGGGCACAATTCGGCTACATTATCAGCGAACTTAAGAAGGCAGCCTACAGACTAGCATACGTCTCCTTCGTGGAACCCCGTGCCAATCCTGCCCATCTGGACATGACTCTCCACAAATTCGAAAGCGACAAGGTCAACCCTTTGGGAGACGAAAAGCCTAGCCTCGAATACTTTCTTGAGATGTGGGATAATCAGTCTCCTGTCATTGTGGGTGGTGGATATCTGCCTGAGAATGTCTCTGAAGCTGTTGATGGGAGGTATAAGAAGTGGGATGTTGTGGTTGCTTTTGGACGGTGGTTCATCTCGAATCCGGATTTGGTTTATCGTGTCAAGAATGGTGTGAAGCTGACGCCCTATAAAAGGGAATTCTTTTACGCTGCTAGGAGCGAGATGGGGTATAATGATTATGCTTTCAGCCAGGGATTTGTTGAGGCGGCTAAAGCTTAGATGGCGACGATGGGGTTGGGGAGCTGGTCATAGAGAATTCAGTCTTTACCGTCGAAGTATATAGAGTTGGTACCTTTTTCTTGTCCGACTTTCTCTTCAATACATATTTAAAATCCACTATCTGAACATAGGTTCTGTGGGGGAAGACAAGTGCCGTCGTGTGATTAAGCTCAGGTATAATAAAACTAAAGCCATCGCCGATTCTCATAATTTCCTACAGCACAGTGCTAAGGTTCAATATGTCTGACGTTTCACCAAGTTTTTCCACCATTTATAGTCGCTTCAACGAAGTCATGTCCAATATCAAATCTGACACCTTCTGGGTTCTCAATCTCTTCATCCTCATCTAGATCATAGTTAGCAAAGTCTTCCAACACTTGACTGTGTCAGGTAGGAACTTACACCAAGTCTCATCAGCCTCCGGGTGCGGCCCGACAAGTCCAACCCATCCCTTCCCAAAAGGCGTAACTGACGCGGCAACGTCGCCGTTAGAAGAATATCTTCCGAGAACCTGCCCGGGAGTCTTTACACCAAAGCCCTTGATGACAACACCATCCTGGAAGTAAAGCCAACGCTTCTTGTCAGTTTTTCCAGATGAGAAAGCCCAGTCGACCTGAATAACTGTATCATCCTCGTCATTCACTTGAGCTCCCCGCCTTTTGATCTCTTGGTCCGTTCTCAAGCCATGAGGAAGCAGATTATAACCATCGTTTGGCCCGGCGAGATAGGCGCCGAGACAAAATCCCATGTAATGACCTCCATTTCTAACAAAATTCTGGATAAAGCTTTCATACTTTTTTGTTTGACGATATGCCTTTTCCCAATTCGGTCCACCGCCGTGAGCGTAGATAGTCGCGTCTTTGAGTGTCTCGTCTGTAACGTCAACAGCTTCCTCCGGACCAGCGTATATGACTTTGAAGTGAGAAGGAGAAGACTCAAGAAGTGCGCCGATAGCTTCGGGACAGCCTGGGGATGATGCAGGACCACGGTATACAACAGCCTTGGGGCGGGTGCTTAGTGCTGAGGTCAGGGCTCCTAAGGAGGTGACGAGGAGGTTGTCGACGCGCATGGTGTCTATGTTAAAAGTTTGAAAACTGCAGTAGCGAAGGGTGCGAGTATATCAGTTATTGTCATTTTCGTTGTATTTATATATAAATTGCCTCTAGCGATGACATCCATTTTCGGATCCAGGACGGCATGCCGTATACAACGACCAATAGCAGAGGACGGAGCGTAGGCTAAGCACCAAGGGTTCAGCGCTAGGCTGACTGTGCCGAGACAACCCCATGAGATCGACGGGTCACGATATGGAGATCTTAGAAGATCTTATTGAATAGCGCGTATAGCCCAATCTGAATGATGATTGTCTTGGAACAAACCATGCCGAGAAGTTCAAATCTTACCCTCAATCCGAAAACTCAACACCTCATGCCCCAACACACATTAAAACTAATGCTTCGGTCTAAAAACCAGCAAAGCACCCTCTTCTTTCGAAGGTCCAATATCCGGCCATCTCTCCTCTTGCAACCCCAAAGCTCTCTGCCACATATCCCTCTCCAAAAAGTCCGCTAACTCGCCACTATCCCATATAATCTCCCTCCGTCGCTGCGACCTCAGCATATTGATGATTCTTTGTCGAACGTCATCATCCTCGCAGTAGACATAAAGCTGATACAGAGCAGCTGTCAAGTCGATTTTCAGCCCAAAGTGCGAATGGCTGGGATTGCACCATAGTTGCTGCACCTGATCGAGAAGGGTGTTGCAGTCTTGAGGTGTGATGGCAGCTTGGTCTTCGTTGCATTCCCCGTCGAGGAGGACTTCCCATAGTTTATGCTGGATGCGTAGATTGAGAATTCTTTCTTTGGATTCATCCACGCTGATCCTGCCTAAGAGACAATTGAAAAGTGCCTCCCAAGTTGCCACATCTTGCCTCAATTTGACCCATTGAGTAACACACTCTGACTCTTCATCGTCCCAATCTTGCTCCAGATCCCAACTGATATGATTAATCACATCGTCGAATTTATTCATGACATCTTCCGCCTCATCCAGATCCCGAAACACACCATTGGCTTTCCTCTTTTGTTTCTTGGGCGGCATCAATAGATGTGTTACGTCAGGGAAGATGCGATCTTCCGCAAATATTGCAACTTGAGAGCTTATGGCGTGGAAGATTGTTGCGAGGTCTTGGAGTTCGTTGTTCGGTAGGAATACTTTGGGTTTATGATTCGCAAGAATCTTTATGCCTGACTCGAGGTGTCGAACTGCTTCTTCAAAGTCCCCGCGAAGACTTTCGAGGATGACGAAGAGTATACAGCACGTTAATATCGTCTCAAGGTCCGCTGGATTATCTCGGGTATTTGCGAGCCTTGATATAGCCTCATTGTAATTTGTCAGGATAAACCTGTCCAAAGACGCTGGTAAAATCTGCCCAGCTCCGGCTCTGGAGTATCTCAAATGTGTCGCGCCTACGGCTAAGACCGCATGCTTGATGCAAAGATTGTCTTGGCTAGGCGCCAGAAGTGTCTTTTTCCAAAAGCCTTTGTTCAATGAGTGAGAAATTTCGAATTGGCCGATTATATCGGAGAAGAAATAAGTATAATAACTCGACTCGAGGGCGTTCCCTGGGACCAAGCATTTTTGGGGTGTGCTTGCTCGCTTTGCCACAAGTAATGGAAGAGGTCGAGGTTTGGGAGTATCTTGTGTGAGCTCTTGTTTCTCGTATCCGTCGCAGACATAACCGCCTTTCTTGCATCGTTGACAAATTGGCTTTTCTTCATCACATTTCTTATGTCTCTTTTTACTATGTCGCAGTCAGTGCATTTCCCTAATCGCACAGATGGGGGGCGACTTACCAAGTCAGGCATCCAGTACGCTTCTTGGGGGCAAAGGCCCTCTGTCTCTGTGTCGCGCGCATTGGACCACTCATTTACTCTGTACAATTCCACAAACGACAAGCCGAGAGAGCCGAGTTAAGAGGCCTGAGATGATCCTTACGGAAGGCCAGAGGGGGCAGTGTCCAAAAACCAAACAGAGGCTCGATTTTTCAATAAGTATAAGGTTACGTAACTTAGAGGTGTAATCGTATTGCAAAATGAGTTTTTGGACACTGCCCCCTCTGGCCTTCCGTAATCCTAGGCATCAGCATTCCAGAAGATCCATCGCAGTTCCACTTTGAAAGTTCCGTGCATCGCGTATAGATTGACCAATAGCAATACAGAGACTCGGCCTCAAAGTTTGTGAATCCTTCCGATCTGCATTGGTGCTTATTTTTTATCGGGCCAGCAGGAGGCTGAGCTGATCTCCTTATCTTTTACCACTTCATTTTTCGTATAAAGTCCTAATTCATTCCTAGTCTCGGTGTGACTCAAGACGACCTTGTTGATAACAATTGCCTTACTAGGATTTAACAAACCCATTTCTCATCATCACTCCTTCGTCCCTTCTCAAGTACAATGAACTCATCCAAAATGGCCCAGTCATCTCATGATTCTAAGCACATGGGTGTCTTATACAGGATGATAGGCTACATCTTAGAGCCTCTTCTTCACGCCGTTCGTCATCACAATCTCGGTGAAGGCTCCAATTCAGCTAATTGGCTTATACAGGTTCCTTAGCCATACATCGCACTTCATCCAGTCCTCACAGCCGCCCGTCATGTACAGTCTTTCGAAACATCCGCCTCTTCAAATGGTGAGACTAGAGGCATCATGTCTCCAAGCGCCGACACCTCTCTCTCCTCAGTCATATACCCAACAAAAGGGGTTTTGTTATGGCTAGTTTGGTCATTTTCGCAGACCTTAACCCAGCGTTATCTTGCAAAGTCACACTCTATGCACATCACCAAGTGCCTCACCGCAATCATCTTCGGTCCCCTCCACCTCTTGTGGCTCCAATCAGCCATCTCAGACACCCCTACCTCCTTCGGAACATCGATTAGATATATCCGATCCATCTCCGCGATGCAATTCCTGCGCTTCATTGCTACCACTGTAACATTCGTTATCGTGGAGGAAAGCATAGAATTCATCCTTGAACAAAGCTTTCAGATGTCTATAGGTTACAAGAATTTCATGGCAGAGCTTGACACGGATCAAGCTCGATATGTGAGCACTGTTCTAGCGGGCTTTTACTTCTTGTCGAAAGCCGTCAAGCTGTTTCTTTGGGTCCCGGCTACTGTTGCGGCTGTACAGGCTGTTCCAAAGGTTGACGCTCAAGGGCCCGGCGAATCCACGCAGAGATTCTGCGCTGATATGATGACTTGCTTGAGAAGCATTCCTTTGGCGCTATGGGGGAGATTCGGTATCTATTATTGTGTTGCAGCTGTTATTGATGCATTATCGAGAGTTATTGATACTACTTTCCAGATTGAAATTGTTCGCGGAGGACTTGAAGACAGCATCTGAAGTATAAATCACATATAGAGATTACCTGTGTTTTATATATAAATCACAAAATAAACGCCTAAAGCCTATGATTATAAAAGTGCATCTACACAATCTGAATCGTCTCGCTGTTCCCACCTAGAAATCCCCCAAGCAACGTCCCGGCGCCCACCCGTTTATAATGCCGCACCTGGCTTGAGGATGGGTCGGGCTCAACCAACAAGACATAGTGAATCTTGACCTCATCTGACCCACTTCCCTTCTGTTTACCAAGAACCACACATTTCGTGACCGTCCGTTTGGAGCCCGACGACGAGTCAAACACGAGCATGGAATCATGGCCACCGTCGATGTATTCCCTCGCCTCAGCAACCAATACTCCATCGTCAGCCTTGTTGGGCTCTGAATCCCACTGCGTCTTCACAAATTCCCACTCGGTTCCACCAAAGTCGGCGGGGATATAGTCGATGCTACCGGTGTACGCCATCCATGACCAAGATGGAACCCTGGTACCACTCGGACTCGGGCAGAATTTGACTGGGGTAAGGGTGTCTTCCTTATCAGCCCGACGCCAGAGCAGACTTCGCCGAAGTAGACCCCGACGACGACCGTCGCTGTTATCCTCAAAGAAGACGCCAAATCCACCTTGAACTTCAAGAGCAGCGATGATTCGCTCTTGCAGTCCGTTGATAGCCCATGGTCTATCGGTATCGAGGGTAAGACCTAGTCCAGAATACATCTTGTAAAGGTCCTGGTAGCCGAGGATCTTCGCCCCCTTGTCTGCTTTCATCATCAGAAGAGGAAAGTTTGGATCCGCCAGGAAAGTGGCACGCTGACTAGAAGAGGTTAGCCGACAAGCTCCTCCAGGAAATAGCTACTTACTTGGTCATCTTTGTCATGGTCTCGCAGCGTACTCCATCACCGCACTCAAAGTAGCATTGGTAGTCCGTGTAATAGACGGTTCGGCGAGCAAGGGCGTGTTCCTGCAAGACCCAACCCCTACCGCCCAATGGTCCGTCCAGGACGTCATTCTGGAAGTCGTCGATGCTCTCGCGGATGGAAACAGGAGTCGAACCATTCCATAGACTGATGCATCGATGCTCTGTTCTTGGTCCAAGGAAGCCAGCATCATGCCCTGGACAGCGACTTGCTGCAAGTACGCAGTATGCACCACTATAAACTTGTTCCATTTGCTTCGCCTCCTGCCGGAAGTCCCCATCATTCCCTTGGATAATACAGACCGAGTCAATCCACAGATACGGGCAACCGATGGCGCGAGTAACTCTAACAGCATCTCTGAAGGTGCGCGGAAGATCGGCTAGTTTGATACCAGCAATATGCTTTTGTATGTTGGTTCTGAGGGTGCGAAACTGTTGATCTGATCCCCATTGGTGAGATAATGCCACCCAATTCCCTTTGTTACTTGGGGTAGTTTCAAGTAGATGGACCTTGTCGTCATTGGTACCATTCACAGCTATAACTCTCGTAGGTAGCTTTTTGCCCGCTCCCAGACTGTTTGAAATACTCCAGGTCTGGCTACGCTTGCAGCCATGGTGATGCCGATCACAGTTCTGAAGCCATTGTTTGACAATCTCCAGATGCGCTGTACTTCCAGCATCAGGGAGAGTGGGAAGACTGAGCTGGATCTGGGTGTCCATACCAGTGCTAAGACCTACAACCATCTGTAAATAGCTTGATAAGAACCTATACCAAAGCACCTACTATCATTTCTAAAGATGGACGCAACCAGCGTGTAACCGTTCATGAGAATGCTTGTTCCATTTCTCTGGAAGCTGACATGGGAAGTTGCGGCTTGACCCGCCTTCTGAGAGAATGGCCACAGCAGGCAACAAAGATCGCAGATGCCGGTACTGGAATTGGCCTTGAGAGTATTCGAGTCGTAGGTGATATTGAACCCTGGACTTAAAAGTCCATTCCGGAACGTCAGACATTTCCCACAAAGCTTCGTTGACTCTGAAGGAGAAGGGACACCGAGGTTGTTTGCCCTGATAGAAGATGTAACGCGATCCGCAAATTCATTGTCGATGACTATGTTCCAAGTGTCCTCTAGCTGTCAAATCATAAGCAACGTTAGTCTGGTGAAGATAAGTGCATACTGACATTCTGTTTTGTTATGCTGCTCAGCTCATACGCTCGAAAGTTCTTACGTTCTATTAGGGACTCACTGTCTACAATACTAAAGTTAGACATCGATTTAGCATAGCGCGAGTCATAGTTGTGTGGATCTTTTCTTTCTTACTTTCTACGGGTACAGTTAGCATCATGTTCATGGGGAGGCATATAATACTTTCAAACTTACACCCTGGATGCCCCAGCAGACACATTGTCAGTATAAGTAACTGCCTGAGGGGTTGAGCTAGACTCAGCATACATACTGAAGAGAGGTCAGCGAGGGGTAACAAGATAGTTTTGACGGCCGGACTTACATCCTGTAATCCGAAGTTTCAGTGACCAGCATAGTATTGCTAGTGCTCAAGTGCATACCGTCTATGTCAGAGTCAAACGTTAGCTGACGTCGTGAGTTCTTGCAGTCCAAAACTAACCCTTCCCGTTAAAGCTGAATTGAAGTCTTGTATGAATGACAGCCCTGCTTGTATACCATTGGAATACAGTTCTTGTGTGTCGTCAAAAGTGCTTCGGGGCGGGGAACTAGGGGTACCTGATAGCCAGTAATCAGCTGTATCCACGTCCGATGTGATAATCTCCATCCGGTCGTAGAGATCTTTTGCTCGGGCGCGGCAGTCCTTGTCAGATTGTAACTGTGTTATGGGGGCTTTCTCAGGAGGAGAAACAGCGTAAGAGAATGTGGGATTCTCTTGAGTTGAATATTCGAGTGAGTCTGGCTCGGTCACAGTGAATTGCGGAAGGGCCACCGATGAAGCTAGGCCTCTCCGTGGCGTATTACCTGAACTGACGTTGCTGCTGGGAGAACTGCGACGGCGTGCTCGAGGTGTCAGAGACATATCGGTACTGGATCCCAAGTTCTGAGGTAGCTTCACCACCAGTAGTTTACCCCTAATAAGCTCAAGTAAGTTGCCCAGAGCAGTTTGTCCAACCTCGCAGACTGGGTCTCGAGCCATATGTTCTATCCATTCCAAGACCACATGGTGAACCTTGGCATTGCCGTCTTTACCAATCTCGTAGAAACAAGGTATGTCGACATCGCCTTGGTTCAAACTGCGGTTAAATCGTTTCAGTTCTTCATAGCCGTACATCAACCAGATCAGGAACTCCAGCCAGATGCATCCCATAGCCCAGATATCGTAGAGCCGAGATCGTCTTCTACCAGGTTTTCCAGTATTAGTTACTACAAGAAGGTTATTGCCGCGTATGGACCTTTCTTCGGGAGGCTCGTAGCGCCGTGTGCCGAACGGAGTTGACGTCTGCACAGTTCGAAGCTGTGTGATGTTGTTGTGTTGTTTTGCGAGACCCCAGTCACCAATCTTCAGTGTACCGAGTTTTGTACTATCGCTGGCGTCTTTAAACCGAAGGATGTTTTCAGGTTTTAAGTCTCCATGGCGAAAGTGTTGATCCGATACAGTCTCATCCACCGGGTTGTGAACTTTGCAAAGGGTTTGGGCAAGACCCAGCAACTGATCAAAGGCATCTTGAATCAGTTCTGCTGTCAGGCGTCGAGGAAAATGCTCCCAGAGGTTCCTGAGGTTTCCACCATCCGCCCATTCGAGGATGAGATAGTGTTCATCTTGGCCTAAGCGGAATGCGGTGATAAAATTGACAATGTGCTTTTGACCAAGAGCTCTCATTTTCCACAGCGCCCTTACTTCCTTCTCCCAGCCTTGGATCTTAATATCCCGCTCCTGGTCACTTTCCAGTTTGATCTTCTTGATAGCGACGTAATCAGTACAAGGAAAGATCTGGACGGGTTAGTCGGGATTTTTTTCTAGGTATTATTTGAACGCAATGTCACTTACCAATCCGCTGGTGTCAAGGTGTGAATCATGAATTTTGTACTTCATAACCTCACCAAAGGCTCCTGCAGCAACAGAATCGGCGTTCTTATAGATGAACGGTAGAATAGACTTCTCGACAATGTCGTGGTTGTCTATACACGTAGAGAAAACTGGAGCACAGAATTTCCACTGGTTCTCGGCAAAATGATTAACATGGTCGTCGTTCCATGCCTCTCGGTCTAGACGCATGCCTTTGATGTCCTCCACATCTTGGTCGGTAATATAGGGGAATAAGGCGTCAATCTGTTCTCTTCTGAAAGGAAGGTGAATGTCGTGGAGTTCCCACTCAATGAGGTATCTCAGAAGTCCATACAGACTTGCCCCTTTCAGTGAGATGTAAACAAGAATAGAGAAGATCTTCTTGGCATTGGTCAAGATGAAGCTTATCACCTTTTCGACTGATTTAGTGACAGTCAAAGATGGTTTGTCTTCACACTTGTAAAATACCCAGATGATCAAACGTCTCGTAACAAGATCGTCTACTTTCCCCTGGGGCAAGAATGTTGGTTTCAGGTTAGTGAAGGTACTTTCCACCATAAACGACCGGACAGTTGAACCGACGGTGGGAACAGTTTCGGTAGCAAGAGGCTTTTGGGGCTTAACAGGTGGCATTGTAGCCGGCAGGATAGTTGAAGGCTTGATAAATAGAGATGTACTGTAGCTCTACGGCAGAGTGTCAAGGAGCCTTATGGTGAGAGAACGGCAGGTTAACCTAACGATATATTTATCAATGCGGTGCGATTCCTTGCCGAGACTGTCTGATCACAGCAATCTTTACCATTGACGAAAAGGCTACAGCCTGATTTCATATATCCCTCAGTCTTGTCCCTTCAATTCCCCCCAAAACTAGCAATTGACTTTCAACCTCTTTTCAAGCAGGCTAGAGCCTGATTTCTTGATATGGCGGTCAATTGATTACTCGCATCTCGACAAGACATTATTATACCCTGATTGGAGAGTCCTGAAAGTAGGCTGAGCTTATCGTCACCATTATCACATCGCTCACGCGCTGTGGCGCCGACCGGTGTGCTGTCAGGTGGTTGAACTTCAGTAGGCCACCCATTCACAGAAAGCGGTTACCCTCGTCTCAGTTTGAAATCAATAAATGGATCAATATTCGTATGCGAGCTGAACAATCCATATACCGAAACGAGACAATATCCGAACTTTTCGGCTGCTTGGCAGCGCGTAACATGACCCAACAATAGAAATGATGACCGACTAAAACAGGATAATGAACGCATCAGTCTCCATGTGACAATGTGATCATGGCAGCACACCCTCTTGTAGCCAGATTCTGACCACGGTCCGTGATTACCCCTCCTGTTTGGGGGTCCAACGCTGTCTGGATTAGCGGCATCTTTCAATCTCCTTCTGCCAAGATGTAAGCAATATGCGTCATATCATATCATCTTTATCTGCTCACCTTTGAAAGGGTTCGCGGCGCTCGGACGGTATACTCGTTATGAACGAGCTGAAAATGTCCAAGTCAGCTTGTGAAATCCTTGTCAAATGTCGAGGCTATCATTATACATCAATTTGAAATGCGTCAGGTGAAAATTCCGAGCTCAGGTGCTTTGCCAGCTTCGTTGGATCGATATCCCAGGCGGGAAATTGTTGTGTTTTCTGCGAGTCCCCGTGGCGTTTAAAACCAAAGGAACTCCTCCGATGTCGGTTGACAGAAGGTATAATCCTCGTGGCAAGACTCAAAACCTGATGGAAGAATTGAGAGGGGCCCATGTCGAGAATATCCTGTAGAACGATGAGATCTTGCGAAACAGTGAGATCTTGCGAACCAAAACGTCTTCTGGGGGTAGACGAACATGGAGGGAAAACGACAGAATATGTAGGCTGGGGGAAGTCATCTGCCAGAACTCGCCCATTTGGGATTTGTCGAGAGGCGGTAGGACAAGAGGAAGCCAAGGAGTGGCCCGACCCCAATAATTCGCAAGCCACAATGTCATCCTCAGGAAGGTTGCGCCAGGGCAGACTTGGTGGGTGCTTGGCACACAGCCTAATCTGAACGAATACTAGAAGGGCGATACCTGGCCTTGCAAGTGTACAAACGACAAGGATAACGCGAGCAGATACAGCTGCGCGATACTGAGCTTTCGTTTGCTAGCTTTGTTCACATACACTTTGCACAATGAATCGTGGCGGACTGACATCGCAAAGCGAGCCAGATCCGTCAACGAGCCAGAACGTGGGTCGGGCGGCACAGTATGCTGCTGGAGGGGCCTCATCTTCAAATATTGTCATTGGTTCCAATACAGGAGACGCCGCCGTGTCTCAAAAGCACGGCAAAACACATCGCAGCAACCCGTTAGTAGCGGTCAAGAGGGCAGTACAAAGGCTTCCGCATAGGCCACATCTGGAAGCAGGTTTGTCTGGCTCCTCAGCACGGACACCGTTAACCTATCAATAGAAAAGGAGAAAGGCCAGGGAGCTAGGTGACAAAGTGCTAGAGCCTTTCAACCTATTTGGCAAAGACGTGGGCTTACAAACACGTATTCACATCTACAACGCATCGTACTGGAGTCGTTATCCGGGTTACCAAGGGGCAAGATTTCTACCAAGAGATAATGTTGTCCAGATTGTTTCTGAAGGGACTGTCAGAAAGGTACTGACTAAATGCGACAAGTACAAGAAATACCCCCAAATGCGACCCCTGCGCGACTCTACGGCCGATATTGAGCGCGACGTCACAAGCATCTGCGACGCACCAGACGGCAAATCATATCGCAAGTTATTCATTATCCTTGTTCTGCTCAAGAAGGCCTCAGTAGTTGCATGGTTTATACACCGCGGAATATGTGACGATAACCTTCCTTTACTCCACGACCCTGAAACAGATACCCTAAAGTGGACGGGGATGCGAAGTAGTGACCACCAATTTCCAACAGGAGGGCTTAAGCCCAGCTTTTTTGTCAAGTTCATGGAACAGCAGTGGTTGGTCTTGGTACCGTGCTTCTCCTCGGAGAAAGAAAATGACCCCCAAAGATTGATGGATGAACAAGTTCCACCTTTCACGTCTTGGAAACTAATCCGCCGAGGGGGGCAGGGCGAGGTATTTGAGGTTCGCATACATCCCAATCAACATGGCTTCAAGGTGGGTTTATCCTATTCTAGTCATCGCATCTCTAATATGGCCTCTACAGGGGACGAAGGTCTTCGCTATCAAGCGAATTGAAGAATTCCGGCGAAAACGGCCTACCAATCCAAAAAGAGAACACGCCATTCTAAACAAGTTTAAGAATAACAGACACGACCATATGATTTCCATTCTTACGGCGTATATACAGAACGGAGTTTATCACCTCATCTTCCCACGCGCGCATGGTGATTTACTAGAATATTGGAAGTCAGTGAATCCAAAGCCATCAGAGGTTGAAAGTGATGACAATCTCTCCTGGTTGTCAACTCAATGCCAGGGTCTTGCAGAAGCTCTGGGCTCCATTCACCGCTACGAAACAAACTCTTTTAAATATTTGCTCGATCCTGACTCGTTACAAGCGGCGGAACAAAACCTCACGGGGGAGAGTCCAGGCAGACTTCGTCTTTTTGGTCGGCATGGCGATATCAAACCGGAGAATATACTATATTACCCCAGACAGGAAGGAGACTTGAGAGGTCGACTCGTGATCGCTGACTTCGGATGCGCCGCATTCAGTACGAAAGAGGAGGTCGATCGCCACAAGCGACAACGGATTCCTAACACATCAGCGTACCGAGCACCTGAGACCGCGCTTTCTTTGGACGACAGTTCAATCTCACCTTCTTATGATATTTGGACTCTCGGTTGTGTTTATTTGGAGTTTCTGATATGGTGGTCCGGCGGTTGGGCGTTTGTGAAACAATTCACGGACGAACGTTTGGCCCAAGATCCTTCTTTCTACCACATGTCGAAAGAATATAACCTGAGGACCGACTTCTTTTTCACCGTTACAGAAGAGAATGGAAAGAGGACTGCTGAAGTGCGGGAAAGTGTGAACAGAGTCAGTACCTGCCGGGTGTGTTCAATGACTTACAGTAAAGCTAACTATGTGTCTAGTTCATGGACAAACTCGCTTCTCATAACAAGGCCAACGAGCTCAGTAGCGAATTTTTGAAATTGATCCGGACAAAGATGTTGGTGGTTGAGACATTGAATGGGAAAGGTACAAAAAATGGGCGGGCGAGTGCTATGAATATAGCAAGGTATTTAGACGACATAAGGAGGAAGCTCCCGGAGGAGCCTCAAGCATGACTTGATAGACCTTCAACCTATGGAAGCGCCGTAAACAGTGAGTGAGGCAAGTCGCATTTACAACTGGTTCCACTGGAACACCTGGCACCATTCATTACGTGCAAGGTAAGCCTTCAACCACTAACCTTGCCACACGTTATTATGAGGTGTTCAGGTTGACGAATAGCTCACGACGTGCTTACCTGGTGGTGTGGAGGCCTCGAATCTGTTTATTGACTGTCGAAGCGTCTATGATCCACGATATAGAAGGATTTACGAGCACTTTTGAGGTGATAGTAGATATGCACAATTTCAAGAGGGAAACCGATTTAGCGGAGAAGAAACCAGATGGTCTTACGTCTTTTGCGCTCATGGATAGTATTTCTGCATGTGAAATTAAGATGTGAGTCTACCTTTAGCCTGAAACCTAGAACTGAGGCTATATCCATATAGAAGCTGATATAGCGTGATGGCGCGAGGTGGCTCAATTGGCTTGATGAAGCGCAATTCGATCAGATGAGGTTTGTGAAGATATTTACACTTTCCACAGGACATTATGACTCCTTTCCCAACATGACTTTTTTTCTTTTTGCCTTACCGTCACATAAAATTTAGGCAGGCTATAAAATGCCTTCCTTGCTACTACCTGGCCTTTCTTTTCTCTTCCTTCCGCTAACATCACCCACACCATAACAACTCCCAACAGCCACACTTCAACTATTATCTTCTTCTCTAAGAGCCTACCTTATTGACCAGCCGTAGTTATATTCTTTCAAGGGATAGCTATCTCTTAGAGTAACTTTCATAACAACATTAGAGCTTACATACGCACAGTAATCCGCCGTATCCTCTGCAACGACGAAATCTCTCAGCCCAACGAGACAACATGGAAGGCATAACGTACCAACCACGAACAGCTGCGACACGGGCGACCTTCGACTCAATCATCACTATAGTAGCCAATGGCCTTGGCGATGTCCCACACGAGGTTATGTGCATTACGGCCGATGCTGTCTTGGATTATTTGAAAGATGATAATATGAAGGGCTTGGATAAGAAACAAGAAGTCGACGATATTCTTGGGGTGATATTAAGTCCTAAGCAGTGGAATAAGCTTATGGCACTCGGCAAGAAGATCATAGATTATGATGACCAGGATGACGACGAGAACAATTCCACTGCTTGAAAGCAAGGCAATTATGTTCAAGACCCAACTGGGACGCTAAAATAACCTTAATAGTCCTCTACAGTCGAATACAGTCAAATCTATGAGCATACTTCCACGGAAATTGACCCGCCTCCTTCATGAACTTCCCCCTCCAGTATTAAAAACTCCAAAATATCATCTCCACGACCAAGTCGACTCGCATTCATATCCGCATCAGGAAATATAAAGCCATACTTGGTATCAAGATCCACATACGGCCAAATACACACATTGCTATGCGCCATCGCCCGCAGTCTCTTAATATGAGCGTCTTCAGTTTCTAAATGTACATACCCTTCCTCATCACGCCTGTGAGCTTCATCTCTCGTGAGAGGTGCTTTCCTTGAGAACATGATCTTGATCTCTGCAGGGGTTGTAATAGACTGTCGAATTCGTGCAAAGAGATCTTTCCATGTTGGCTGTGGGTTCAAGTCCTTATCACCTATCTGTGCTGTACAATCGTCGATGACGAGCTTGTTCAACTTTCGGCCTCTGAGGAAAGGAATGAGGATGGCGTTAACGGCCATGTTTCCAAGATGAAGTTCCTGTAGCTTGGGCATCGTAAGAGGATCAAGGAATGGTGAACCAGCCTCAAGGTAGCCATTCCCAAGAGCCACAATCTCAAGATATTCTAGCTCTGTCGCATGGGTGAATAGGACGCTTGATAGTTCATTCAAGAAAGCTTCGAAGCCCTCTAGTCCAGTAACCTCTTCAACAGCATCGTTCTCGCCACCGTAGGTATGGAGCGCCAATTTCTTCAAACGACCCAAGAATGCACTCCATTCTGGTTCCTGCCAGAAAGACACTTTTCTGGGGAGGAAATTTAGAAGTTTGATATCTTGAGTTGGCGAGAGTGCCGCGATGTCGCGATACATATCCCGCAAAGCCGCACGCCATGAATACTCGTGCTCCATCGAAATCACCTCCTCCCACTCCTCAGGATCACTGCAAAAGTAGACACTGGTGCCAGCCATGTCATTATCGTCCCATTCTGCTTCCTCTCCGCCCATATCGTTCTCGCTGAAATTTTCATGACCATTCGTATACACTGCAAGAGCCTTACACTGTGGTAGGCCCTTGGATTGAAGCAATTCATGGATGATGTCAACGTCGGCCATGTCACGAGCCCAAACTGACGCGGGAGGATCGGTCCAGAACCAAGGCGTGTCCTCATTGTTGTTCTCTGAGTTTTTCTGTCGCGGATAGAACGTGACGTTGCATCTCAATTCGACAACATGTGCGCCGAATTTGCTGATGGTGTCTTTCAGAAAGCTCCCCAGGTTCTTTGCGAGGGGGCAGTCGACCTTGAGGGTTTTGAAGAGACTTGGCGCAAATGTGCTGCGGAAGTTGGCATTTACAGCGCTGAGGTTCTTGCGATCGTCGTGATCAAGAAATTCGGCTACGGATAACAGGACTTCAGGTGGTAGATTCTGTAGTTGGGGCATATTGTCGCGTTGATAATTGTTGTCGAAGAGGTGAAAGTTCACGGTCTTTTCCATCGCAATTTTAGTGAGAAATGTTGTGACGCCATCGCAATTAGCTGCTGCAGCCTAGAATTGCCTGTCGCCAAGAGATATCAGAGACCCAATTTAGTACAAAATCCCTGATGGTTGGGGTTGTCGTTTCGCAAGATCCTGTACATCGCTAATCTCCAAAAGCCGCGCATTTATGTCAGCAGACCGCGTACATTACACGTGAAAAAAACGTCCAGATTTCGCGCGCCAATCTCATCGTCGCAACGTCATTGATTCCCCAGCTCTTGAATCATATCAATTGGAGCGCTTGGGGTAAAGAGGACCCTCTTCCCCTCTATTAGCTTGGTAGCTTCTCTTTTAGCGCCACTCTTGGCTGGGAAACTTCTAGCGGGGTATTGATGGAGGGGCCTATAAATGTCTCTTCAAACAGCTTGAGAGTCTCATCTTTTCTCTTCATCTTCTTCTTTATTTCACAAAGAATCATAATCACAATGTCTCAAGGAAAGACCTTTACTCTTAACACCGGTGCCAAGATCCCGTATGTATCTTCCTCTACACAATAACCATGGCAAGAGACGAGGTCGAAACTAACTGATGACAGTCTTCTGGGTTACGGCACATGGCAGGCTTCTCCCGGTGAGGTCGGCCAGGGTGTCTACGAGGCCCTCAAGGTCGGCTACCGCCACCTGGTAAGTTCTGCTCCTTCTCTCACGCTTATCTTCATCGCTAACATAATCTCCAGGATCTCGCCAAGGTGTACGTTCTCAATACTCTACCACAACAGTCCAATTGCTAAATCTCCCAGCTACGGAAACCAGCCCGAGATCGGTGAGGCTCTCAAGAAGGCCTTCGCCGAGATCGAGGGTCTGAAGCGTGAGGATGTCTTTATCGTGAGTCTCCAACCCCTCTACCAATGCACACAGCAGAACGCTAACAAAAGCACAGACCTCCAAGCTCTGGAACTCGTAAGTGCCTCAAGTGAATGAACATGGCAATAGTCTCACAATTCGCAGCCAACACGACCCCAAGGTCGTTGAGGCCGCTCTCGACGACTGCCTCCAGGAACTCGGTCTCGAGTACCTTGACGTAAGCACTCGTCATCGATTCACAAAATGCAACACAAACTGACATGCACAGCTTTACCTCATCCACTTCCCCGTCTCTTTCAAGGGAAGCTCCAAGCACGTCGGCCAGGACCTTTTCCCTCTGACTGGCGAGAACCAGCCCGACGGCGATGTCGAGATTGACGACAGCATCTCTATCGTCGACACATGGAAGGCCATGACTGAGCTTCCCAAGTCCAAGGCTCGCGCTGTTGGTGTTTCTAACCACACCAAGGAGCACCTCGAGGCTATCATCAAGGGCACTGGTGTCACACCTGCTGCCAACCAGATCGAGCGTCACCCTCTTCTCATCCAGCCTGAGCTTATTGCTTACTGCAAGGAGAAGGGCATTCATGTTACTGCTTACTCTGCTTTCGGTAACAACATGGTTGACGCTCCTCTTCTGTTCACCTACCCCGAGGTCAAGGCCGTCGCTGAGCGTCTGACCAAGGAGAAGGGTACCGAGGTCACCCCCACACAGGTCCTGTAAGTCAATCCCCGACCAGCACACTAAACCTCATACTAATACTTACTCCTCTAGTCTTGCCTGGGCTCAGGTCGGTGGCCACAGTGTCATCCCCAAGTCCGTCACTCCCAAGCGCATCGCCGCCAACTTCCAGGAGATCGATCTCTCCGAGCAAGACATCAAGGAGGTTGAGCAAGTTGGCAAGCAGCAGCGCCGCTACAACGTTCCCCTCGTTGCTAACAAGCCTCGATGGAACGTCAACATCTTCGGCGATGAGGCTGAGAAGCCTGCCAAGCACCAGGTCATCGTTTAAAAGGTTAAATAAAATAAAGACTTAGGAAGATATAATAGACTTCGAGATACCAAGTAAATTGTGTGCTGTCTGCTCAGAGTGATTACTTCTCCTCGATTATCTCACCCATCGTGTCCGTCTCACTGCCATCTATCGGTCCAAGGTACAAGATGTCGTGTAGAATCTGCTTCCATGTCCCAGCTCTTGATCCCAAAGGCTCCCTGCGCCACCAATACTGAACTTTGACAAGAATTCCCCTCTTATCTCCATCATCCGTCCACATATCAACCCTCAACCCCTCCCAGTTCTGATCTTCGGCTTTCTTCTTCACTTCCTCGACTGACATGAAGCCAGCAGGTTCCAACTCCTCAATCGTGGCAAAATCGGTCATCTCAGTCTGGCTGAGAGGCCTGACGGAGTAAAAGCTCCTCGGAGGGCCGTGAGTCTCGCCGTCGAGCCAACCTTGTCTTCGATAGATATCTTCAATCACGGGGCCAGCTTCAAGCAAGTACTTGATAATAGTCTCGCGGTCTTTAGCGGCATAGCTTGAGTTTGTGCGACAGATTTGGCGGCATTGAGGTGAAAAGAATACGGCTTTGGAAGGGATGTCTTTTGTTTCACGGTATTCGCGATACAAATCGCTGAGGTGGTCGTGGATAGTGTCTGTTGCTGGCGACATCGTGGTCTTCAGGAGTGGTGTGAGAGAAATGGTAGCCTCGGAGGTCGTTCTTTATTCGCAGGTATACCACTTGTTTTATTCGAGGTGTGTCCCTGCCAAACAAGCATGCCTGTCACTGAGGCTGAGGCGGCCTAGAATGAAACCCGCTTACTGTGGGGTAGCAACATCTGGCGTAGCGTCTCGCCTTGGACAAGATCGGCGAGGAACTGGTCGTGACCTTCGCCGAATTCTTTTGCCGTTCACCGTGAACGAGCCATAGGAAAGACTATGGCTAGCGCAACATGTATTCGATCGCTACGCCGCTTTTGATCTTTAAGCTGCTGACCAAGCTCTGTAGTTTAACCCCAATAATAATGCCGGTCGCTGACCGGTGGATCAAACTGTTATATCCGAGTTTTAATTCCGGTCGACAGCTAGAGGCGTTAGCTAGGGTGAGAAGAGTTGAAGTTCATCATGCAGTATGAATTGTTAACTCCGGCAACACCTACATACAAATTCTTCTCGGTTGCTGAATTATATGCCATTTCAACTAGCAAAAGGGTTGAGCGACAGGTTAACAATGGCGCTTTCAAAAGAAGAACGTCTGCGTCTCGCAGATATAGATCCAGAGCTGTCGGAGGTAAATAGCCCTGTTGGACATGATGGCCCGCGCTAACAGGAGCAGTATCTCAGATCGAACCCCATTCCCCAACTAGACACTTCAGATGCATCAAAAGCCATCGCAAACTTGAGATGGTATATGAAGAGCCTACATTCAAAAGAGCTTGACCAAGGTGTTCTGGAGCGAGATATATACTACACTAATCGGCACGGTCATGAAATACGTGCCCATGTCTATGAGCCTGCAACCAGGTCTGAGACTCCCGAGCCACTCGTTGTATACATCCACGGCGGCGGATGGACCATTGGTTCTCCAGAAGATGCTGAACGGTCATGTCGAGACATAGTTCGCAACTTGGGCGTTGTTTGCGTGGCACCATCCTATCGTCTGGGTCCAGAAGATCCCGTCCCCGCTGGTATCAATGACATCTGGGATAGTGTACAGTGGATTGCTGTTCATGCTGAATCTGAACTCAACGTCTCGTTGAAAAAGGGTTTCGTCATCGGGGGCTCTTCAGCGGGGGGCAACATGGCTGCTATAGTCAGTCATTTGGCTCGCGATGAGAAGTTGACGCCTGCTATAACTGGTGTTTTTCTTCTTGCTCCCATGATATTGCCCCCAGAAGCTAAGGAAAGTCTGTCTGAGAAGTACAGAGATATGTACATCTCGCGAACTCAGCGAGAGTGTATGAACGATCCGATTTTGACTCCCGGGCTTGACAAGATCTTTCGTGAGTCTGCTGCTGGAGATACATCGTCGCCTTTCTTTGTTCCATTCATCTGGCCGACTGGTCACCATGACCTTCCCAAAACCTACTTCCAAGTCTGCGGGATGGACATTTTGCGCGATGAGGACTTGATATATGAGCAAGTGCTGCGCGAAGACAATGGGATTGAGACGAGGGTTGATATTTATCCTGGCATGCCGCATATCTTCTGGGGTAGCTTTTCGCACTTGGCTCAAGGCAAGAAAGCGGCTATCGATCTTATTGAGGGGATTAGGTGGTTATTGGAGTCCTCTGATTGATATCTTCAGACGGTACTTTGGAAATGCTTTGTAGCGATATCATTGATGTATCGAAGTTGATACGAGAGAAGCACGGCTCTATTCTAAAGTTGTCTTGATCGATCCTCCGTCCGCGAACGTTGCTGAAGACCCAGATGATAGCCCTAGATCTACCTCAGGATCACCTGTCTTTTTATCCCCTCGATTCACCACATATAGGTATCCGACAAATGCGAAGACAGTACATATTACCGTCAGAATCCCCCAGATCCACGCTTGGGAAGGCGCTGTAAGATACGTCGTCTCGGTAAAGAATGGCATTGCGAACACGGCCTGGAGTTAATGAATAAACTTCCTCGATAACGAAAAATCACATGGGCTTACCGCAAAAGTTGCTCCCGGCAAGAATACCAATGTCATTATGGCAATCTGAGATTGCAGTTAGATTAGCCGATGAACGTAGAGTTGTTTTCTCATCTGACCTACTGTCTTCATAGCGATACTATCTCTCTTCATACTTTGCGATAGCATGTGAGAGGCGATTGAAAGTTCATGAGTCACTCTGTTCTCTTGATGTGAAGCATTCAGGATACTTTGTAGTGTTCGATCGTTCACGGCTTGGATCTGATTGAATAGCTGAAGACAGTCAGTAACTGTGCTCCCATTCGACCTGTCTGCAAACCCACTAGAGCTAGAATGTTTTGAACTTTCTTCTCCAATTCATCGCAGAAATTAGAGGTAGCTGTAAGATTAGAAGCGAGCCGCTCAATTCTCTGCGCTTCATGATCCACAGCCGGCCAAGACTCTAAGCATGCTAGCTCATCTTCGTTCCGTGCTGGGACATATGTCATATCCCGACGGTGATTGCGAAGGTCTGAAAGAATCAGACCTATCCTATTTAGCTCGGTCTTGTAACGAAGGAGATGTGCGGCCATAGTATGTAACGCAACGTTGAGATCTTTGCTAGTGTCGATGAACCCTTGTGTTTGCTTCGAGATCTCTTCTTGGAGTTGTTTCCCCTGTGCTCTAGTTAGCTTCGTGTCCCCTTGGCGAGACGAGTCGACCCACATGCATAATCAGTTCTGCGTTGAAGTTCAATAATACAATTTCCCACTCCCGGAGCACACGAACGATAAACAGAAGTAAAACGAAGCAAGGACTTCTTTGGAGCTCCTCTTTTGACCTTCTTGTCAAAGAGTTTTTAATATGTTGCAACCATGACTCGACCCTATGGGCATCCCTTGGGTCAACAAGACTAAAGCATATGACAGACAATCTTCCCGTTGTATTATCGCGCTGAACATGCAGCCCAATATCTGATGGGGAGATATCCCTTCTTACACCATCGAGATGAATATGGTTAGATGGGTTCATTTGGTTGCTTCCGGCAGTCGGCGTCTCATGTTCACTCGCACTGGCAGGACAGTGGGTGTTCATCCGGACAGGAATCAGACACCAGTACTCCCACGCGTGGCGAGATCGCCGGCGAAAGACTGTGGCGCAAACCTTGACTTTGAACCGCCGTAGGGCGGCCTCAACGAATGCTGAAGGGATTAGATAGGTAGACGATAGGTGACGAAGTGCAGGAGGGCTGATGGGAAGTCGGATTGATTGTCTTGTGGGCGACTTTTGTTCTGGGGGGTTATATCTAGGTATAAAGCTGCAGGATAGAGTCTAGTCAGAATCTTTCAATGTGTAACCAGAAGAAGGACTCACAATAATTCAAAGCAAGTATTTCTGTCATTCTGGGTCACTTGCAGCTTTCTCGCCTCCATGTCGTTTAAGAAAACATCATCAACATCTTGGACCTAGTTAGTGTTAAGTTGATGAGCGTTGTAAATTGAACAAGGCCTACCAAGTGTCCTGCTGTATCTATGAACAGCTTTGATTCGTCTTAATTCGGTCTTGTCCCATGGCTCATCGTTCGCACGTAATTTGAGGGCTTGCTCAATGTCAGTGTCGAAGTCACTGCCCCTTGTCAGTCATCGGAATCGTAAGTAAGACAAATAACTCACAGATCAACGTCCAAGCAGTCAGGATCGGCAGTCCAGGGCTTTCTCTCGAAAGCATTACCCCGACCGCTCACTTGCTCTGTCCCAGTTACCCCGTATTCGTCCATAATCAAGAACTGGTAAAGGAGGGAAGGTTACCTAAAGCCTACAGCTTCTAAGAGGTTTTTAATGGTAAGTTATTGCCACAAAGCCTCATTGTAGATCGGTAGAATGAAAACGCTATTGTGCGCATTTCGAATGTTTGATGCCTGTGCAGGATGCGAAAGCGCGGCTGAGTTGCACTCAGCCACCTCATTCGGAGTTCTATACAAACAGGCTTGCGGTTGATTGGCACCCATCGAGACTTGCTGTTAACTGTCTTTGAGCGAGATCCCCGACACGTGTCATTTACGCAGGCTGTGTTATGACTAATAGCCCACTAGGCTGTCATGTCATGTTTTTGAGGCCCGCCATCGCTACTAAAGGTCTTTTTGAGAAGAGTCCTGCATACGCAGCCGGACAGCAAACTGTCTATCAGCTTGAATCATGCAGCCCCACCGCAGCCAATGTTCCGGGTCTTGTCATGTGCTCGTCACCGGAACTTCGACTTTTTTTCACCGATAATTAACGTCTGCTCAAGCTTCAACCCCTCGAGTGACTCGTTTCCATATCACTACGCTATCAGGTTTCAATGGCCGGTACATCGGTCAATTATGTGACTCGGTGATTGTTTCAGCTTTGTCTAGACTGTCAAGTTTGGGTGATTATGATACTAAGTGCTTTCCAACAAACCTTCTTCTGATACCGACTCACATTCGAACTCGGACCTGGAAATAGTCACGACATCCTGCGGACAAGCTCCGAAAAGATGTACCAGATGTAGAATAACCGGGAAGTCCGTCAGGTTCAAGCATTATACAGGGGATAGTTCGGTGAACTTAAGTGCGAATAGAGATTCTCGTCAATTCTTCGGGCACCAGTGTTAATTAGGAGCTGATACCGGCTTACGATAGGAAAGTTAGGTTTGATGTAATGACTTTTGAGGTTAAATATGGTGGCGTCACTGTTAAATAACTCATGAGGAAATAGGCAAGACTCTAAAACTATGTGGGAGCAGGATCATATGATCGAGGGTCTAGCGGCCAGAAAATTGGCACAGCTATAGATCAAGAGACAATCACGGGCTGTTAGTAAACCCCCGTATGTTTCTTCGTACGAGATAATAACAACTGTTACAGGGAAGGCTTTATCTATGTATATAGCTATACTGAAGCTGTGGGCTCTGGTCCTTCAGCTGATATACTCAATGTCAAACCGATATTCTTGCCTTTTAGACCTCACTCGAACCATCCATTTGGGCTCACCCTGTAACCCCATTGAAACTTCGAGATCTTCATGTTTCCTCCACCCTAATGATGGAAATCCAATTCTTTTCCATTCTGTTATAGGTTCGTCCCATTAACATCCTATTCGACACAAAGACAACACCGTAGCAGTCTTTCTCTTTGGAGCATTGCCATCTTCGCAATATAATGCCTGGAAGGTGCATCTTGGTGGTAGAGGCTGCAATTCACGACAGTACTTATAATACGATATAGGAATTCTCGTTTCTTTGTCAACCTTGTCTCCTTATATTCTGTCAGTAAGAGATGTATAGACTACTACCTTTTGCAGATACCAATTCATCCGAAGAGCTACTTTGATCCCGTTTGGATCTGTGTGTACAGTGTCCTGAGGATCTCGATCCCGGTTTGCGATGGGTATATTGGCTAATATACCATAATGATATCTCGACCGGCGGGAGACAACGTCAGGCAGGACACAAAGCAGCTTTGTGCGCAATGGCGATCGGACCTTTTGCGAGGCAATATTCTCTTGGAGTAGCCTCAAAACTGCCCCTCGAGCCGCTGCCGACCATCTCCTGAATGTCAGCCCGTAGAAAAAGCCTAGAAGGTGAAGGGACTCTCACCCTTCGCTGGGCCTCATAACCTTGCCACAGAAAGCTTCGTCGAGAGCCTCATAAATATACTCAGAGCTTCCCAAGCCTCCCACAAGAAGAATTCTCTGAATTTGAAGGTACATCAGCATACGGCTTCCGCCCCTCGACCACAGAAACTGACCTTGGGATCTTTTCCTGTTACCGACTGGATTCGCTTGTACTGATCACCCACTAGATGTCTGATCCCGTTAAGAGATCTGGCAAAGAAACCTGCCGTGCCAATACAATTATGATATTTAGAATCGGCCTTCCTTCTGGTCTGTGGTAGCCTCATTCACTTGCTAATATCCATTGTTTCCTTCTTTAATATTCGAGCCATGGTTCCGTAGGCATCGCTTGGTGGATACAAGTTGTAGAATTCTGGCTCGTCGATACTGCTGAAATTTCTTTTTGCACAAAGCTCCCGCTCTTTCAGAACAAACCCATTGTATTCGCTGGCCTTGAGAGATGTTATCTTCAGCTTGGCCTTGCCTTGTAGGTATGCGAAGAAGGCTTGGTCGATAAGAAAGGCTCCAGCCAGCCTGCCTGTACGTGGTTAGAGAAGGAACCTAATTCGCTTCTCTGTCAACGAAGGATTACCTAAGATGAGGTCCTCAATAGCTTCAAAGTCGTTGAGAAATGTACCATATGGCTGTGATATTAAAGCTAGATCATTCGACGGCCCATGGACGCATCTCGCGTTGTTTGCGACATTGGCTCACAAGAAAATGATAAAGCATCCCAAGGAAGTAAGACAGCATGGCAAGAGCAAGTCTGGAAACCCTCATGTAGACGCTACGGTAAGACCGTGGTTCTTTTACCCGTTGAGTTATCAGTAATTGCAAAAGCTACAGTACCTTGCATTGGCATTAAATACAGCCTGTGGTGAGGCGTACCTGTAAGGCAACGGCAACTGTAAGCTTGAACTACTTGGGCATACTAAATTACAATTACAAAGATGGACAGACGCAGCGGGACGCGACGTGTTTTCATTGGCTGATCTTGGAGGGATTACAACGTCACTGAGACTGGGCAACGATAAACACAGCCGTGTTTCTCGGCCTGTCTTTTAGCTACCAGCAGGTTGCAGCTATAATAAACCCTTTCGAAATCCCGCACTACAGATACTTCTTGCTAACTATACTGGTTCCAGTACACGAATTCCTGAAAGGAACAATAACATGGCCGAGAACACGGTCGCATCGCCGTATACACCGCTACCGTCAAACGATTCTTCGGCCACCCGACTGGTGAGACTGTTGCCGGCGGGATTCCACGATACTCTTCGATGCGAGCTTGAGACTGTCTCCCTGGAAGGTGAACCGGCCTATGTTGCGTTATCATATGTTTGGAGAGACGCGACCGACACCGTTCCGATCTCACTTAATGGCGTTGAGCACGGCGTGACTAGGAACCTGGACTCGTTTCTACGGCACTTCCAGGCCCTTTTGAAAGAAGCCTTCCTTGTTCTCCAGTGTCTACCTGTTGATTGCTGGCCTTCAGGTATTCAAATTATTGAAGCACTAAATTCTCTCGCGACTCCTCTACAAAGTTCAGAAGACCTTGCTGAAACAGCACAAGTCGCCATGCTATCCTACTTTGCATGAATCGATGATAATGCAACCGTCGATAAGTTACGTATGTAGAGGTCCATGCCTATCCAAATTACTCACTGTAACGACTTATCTCTGCCCAGGTTTTGGATTGATGCTCTTTGTATCAACCAGAAAGACCTTGTGGAACGTAACAAACAAGTCAAGCGTATGGATCATATTTACAGACAAACATACCTTCTCCTCGTTTGGGGATTTAATCATCAACAACCAGAAGCCTCAGAGGCAGTCACTGGGGCTTTTTTGCGTCATATCGATCTGTTATACGAGAGCCTGGAGCTTGAGATCTTGCCCATCACGTCTGAAAACGATGTTTCCGATGCGGTGCGAAACGCATTCACCATTCAGCAATTTAAGCTCAACGAGTCGCTGACAGTGGCAGCCGCCATGCTTTTTAACCTTGAGTGGTTTTGCAGAGCTTGGGTTTTCCAAGAAGTTGCTCTGTCTACATCTAAGCCTTCGGAATTCTGGATGGGATTCAAGCATATAAGTCTTACTAGACTATTTATAGCCAGTAGTGAAGCTTTTGAGGAGTCAGCGGATCTCGATCATGATCAGACTATTATCAGAAGCAGGTGTTTTTCTAAAGCTACCAGAACAGCACGGGCATTGACGTTGGACGAGAGCCTTGTCGATTTCGGTCAGAACAGCCTTCACAGTGTACATCCTACATCGAACCTTCATATTTGTCGCCGGCTTGTATATTTATTGAGCGACGGGCACCAACATTCAAAGATGACAGATCCACGCGATGCCATATACTCCTTGTATGGTCTCCTCAACACGAGTCGGCTCCCAGCTATGATTGAGCCCGACTATACTCAGTCTATTCCATTTACCTTTCACTCGGTTGCCAGTTTTCTCGTATCTCACATGGGTATAGATATCCTTGGGTTTTTCTTTTCTTCTTTAAGAGGAACGGACGGTTGTCCGAGTTGGGTTCCTGATTTTTCTTGCCTACAACAATATTATCCACTCGCCCTCCGATACCCATCGCCTTGTATGGACTACAAATACACGTACGCTTTCTACTGATGATAAGCTAAACGTCCCACCCGCTGACTGGTCTTGGAAAGAATATTACAGGAGCATCTAAGCATTGAGGAAGGATCTCCACTCCGTCTTACAGCAGCACATGAATTGGAGCAATCTTCCTCCATCCTACGCATTTCATGTCCCCTGTATTGGCTCCAGACAATTGAGAAGGTAGTTTGCTTTGAGCAAGACTGGGAATACCCTGGACTTCAAAACAGAGAGACTATAGAGGATATCACTTCCAATATAAGTCTGCTAGTGCAAGTAGCTTCATCAAGTGTTTTTAACACTATTCACTGTGCTACTCAAGCAAATATGGACGATAGCTTCGAGATCTGGGCCACTCTTCTAAAGCGGTTTTCTGGTCACAATCTCCGTGAACATTGGTCAGATTCAATAGGGATTAACAAAGCAGAAAATGAGTATACGGGTTTGTTTGATGCTGTCGCAACTGAGGGTATACTTAAATCATTGATGGATGGAATCTTACAAAGATCCAGTTTAGGGATCACACGGGACGGTCATTTGATTTTGGGAAGGAGACTGAATTGGTTACAAAAACATGACAGAATTGGGTTTATTCCTAATTCTCTGCAGACGTTCATCTTCAGACCTTGCGATTCTGGCTATCAGTTCATTACCAGCTGCTGGCAGTCAGATACTCCCGAGCTTATTGAAGTAAAACACCTACAATTATGCGACAAAGGGATAGTCACTATCATTTAACAGCATTCAATGTAAATAGACTGAATTATCGCTCTGTATGTTCTAGCTTGTGTTTCTTTCTGAGTAGTGTTCAGCATGGATCTGGAGGATCGTATCTGCAATAACTTCAAGGTCCTTGAGAAATGTACCAAGTGGTTGCAGCAATAAGAGGCCGATTTTTTACCATGCAACATATGGCTAATCTTTGCTAATACAAACTATTCGAGTGAAAGGTTTCATGGAAGCTCTCAGCAGGAGGGTGCAAGCGCCCAGTATCAAGGTCAATTACGTAGACGATCCACAAATTCGCCAATTTCGCTATCAATCAGTCCGATCGGACAGTTCACATTGTCCGAACTCCCAGCAATCGCCTTTAACATGGAACACGCATTGTCCTTTCTGTTCTGATCATGGCCTGGAAAAGCTAGGTTGCTCTGACGGAGCTTCCCATCGGACAAAATGCAATACCGAAACTTCCACTAACACCACCGAAAGACGCGACATCTTTGGGCTAGCAGAGCTTGGCACAAGGTGTATATAAAAGAAGAAAGTCCAGGTAGTTACCTCTAATCATCAATTTACTAAGTCAGCGTCCTACATCAAGACTCAGCATCGTCATGTCGCCCATTAAAGCCATCATCTTCGGCGCAACAGGCACAGTTGGCCGCTCCGCCGCCCTCCACGCCCAATCCCTCGGCGCCCAAGTAACCCTCGCAATGCGCAATACCCAGAAGCCCATCCCTGGCCTCACCTCACAAGACGAGAAAGACTTGGGTTTCACCCGCGTCCAAACAGACCTCTCAGATCCAGCTTCCATCTCACGCGCCGTCACCCAATCCGGCGCAACAGTAGCATTCTCCTACATCCTCTTCGAAGCAGAAGATGGTCTCCTAGAAACATACAAAGCGATGAAAAAAGCCGGTATCCAGCACGTTGTACTTCTCTCTTCATACGTCGTGACGGAGCATGGTGGTGCGAAGAAGGCTGTCGAGACAGAGGAGGTTTTAGCTGTTGTGCATGGAAAGGCTGAACTTGCGCTTAAGGAGAGTGGCATGGCTTATACGACTATTCGTCCTGCATTCTTCTCGAGTAACATACAGATGCTGGAGGATTGGGAAGAGGTTAAGAGTGGCGAACTTGAGATTGCCCATCCTGATGCTCCTTTCGACTATCTCGCTCCCGAAGACGTCGGTACTCTCGCCGGTGCAATGATCGTTGCAGAGCCACCAGCTTCAGGGGAGTTGATCATCACGCAATGCGGACCAGAGTTACTACCGCAGCGCCAAGCCTGGAAGATCGTCAGCGAGGGTCTTGAGAAGAATGTCACTATCAAGGAGATCGATAGTGAGAGACATGCGGAGAAACTCAGGTCAAGGGGATTTCCGGAGCCTATGATCAAGTCGGCCGTGGAGCGTTTGGAAGGGCTTGCACGGGATCCTACTGTCCTCTATGATCCGGATGAGTATAAGAAGGCGTCTATGAATTTTAAGAAGTATACTGGGAGGGAACCTACTACATTTGAGCAGTGGGTTAGCAAGCATCGAGAAGATCTTTTGGCCTACTAGATGCTAGGAGTGGCAGATAGTTTCGACGAAACACCCAGACACAATATACATAGACTTCCGTGATAATGTCATGGCATACCCATCTAAGAAGTACCTATTCGCCAGGGTTACGTCGTCAAGTTCAATAACGTCTGTCCAATCAAGCCTCATGATTTATACAGCACCCTACAAGAGCTCGTTGAGAAGGAGCTTCTGGAAAATGGTATATTGTCCGGTACTGGTAGCAATGTATATATACCATGTCTAACACAATCGCATCTCCGACGTACGTTGGTCAATAATTGCACTTAATTGTCGTGACATAGACACGTTGACTCATCCGATAATTCCGTGATGAATGTTGGGAAACGTGTGTTTGTGGTGCATCATCTCGTTTAGCAGATAGCCGAAGGTATAATACGTCCAGGCCTATAGAGTGAGGTCAGTAGACGAGTGTTTACGGGTATAGCATCTTGGGATATCTTGATGGAACAATCTGAGTCTTCTTGTGATGTGATGGGATACAGTCAATTCGTGCGATATACGCGGTGGTTCGTCACTCAATCGCTAGTCTCTGGTGTTTGTGTCATTTGTTTGTTGTTTTCACGTCAACAGCATCATTACCTCGCAATCGCATTCTGAAGGCGACAAAGTTGCAGACCATGGCATTTGTGTGGTTGTGTCAGACATAGACTTGTAGGCTAAGCTTGTGCTTATTTGCAGTTCCTGGTGTCGCCGCTTACCCTGTTGTCATACTTGATCGTGGTGGTTGCCTGCTAACTTGTCACCAATTTAGGCATTTCCGTGCCACAGGGTAACAAACGAAGCGCAACCACAGCTATGGGATGTAACAAAGCACTGTGGCTTTAGATGCGCCTTTTAAAACCCAGAAAATTATTGTCAAAATGATCGACTGTCGCAAGCTCAATTGCGACATGTCTCATTGTTAAGCGTGGCTGTCAGGTGTGAGGTCATTGTGCATTTGAGAATCTGGGGCTACTGGTTCACTGCCACAAAGTTAACGGACAAGCAAGCCACTGTTACCAACCTCTGCCCCTCCACTGCGACAAATGCTACAATGACATTGTCAATGGACTTTGGGAATAGGTCAACAGAAACCCATAATTATTCCTGGAGATCGGCGATAATCATTTAGGATAGAAAACATGCTTTAAACCGTGCCTTTATGCGGCTTATTGAGCTTGGCTTTGCCATGGTGATTCGTCATCACACGAAATGCACATTGTGCGGGATAAGCTTTCGGGATTCTCTGGGCGGTGCATGCAGTAAGCGACTGCTACCACCCAAGCCCTCCAAGAAATCAGCCTGAAGAAACCTGCATCTTCACTTTCTCAATCAAGTAACATCGATCCATTGACACGTACACACCAGAATCTTGGCCTTCAATCGATCACGATTCATTTTGACACAGAAGCTACCCGGTACCTTAGTCAAGAAAAACAACAAAATAGTGGGCTGAAGAAATTGGCCTTTCACCGTGCACGGCGCGATGAAAAGCTTGAACAAAGTGCCAATGTCGATCACGGGACTTGGTAGCCCGACCAAAAACGAAAAACCTCAACCGCCCAGCCACGCTATCGACGGATACGTCTTCGGTAAACCCGACCCCCATTGTTTTGTTGGTCTGTCTTTGTGCCAAAAAGTGTCGCGTGCCCATCTTGTCAATTCAAGGAACAGACTTCTTGGCTACTACGGCACTACTACTCTACAAGGCTGTCCTTTTCTCGACAGGAGGTTGGCATGTCCACTTTTAGAAAAAGGATCGTCCAACATGACAGGGAAAAAAGGCCCATGATCGCGTATCTCAATAATTGCTACACGGTCGAGGCCAGACCGTCGTTTGACAAAAGTGAAGCTATTGCACCTTTACGAAAGCTAAAATGATTATCGATTGCACTATCTCGTATTCACGGAAATGACACTGGGATATATGGCTATGATATTCCGGCTACTCGTGCCGGACCCTCAATGTATGCCTTCTCTTGGAATGGTGGAATGGGTGAGGTTGACCGAAAAAAAAAAGGAGCTGGCCCCGCTTGTCAATGCAGCGTTTGCAGATGAACTGCCGCCGTTGGAAAGGCGCTTCGCCACGGTGCACTCGCACTCTCTCAATGGCAGCACGAAAGAAGGACGCTAGAAGCCGGTATCCGCTATTAACGTGACATTGAGCTCCTACCGAGTCAGCCCTGGGGGCAGGCAGAGTAGCAGTATACGGTATGGCCAGTTATATTGCAGGGGGTGAGAGGGATCTGGGCTGAAGGATGGAACTGTTGTTGGTTGGCTGCGTGCGGACGGACAGAGAGGTGAAACTCGACAATGTTGATGGTGAGATGATTATTGGTTGTTGCAACGGCCGATCCCGCAAGCCACGAGTCGCAGGTTATGACGGCAAAAGAAAAGAGAAGCCGAAGGATGGGAGGAGGATTGAGGATCTCTATGCTTACTGCAGTATGAGGTATAATTGAGTTTACTGTAAACGCGGCAGCCAACAGGACTTGGTGGTGATCATGATCCCATCACCAGAATTGGAACAGCATCTCGCACTCAGCCTCCCCGCTTTAGCCAGCTTGCAGATGCACTACCGTGGCGTGGCGGTGCACCCAAAAAATCCACCGTGTGAATAGTTTCACAGCTGATATCTGTCACTCGGTAATTACTCCAAAAGAACCATTTCCCCACCTCGGTCGATAGTTGATGCGCCACCGAACCGGTCTTTAGACGTGGCGTAGCAAAAGAGTCAGAATCGCCGAAGCTCGAGTCAGTAGAGAATTAACTCTGGACTCAAACGGAGAAAGATCACGCGAGCAATAGGGAAATGGCTGAGTGAACGCAATGCTTGGCTAAAAATGATAAGCATTATCGGTGTGATCATTCCGCCAACTGTACTACACTGCCGTGCACCCTCCTTCTGAAATCCCGTCTCTGACAGGTAGGCGACACACACTGTACTAGCCACGTTGCAGCAGCAGAGTCAAGTGTAGGGACAAAGGGTCCTCTTGTCGCGGGTCCCGCTGTAAACGAGCCCCTAATAATTTTGCGTATTTGCACAGTACGAGAAGCGGAGCCAAGAAGCGCTACACGGGCCTACTTGACCCCTGGCTACACGCGACCCCTTTCTTATTTGGCCCTTCGCAATTACCCCACATTCTCCTGTTCATTGGAAAGGAAGGTGCCAAGGGCCCAAGAGTCCAGCCGAGTCCAGACCTCACAGGTGCCAGATTTAGGTGCAAATGGTGTCGCGAGACCATCCAGCGCCTCAGGACCACCTAAAAGTTAATAGTTACAGCAGTAGTAGCAGTTCTGTGGCAGCTGGAAGACGATCCAGGCACAGCGCTAGCTCATTGTTCCATCTGCTATTTTCATTTTCTTAATTTTCCCTCGGCTTCCCCCTCTCCTACTCCTCCGACACTTTTTCTTACTTACCTTTCTCCTCTTCATCAGAGTAATTATTTGCGTTGTCGGTCGCGCGCCTTCTTCTCTCCTTTTCTTGCGTTCTTTCTTCAACACCTCGAGCGAGCGGCCTTCAACACTATAAGGTTTTGCTTTGCCTCTCGCGTTCCGTCATCCGCCCTCCCCAGTTTTCTTCTGCCAATTTCTTTCAACACATATTGGTATCATCTCTGGGCGCCCTTCGCATTTTCTCCCAAACTCGCACCGCGCATGAACGATCAGGACTTTTGAGTCCTTCCTCTCTCTTCCTCTCCTCTCGCCGGCAAAATGTGTTTCCTCTTCTCGGTATCGTACGTGTTCGGCGTGTTCTTCACGTCGATCCTCGCCAGCAAATTGCTACATCTCTATACGCATTTCTTCACCGTCCCCGTCTCCAGTTTCTTCCTCTACCTGCCAACGTTCTTCCTCTTCGACATCTTGACGATATGCATCGGACGTCTGCTTCTAAACCAGGCTAGGACACCGTGGGCATGGATTACTTGCTTCTTCGGCACAATAGCTACGTATGTTCCCACCGCCCTTTGCCTCGCGCAATGCGCCAGCCAAAACAAGCTAACATTCTTCGTCGCAGACTCCTCTCCCATGGCGGTTCATCTTCACAGCTTGGATTCTTCGTCAAGACCGGAGGCGAGCTCGATTGGCACGATGCGACTGCCTATGCCACCAGCAAGGAGGGTCTTAAGGTGCTTTTCAGTGGCAGTGAGGCCGTCATCGCTTGCGGAATCGGTCTGCTCATTATCGCTATGCCTATCCATGGCTTCGTTTACCGTGCTTTCGGTGCCTTCTTGGGCGCTATTGGCGACAACATTCTTTCAGGTTAGTGGACGCCCAATCCTGGTGGTCAATGTTTCCTAGCTAATCTCCCATCCTCCCCTTAGTGTACGCTTATTTCCGAAGCCTTCGCATGCGAATCCCTGGTATGCAGCGCGGCAAGTACTCTGCCCTCAAGAATGCCGACAACGATCTCGAATCGACGACCGATACATACTCGATGGACGAGGATTACCGATCCAACGATAACTTCCGCAAGGGCGAGTCGAACACTGCTAAGGGAAAGGTTGCGCGCTTCTTTAACCGCATTCCTTTCTTCTCGTGGTTGTGGAAGATTGCTCTCGTGCTTTTCCTTGGCATCACACTTGTTCTCCGACCTGCCAAACCCTACGATCTTCTGTCGATGACTCTGCCTGTGTCTATGCTCGACGTTTTCGCATCCGAACCCGACTTCTGCGCTGGTCAACGTGCGCTTATCCACAATGACTTCCCCCTTCCCGAGCTCATCAACAAGAAGAGTTGGAAGCAACCCGAGGGCGATTACTATAAGGGTTGGGCACCTCTTCCTGGCAAGACCATGAGCCCTCTCGGCGAGAAGTACCGAAAGTATACTCCCAACTGGCTGCCCGAGGAGAATGTGAGCTTGCCTCGTGGCTTCTTCCGATTCGACCCCAAGCGCTTTAAGAACGGCTACCACGGTTCGCTCGGTGATCCCAAGGGTCTCATTACCGATAACAAGTGCCCCAAGGCCACTCTTGCCGAGAGCGATCCCTATTACAACCCCGTCGCCGATCCTCTCAAGATTACCAACCTCGATACCGATATTCTCCCTACTCTGAAGGAGGCGCTTGGCAATGGTAACGTTAAGATCAAGCACGTCGTCTTCATCCTCATGGAGTCTCTGCGACAGGACTTCTGGCCTCTTCAGCAGGGTTCTCACACCCACAGCTTGATCATGGACCTCAACAAGAGCGACCAGGAGAAGGAGGAGGCCAACGAGCGATTGTCATGGATGATGCCTCACATCGAGAAGATCACTGGTGTCAAGCAAGGTTTCACCGACAAGAATGGCAAGCCTTACGCTGCCCCCAACTACACCTGGCACGACCAGGCCGAGGAGGGCTTTGGTGGTATCAACGTCGCCACCGCCTACACTGCTGCCACCATGTCCACCAAGAGTTACTGCGCCAACCACTGCGGTGCCTACCCCATGCCCGTCGAGAAGTTCGCCGAAGCCGATACCGACAGCTACCAGCCCTGTATTCCTCAGGTCCTGAGCATGCTCAACAAGGTCAAGAAGAACGTCTCTTCCGATTCCGACGACTTCCGCGATTTGCAGTGGAAGACTGCTCTCTTCGAGGCTGAGATTGAGGAGTATGATCGCCAGGAGAAGTTTGACCGCAAGCTTGGCTTTGAGCACATCATCACCAAGAAGCAGCTCGAGAACGACTGGCGATACAACAAGTCCGACGTCCTCTACCAGAAGATCAACTACTTCGCTTACCCCGAGCCTATCCTTATGCCCTACCTCAAGGAGTTCATTGGCAACACCACCAAGAACAACCAGCGCATGTGGTTGAGTCATTTCACCAGTACCACCCATCACGCTTGGGGTCTGCCCAAGGGCTATCCCACATACGATTACCTGTCGCACACTGGTATGAACAAGATGCACGACAACTTCAACAAGTACATGAACACTGTCCGCTACCACGACGGCTGGATGGCTAGCTTGATGAACCTCCTCGATGAGCAAGGTATCGCCAACGAGACCCTTGTTGTCTTCGCTGGTGACCACGGTCACTCCTTCAAGGACGACGCCGGCAAGGAGGGTACCTACGAGAACCAGTTCATCTCCAACTACCGAGTTGGTCTCACCTTCCGACACCCTCACCTCCCCCGAGTTCAGTACGACGCCAATACTACCACCATCTCTATCCTCCCCACCATCCTCGACCTCCTCATCAACAGTGGCTCCCTCAACGAGAAGGACACTCACCTCGCCTCCGATCTTGTCCAAGATTACGAGGGTCAATCCCTCATTCGACCCTACAAGAAGAGCGACGGCGACCGCCGCGCCTGGGCATTCTCTGTCGTCAACTCTGGCGCTGGTATGCTTGGTGTCACATCTGCTGATGTCAACTGGCGTCTCGTCATCCCTCTCAGCAAGGTCATCGAATACAGGGTCACCGACGCCGTCAACGACCCCATGGAATTGAAGCCCGTGACGGCATGGACACCAGAAGAGCTAGTCACAGCAGCTGGCTCCGCCCTCAGCGACGAAGCATCGAAGTGGGTTGAGGAAGCCATACCAATAGCGCAGTGGTGGGTTAAGGAACGCCAACGGCTCTGGCGGTACAAGTCTCTGTCATCATAGACTTTTTTCTCCAGCATTTTACTATACCTCTCTTGCATTATCAGGCGTTTCTGGGGCTTTGTGTTTCCCGCACAATTGCATTTTTATACATCACTACAAGCATCAAAGAGTCGACACTATCCCCGGATGGATTTGTCGGATCAGTCGATAATAATATCTTGAATTTTCTCTCGACATGTCTTCTTCACTTGTAAAAAAAAAGTGTGTGACGAATTGGATGGCGGTGGTCGAAAACTTTAATGTGGAATGAATCATTCTTCCCTATTCCAATGCTTCTCGTTTCTTCATGTTCATTATAAGGAGGGAAGGGAAAAGGGTTCTCACGGTCGCTTACGACATGGTGTTTAGCATCACCTTTTTGTTTTCACTTTATATCTTCTTGTGTATAGCGTTTAGAAGGGGGTTGTCTATAAATAAATGCATACAACTATAAACATTTACAAGCTCCTTTCTCAATGCTACCCTGTCTTGACTGCTGGGTACGTACTGTAAATGCCAATCGGCTTGTGGAGAGGCTCCTCGTAACAGGAAGGGTTGTGCATGTGGCTGTGACACCCTGGCTTTGGGATTCTTAAGCGCGATTCTCGCCTAGCGATTGTGTGTTTTGGTTGGTGGAGTTTTGAGATGAAGCTGTATTTCTCTGACAAGTCAACTTGAGGCTTTCTACCTGAGACCGCCTAAAACACGTCTCACACCGTGTTGTTTTTGGATGCTACTGGAAACGGTTACCGAGACATGTTTGTTTCAAGATGATCGGCGACGCCTGGGTACTTTTAACCTTATTGTATACTGTTTTGGGCCTTAGGCCAATGTACTGGTGTTCGCTTTGGTGTGAATGTGTGGTGGCTTGGGCAAGCGTTTGCTCATAGTGATGGTTTCGGAGTGGCCTATATGAGCTTGACGTGAGGTTGGCAGTAGAGCATTTTATATAGATTGGTCGCTTCACATTGAACATAATATGGGATACTGTAAACATGTCTGTATTGTACTATCGCTGGTTGGAATTGAAGTCTGTCGCAGCGGTTTGTATCTAAGAGTCGATGGTGGGTGTAATCTGCTGCTTCAGTCACACCACCAGCCCGCGTAAAAGCGACCTTCTCATTTACGATTTGAAAGCTCAAGTAACGTTATTTGAAGAAAGTTTGCGGAGGTTTGTCATTTGGTGGAATTTGCAAGACTTTATTGATCTTCCGCGGAAGTTGGCTGAATAACCCCAGGAATGGAGTCATTCGTCTAAGGGCAACACATTCCAGAGAATACGGCGGCAATAGCTTCCACGGAAGAGTTCCATGGAAGAAACAAATCAACAATCTTACAAAAGCGATTAGAGCTGTATTTTTGCATATAAAGCGGCAGAGATGGTCTTGACCGGTGAGCTTTCATCCAGTTCACATCGAGAACAATACTACCACCTCTGCCCCGACCTCTCACTCCAGTACCTCACTAGATCTTAAAGTCTGTTCAGACATTTGATTGAATTCGCGATGGCGCAACCTCCTCTTCCAAACATGGTGTCTTTCACAAAGACCTGGCATGACAAGCCATACCCCATGATCTCTCCAACAAGACCCGAGCTCTCAGTCTCCGGCCAAAACATCGTCATAACAGGCGGCGGTCATGGTATTGGGCAAGCAATCGGCATAGCTTTCGCTCAAGCAAACGCAAAGTCTGTCTCGATCGTGGGAAGGACCCTTGAACGTCTGGAGAAAGCAGCAGCGGCAATTGAAGCAGCCAATCCATCGACGGCCGTCCTGTATGAGGTTGCAGACACCACCGACCGGCAGTCCATAGACAAGGCCCTGGACAATTTTGTCGACAAGGTCGGAAAGATTGATATCTTTGTCGCCAACGCAGGTATCCTTCCTGTGTATGGCACCGTGGCTGGCTATCCAGAGGAAGAACTTCTTCGAAGTCTTATGATCAACATCATGGGCGCATTCAATTCCATCCAAGCATTTCTTCCACTCGCAGCACCAGGAGCCAAGCTCTTCAACACAAGCTCCGGAATAGGTCACTGGCAACCGAATGACTCAGTCACAGGCGACTTTGCCTACGGAGCTGCCAAGGCAGCTGCAATCAAGATGTTTGACTACGTCGCCTTTGAGAACTTGGGTCTTCATGTTGTTAATTTCCAACCTGGTATTATCGCGACGGGAATCAATCCTGATATCACGGTCGCTTTTGACACAGGTATGTTTTGTATCGTGAGATGTGAGATTGAAGCTGATCATCTTAGTGGAATTGCCTGGTCATTTTATTGTATGGCTTGCTTCGAAGGAAGCAGAGTTCTTGAAGGGGAAGTTCGTTTGGGCGAATTGGGATGTCGAAGAACTCATGGCTCGGAAGGAAGAGATCAAGAATTCCATGCTATTTAGGCTGTCTTTGAATGGTGTTGATATGTAATCATGTTGGTATGGTCTGACTCACAGATCAACCGTCATACGACAAGTGGAGGGTTATGTTAACTTGTTGGTTCGACGGGAGGCACAGCCCGTCTGATATACCTTCATTGGAAATTATCTCCATATTGAGCTTGGCGACTGGGGTCTCGAACCTCAGTTTCTTTCTTCCAACAGGCAGGGATTTCGGCGTGAGTCATTGTGTCACCTACCAACAGAACACAGCTATCTTATGTATACAAGCTTCTTTTCGCACATTGTAGCTCCTTTAACACTCTTTGTATCGTTATATCCTTGAAAAAGTCAACATGGGACGAAAGCACACCAAACGCACCCGAAAAGCAGAACCTGGCGTAGCCCGCAGCCAGGTTCTGGGGATTGAAGAGCTCGTCTATTGCATATGCACACACATGGACATACAAACATTATTCAACGCCCAACGTGTATCGAAGCGCTGGCATAATATAATTTCAAGATCGCCTCTACTGCAACGAAAGCTCTACTTTCAACCCTGCACGACGAAGCAAAAACGGGTCCTCAATCCCCTTCTGCTAAAACACTTCGAACCAATACTCAAGCCCGACAAACCATATCCCTGGAGGGATGGCCAGATATTCTGTTCTTCTCTTAATGTGCCGGAGATGAGCATCACCCACATGAAGAACGGCCGCAAGGTTCACAAAGCATTCGTTCGCAACGGCGCAAGTTGGCGTAGGATGCAAGTTGCCCAACCGCCCATAACAGCAATCGGGTATCAAGTCCAAATAAACAATCAGCGAGAAGACAACAAATTCATATCATTCCCTGAGGGTTTACGGATGGGTGCTCTATACGACATTGTCTTCCAAGCCGTCTTTACGAGACCTAGTGAAGCATCCCGACACTGTTGCTTAGAGCTGGAAGTACCACCGCACGGCAACACCGACATCGAACGGATAACAGGAATACTCGGGGAAACACCTGGACTGATGTTCACGTCAGTGACGGATTTTTACGGACATATAGTATGCCGCCTCAGTAGATGTCCATGTGGTAGCTTAGGACGCACGAATGGGATATGTGTTTACATCCAAGATAGAAAGGAAGATATCAGGCAGAATAAGGGAGTTCGGTGGATGTTTGAATGTGAGGAATTTGAGGAGACGGATTATTTGAGTCTGGGTCAGAGATTCTAGATAGCGTCAGGGAATTGACTGCTGAGAGCTACCCAGATGATGCCGCCTTGAACCCGTGTTATATCCGATCCCCCGAGCTTACACAAGCTGATTGTCCGAAAGTCCGGATACACGGATACCCGATTACCCCATTCTTGAATACCGGGATCAATTCATCCATTCTCAATTCACCCTTCAAACTATACCTAAACGTTGATTAATCATGAGCGAAAACGCACCAACCCGAGTACAGACACGCTCTTCACTAGCGTGTCTTCAGTGCCGATCCAAGCATGTCAAATGTGATGCAAAGCAGCCGCACTGTACAAGATGTCTTGCGTCCCAGAAGGAATGTCAGTATACTGCTTCGCGCAGAGGTGGTCTTGATCGTGCGGCGCTTGCGGAAAGAAAGAGACATGCTAGGAAGGGTAGTTCTCGACAGAGTAGCGAGAGATCGCAGAGCTTGACTATTCCGGAACTCGATGTCGAGTTTATGGAGTATGCGGATATTGTTCTGCCAGACCAAGACACAAACCAGGAGATTGTCGCATCGCATACCGTTGAGTCGCATAACGCTTTGAAGGATGACCCTTTAATTTCCTCCTACTACAAGAATTTTCACGTCTTGCATCCCTTCGCTCTACCCTTACATCATCTAGTCAAACTTTGCGCGGACCCTTCATCATCGTCCGACTTCGCCTCCATAATACCAGTAATGCGTCTCATCGGCAACCTCTATGAGAACTACGAGTGGTCCAACCCTCGTCAAGCAGAAATTGAATCTCGCATCTCGAAGCTTCCTCCCTCCGACCCAATCCAAGTGCAATGCCGACTCCTGTACTCTATCGCCCTGTTCTGGGGTAGTCATACTGCGACGGCGAAAGAGGAGATCGATACTGCTACTAGTGTCGCAGTTGAGTTGGGTATGCACAAGAGAGAATTCGTCAATGCATTCGCAGGGGATGTTGTGCTGATGGAGTCTTGGAGACGGACGTGGTGGATGTTGTATATTGTTGATGCCTATTATGCTGGAACCTTGGGGACAATGAATTTGAAGGCGTTCCGTGTGGAAGCGACTGTTGATCTTCCTTGTGAGGAAGATGAGTATGAGTCAGGCGTGAGTATTTCATCCATCAACTGGGTCATCTAACTGATCATCTTCAAGCTCATCCCGGAGCCTCACACACTGGAGGAATTCGAATCTCGCGAATTTGCAGATGAAGACCCCCAGTTCTCATCATTCACATACCTCATGGGTGCAGTACGTGCTGCAGCGCTCGCTATCTCCGTCACTCCAAAGAGAGCAACTAGACAGGACTCAGAGCGGGTGATACAATCCGCAGACTCTGTCATCGATGCCTGGGTTATGCTCCTACCTAAGAGCAAAAAGGTGATGAGAGATGATGGAAGTATCGACGAATTGTTGTTCCAAGCCCAACTACTCATCCATGTGTAAGATGTAATTCCCTCGATTACTGGAAAGCTGTGCTAATATTGATAGCGCAACAATTGGTATGCACCGCCCGCTGTCAGATCTACGATTCAATCCCATTGAGAATGTATCAAGTTGCGCGAGACAAGCACCCACAGAGACACCTAAGGCCGATCTCATCAACGTCCATACAAAGCGAGTTCTCAAGTCTATCAATGCACAGATCCAGCTGTTGGCCCTTCCCGTTCGTCCCTTCCATCACACGCCATTCACCACATGCATGGTCAGCGAAGGCACCCTCTCGCTACTATCAGCCTGCAAATATCTCTTTCGAGATAAAGAACTTGCGATAGCAAGAGATCAGATCAGACTTACCATTGGGTGCTTGAAGACGGTAGGAGAGGTATGGACGAGGACGGCAAAGAATGTGAAAGAGATAAAGACTGTTGCCCGACATGTACTGGGACTCGAAAAAGGGAGTGCGTCTGGCTCCAGTGAAGTGCCGAGTTCAACAAGCAGCAGCGGGGAGGGAAGTTCGCATTCTGCAGATGTTTCAACACAGGGTGATGATATTCTTGCCTCTCTGGGGTCCTTCGAAGATATTTGTGGGTGGATTAACATGGGCTCGGATTTTACCTATGACTGGATGGGCGATGAAGGGATTAGTTAAACACTGGGGCACCGTGATTCATTCCAATGTCAATCTGTTCCAGATTAAAGAAACTCGCCTCGCTACTCTAGAACTCAATAACAACTTTATAATCCCTTCCTCGCTGTCTCGCATGATCCCAAGCCTCAACACCCTGCTCAAAAGGAAAGGTCTTTACCACCAATGGCTTCAACAAGCCCTCGTCAACCATACTTCCCACTTGGGCTAGTCTTTTTGCGTTGGGCGAAAGGATAAAATGCTTGTACTTGACACCCGGATATCTTAATGACTCTGAAGCCTTTTCATCGGTGAATGCCCATGCCGGTGCGGGATCTCCGACTGTAATGATACTACCATCGGGTTTGACAGTTCCCCAGGTTTTAGATAGGACTTCTCCACCGACTGTGTCGAATACAAGGTCAACGTTCTTAACTGATCTCTCCCAGTCGAAAGAGGTATAATCAATGACTTCATTGGCTCCAAGAGTCTTCAAGAGGTCGTGGTTACGCCTTGAAGCCAGTGCAATAACATGAGCTCCAGTGAGATGTTTGACGAGCTGTACGTAAAGCCTCCCAACAGAGCCCGAGGCCCCAGTCACCAAAACCCTCATCTCGGAAGTGACAGTTGAGTGCTCTGTAATTGCCTCCCACGCGGTAAGAGCCGGAATAGGCAATACTGCAGCCTCCGTATGTGACAACGATATCGGTTTCGGAGCAACCTCATCCGGTTTGCAGACGACATACTCCGCCTGTCCCTCGCCACGATCTGCAGCGATCATAGCAAAGATATATTGTCCAATAGTCAGCGGGCCGTCGTAATCTGGACCGAAAGAAGCGATGGTTCCTGATATGTCATGACCTGGGACGCGGGTGGGTGTTTGGTAGACTTCTGGCCATGTCACTTCATCGCCAGTTATACCAGCTGCGTGAACGTGAATGAGAATGTTGGCGTTGGTAGGATTAGGCTTGGCTATGGAATTTTTGATGGCGATTTTGGGAGATGATGCGTCTCCGAGGATTTGAACGGCTTTCATAGTTGCAGTGTTGTGTGAAGTAGATTGATGTTAAGCAATGTTGCCGATAACAAGTAAGCCTTCAGTAGAACCATAATCTTCGAATTTGGGTCAGTATATGTCCCCGGGAATTCTTTGTCAATGTTCTGCAATTGATGAGATCCTTGGTTGCCGGTCTGTGGGTTAGACGAATACCCGAATTCCCGGATACCCGTTCCGGTCGGTGAGCCCGGCGAGTCCCCGTCACTCGCGTATTGACCGTTGTCCACTTGACCCGATTGCATCTTTTCTAATCATTCAGTCATTATATAAGTCTTTGATGCCAAAGCCAATTTATCACTCATCTCAGCACTTCTATCAACAAACATATACTCTATCAAACACAATGACATCCAACGCCGACGAAAAGCGGTAAGAAAGTCACACGACTACTCGAAACTCACTGACATACTCCAGAAACCGACCTCGCGAGAGCGTCAAGATTCTCTACGATCATGAAATCACCAACGCACCAGGCAAATCCATCGTTGGCCTGGAAGTCCATTACGGGCCCAACGGCTGGACTCCACCACATACTCACTCCGGAGCCACTGTTGTTGCTACAGTCACACAAGGCCGTCTCCTCAGTGGAATGAACGGAAACCCGCCAAAGGTGTATGGTGTCGGGGAGAGCTTTCGAGAGTTTCCTGGCTGCCATCACACTGTCAGTGATAATGCCAGCGATACCGAGGATTGTACTTTCATTGCGGTTGTTATCATTGATACGGATGTTTTGAAGAAGGGCTATCAGATTCTTACTGTTCTTGATGAAGGATGGGAATAGTTGCGTGCTATTTCAGCAGGATTGGATAATGTATGTATCTTCGCATCACTCTTGTTGTCCAAGCATATTCTCGTTGCACCAGCTTAATTCACGTTTTCTTGAGCAGATGATTGGAGAAACTGCCGGTCGGCTGTGTGGCACGCGATACGTACATGGATTGTCTGGAAAAGAACGAGAATATGTCACCAGCACCATATGGTAGTCAGAATACGTATCCTATTAAGGCATACTTTAGCATGCATGTACAAGCTTTAACAAAAAAATGCACAACATCGGTCAAAAATGCAATTCCTCACCGGTGTAACAACTAATCAGATGTTCAAGGTGCTTACTTTACCAATGTGCAATTGAGGCCCCCCAGTGTGTCTCACCAGCATATTGGGCGTTTGAAATATTGATTGCCTTCTATAAGGCAACCATTGCACTTTCAACTGATAAGAGCCGCAATATACGGTACAAAGTTACTTGTTAACTGGCTATTTATGAGGGCAATCTAAGCTCTCGTAAGCATTTCCTTTTCATACAGATCTGTATTCATTCTCAATTTCACACCACAATGGCGACCGCTGCCACCTCCAAACTGCCAACACCGCCAGCACTTCTGGTCAATGGCAGCCCAGCTCCAGTAAATGGGAGTGCAGCTCCGGTTAAAACGGAGCCAGCAGAAGACTATTACAGATATACCGGAAATGGTATTGTACCAATTTCGGATACGAATCATGATCTGGGAAAGCTGCTACGAGCATATTGCATCGGAGAAGGTGTCAATGGAAGATTTTGGACTAACATATTGCTGGGGCATATCTTAACCAAACAACGAATCAGGAAAGAGCTAAAGAAACAGATGTTTACGCTCAGCGACAGGCAGATAGATGACTACGTCGAGAAGATACATGTCTTGTCGGAAGAAAGTCCATCCAAAGCGTACATCAAGGTTTTTGCGCTCCTGGCCTTGTTGAATCGCGTTCGCGACATCGAAATGTTTATAGCACAAGAGGTGAACGACGGAGTGCTGCCCATCGAATTGAAATATGGATACGTATCCCCACTCAAGGATCCGGGAAAGCGCCTTCGATGTTTCGATGAATGGGAAACATACCAGCAAGAGCATTTCGTAACAACCCAGTGGGAGATCGACACACCATACCTCCAATCGACCAAGGACCAACCTCTGACCGAATTCACTATGCAACCACTTACTAGAAGGCCTTGGCGCAAGGTGTCAAAAACCAGTGATGAGACATTGGCTGGAGCCTACGCAACTGTGGTTGAGGTCGATATCCATCCCACTGCACATTCTTATCAACATTTGTTAGATGGCGTATGTGTTTTCTTCTGCAGACGATACCTTATGAGCTAACAAGAGTATTCAAGATCAATCTAGACTGTGCGACCTTTGCAGTCAAAACACTTCATCGGGACACAGAGCAGTTATTCAAGAAGGAGTGGGAAATTTTGAAGCAATTCAGCGGACTGAACCATCCTCACCTCATCACTGCCCTGAGCGCTTTCAGACAGGCGGACAGATTGAGCTTCATTTTCCCCTATGCACGTTCTGACTTTGAACGACACAAGGAATTGTCACAGCCTCCCCAGGGCCGGAGCGGAGCCTTATGGATTGCAGCCCAACTCGAAGGGTTGATCGGTGCAATTGATACCATGCACAACCCTAGGCATTTGCATCGCCATCTAGACCCGACTGCCATAAAGAAGTATTGCAGGCACAGCGATATCAAATGCGACAATGTCCTGTGCTTCCGCAAAGCAGGGACGGAAGACGAGGTTATTCTTGTCATCTCCGACTTTGGATTGTCAGAAATCAATAGTGACAAGAGTCGATCCAACATTCCTAACCAAAAGGTTCCACCTGTTCCAGGATATCGCCCTCCCGAGTGCGATATCGAAGGTGGTACTATATCCAGAGCCTTTGATATCTGGACTATTGGATGCTTGTTCCTTGAACTCGTGACCTGGTTCTTAGGCGGACCTCAGTACGTCAAGAAATTTGAGAAGAAGAGAACGACGCCATTTATCAATGGCTCGAAGAACAACATTTTCTTTTCTTTCAAGAATCTGGAATCTGGTACATCAAATGGGGCCAAAGCCATACTGGTGAAGCCGGAAGTAACTGCAGTAAGTAGCATTTGGCCAACACAAGGGTTCGTTCGGCTAACCTTGATAGTGGATTCACGAGCTTCGTCGGCATCGCAACTGCTCCCCGTTCTTGCACGATGCTCTTAATGTCGTTGAGAAAGAGATGCTGGTAGTGCTGTCGACAGACAAGAAACGTTCGTCATCTGGGGACCTTCTCAAGGCCTTCGTTCGCATCTCTGGGCTTTGCAAGTCTGAGGACTACACGCGAGGAAAGCCATGGACGGAGAGAGAGCGGAGTGTAGCCCAAGAAGAGATGGCTCGGAATACCACTGCAGTTCGGGTGATTCCCAATGAGAATGCGCGTGCTCTCATCAACACGAACCTGGTCACGTTGCCAATCCACCAGGGGCGAACAACACGGTCATTGAGTACGGATGAGTACAATAACCTGGAATAGAACGCAGAAAATACGAATGTGTAGGGGTTTAATGTACGTCATGTTCGAAATGGAAGGCATGGGAGGATTGCAGACAGGGAAATTGTTTATTGAACTTTTATCAATCGGCTTCTTTCAAGCCCAAATAGCATCTATAACACTGTCGTTTATGCCGAAGTATCTTTCAAGAATGATAGTGCTCAGCCGAAGTCACAACTTGCTTCATCCTTTGTGTTTCATCCTACCCATGTTAGGGAGGCGCACGTGTCGCTTTGTAAATTACTTACCTCGGTCAAGGGTCTGGGGATTTCACACTGGAACCGGCCTCGCTTCCACTATAAACATCAGTACAGACACGTTTTTAGTGGATGAAAGGACAATCTCGTACAATCACAGTCACAGTTCCTGCGCCAAAGATATTGACCAAGAAAGATTCCAGAGCATTTTGCTCTGTATATGTAGCCCGGACAATAAGGGGTGCCATGGTAAGAATGACAATAGAACCAATTTGGATTGAAAGGTATGCATATATAGTGGTGAAGGAGGGTGGCATTGAGTCTGATCTTATGCCCGGGTTACTTGCCTGACACAAAAATGACTCGTCATGCAGTTAGCCTAACTTCGCTTCTTTGCTTTCTTACTGGCTGGTGATACGTTGTAATTCATGATGTGTCTCGCAGCTGCGCAGCATAGCCCCAGAGCTTGCTTTTCCGAGCGCCAACGAAAATCATGGTGGGTGGTACGGACGGCCGCCACCGCCCTGCAGCGGTATTGGAATTTTACACCGCCACCTTATCTCAGCTTTGACAGCTTCATATCAACTCTGGACAGCACCATTATGCTCATTGAGAATACTGCCTTCATCAAGAACACTTAGGAATATGGATTGGGCTGATGATAATGCGATATGCTGTCAAAATGAAGCCAGCAAAGTTTTCAGATACCAGGAGAGACCTACCAGCGTGATACGGGTAGTTCCAGGACTAGTAGTATGTACTCCCTTATCCAGTCTGACGCAAACTTTTAACGGCCCTTTTAGAAACCGCTGGTGTGGACAATGAATAGTGAAGAGGACTGGGATAATTGGTTTCGAACCGTTAGTATTTATTGCTCCTCTTGGTGCAAAAGCTCACCAGTATTAGGAGCACCCAAAGCTCAACGGAAAGCATTCTGGATTCGTTATTATGTAAGTATGATCTTCTGCGGATACGCTCAACACTCCCAACACTCTCAACTGACCGCTTTTGCTTTAGTCTGGCAAGAAGAGATGGCGAGCCTAAGCTTGATCCAGTGAAAAGAAAGGAATCGAATGATTGGATTAAAGATATCAAACAAGTCACTCCGAATGATAGCCACCCAGATTCACTCCGTGGGACCGGAGGTCAAAGAACCCTGCGAAACTTGCCATTCTCGGAGAAAGTGTTCAAGAGGATTGCACATGAATTTCATATACATAACTCGATTATCCGGGTTGTCAGTCGTGCAGATGTTTCTGACTTCTCCGCCATGAACTTGGAAATGGGACAACATAACGGCCAGAGTCTACCTGCACACGGTATGTTTGTCATTGGAATCAACCTGGAGTATTCCCTGACACAGTGACAGTATACAATATCCGCACTTCGAATGCTTGGGATAGAGACCTGGCAGCAACAACGACATATTTCCCCAGTTGCAACCTGAGCTTCTCAATCATGTTCGGCTGCACACTATCAGTCGAGGCAGAGATATTGACGCGGTTAGGAAGAACGACCTATGAGACATACCACCCATTATTAGTACCCAGCCTGATTGTCGAACTTGAAAGGAAACGACATCTCCCTATTGTCGAAGATACCATTGACCAAGTTGAAACACGAATCCTGGAGCTGGACCAAGACCCCGAGTCATTGGAACGTATAAAAGAAAGGGAAAAGGTAGCCCTTAAGGAAGCAAAAAGATCGGCCTGGCTGGATATGCTATATCTTCGCAACCAGCTCCTCAGTTGGCGTAGTTGCCTGGAAGCATTGGATAAGCAGACGAGATATCTCAACCGCAGAATCACTCAAAGGCCATTTCCCCGATTTTCATTTCGTTACGAAGGGACGGACGGCTTTAGCGTTGTGGACGATAACTCCTCGGAATACAGTTCAGACTTCGATGACTCGTTGGAGATAAGACCAGTAGACTGTGTTCCGGAACTTGCAGCTGAGGAACTGGATTCAACGCAGCTTGTTGTTGCAGACTTTGAGCCATCCTACCAAGAGAGCCGCGGGGCTTTTACAGATTCTGAATCTCATATAAGACGAACTGGAACAAAGATCCGAGGACGACTGCAAGAGATTAAGAAAGACTACAACGAGAAGATCCAAGAGTGTACATCTGGTATTGAAGGAATGGTCATGTCAACGCAATGGGTAAGAGATTCCTCTCTTCATACGAGTTCCAGCTAACCGGCCAAGGCTCAAGGAGAAACAAACGTGGAAATAGCTTTAGCAACAAGCCAGGATTCTCGCCACATGAGATCAATAGCACTTGTCACTATGGTATTTCTACCGGGGACATTCTTTGCAGTAAGTTTTGTTACATATCACTCGCCCCAAAATTGCTCACATGGCCCATAGAGTGTATTTTCAATGGGATTCTTCGACTTCAAAGACTCTAGAGGATCTGTTATTGTATCCCAGCTATTCTGGCTCTACGTGGTTCTAGCCGCAGGCTTCACAGGCCTCACAGTCGGAGCGTGGTATTACCTCGGAGTCTATCGATACAAGAAGCACAGAAGCTTGGCATCGGGACTAAAACGAAGTTATTGTTCTAATCTGAGAGTATTTGATCTTCTGAGACCCCGAAAGACAGAATGAGTTGAGAATATGAATAGCATGAGCATATCTATAGAATTGGTAGTTCGGGGAGAAAGCCAAAGAAGCTGGGCGGTTCCTCTTGAGTTTCATTTTCCATCCCAGTTAAAAGTGAAGCGATGAAGCTATCATCTTGGGGCCCAGTACGAGAATGAAGCTTGCCTGGCTCTTGACTGTCAACGCAAGCTCGATTGGCATATGTCCACAAATCCAAGACGTCCAGCAGTCTTGGAATCCAGACATGTGCCATGCACCAAGCTGAATGTCTTAAAGAGAACGTTCTCTTTGGCGAAGCATATCAATTTGAGTCGCTGTCTCGCTCTAGTATTGTTCTTGTACATGCGTCTTAACTATCTAATGTTTAAAAGTCTTATGCTGCCAATGCCATTCTTCCCTCTACATTTATGCCACGAACCCCCATTAAACTAGACTAGTGCTACCGCTTGGCAGGGAGGCTGGCCTCTGTAGGGAGACCCTTCATGACCGATCTTCGTTGTTTGCAACGTTCATACAAGGTGTCCTGTATTAGTAATTAGCTCATGCTCCTCCCGCCGTTTCCAATATACGTACTACGTTAAATTCCTCAGTGGTCTCAATCTCGTAGACGTTGTGCCGCATCTGATGAGATCTTCGTTAGTACCCTGATGTAAAAGAATCCAGAGTAACTTACGTCGACCGTGAATCGTGCAGTAGGACCAAGAAGCACTTCCAGTTCTTTGAAAAGCCGTCGAGGGGAGGCGTGGTGAGTGTGAAACTCGGTTCGAACAGACAGCTCTGATGACATGAGAGGGTCCCTGCAATAGCTAAACAAGCAGTCAAAAGGAGGTTTGAGAGGTAGAAACGTTGTAGATATTTAACAATAGTTGAATGAGAATTGTCGGAGGAGGCAGCGTTGAGTACGAATAAGGAACTTAGTAAATACAAATAGTTATACCATTCTGTAAAAGTGAAAAGAGAAAAATGCCTAACAATGGGGGATTCGGCGGTGGGAGGGAACTTTCGCCCAGGCACGGTGGACAAAGACTACGTTTGTGCAACTTTCGACGAAAGTGGCAAGGTCACGATTGGATGTTACATTCGGGAAGCCCAACGAACACGTCCAAGTTTGCCTTATCTTCCGGCCAATGAGAGTTCTTTTAGAAGCGCATGGCTTGCTTGGTGCGCGTCTGGCCCGAACGGGTGACACATCAGCAGGCTTCGCGTCATGGCAACTCCGACTTTTGGGGGCCTTACTAGGCTTATATCAGATCATCCCATGATTTTAAGTGTGTGCAGTCAATATTTTGCTCAACTGACAGTTTTTGCAGAAGATTTACATGTGGTGGTGTGCTGGTCGACAGAATCAGAACATTCGAGGAGAGAAATAAAATCAGGCTGTGGAATCAGCGTTGTGACTGGTCCAGCCGAGTCATGGTCGCACAGAATGTGAAGAGAACTGACTGGAAATATTGTCTTGGCTGCTTGAGAGTGGGCAAGCATCGGCCAATGGCTACAACGGCGCATTTAATATTGGAAAAGAGGCGTACCCAAGAGCGCGAGTACGCGGAAGCGGCCACACCAAAGTGCAGTCTAGGCTCAGCGTTGGTCAGACATGACAAAAGCACGCTTCTACTGCAGCTGAAAAGCAGGTCATTGTCGGGGTCATTCGTGTCGGCACAGGGGCTTCGCCACATGTTTCCCTCGCAATGTCCAAGGCACCCTTACAGCTCCAGCCTCCACCAACGATCGCTAACTGAGACATTGGTGACAGACATGCAGCACCCAGTTTATTTGCGTCTTTTGTACCACCAGTTCATTTTCAACCTCTTGTGTGTAATAAGGCTCAGCATTAAAACATCCGGCACAAGTGTTCAGGCACCACAGGGGAATAAAAAGGCAAATGAACTCGAACCATCGTAACAAATTGTTCTTTTGAGTTACGTGAAAGATTTTGCAATTGCAAATATCATTCCACAATGACTCAGGTATGTTGCCTCCGATCGGACTCTGTCGTATGACTGACTCGGCCACCTCCAGCTGACGCAGATGCAGTCACGCCAGTCGATAACGGACAAGTCGTCCGCAGGTGTTGAGGCCAGTGATCCCGAGACGGGTCAGCTACGGCGTAAGTCTGTGGCCTTCAGTGACAGCCACAACATTGACGAAGATTCCAATGATGAGGGTTCACTGGAAGGAGGCCTGCCAAGTGGAAGTTGGGCACCAACCAATGGGCAACGCTCAAGCCCGTCCCCGGCCTTCCAAGAGCAGGGCTTACACAAAGGCCTACACAGCAACGGTTCCGCTTCCTCACCGCAATATACATTGGGGCGGTCAATCAGAGATGAGATTTTTTACCCTACGGACAAAAGTCTTCAGTCATTCCCATTTCTTCCCAGAGACAAGCTAGAGGGGATTCTCACAAAACAGCGAATCATAGAAGCTCTCAGAACCGAAGGAGGTTTTCCTCCCGAGCGCCAAGTACCAATAGCGCAAGATATCATTAGTCCTCAGATTGTTCATCCCGAGACTCAGCCGCACTTTCAATCTCGCAAGGAGATCCTGGCGATTCTTTGCTTGATAGACAAGGTCCCAACTATCGAAAGCTTTATCAAAGACAGTCTTTTTGATTATGACCTTCCTTTTCGATATCTTAAAGAACGCGATTCTCCCAATGGTTACGTGGTGAAAACGTGTGATCTTTCGAGAGAAGCAAGAGACATCCCACTATTTTATCAGTGGTCAGCTACCGAGATCGAGTCTTTTGAGGGACGACAGTGGATAATACATGTTCCACTTTTCACTGGTATCCCGGAGCAGACTGACAAGCCAACACACTACACCCTCGCCCAGAAAGCAATTGCTCCATATGTCTCTAGAGTGGAAGTGGGAGAAGGCGGTTTTAGTGCTGTCGACAAGGTGGAAATTCACGCCGCACACGTTGCCCGCTCAGATAATCCGGTAAGTTAAACTACCTCAGGATAGTTTACATGTCTCTTCCTGCTCTTGCTAAACGTTGCCAGTCTCCAAAAACAATCTTTGCCGTCAAAAGGCTGGAAACCTCGAAGAAGTGCAAGTTCGACGCAGAAGTTTCGAATCTTAATCGATTTGCAGGGAAGGAGGCTCCCCACTTGATTCAACTTCTCTGGACATTCTCTCTTGGGCAAACCTATCACTTGGTGTTTCCTTGCGCTGACGGAAACTTGAAAGATTTATGGAGGTTGCATGACTCTCCGCTTGCGGCAGAGAAAGATCATGATACCGCTCTATGGTTTTCAAGACAATGCCTAGGTATAGTCGAAGGTCTCCATCTAATACAACAGCGCAGCAGCAGTCATGATCCTCTTGAACCCCAAAAGCACGGTACACATGGAGACTTGAAACCTGAGAATATCCTATGGTTCCGCGACGCTAGAGGTTCAGAGCCAGGCTATAGCCTTGGTACACTGAAGATATCTGATTTCGGCCTGACGAGATTTAACAGAACAGAAAGCAAGTCCCACGTTAACACCGATGGGATTGGGTCGTCACCCACCTACAGAGCGCCTGAGTATGATATCCTCCATGAGGTCGCCCAAAGCTACGATATCTGGTGCCTAGCATGTGTTCTTCTGGAGTTCACGACATGGTACATCCAGGGTTGGCCCGCAGTGGATAAGTTTTCTCAGCGTCGGAAGGAGGAACACTGGGGTCAAAAAGTATTGAAAGGCTGGAATCATGAGTTCAAGCAAGATACCTTTTTCAATCATCTTCACAAACCAGACGCAATCAGTGCTGTGGCCAAGAGAGCAGTTTTCGATGTAAGGCGATTTCTACCTGTAACATCTTGTGGCTAACTGAGTTTAGGAGGTTCAAACTCTGTATAAACATAAGAATACATCGGACTTCATAATCGAATTCGTCGAGTTTATCGAAACTAGTCTTCTCCGAATGCATCCCGAACGCCGAAAGCCATGCTCTGAAGTTCTTGAAAAGCTTCAAGAGTTTTTCGACATGTCTTGTAAAGACCGAGATTACTGTTTGGAGCCAAAGAAAGCACCGCCGAAGAGGAAAGACACGGACCACTCGGATCTCACAGGTCCAGAGCCACAGCTTGTGGATCTGCAAATGCCTCTCCACAGTAGCACTGTATCTCTGCGGCGGACATCGCTTGCATCGAGTATCAGATCAACACCATACAGAAATTCAAACCCTGTAGTATTTGAGGAAGCAGTCACTACTGATCTTGATACCCGAGTCTTACCACCCGGGGCGGAATCTCAGCCACAGCAGCCTCGCAGATCCATGACGGACCCAGACAGCAACGCTCATAGTGAAAGCCCTCCTAGCATCCCTACTCCAATCGAGGATCCCGAAACTCCTGAAACTCCGGAAGCTCCAGTTGAGCCTGCCATTCCCGTTACTTTCGCTCCTGAAGGCGATAGTCAAGGGCCCGAACAACCGGTTGATCTACACGACGATAAGAGAGACGAAGCAGATCCCGTCGCTCTACTCGAAGCTCCATCGAACGTGGACAGGGACTCAAGTCGAGCTGGAGCAGAACATCCGCCGGGGCGATACAATAGACTGAAGAAAGCTTTGCGTACCTTTATTTTATGTGGAGGATAGAATTGTGCAGTGTTATGGAACAGGTTCTTAGTTAATAGCATAATGCCGTCCTGCCCGTAAGACAGAATGGGAGGCCATCTTGTGATGAAGAATGAATTGCTTAGCGTTAAACATCCAGTATCGGGCTTACTGGCATTAATTTCGTCTCCAGCCGGAATAAAGTGTATGTCAACGCGAAAGTACATGATCATCTTCTCAAATTATAGTAATAATGCTATGTTTTATCCCCCTCATCACCTCGCCTTCCGTTCCTTTCTCCAGTTTAAGACACCCAACTCTCTCAAAAATAGACCCCGAGATATCCAGCCGCTGCCTAAGGATCAGCCCGCGCGTCGGAGCCTCTGCTTGAGCTCTCCAAAGCTCTCCCACAATCAAGCAATAGAGGTCAGTCTTGACTCCAACTTCAGTATCATACCTCCTCTCCCCGATAATTTCGTCAGTTAGCTTTATCAACGGGCCCGAGATTTTGAGGAAGCCACTTGAAATCGTGCCGAGAGGGTCTTTGCCACTCGGAGTGCACTCGACTTCGAGAACCTTGGCGTAAGCGACTTTCAACGTCGGATCTTCGTTTTCGGGACGGAAGCTGTCAATCGAAGGATAGGGACTGTATCTCTGATCGACTGATACCCATGACCATGATGGTCCGCGGTATGGATTCGGCCGCTTTCCAGGATGATTCACAATCCACAAAAGCCCTGCTGGCAAGTCGTTAGACCAAAGACCTGCGAGATAGCATCCAGCTTCATCCCCATGCAACAGACGAGCTAGACCCGAGAGACAAGGTAATATATCTTCAGGTTTTGTGATATGTCGCTGCATCACCTCGTTCACGACCTGATACCAAGCTTTGAACTTTCTAGGAAAGGGAAAAGCAAAATATCCTCGAAGTTGGAGTGAGTTTCCGCCGGCACGGTCAAGATGCATACACTGACAGATCAGCCCGTATTTGCATTCCCACACCATCTCCTGTGATGTAAAGTGGACCATCCTCGTAGCCAGTATCTGTTCTTGTAACGTCCATGCCCTTCTTTTTAAGGGTTCAAAAGCCAACGGTTGGTCCCATTCGCCGCCCCGCCGGTATTCTTCCCGGACGTATATAGGGTTTGACTTATCGTCGACCCCTATCAGTTTCCTCTCGTCATGAAAGTCGGTTTCCGAAACATCCAGGAACCCCCCATTCGAATCTCTTGACATGTCGGCGCCTATCACAAAGTACGCATCCCGATAGATAGCGGCCATGTTACCGGATTCTTGTTGCCAGTCGTCTTGGTCGTCTTGGATGATGCATAAAGCATCAATCCAGAGGTACTTTATTCCAAGACCCCGTGTGACAGTGACGGCATGTTGAAAGGTCAAGGGGAGGTCACTATATCGAATTCCTTCCTTGTATCTGCCGAGGTTTGCCATAACCATTCGCACTGCAATTCCGCCACCCCAACAGTGACTTAGAGCGGTATAGGAACCTTCCTGGCCGGAAGCCCCTTTCAGCTTTATCCATTCTGAGTTGTTGTAACCGATATCCAGCACTCGACTTGGAAGCAGAACGCTGTGGTTGTCCGCACAGTCCGGGTGATTTTCTCGACAGTTCCGCAGCCACTCCGTTATCCCGGGTGTAAAACTGTCTCTTCGGTCGTCGATCTCTCGAGCCAGGCCGATAGCAGGACAAGGTACTTGGTTGCTCCCAGGACTTCGGTAGATGTAGGCCGTCAAGTCCCACCATCTTCCAGGTGGACATATATCTATAGCCGGGCCATCGAAGCCTATGATGAGTTCCAGGTCCGACTTTTCTATCCTTTCGTGACCCCTCACTGCAAGTACACCTAAGTATCTGATCTTACAAGCTGAGCATCCGGCCTGGGCACTTTCCTCAAGGCTTTTGATGCCAACGCCACGGAAATCGACACTCAGTCTATCGCCATGTTTGCATGTTTGGCATGGTGAGAATGACGCCGGGAGCGACACTGTTGGGCTGTTATCCATGAGGAGAGAGAACGGAATCCTGCGATCGTAGTGTAGGCATTTGGGATACTTGATGTGACCGGAATATAGATCTATAATCAACCGGGAGTTAAGTTACAGATGTCAGAAAAGTTGAAATGAGGTAAGAATGAACTTTCTCCTGGCAAGCTGCCAAGGGATTCTTGAGGGCGCTACTGTCAGCGAATACAACGCTTTGATTGGCAGAGTTGCAATCACGTGGTTTATTGTTTCATCGCCGCGAGTGATTACCCATCGTATGAAGCCAATCATGGTTGAAGTGAAGCTTACCCTATACAATACGTGAAATAAAACAATTATCATTCATTTACGAATTATTGGGGCATTATTTAACTGGAGATAATCTACTGGAAACTGACGGTTTTAATAATTGCTCAAGTATTTAAATAATGTTCAATTGAGTTAACCGAGCGACATCTTGAGGCTGTCACAACAACGCTACCACTGGAACATGTGTATGTTTTATACGCGCGTTGGTTTACCTACACGCTTTGGAGGATTTGTCTCCAAAGGAGACCTGGATAGTTACCAGTGAAAAGGCTTCGCTATTTTACTGTAAGTTAGTAAGAATGTGAGATATTATTGAAATTCAGATCTCAATTTGTTCATACCCCGGGCCATAGCGACAATTGATAGCCCACTTGTTGATCGGCAGAACGCGTCAACTTGGCGATAACGATAAGATAAGATAAACCGGAAACAGGGATATTTGAAACAAAAGCAGCAAGCGGTGAAGATGATGCGTCACCAATTCTTGGCAAGAATGCTTAATTCCGGGTCTTTCACAGCGCCTCGACCGCTACAATATTTAACGCTTAATGCCTAACCGTGTATCTGGTGTGCTGTCCATGCAGAATACCACCTGCTACACTTGTCGCTTCACGTTGAGACCAACACAGTCTCATCCCCCAATCAACCTCCGCGTTTGATTGCGATTTACCTTGACTCGTCAATGCTTGAGCTAGGTTCTGGACCCTGTCGCATTCCATCCTTGGTGGCGCTGCGGGGCATAGTCATCTCCCGATAACGACAGGGGGCTTGATAACCAGCTTCTCGACCTGGCTAGAAACATTTTGGAAGGGATAAAGAAGGTATTCTCGAGACACGTTTTATTTTTCTTGGTTACTATTGCATCCATTACGGTTAGAGACTCAAAATGGTGATTGATAATGTGTCTCCGTAGAGTAGGGGGAATTGGTGAGTGACGCTAAAATGTCGCGTGCTATCCACTGAGGGGACCTAATGTTTTCAATAAAACAAGGGAGAGGCCGCACAAGCACCCAGCAATGGAGATTAAAATATGATTACCGCCCTACGTACTCCGTAGTACCTAGCCCGTTCTCTTTAGGCCACAGTGACAATCAGGGGTAAATCATCAATGCTGGATCTCTAAAATGATTAATTAGCCTCACTTGTTAAGCGACTCCTATCGTATCGTCGCGACGCTGAGACCTCCTTTTAAATTTTTGTCCACCCTGTCTGTTCACTTTGCACAGCCTACTTTTGCTTTCCTTTTCACAATCAACCATTTTATTCCGCCTCGATGAGTCCCTCCCTAGCCACGGACCCGACGTCCAGATACAATGACTGTTCTGCGAGCGAAGATGAAGACGACCCGCTGAATGGCGGTCACCATGGCCCCGACTTTAGCATACGAGGTGCGCAACCCCTGTGTCCCCGACAAAAGGACAGCAAAAACTGATCAAGCAAGCTCGTAAAAAGACACCATGAAGCGAGCACTCCGCGCATCATCAAGAGTCCGCTACCAACAACTCAACGTACCCAGCACAAATGACCTAGAGACTCAATCACCGCCGAATGAGCGGTCAGGCTTTGACTTTCCGAGCGAAAACGTCTCATTTTTCGGCCAGATCCGCTCCACTGTTGTTGCGTCACGATTGAATTGGTTACTAATTTTTGTGCCTGTTGGTCTTGCGGCGCATATGCTTCAGATTAATCCGTTGTTGATTTTTATCACGAATGCTGTTGCTATTGTGCCGTTGTCGGTCATGTTGACTGAGGCGACGGAGAGGATTGCTGCTGAGGCGGGAGATACGATTGGTGCGCTTTTGAATATTACGCTGGGCAATCTTGTTGAACTTATTATTTTGTGAGTTTTGAGTGAGATGACATGAGATGAGATGAGTTGCTAATGAGATTACAGGGTGTAAGTGAGATGAGAATAAGGCGATGAGATGGAAACTGACTTTTGCAGGGTTGCTTTGGTGAACAACCACATTCGCATTGTTCAAGCTTCAATCTTAGGAAGTGTGCTTGTGAATTTGCTTCTTATTCTTGGTTCTGCTCTTGTTGCGAGTAGCATGTCCAATATTGAGGCTCACAGCAGCATGGAAGAGTCTGAGCTTCTGGCCGCTCTTCTCTTTGTCTCCGTCTTTGTGATTCTCATTCCCGTGAGTTTCATCAACCTCAACTATATCAGCATTACTAACTCCATCAGACCGCATTTGACTACACCTTCCACAAAAAAGGAAAACTAAGTGAAGCAGCACTAAGCATGAGTCGCGCATCATCACTAGTAGTCCTCGTCATTTACATCGTCTACTTCGCCTATGAAATGAGACCCAAGAACGTCGAAGTCCCATCAATTCCTCTGCAAACAATTCACACAGATCATCACCAACACCGACGAAACCAACATTCCAACTCTCGACTTATTCGCTTTTCTGATCGGGATGTTCCTACGCGGGCCAGAAGTACTACTCTTGACAGCAGAGGGGCGGCAGAGGAAGACCTTGTAAAGCGGGAAGCAGCACCACGAGCGAGTTTGTCGCATCGATCAAGAGGGCACTCGCGCTCGCGTTCACGTACGGAATTCCAAGGGTCTGAGGGGAGGGATGTTTCAGTCAACAGCGTACACCGACGAGTTCTACCGGAGCTTCCAGAGGTTCCGGATCATACGCCTCATGTTTCCAGCACCAGCGGTACAATAGCCGCTGTTACGGTTCTAGTAATCTCATCAGCTCTCATGTCCATGAACGCCGAATTCCTCGTCAAGACAATCGACGACGTCACTCACGAGGGCGGATTATCAGAAGCGCTAATCGGTCTTATTATTCTGCCTATCGTTGGAAACATCGCAGAATACGTCACCGTCGTTACAGTAGCGATGCGAAACAAGCTCGAACTCGCAATTTCAGTTGCTGTCGGTTCAGCTATCCAAATCGCTCTCTGCGTAGCGCCATTGACGGTTTTGATAGCGTGGATGTTGGGACGCAATTTGGAGATGGCGTTCAACGTCTTCGAGACAACTACGCTTGTTGGATCGGGGTTGTTGATCAACTTGTTGATTTTGAGTCGTGCGGGTACTGCTATTAGAGCTATTGGGTTGAAGGGAGCTCTGATGTTTGCGTGTTATATCATTATTGGGTAAGTCTTATCTCTCCGCCGACTTTGCGATGAAAGAGACCGTTTACTAACAGATTTTAGACTCGGCGCATACTTTGAACCTCACGCGACAAAATAGAATATAGATGGGGAACGAAAGGCATTTATGATAATATCAAGACTACAACATATAGAATACGTAATAAAATCACACTTTGTTTTATCGTTCAACCAATCAATTCCTTTCAACTGATGTACCATTTTGCACCAAAGCATTGGGTTTACCAAGTGATAGCCATGTTTTACTACCTTGGTAATCGTGAATTAGACAGAACAGTTGGCAACCAGTGGCTAGATTAACATCAAGTCTGCGAACATTTCTAAAGTCTGCTCGCCTCGTAAACTTCATCACCTGAGGCTACTCCAGTCTCTACGAGTTTAATCCCGTCTATGCACAATCCAAATGTAAATCTGGCAGACCACCCAACCGAGCAGCCATTCATATAAACAGATGCGCACGCCGACCCTCTTATTAAGTCTTTCTACAGCTCCAACTCCCGCCTGTGAAAGGGCGGATGATGTGCTTCGTTGTGGAAGTCTTGGAGAATGTATATTCAACATAACAGATGCTTGGGTGCGGAATCTAGGTCTGGAAAATTGATAAGGATTTCTCTTAAAACATAGTCTTTGCTTTAACATAAAAATCAACATATAACTCTTACGCATGATTTTAATCTTTTTGAAACCCTCACATGACTTAACAGGTCAGACTTGGGAATAATCTTTGTCTTCTTTCTATTTCTATATTACAATACTGTCAACAAATAGCAGCCCTCTGTCCCTTAAACCTCTTAACATCCTCATCATCCTCCCTCCGCCTAACCATAACTGCACCGCTTATCGTTGGCGGTACACCCATATACGTCGGTATATCCTCCCCAAGTTCCGGAAAATGTGTAAAGAAATCTTGTGACATTGTCCAGGCGTTAATATCTCTTATTCTCTGGTCGAAGATGGGAGATATGTGGTATTTCCCTGTTTGTGGGCTGTGGTAGAATGTATCTTGGAAGGAGTCGGACCAGAGGATTTTGAAATTTGATTGGAGCATGTCCCAGAATGTGTTGGTGCAGTATTGATGTTGTGAGAAGATGAGTCGTTCTCGTAAGCCGGGCCTGAGCCTGTTAGATGATGGCTCATGAAAGTGAGGGTGTACTTGCCAGACAAAGAAGTCGATGCCGTAGGAATGTGGTAGAGCTTGTGATGGTCTGTCGTCTGTTAGCCACATGTCGTCAACTCTTTGCAACTTGGTCTTACCTATTTAGATACCATCTCGGTAACGTCGCCCGCCTTGCCAACGTGGGATCGCCATGGTACGTAAGAAGCATATGACATAGCCTCATCGCAGCCAACCTCTCCGTATTCCCACAATTCGCAAAGCACAACTCATCAGCAACCCGTAACTTGCGCCACGTAGCCGTCATCTTGCCCGCCCGTTCAAGACTATCCCACCCCTCAACAATAGCCCTAACCGGCATATCCTCCGCACCATATTCCTCAACCGCCATGTCTTCCGCAGATAGCTTTGTCGGTTTTTGTAACGTTTCGTTGATGGCGCGCCAGATATTGGGTTTCACGCCGTGGTAGGAAGAGCCGCAGCTCGTGGGGCTGGAGCAGTGGCACAACACGGAAGCTTTCGGGACGATGACGTCGTTGTCTTCGGAGGGGGGGAGAAGGGGGGTTATGGGCATGAAGCCGTGGCCTGAAGGAGGAAGAATGGTGTTGTCGAAGGCCATTGATGTTGGGTAGGGACCGTTGCTGACGGGGTAGGTCCAGCCTGTGTAGGCGAAGGGATCGGTTGGAGGTGCGTCCATGGGGAGTTCTAGAATCGCGGAGCTACTCGTTTCTGAAGCTGCTCTCGTGGTGTCAATTGGGGCTGTGGAAGTGCTTGATGCAGGAAGCTTTGTGGTTGCACTCGATGATGCTTCTGATTTGGTGTCGGGTGATGGTTCGTTGGTGGTACTCGCGTCGCCAAGATGACGACGAATGGTTGATCCTAATGAGTCGAGGACTTGCAGTAAATTGTCCCTCTCTTTCGTGATTCTGCCCAATTCGTCCATCAACGAAGCTATTTGTGAATTCGAATCGCTTTGTCGCAAGTTATCCACCATGCTCTCAAGCTGCGCAATCCTACTCTTGGTCCGTTCGCGTGCTAGCCTTTGAGCTTTCCGATCAAGCTCCCTCTTCTTGAGCCGCCGAGCTTCGGCTGTAGCTGGTGAAGTTTCATTATACATGGCGATCTGATCTGCGTCAAGGATGCAAAGTTGGGATCATCCCAGAAAAGGAGCACGAAGGAAGGGATTAAATAACTTGATCGAGACAAGGGATGAAAAGAAAGTCTGGGGAAGCGGAACCACAGTCCTTTTTGACGGGTACGTGGTATTGTAACGCCCTAGCTAGGGCGGAACAAGCTTTTGCGCTACCAAGGCATGGAAAGGGGGGAGCAGCAAGTCTAACTAATTAGGTAGATGTATGAGAGGGTGATGTAAGAGCCGGGGCGGCTTGTTCCGTTTTTTCCATCTCGGTAGTGGTAGTGGGAGATAACGCCCGTCACTTGGCGTGGCGACTAACCTCGCAACGAAATGTCTCGCAGGCTTCTCATTTTGGAGGGCAGTGATCTTCATTCGCACGGATGTTTGTGTTGCGCAACGTGATTCTGACGGTGAATGACTCGTGGCTGACCAACACGGATTGTTTCTTTTCCTTCACAGCCTAGCGCTATGATCAAGAGCTGAGCTTTGGGGCAGATTGGCGATCTTGTTAAACAAGGATGCCATCATTACGGGAGTAGATCCCATTGGAGTTACACTGCACAGACTGCCTGTCTGTAGGGCCGAAAAGTATAATTCCAGATGCACTGCAACGTGAAATGCCGCTGAAGAATGTGAGTCTAGAATCTGCATGCGTATTGTGAATCAATGCCGGGGCTACGGGTGAAACATGGCGTCGTTCAGTGGGCTAGTCAGCGTTGTCGCTTACAGCATCAGTGACTAAGCTTTTACTTTTAGCTAGTGATTCACCAGTTGGAGGCGAATATATATGGCCAGCAATCCTACCTGTCTCGTCAGGTCTAATAACCTCGGTATCTCGGTAGCACTAGCATTCTAGCAACCATACTAAGAATCCCACTCCGAAGAACGCTCCTCGCTAAAATGACATCCTCTAACATTCCACGTGAGAATGACACCGTTGACGTGCCGAACCCCCGTCCAAGACCCTTGCCGGCGCCAAAGCCAAAGCCTGGACCTAAACCTAAGCCCATTATTAACTAATTCCGCGGACGGTACTTCCGATCGGAAATTCCGGCAGTCCTCAATCTTTTTCAGCAGCACTACGGAATTCATGGAAAGCAGAATAAAAGGGCCGTTAATTGCAATTACGCCTCTCACTGTGAGAGAGGCAAGGAGAATGTTATTGTACTTGGCGTAGCATGATTCGCATTCCCGTAACTACCGGAGCTAAGAAAACTCTGATCTTCAATAGCTCAGCTATGCAAGGGACTCTTAAGATATAGATAAATTTTCGGGTAACAGATATCCTTTCCCATTTGACGTGAAATGAAATGCAGGTAAATACCAATGCCGTTAGAGTAATGTCTTGGCTGCATCCTCTACTCTCGCTTCAACCCAACCTTACCCGCCTTTCGAAGCCCAACGCCACCAATCGAAGCACAAAGAAGCATAAAAGCAAACATGGTCCAGAAGCTGGCCTTGTATCCTTCCAGCAATGCTTTGGTCTCCTCCAGTCCTGAATGGTTCTTTGTTACAAGGGTAGACACGACCTGCATGATCGCCAGACCCATAGCATTCCCAAATTGGGATGCCGCGTTAAAGACGGATCCAGCGATAGCTTGCTTATCCTCTGGGAATGTCTCAGTGACGACTATTAGTCCAACTGTGAATAAGACGTCGATTGAGACGGGCATGAGGACCTGGGCGAAGAATGCGGTCGTCCAGTATGTCCAGCTGGGATTGGTGACAGCCATGAGAAGCGGTGAGATGGCGGTTAAAACAGACGTAATAACAATGAGCCAAATAGCCGGAATCCTGTGAACGACCAATCCAGTAGTGAAGTTCAAAGCCACACCAACAACAACACTCGGCAGAATCCGGATCGCCGCATTCAAGGCAGACAAGTGCTGAATCTCCTGGAAACTAGATCTTTATTAGTAGTAACATTTGGTGACATTCATGGCATAACTAACAATAAACTGGAGAACAGCTCTAGGGAGTTGATCACGGCGTTTGACAGGGCGATCGTCACGCAGATGCTAGTGAAAGCGTGGTTGCGCCAGAACGAATTGGGTATCAACGCCGGCTTCCCCTTTTTAACCTGGATGTGCATCCACACTACGAATAGAGGCAGAGCGACTAAGCTGAGACACAGAATGACGATGCTGCTTGCTTCCTTGATGCGATAGACGTCGGTGCTGATGATGCTGTGGTCTGATTAGAATACTTGTGATCGAAGATGAATGCGACTTACGCGAGGAAATAGCAGAGAAGAGCCATGAAAGCTGAAGCAAGTAAAGTGCCCAACCAGTCAACATCTGTCGCAACACTGTTCATGACATCTTTAAACGTGCCTAGAGGTTCAGACTTTGGCAAAGACCAAAATCCAACCGCAGACAAGAACAGAACAATACCACCGTAGAGATACCATCCCGCTCTCCACCCAACAGTCTCAACAAGCACACCACCAAGCACAAGTCCAAAAGAGAAACCAAGAGGCTGACTTAACCCCAGGCACGCAAAAGCTAAATTGCGTCCCCGTCCTCTTGCAAGGGTCTTTGTCACCAACGCAACCGAACTAGCAAGATGCAGCGCCAAAGCCACGCCCTGCAGGGCACGCAGCGCAACAAGCTCCTCACCGGCTTGTATAAAGCCACAAGCGAGCATGATAGCCCCGCTAAGGATGCATCCGACTAGCTCCACGGATCGTGCGCCTAGGACGTCGGCTAGAGCTCCTGCGAGGAGGAGGGTAGATGCTGTTGCTAAACCTTGGACGCTAGAGGGCCAGAATGCGAGGGAGGGCGGGAGATGGAGATCTGATGTCATTTGAGGTAAACCGACGACGATTAACCCGTTTGTTGCGCTACATGCAAAGTTGACGCCTGAAAGTTGGAATGTGACTGCTATTTTCTGGAGTTTTGAATATTCCTTGTCGGGTTGGATCTCGGCAGTTGGAGGTACCGGCATGGGTTCCACCAATAGTGTTTCTGTTTGAGTTGCCATAGTGAGACAAGAACTGTGTTCATTAGCTGAAAGATTCTTGGCTTCTCCGGTATTACAGGTATTCCCGTCAGGTTCGTTGTCCAGCTTATTTATGAACAAAGTCCGGGTGTCATCTCAATCAAGGCTGGTGCGCCCTTTAGGTGGAGTAAGACATGCAAGGGGCATATTACAAGGTTCTTTTGACAGCGCTGGCGAGGATTTTGGTCAGCGCTAACTCCCTTTGGTTGCTGTTGGGTCCCAAGCGAAGGTGCATGATCCTTTATCACCCTTTAAGAGAATGTGATATCCCACGTTCTTATCACGCCCTTTTGCAAATCACTTAGAAAACAAAGATGTGAGTCATCCGGTAATTGTCTGGGGAAAGCTCCATTTCCTCGCAGAGGTTTTGTGCAGGATAAGTTGAGGAACGACACACCATATGATAAGACTAAGAGCAGATTAAATCTCGTACATTATGGTAACGCTAATAAATAAGCTCAATGCATAAGGGCTTCTTTATAGATCCTTCCTCAATTTAGCTCCTCCCATCATCTTCGAAAAATGCGCCTTCTCGACCTCATTAGGCTCAACCCACCATTCATCCGCCTTGACCTTCTCAAACCCTTTCTCTCCCCACTTCTTGATCTGCTTCACGTCAATTTGATGTAACGGGATATCTAAATCCTTTGACATTTTGTCCTTGATGAGATCCATGACCAAGTGATGGCCGCAATCAGGGCCTTTGCCATCCACAAAGAAGACTTCATATGCAGCCTTCTTCTCCTCATCGCCTTTCTATAGCGCGCGATCCATGCTATTCATCATGGACTTCTTATTGTAACCCACAGGCTTCATCCACTTTTCCACTTTCTTGTAGTCCAACTGGAATCCCGCGCTGTCGTACGTGGGGGATCCATTGGGTCCCTTCTTGTGACATTGATACAGTTCATAAAAGCAATACAAAGGGTCGTTCTTTTCGTCTCTATGGTTTGGAATGTGGAACTTCGAAAGCCATTCTTCGCTCAATTCGCGTTTTTCGTAATGGGGTCTCCTGACGCGTCCTGACGTACGTCGGGGGTCTCGAATCTTTGAGTGGTCGAAGTCGAACTCGAGAGCTTTGTCGGTAAGTGTCGGTTTCGTCTCTTCCGTGGGGGTAGACGGCTCGGCTTGTGCATGGGATTCCTCTGTCTTCTTGGATTGTTTGGGCTTGGGTTCTGGCGCGGATGAGTCCGTCTTGCTTGATTGGCGCTTGTGGCCTCGGGGTTGAGGCGAGATGGAATTGTCCTCATTCTGGCTGCGATTGAGTGAATGATAGATAGTCAATAATGTCAATGATGGCTTCCAGCGAATCAACGAGCTAGGAAGGTTAGCGGTGACTTTGCAACACTTCTCAGATGATATCATTGTTGTGATGTCATGGCCACGTGACAGCTTTACGCGTCGCGTAGGGACGCGCTCATCGTGATCTCGACGGCACAGACGAGGGAAACTACGTGTCGCAAAGCGCGCGCAGTTCAGATTTATTGAGATCATCATCCGGTGGCTAACTTGAAAAATAGTTTGCATTAGACTTTGGACAGCCTTACCTCCAGATCTCCAACACTTCCTTGTCATGGGTGCGCAGCCTCGATGCTACGTGACTACAGTCTACGCGTGAGTGTTCAGATTCATAAAAGTGTTCTCTTATTAAGTACGCATTGCGGGCATCTTTATCACCAGATGTGTCATAAGTAAACCCCGAGCAGTTCAGATTCATGACCATCTTCTCGGCCTTTATCGTTCCGGGTCACAATCTGCCGCATCTTTGTAGAATATCAGCTGGAGTAATAAGTGAAGTCTTCCCTGTTGGGAGACCGGCAGCGCCAGGGTGTCAGAAGACCTGGTCACTGGGAGCATAAGAGACGAAAACATTTAGTCAGCTTATGCAAGTTTAGGCAGGCATTTATGGTCTATTCACTTTTATCCTCTAAACCTTAGGTAATAAACACGCCTTGTTGGCAGCATATCTTAAACCTTGTGCCTCTTGTGCTTCCTCCGTTCAATCTACCGTCCGCTATGCGTTCTTGATCATCCATCCCTCACAGGACCATCACGGTGAACTTAGGGCGGGCCTGTCGATCCCGCATCGCCCGGCCCTCAACACTTGTGTCGACACGTCCGGTGTCGTTCAAGATCCTGGCAACCGCCCCCTGGGTGCTGAAGATAGCCCAATAGAAGGGTGTCTTGCCTTCGTTGTCCTTAGAGTCCGGGTTGACTGCACCAATGCCCAGTAGTCGTCGAGTGACTTCTTGACTGCCTTTCATTGCAGCGTACGCCAGGGGTGTGCGACCGTTGTTATCCTTCACCTCGGCATCGACGCCTTCCTTGAGAAGGAAGTCGACGATCTCGAGACAGCCCGCGTTGCTTGCGTGATAAAGGGGAGTCATGCCTGCTTCGCCATGGGCGGTGATGTCGGCTCGGCCAGTCTCAACAATGAGCCTGAAGATGGCAGGCTTGTCGCAAGCCCATCGGAATAAGTACGAGCTGTACTCTATTCAACCGTCAGGGTAAGGATGATCAAAAGTCCAAAGATAACTTACTGCTGAAGTCAAATGCGTCAAGTACGAACAGGATTCTCGCAATCTCAATTTGCCCGCCCGGAATTGCGGTACTCATGAGGTTGAATCCAGAGCATACATGCCCATCTCGATAGAGATTAGCTCGATGTTCGGGCTGAGCGATCAGCTGGGTGAAGAGAGTGGTGTTCCCTTCACGGATAGCCTTGTACAAAGGGGGCTCCAAATCAGCGAAGGAAACCATAGTGACAGTGTTGTTGTTGTGGAATGATTGTAAAGACGAAGCTCTTTGTTAAAGAAGGAAGATGAAGAGTCAAGAGAAGAAGAAATGACGGGCGGCGAAGAGCCCTCTAAGTACTTGAGAGGAAGCTTAGCAGTGAGTCACTTCTTGTTTGCTGAGATGTGAATTGTCGGCTACCTATCAAACAGTTTGGCGATAAACGGCCAGATATCTCAATATGCCGATTTTGCCGGTGCAAACAATGAAAAGTAGAGAAGCGCATGGAAGAAGAAGTACCCGTTAGAGTGCCACAAGAAATAACTGCTGAGCCGCAGAATAAGCTGGCAGATATGCCACTGGTTGTCCTGCTTTCAACATGATGGGAGGAGTGCGAGAAACAAGCTGGACTGATCACAACATAGCAATAACTCAAGACGAGATTGCGACAAATAGGATGCATGAGTAGAATCACGATTTGTTCATTAAAAGACGTGGTCCATGCTGGGCCCTTAGGGCACCAGAATACTTTGATGTAGCAGGCATAAGGCCTGGGGATTATGTACTGAGAACTACCATCCTCATATCCACAGCAAGCCGTCATGCTAAGGAAACCTTACGCTTCTCGTCATCCTTTCACCATGCATTGGAAGGACCGAGATATCGGTTAATGTGCCGACCATTCATTCTGTCCATGATCCCCCGATGTCCCATCTCCTGGTTGACGCGTCCGGAATCTCTCAAGATCATCGCAAACCGAGTGTTGCCACATGGAGTAGCCCAAAAGAGAGGAGTTTTGCCCTCAAGGTCTTCAGCATCAGGGTTGACTCCATCTACCCGCAGAAGTCGGCAGGCAACGTCCCTGCTGTCTCCCTTGGCGGCGTAGGCAAGAGGCGTTCGGCCACCGTCGTCTTGTTCGTCAGGGTTGATGCCCTCCTGCGAGTAAATAGTCGACAATAGAGAGAGAGCCTGCTTCGCTGGCCCAGTGAAGAGGAGTGGCACCATTCTCATCACGGCCGCTCAGGTTGACTTTGCCAGTCTCAGCGATGACCTTGAAGACGGCATATTGTCCGAAGAAGGCAGTCCTTATCAAGTAGGACGCAGCTCCCTCTGCATCGTGAACGTCTATTCGACTATTAGAATATGGACTAGAGCATTGAAGTACCCGAGGAGATGCCATACCTGTAAAATCGAATACTGAAGAAGGAAGTGTCATCAAGGCTCTGACGATCTCAACATAGCCGTCCGCGATTGCCACTTTCAAGCACTGTTCCCCAAACCAGCGGGTTAGTTTAGTTCGAATCTGGGGCTGCTTCAGAAGATGGTTGAGAAGAATGATGTCGTTTTCGCGGGTAGCCTCGTGAAGAGGCATCAGCTCACGCAAAGGGCCCTCCATGGCAAGCTGTTGACCAACGTATGATACGATTTTGAAGGTTGTAGAGATTGGGTTCTTTCTTTTGGGGAAGGAAGAAAACGAGTTGCTAAAGACAAATGGCAGAGCGCTAGTGGGTTGCTCACTGAGTGCCGGCTAGCCGCCAGCTGGCAAACAACGAGACGAGCAAAAAGTATCTGATTCTGCCAGTGCAAACAACTGTCACACTCGCCGCCGAGAATCGGAGGGACGAAAAATCTCTGAACAACGTGATCATGTCAATCTGGAGCTTTTTCTTTGCCTAGCATTTGCTTTCATCGTTCTCACGACCGGATCGGAATCGGCTTTTTCACTCGCTCCATCACAACGCGTTTGTTCTTCCAAACAAACTTCCGACATCTCACCACAAGAACAAACAATCACATCCCTCGGCGATGAATGGGAGAGTTTCTCTCAACATGTCTCTACATGAGCTGAGCGTCCGAAATCCTTGGTTCCCGACTCATCCTCTGCTATGGACCGAACGACACCTGCAGCTCGTAAACTGCACATTTCAACAACTCGAAACTCCTACCGAAGCCGGTGAGCACCAAGAGGATACCGTCGGTGACGTAGAGGATTTCGCGACCGAATGGGAATGCGGTATGAAAGGTTTTTGTTTTCGCCTGCTGGTCGATCGCGATGGAAGTCCTTGGAAACCTGCTGCGTATGTTATGCTGTTTCGCCTTATTTTTCTTTTTTGGGCGTTATTGATAGGCTATACAGTGGCGCACCGGCTTTCGACTACGCTCAGCATGAGATATATCGACTGGATTGTGGCATTTACTTGACGCCGGCTGTACCTCCGTCAGAGACCAGCCCTGCACGACTTATGGTGAGCCCTTATGAATACGCTTGGGCAACAGATCGACGTCGAGCGAAATGTTACCCTTGGAAGCATGCGGCGGGAGAGGAAGCTGCCCAGCGGCTATGTGAGCGCAGATTACGACAATGTGCGCCTGAGACTTGGACTCGAGATCCATATCTTGTCTGTATCATGTTGTCTCTAGCACAGGACGACTGGTATCGGTCTCTCCACCAAAGCTATCCGGTAATTCTCTTCCTCCTCCTTTTTGAATTAGCGATACTAACGTCTTTAGGTGTGTCTTATCGTCTGCAATGAGACCGACAAGGCTAATGCCTACGTATATCATGCCGAGTTCCCTTTGGATATTACGGAAGGATTAAAGACTCCTTCGTTACGTATATCTACTTGGCCTACGATCTACTATACTAAGATCCCGTTTGAGCCATACGGAAGCTTTCTCGACCATCTCACTACAAGAATCCTGGGGGTTAAGGAGGTCAACACGTCAATTGCCGAGTTGACGAAGGAACGCCAACGCTGCGATGGAAGCGACAGCACTGAGAGAGGCTGCAAGAGAGTCATTCCAAACATTCTGGAGGGCTTGAAGACTCTCATCTCCAAATGGTAGGTGTGCCATTCACAAGGGGCAAGGACAAGAGCCGCTTTTGACATACTAGAAGTTGAGCTTTTCTCAACAAATTTGCACTTTCCAGGCATCGTCTTCCCGATGTTCACAACAACGTTTTTAATATCTTGTCCTGCCCTAACTTGAGCTCTTCTACAAGGCATAAGGTACCCTTCTTTTCGTCAGAACTCCGTCATCTTTCCGTCATTTTCCCTTGTTGCCGAAGCTATCATCTTTCGGACTTGCTGCACCGGGGCGCGTCCATTGAAGTGTCAACTCATTCATCTTCCAACCCCACAGATCCTTTTCCGTGTCGTCGACAACAACAAAACCAGCTCTATCATAGAGAAACAACGACGTCTCCTGTGTTCTCGCGGTATAAAGTGAAACCTTCTCAAATCCCATCTCTTCCACAAACTCCATTGCTGCGGCCAGCAATCTTTTCCCAACGCCGAGACCACGGGCTCGCTCGTCCACTATGAAACCTCGGATCTGCGCCATGCCGGGTTGTTTCATACTCTCAGCATCGACGAGTATAGTACCCACGATCTTCTGTGTAAATGCTGCAGGATCATCATCAGGCGTTGTGTTCTGGATTGCGGCGAAGACTTGGTTGCGAGGGTTGGAGTTGAGTCTTGAGATAAGGTCGGCCCATGCTGCGCCGACTGAGGCTTCGAATGCTAGACCCCAGGAATTTATGGGGTGGTAGTAAGCTATGTGCATCTCGAGACATCTGGCGAGTAAGCCAGGACGATATCCTGCTTCAATAGTGACAGTTGATCCATGGGCGGCCATCTTGGAAGCTACAGAGCTGTGTTTGAGTAAATTAGAGTTGCGCCTCGCCCTGGAGGGTGTAGGAGACCATGACCGAATGAGTCAGACTGCATCGATTTCTCTTGGCGCGCCCTGTCACCGTCTAAGCTGACACACAGATGCGGGGTATCATTCGGTACGCAAGGCGACCATTTACCAATAAATTATTTCTATTTCTGGTCTCTGTTCTGTACATAAGCCCAAGGTTAATTGGAAATCTTGATAATTGACAAGGACTATACGGAACCGCAACAACCGTGCGAAAACATCAGACTTGCATACTTCGTTCACAGACACATTTCAATAAGATCCTATTTAAATGAACGTTGAACATTTAAACCTGAGCCCGTTCGCAGGTACCTGCCATCTCATCCCAGCGCGTCTCACGTTGTTATTACTCCCGTACTGGTGTCTTCTCAGCAAGACATACAGGCACCGCGAGGCATCATACATGGAAGTTAGTAACTGAACCACAAGCAAAACTTAGCCTGACGATGAGGAGAGGTATCGGGTTAATCGCTCGTGACGTTACAGGTTCTGTGAGTTCTTTCTGGAACACGCGAAAACCTTACAAAGAGAATTATTCGATAGATCCCATTCGGGAAATTGGCGCATTTAGGGTCCTCGGGGAGACCCGCAGCGTCCTTTAGTAGTAAAGGCTTAGCCTGTAAAATATCGAAAGAAAGCCTGAAGCTGCGTTGATAGCTGACAGCTCAAATCCACGAGTCCGATCGGGAACACAAACTATTGACCTTTCCTAGGCACTAATGCTACTCGGGGTTTGCTTGTGACACGTCTGGTCATAAAGATGCCCGCTATCAACGCGAGATGCTAATTTCCGAAGCTCTGTTTATAAAAGTCCAACAAAGGCAGATTCCCAACTCCCCGTCGCTTTCTTCTCAAGTTACCTATGCCAATTTCACTCGTTTTAGTCATTTATTCGAGGCATCATGCATTTGAGCAACCTTCGCTTGCTGGCCGTTGGCCTTGCTGGTCTTGATATTGCAGTTGGAAGCCCTTGCAAACCCATCTCCTCAGGCAAGTGATACACTTCGGGCTTGTTCAACATTTGTTAATAGTATTGGCGTAGCTTCTGACTCTGCGATTGCGACAACTGCTACAACATCCGGCTCATCCGGCTTCACCTCGTCTTTGGACAGCTCGGCCACCGTTGCCACTACCACGACCGAAGCAGTGACTCCTGCAGACTCTACCACTGAGGCGACCACGGTTACTCAAGTAGACACGGCTACTGCCGATACGACCACTTCCGATGATGTCCTTTCGGAGACGACCACTCTTGTTACATCAGTCGCTACCACTGAGGAAGCTTCTGCTACTGTCGCGGATGCCACAGCTGAGACCACGACAACTTCAGACGCTGTCACTACTTCTGCCGAGATCACAGAGGCTCCCACCACCACCGAAGCTACAACTATTGCAGCCCCTACCACCACCACCGTGCCAATGTTCCGCCTCGTCCCTGAAAGCGGAACTTACGCAAACTAAGGTATTGCATCAAACCGGTACCAGGGCGCTAAGCTCACCTTCAACAGTCTTTCAGGCTATCACGAAGCATTCATCACCGTCGATTCCACTACTGGCCACTTGCTTCTTGATGGCCAGAAACCTATTTGTGGCTGGACTCCTGGTGATGGCACCAGTGCACTCGTGGTCTGCAGTGACAATATGTCAGCGCAAGAGAAGTTCATCACCTGCGAGGCACCTACCAGTCGTCAGTTGGAGTGCACTGTGCCTGAACTCTTTTGTAGCATGTTTACAGGCTGTACTGCTACAGGAAACCTTTGGGGCACTACATACATTGGGGCCTCTGGCGGTACTGGTGTCGATCCTTTGTTCCTTGGTCCTGACTACAGTCAAGGAAACACGGCTGTACCCCTGTTGATTGTACACAGCTCGGACTAAGCGAGCTAAGACGAAAGAGTTAACAACCAGTCCATGTTCTTCATTTTTACAGATATATATGTCTTTAAATCACCTTGGTTCACCATAATGTAATACTTCCTGTGTATCAATGATACATAATGAAACTGTCAAAGCCAGCCAATTGGTAGTAGAGGAATTGTCTTTCAAGGATTAGGCTCCTAGAATAGAACAGCTAAGTCTCAGCCTAGACCTGCACAAGGTGACTAAATTGTTTTGTTTCCTGTACTTTTGGGGGCTATTTCTTCCAATACCCTGAGGGTTGTATAAGACTAAAACTAAGGCCACATGGATATTTTCTGGTCTTTTCCCCGATCAGTTCGTAGCTTGCATGAGGTCACTGAAACAGCCAATAAAAGAATTTGTCTCTGGCGAGAGAAAAGACAAGAACTGCACAGCCTCTGAAAAACAGCCTTGTGTTGCCCACCTGCAGTTGTAAGCACACCTAAACATCCAATCACGACCGATTATCGCCTGAAAACACCCAAAAGTCTCCGAACAGTGCATAAATGTCGTAGGTAGCTCCAGTTTTTGACCTCTTAGTCTTTACCTCCTTCATCGTTAGCAGGACTACCAAATGACAACATGGCATCCAAGACCAAAGCCGAGTGCTCACTCAACACCACTGAGTGCCTCTTGGAGACTATCGCGAGTATTCTCAGCGAGATCCAGGAGCAAAACAACGAATACAATTGGGATCCTCTGACCTTTATGTTCACGGCCATTATCGGTGTTATCGCTATCATAGTCGCAGGCTTGGCCGCCTTTCAAGCTTTCTTGGCTGCTGGTCCTGGCCGCACCAAATCTGGGGCCTATGCTATTGGTCCATGGTCACGACTCAATCGTCGCAATTTCGATTTGGCTGAGATGCGATTTCGGACCACATCGCTTACACCAATCCTGACGATTAATTCGCTCGATTTTCGGGCTCTAGAGCGACAGATCTCTAACGCAGATCGAGACTCGATAAAACTTAGAAAGAGAAAAGACGATTACTTCCCAGCAACATGGCTTTCCCTGTTAACACACCTCTCCCTAGACAGCACAAAGCTCTGGGGTCAAGTGAAACTCACTGGAGCCGATTTTATCCCATCAGAGTTACCAGCTGTCCCAGCATACGGGTCCATCCGATTCGTCGTAACTCTAGCCATGATTCTCTCGCGAGGACGCGGTCGCCTGACCATTGACCGGGAATCTGGCTTACCAAGGGTCCGCGACCATCACTTCAATCTTGTGTTTCGCCAACATCCTTTGTTAGGTGCCATTGGATTCTTCGAGATGTATAGAGTGATAAATGAGATGTATACGCCAGACTCGGGTTGGCTCATACAGATGCACACGCGGTTACTTCAAGCCTCCGGCTATATGAGTATCCCAGAGCCTCAGCGCAGCGGCGACAAGACCGTCACGGGCCGAGTTACTCATTTTATCGTGTTTGAAGGTTGTGACTTCACACGGTCATTCCTGATCGATGTTCTACGGCTGTGTCCTCATGGCAACCAGAATCCAAAGCCGGCATGTGTCAATGTACTTCACTGGACAGGGTCTAATGATCATTATTTTCAAAACGGGCCTCTACGTCTATTGATAGCACCTACCCCATCGTCAGATCATCTTCCGTTCTTCTTCCCGCACAAGGTGGCTAAACTTCGCGAAAGACTTGACACTTTTTTGCTCCAAAGCCGATTCTGGGGTATGAGAGCCACGTCTTATTACGACATCATGCCCAACCCAACCGCGAGTACCCCCAACGACGGGCTTCAACTGACCGGCATTGCTACATTATGGGTTAGATCAAACGTAAAGCCCGATATCGACGAGCTGCAGGTGGATACAGAGGTCTACAAGCTTTGCTCGGCGTACCTTTCACAAAATTCTACTCAAAACACCGAATATGATGTCGAATTGCTATGGCAACAGCGCCAACTTCAGAGAGAACTTGAGGCCGTTGATCAATGGCTAGAGCAAATAAAACCCCATATCTTATGCAGGATCCTCACACTGAGCGTCATTGGAGATGGGATTCGCCAAATGATTGACACAGTTCAACCACAGCCAGTTCTCGAAATCCCATCTGGCACCCACAGCGCAACCATGCCCCCTAGCCTTGACAACATCTTGTTACCTGGATTACATGACAAGCTCTGCCACTTGTTGGAGGCCATAAACAAAGCCGAGATATCCGGGCACCATCTTTACTCAGCTGGATGGGGACATCAATCGAATGCTCTCAGGGATTCGGCGTATGACACCTTAAAAGGTCTGAAGACGGTACAGAATCTTTGGGAGACAGAAGAAATACCTCCAAATGATGAGGATAGCGGGAGTCAAGACGAAGTAGGCGAGATACAGGGGATACACAGGGAGCAAGAGCACAAGAGTCATGCATGGAAGCATGCTTCTGCGACTTGTCACCCATTGGACAATATCCTCATATATCGTGCGGTTTTGCTGACGATGTTATATTGTTTGAGTAGCGACAGCAGTGACTGGATAGGCGAAAATGCATGGGATATCATTGTTCCAATTATGTAATGGTTACTTACACGAGTTTTAAAGGAGACGTCAGAGACTCAGAGGGATGAGGCACTGAGCATAAGCGATGGCATAGTTTAACTGTATCATGCTATCTCAGCTAGCACTGAGGCTACTTTATTTCAGTATCCCAAGCCTTAGAGCATGATTCCCTGTTATATAACGACCTAGGAAACTGAATTGGTATCATAAAATTCATACAGAAAATGACTCGCTCCTTGATATGCGTTGCCTTCCACTCATCCAGCAACACCTTCATTTCTTACTCTTCGTCGTAAGCACCTTCTCGTGTTCCATCCCATCCGCTACTGCCGTTGTCCCACTACTCACAGTTCCAGTAATAGTCGTCAATCCTCCAACATCACTCAGTGTCGGTATCTCTTCTCCATCTTCTATTCGTGCCAAAGATCGGTCGATGAAAATTGGCCTCGCTGTTCCTTCCTTTTGCTTCCTCTTGCATATCATCTTCTGCACCAATTGTCGCGTTGATGGCACGCAGGCTACTATAGTGCCTACATACGTCTCGATTAATGCCCACAAGACGATGTCCAGTTGACCAGTCGCTGTTACAACATGTCAGTATTTGATACCAGCTCCATCATACTTTACTTGCCTGCTTGTGAAGGATTCGAAAGTAGCTTTTCCGTCAAGACGGTCCGTACCAGACTGACAGCTGTGAGACTCATCATTCTGTTAGTTTCAGAGAGTGCAGTATGATTGAGGGACCTTACAAAACCCCTAGTCCAAACATAGAGATGACGCTGATCTTCTTGTTAAGTTTGAGTCCGATGTTCCAGAGCTGTGTCATGGGCAAGATGAGCATCCAGACATCAACCACCAAATTAATTATACAACTAGCCAATACAACTCTGATGCTCGGTACGTAGTCTTCCGGATCAAGAGTGCTCAAGTTCTTCACATTTAGTAAATTACCCACAGCTCCCCCAACAGTAAAGTTGAGGACGGAAATGACAATTGTGGATATTACGTTGAAGGCGATTGTCGCCCAGACTACAATTCGAAATCGGCTGTCTGGAAACACGCGGAGGTAGAAAAAGAGGATCGAGTTTTTTGCTGCAGCCAAGGCGCACAGGTACATCGTATGCACAATAACTATCTCCTGCTTCAAGTTAACACAGAACCTAGATTATATCAGATTTATTTACCTTGATAGCCTTCTTCATGTTGTCTTGACTGAATAAAGGAAGAGCAAGGCCGATGCCATGTTGTATTGCTGATGAATAACAGCTATAAGCCGCGACACAATCACGGGATGTTGGTGACCAAAACTTACCCAGTAGTATAAAGACAGTTAAGGGTATTAAGAATACCTGTTTCATGTCAGCATGGTGCCAAAGGCAAGAGAAAGTATCGTACAAATGCAATGACTGCCCATGTATCATCTGGTCCCCAGGGGCTCTTGGTGATGAACTTGGAGGCTACTCTGAGGGCGACAAAGAACATCGCCAGCGTGGTAAATACAATGATGACAATTCGATACATCTGGCGGTTATCCTGCAGAGGCATATTGCAGAACTCTACGCCAAACTCCATCAGACCTGCGCAGTATTAGCCAAGTCGCATTAGAGCACTGAAGCGCTACCTCTCATCTCTTCAACGTTGCAGTTGCTAGTGACACAGTTCATCGCCTCGGTCGGGAAGGAAGAGTGGTTATCGCACATCGCCTTTATGTCGGTATTTGTGCCATTTGACGGATCGAGCATTTGGATAAGGCATGGTATCTTTCAACCTGTTAGCTGGGAGATCAGAAACAGCATATAGACTTACTGCACATGACGGGACATCTGTTACAGACAAGGCTGTCGCGAGTCCCGCCAAGCAGAGCAAAAGTAGATGAATCATTCTCAGACTCTCGAAGAGAAATGACTAAAGAGAATGAGACGGGAATGGGAATCAAGTCAATTTTAAAAACCGTCACCGGAGCATTTAAGACATGTTCTACTACGTTCCTGGCTTAGCACGCCCAGGCCTCGACGGATCGATCCTGTCTCAAAGGCTGTTAGCGAGGAATTCCATGTCACCGTTCATTCCAACGGGAAGTTAATCACACGAAATGGGCTGAGAGTGGGAGTGATAATGCAGGTACCTGGCTGCGCTATGAGGGAAACAGGGGAGAGATCTGCTGTGGCGTACGCCACTTGGATCCTTTACACATTAGTGATTACACCAATACCAAAACATGGGGAATTGTGGTTCTTCAGGGTGGTTCAAAGACGTTTGAATGACGGTATTTGCTTTTAAATATTGTTGTAATTTGAGGTATGTTTCTGATATGGGACGGCGAGCTTTTGTGGAAGTGCAAAGCGAGGTCATGATGCAGATTATAGGCTTCAATTCAGTCATCTAGAATGAGTGTCTTCAGCTGAAACAGCGTTCAAACCCAAATTCCTCAACGTCGCATGGTGAATCTTACCGATTTGATTATGGGCAGGGTGCTTTTTTCAGCTTTGGACAAGGAAAGTTGAGTAATGTGAGTTATCAGATTGAAAGCAAAGAATGAACACGCGATATAACAGCAGTAATATCGGACCAGTAGACAAAAGAAATTGGTCTACTGAGATAAAGTCGTATCAATGCTATTTGCTCAAGACGATCAGCTGATTCGGTTTCTTATGATTTGGCATCTAACTCTTCTGACATGGAAGCCTATCGGTAGCGGTACTTCTTATCTCGAACTAATTTGGTGGAAAGGAAAGTCTCTTATCGGTCGATCAGATGATAAGATAAGATGCCATGGAGCTTCCTGTTACCTCGCTAACAGCGCTCCACAACTTCTATACCACAAGCTGTTAAGGCTTTATCGTTCTCCGGCCGAGTTGTTCAAGCGTGTATCTGGATTTGCAAAGGGATAGAGAAGCATCTTCTTATTATCAATAAACCCAGAGCAAATATTCAAGCTGGCTAATTAGATTCTGAAGACTTGAGACTTGCCAATTCCAAGCTGTTCGGATACTTCCAAATTGCAAAAAAAACCATCAATCACTTTCCGTCGATTGTGAAGCAGGACGAGACTTGGTACGTATTTCCAGAACAAGCCATCTAAGATCCCGAAGCAAGATTACATTATTAGTCCGTCGTCAATTTAGCTACATGTCCCAGATGATGCAAGATATGGTTAAGTTTCTGATAGATTTTGTTACCATTGCCATTGGGTTTAAACCTCATGTTGAGCCTTCCCTTACCCTGGAGGAAGCTCCAACTCCATCCGTACCAAGAATCCTGCTCACAGGCCACCAGTTTAGGAAATGGCTATTCGTTTTGCTATCCAACGAAAGGGATACGGTAAACCCTCAATCTCGCCAAGACGAATCTAAAATAATAATTACGAAAACTTTGCGACAATAGACCGAGGTGCTGACTATCTCTGTAAGGCACAGCAAGTAGATCTCTTGGCGCATGCCGCTATTGGAGCTTATGCGAGTGTCGGATATGAATCCGGGAGAATATGGTTTACCTGTAGATTGGTAAAGTACTCTGACTGAAGCAACCGCGAGATGAAAGCCCTATCAAAGCGGGGAAGACATCTTTGGCAAAGACAGTCGCCTGCTTGCTATAACAGTCTAGTATAATCGTTTTGCGTTATGCGAGATTTGACTCTTGGCTACTAGATTACATCGTGATAGCCATTGCGGCGCGAAATTGGGCGTCGCGATCAACGATAAATTCAATCTGATAACAAGAAATCCGCGCAAGCGGGGTTGATAATTGATCTTCAAAAGCCTTGGGTCGTATTCACAATTACAAGCCCAAGCTGATATCAGCCCAGCGAGAGGTTAAGATCGCTCTCAAACTGCGACTGTAACATCCGGAATAAGATGAACCGCCCACATCCCGACCTGGTTCTTAACAGAATGCAGATAATTTTCCGCTTCGGTGGAATGTCGGATTATAGTAAAACAGTTAATGTTGGACATAGCTTGAAAATCTCCACGAAGGATTCTAACAACGTCCCAAACGATTGGCATGAGGAACGAGATCCTTGACCAGATCTAGAAAGTTTGATGGACAGCGCCGTTTGCCTACAGGAGGATTCATGTACGTCAAGACACGCGGAGTTCCACTGTGAGAGGGAAGGTATGGAATCCTTCTGCAGGTCCAGGACCCCTGCAGTAGTAGGATGCGAAGCGGATGAACTGGCCCTTTTTGATCCTTTGGCCCGAGAAACTTTATTGGGTCCAGTTAGCAAATTTGGGATGACAGCGGTTCCCGGGGAATGGGTTGGGTGTTTCATGTGTTTCCATCAGGAAGGATGACAGTTTCAACGGACGACGTATCACGTATCAGATCTGGTTTCTTGTGGAGTTTGTACCGAGAGAAACTACGCGAAGATAATCCTGCGGCCGCATCCAACGGTTTTCGGGCTTAGTTCAAACCTTATGCTCCACGTGCGAAGCTACAGCGATGACAGACCAGTATCACAGTGAGACCGAGGGGTCTAATTGTATGTTCTTATGCCAGTCTATTTTCAGTGGCCTCTATATATGCAAATGCCTGCCGTAAAATCATCGACTCTTATCTTATATCATCCACTGACTAAATATCTTCCCCATATATATCTTAAATGATGAGCTTGGTGAGGAGCTTACCCTGGTTGACACCAGTGAAGAGCTTCATCCAAGTCTCGGGCTGCTTCTCAATGGGAGCCTCAATAACGGTCTCGGCAGCCTCAAGCTTGATGCGGCCGTCGGCAGTGGCGCCAATAAGCTCGCCAAGGATGGCAGGGACCTTGTCCATGTAGTCGAGCATGATGAAGCCACGGATGTTGATACGCGAAGAGATAAGCTCGAACCAGTTCTTAAGAGCCATGGGCTCATCAGAGTTATAGCTGCTGACGGCGCCACAAACGGCAATGTGACCGTGGCGCTTAACGCGGGTCAGCATAGCGTCGAGGACGAAGCCGCCGACGTTGTCAAAGTAGACATCGACCTCGTCGGGGGTAACGCGCTTAAGATCCTCTAGGAAGGTAGGAGACTTGTAGTTGATGCACTCGTGGGCACCGATGCTCTTCACCCACTCGCACTTCTCATCGGAACCGGCAATTCCGATAACGCGCTTGGCCTTGAGGATCTTGGAGGCGATCTGGACGGCCATGGAGCCGGTGGCGCCGGCAGCGGCAGAGATAACGATGGTGTGCTCGGGCTTAGCCTCGCCAGCGTAGTACAGACCAGTGTAAGCAGCGAGACCAGAGGCGCCAAAGGCACCGAGGAAGTGAGTGGTAGGGAGACCATTGGGGAGGGGAGCAAGAGGCTGGGAGTTCTCGGCTTCTAGGATGGCATACTCGCTCCAGATGCCGAGATGGAAATCCATGCAGAGATCGCCAACCTTGAACTTGTCGGACTTGGACTCGACGACCTCAGCGATGATGCCGGATCGCATAGGCGAGCCGACGGGGACGGTAGGGACATAGAAGCGCTCAGGGGCGACAGTGCTCTGCATAAAGTTCCTCAGGCCAGTGTCGTTGGAGAAGTACTGGATCTTGACGAGGATCTGACCATCTTGGAGGTCGGGAAGGGTGACGGTCTGCAGCTTCCAGGTGGCGTCAGGGCCTTCAAGGACAGGCTCCCCTGTGGGCTTGTTGGCCAGGATCCATTGCTTGGTAGTGTGCTGAGCAGACATGATGACAGAGTGATGATGGTATTATGTTTGTGATAGTGATAGTGATACGAGGCGAGGCGATACAGTAGTAGTACCGAAAAGTTTAGTTGATGGAAAAGATGGGTTATTGTTTCGCGGAAGCTCGTAGCGAGAAGAGCTGGACGAGATATGGTTGGTGGAGAGTGGGGGAAGGATCTAAACCAAGAAATATTTTGCTTTTTTCCCAGTTGGGACTTTGGTTTGCGATCAAGACTAATCCTTTATAAAGGTAGAGAGACGAGCTTACCGTAATTACAATTCATTATTAATTTCTGTTCTTGTCCACTCCTCATGTGGACTAGTCATCTATTGTGTCCTCTTTCCGTTGGCTCGTGCTGGTCCCATCTCCGACGAGTGTTTGAGGTCAGGTTCAAGGGTCTATGGGAGGGGGGACCCCCATTTATGCCCCCCAAGTCTCTCTGTCTCTGTTGGTTCCCCTTTCATGCACACATGGTAGAAACGGGAGGATTTTGTAAGGACACCGTAAACCTGGTCAAGCCAAGACAGTGTTCCCCCCCTGAAAAAGTGGCGGGCGAAAGGTTGCATAATGGAAGGTAAGAAAGAAGCACGTCAGACGGTTGGGTTGTTTCGAGAGCTAGCATCGTGCAGTTTAAGATCTCGATAATTCCGAAACTCAATCCAACGCTGCTACCAATTTTGTCTCTTGACATCCGACACTAGAAGAGCCGTTGCTGAAGATACGGCCGGTTTCGTTTCACTACTGAGAAACCGTTGAGAACTAAATGAGCTCTCTAAATTTCTAGCGCCGCCGTCGTCATGAGTCGTGAGTCGGCCAACTTCTGCTTTTTATGCAGGATTGCAGCATACTTTTAGGGCATCAACCACTGTAAACATGTTGCTCAAAAGGCAGAGCCGACGCTAAATTAGTGAGTGTCCCCTCTTTTTTGGAGTCTAGTCCAAATGGGCTGAGCTTGCAACGTTCTCAACTGAAATCCTCCAACACTATGTGGACTCGACTGGAGACGCTAGACCTTGACCCTGCTCGCCAAGTGGTCCAGGAGTCTTTTAGCCACGGGCACCAACAACCATCCGTCGTCTCTAGTCCGCAGTAACTTGCAATCTCAACCGCCCAAATCTTGCGCCTTCGGGAAGACCGTTTGAACTCTCTTCTCTCCGCAATGTCTGTTCTCAAGAACTACCCTTTTCGTTCAGCCTTTCAGGTCTGTAAGGCTGCATTAGGATAGCTCATCGTTAGACTGGTCTAGCAAGTGCTTTGCTTGTCATCAATTGCATAGCTGCTAGAGTGCTGCCCACCAGGATTACCCGTATGTTTGATAGCCACTAGTCAGCCCCGGCATATTTTACGGCGTGCCCATTTTCGATGTAATGTTATGCTGCAGTTGCCGAGTCAAGAAAGTCAGAGGTCGAAAAGCAAACAGAGCGTCTCTTTCCCAGTGGACCGTCACGTTCATTTGGGCTCCAATCACCATGGCCTGTTTGCCATGCGATGCGATCGCGTGTTCCTTTTTGCTCGCCTCTGCATGGAACTTTGCTTGCTTTTTCTTGGTACCAGTGCCCGGGCGCTGGTGCTCAGACTTCCCACCCAGCTGAACTGTGGTTGCTTTGTCGTTATTTCTCGTCTCTTTTTTTCTTGAGTCTGGAAGGATTCTAATCCTTGACTTCTCGGCACCTTGGGGTTTTACTTGACTCACGTGTGGCAATTTGGGCAATTACTCGTTATATCCGTCGTTTTACCACTCATAAGGGTTAATCGTGCCAAGTTTGTTCCACCCTGGATCCGTAGACTAAGACTCTTCAGTCTTCTCTCTCCCCTGCCCGGGAAACCCCTGCTTGGTCTCAGAATCCGCGCCCGCGGTGCCAAAGGGTTTCTCGGGTACGGATACTCGCATGATCCCTCCCAACGAACAAGCCCGTGGCAAAGAGATTACTGGGTCCAAGTTGCGCAGTCGTACGGTTCTTTTTGGCAGTTAGTTCGTCCTAATGACCGTTGTTGCAGAGAAATAGTGGCTATCCGTAGACTAATGCAGGTTCCTTTCTTCTTTCCCCTCTTCAATCCTGACATTCTAATTCTACGTGTGCGCCGCAGCCGTTCGCTTCCGCAAGCTAAGGAAGTGAATCCCAATCAATGATCGACAGGACATTTTACTGTTCCTTGTCCCAGAATACCACCCTTCCTTTTTTCCCTCGTCCTTGGAATTGATATAAGGAACATTGGGGTAACCCTTAGCTCTTGCTCGTCATTTTCTCCCCATGTTTGCTTGATTGATGTTGGTTGTGATATTTTAACACTCCCCCGGTTGTCTTGTGTTTCGATTTGAGTGTTTTGTTCTTGCTTGTCTTCCCGCAATATCGCCCACCATGTCTGATGCTGCTGCTGCGGCGCCACCGGTGGACTCGTCCGCGCAGGTCTTCTTGCCCATACTGGGCTTCGTCGTGGCCGAGCTCGCCATCAACTGCATCATCGTTCTTTTGGTCCTCTTCGTTGTCGGGCTGCGGGTCGTCGGACGGCTTATGGGACCTGGTCTTGGATGGGATGACTACTTCGTTATTTTCTCAACGGTTGGTGATCATCACTTGATGTTCAATGGTATCAGTAACTAACAATATTCCAGCCGCTGGGTGTAGCAATGCTGTGCTGTCAAGGCCTCTTCGCGCCTGTTGGAAATGGATACAGACTCGCAGATCACCAAGAGCTTATGGTCAACGTACCTTTCATTCTGAAGTTGACATTCTGCATGCAAATCATCTACGTCACCCTTCTCGCCGCTGTCAAAGCAAGTATGCTTGCTTTCTTCATCCGCGTCTTTCCAACCACCTTCATGCAGAGAGCCTCCAAGATCTCTCTCGCCTTTGTCGGATTGTGGTGGATTTCCTACCTCGGCGCTTGCATTTTCCTTTGTTCACCGGTCCAGGCCCAGTGGGAGGCGCCTCTTACTTGCGGAGGTCAATACATGCCCATGATCCAGTCGTTGATTGCCACCAACGCTGTTGGCGATTTGATCATTATGGCTTTACCCATGCACAGCGTCTGGGGCTTAAAGACAAGACGTGCAGAGAAGATCGGTATCACCTCTTGTTTCGCTCTCGGTCTTGCGTAAGTATTTCTTGTACAGTTGCAAAGGATATTCACTAATTTGCCCAGCTGCGTCGTCTGCGCCGTCTTCCGACTCATCTACATCTCGAGCGTCGAGCTCGACACCAACATCACCGGAACCATGCCCACGACCATCTTCCTCTTCATCCTCGAACCCAATCTGGCCATCCTCTGCGTCAGCATTCCCATGCTGCGCCCTTTCTACGCCAAGTACAAGAAGCGAATGGGCGGTTCCCGCCTCGACGAATACTCCAACTCTCGAAGCACCGGATTTCGCGACCAGAGCCGAACGGGCGCCAGCAGCGCAGCCCCCCCTCCTGAGGTCATCCGCGACCCCAATCTGTCAAGCTGGGAGATGGACGACTACCGCCCCCAAGACAAGCTCCAGCACGGATACAGCGTCTCAGGATTCCCTGACGAGTCAGGGTCGGAAAAGAACTTGACTGTCGGATCGTCTGAGGATCGCAACAACGCGATCAACGTCGAGACTCGATGGACGGTGACACACTCTCGAAAGGCGTAGTGTCGGGTAAAATGGTAGCATATTGTCGACTTAGCCGGGGCATGACCTCAAATCATCTTAAAATAATATCTTCTTCTAGTCAATACCAAGCATAACTTTCGCTCACAATACCATCGTTTCCCATGAATGAGTGTGAATGCCGTCACAATGTACATAATGAAACCACCATATCACGACGTTGATTCTACTCTGCCGCCACTTCAGTACGCTCACTCGTTAGCCCAACCATAACGACTCAACAAAGTACACGCATGTCAGCCAGTCATCATTCTCTCGAGCCTCACTGATGGTCAAAGAGCCATACCCTCACGGATATCGAGAGCCCTACATCCGAAAGAGCATATTCGTATTCCAGACCTCTGTCCACTGAATCCTTCGTCAAAGCACATGACTCCATCTCCATGCTCATATCCACAGATCTTCAACGCTTACCGGCAGCGCAGAGTCATGTCGATCCTCAAAATAACCTCATTTCCAGCTCAAATCTGATATATCAACTTTTTCTCAAAAGCAAATAATCTGCCCATTTCTCGGCTAAAACTAGTTAGTGATCGACCAATTCCCCTTTTTTTCTCAGCCGCTTTGCGCTCAGGCATAGCGTCTTGGTTCCCGAGTCCCCGGTGCATTAGTGTTTTTCTCGCCAGTGTAAGCGAGCCGAAAAGACCACTAGAAACCTCAAGAACACCCGATGATGATAATTTGCATGGGAATTACCACAGAGGTCGTATCGTAAGTGGACAAATGGTCAAACGTGCCGCGTGGGCTTTATTACCGGGTGTTAGGGCGTCGGAAGAATTTGTCGTCAAGAGCCTAATAGACGAAATAAGCTGACCACCTGATGCTTGCTTAAAATGGAACTTATTTTGACAGCTAAGCCCTAGGGAACATCATCTTTTACCCACTTGCAAGGCCATCACGAGGCAGTTATCAAAACCAGACTCCATATTTAATAAATAATCATTGAGTAAAACATTAAGCATTTTGAGGCGATCTTTGTTTCATTTCCTGCCCAGCGGGCCGAAAAGCCTTTTCCCCTAAACAGTACCTGTCTTCAGCCAGGGAATGATATCTCGGTAAGATATCTGTAGACTTGAGCGGCCTCTGATCCGTGTATTGATAATGCGCGGCTAATGCGTTACCTTGAATCACGACAGCTGCATAATATGTTAGTCATAAGAATGGTCTGTCGCTCAGGGGCTACTTACGACGACGGAGTTTCTTAGGGAGGTCGAGGACGAGCATGTCTTCATCTCCTTTGTTGTTGGGCCAGTTCTCTGGGTCCGTGTTTAGGATGTCGTCGCTGTAGACGCACATAAAATTTATCCGGATACGATCATCGTACATGACCCAAGGTTTGGAGAATTTGTATAGATCTAGTTGGTTCTTTTCGATGTTTTCGAATAGGGACATGTGCATCTGGGAAGCGATGGCCCAGTTCTTGTAGCTATCGCCCCAGACTTCGTACTTGAGTTTGGCAGCGGGTGTTTGATATAGAGCACTATCGTTAGCTACCCTCAACCACCTATGCTTACCCCACGTTGGGGGTTTTCTCTCAAGACCCCAGTTGAACTTGGCTGGCCCATCCCAGAAAGGATGTGATGAAGGTTTCCAATAGTCCGTCCCCCAGGAGATGTTGACATCAAGCGGCTTGAATCGCTCGGGGAAGTATGGATGTATAGCGCCCATTCGCATATGGAAGAAGCCCAAGGGAGGGTTGTTGATGATGTTACCCGAGACCACCCAGTCGTTCGGGTTTTCGATCTTCCGCGTGACGAGGTTAGGGATAGCGTCGTCGTCGATCCAAACCTACCAGAGAAGCAATTAGTAGGTACTTAGCGAAGCAAGACATTTGACCCTGAACGTACAATGTCGTCATCAATCTTGACGTAGTACTTCCCCCGGTCCAACAATTTCCAGATATGCTTATATGTATACGTCCCAGCAATTTCCTGGGGATGAATCTTCTTATATCGTGGATTCGAAGCTATGATTTCTTCAAGATATCGTAAGTTGACGGGGTCGAATGTGTTGGCTACCCAAAGAACTTCGTCGAGCCACCCTCCGTTTTCTACCAGGTTGCGCTCGATGTAGCACTTCATGACCTGGACTCGAGTTTGTCGGCCATAGAAGACGATGGCGCTGACTGTGACATTGTCTGGTTTGACGAGGGATGATCGTGGCGGCGAAGATGTGGGTTGTTCGACGTAGGTGAAGGCTGGGAACCGATACGTGTAAAAGAGCATGCCAATGACGTAGAACAGGACGCATGATACCAGAGCGATACGAATGTTTTTGCTCTCTCGGAGCCGCCCAAAGTGTGACATCTTGAACCGCGAGCAAGAGCTAGGATGTAGCGTGAGTAATTCCGGCTGTCTCTCGCCTTAATATCTGCCTAAGACAGTCAGTATGAGACTCGAATCACAGTCCTGTTGAGATTGCCATGTTACATAGGACCTGTGCAACACACTCAATGTCATGTTTGTCGATCGTGCATACTCACTGTCTCAACCCGGCAGCAATCAATGAACTCACCTGAAGGAAGCTTATCTGTGCAACACCCACAACCAACACCGAACACGCAGGGGATACTGTACGTTCTTATAACCATCATTGGCGGATACCCCGATGTCTAGAAGCTTTGTAGTCTAGACCAGCAGCAATTGCGCCCTTGGAACTTAGATCGTTCCTGGCTAGACTTCCCGTTAGATTGAAAATACCAATGAACTAACCACCATATCAGATAATCCCCCTGCATCAAGCCACATACCATCCAGTTCACAGCCTTTTAGTAATTGCATACATGCGCCACCGATCAGGGAGATGCTGTGTGATGCGCCACCAACAGAACACATTGACGAAAGGGATTGAACCCGCATTCCTCATTGCTTTTCGCAATTTTACCCATCTCGAAAAACCACGTTCTCATCTCAAGGGCTGAAAGGCTCAAAAGGCAGTTTGGAATGCAAGCATAAGCCAGTGTGTCTCGAACCCTGAAATCTACGAATTGGCACGTTGTTGGGCTATTCTCAGCGCGTTTGTCCGCACTCTGCCAAGCCACGTTACAAGAACGGTCGCAAGAGCTTGAGCTGGGTTAGATTTTGGGATGACAGGTAACGATGCCGGCCGGAATCGTATGCGAGGGGCTTGTTTGGCGCCGCTAGTGGCTATGGAGATCCGATTTAGCGGCACGTCAAAAGGTGAAGTCTACCAATCCACCAGTCTGAGTAGGTATGAGTTCACGATGGGAGATTGGCTCTAATGAAGCCTTTTATCATGTAAGATGTAATTTCCCCATTATAACAAGTTGGTATCATTATACTTTCCCCATTCTAGCGAACTCTTGTTACCTACCTATCTTAGCAAGTGTATCAAGCACATTCTTCCATGGCAAAAAGAAGTTCCTTTCCGTAGCATACTAAAGGAAAAAAAGATGGACTTGGTCAAAGTCCCGAATTGTCAGGCGACGCAGGCCTGATTCGAACAGACGCCTCCGAAGAGAATAGATTTCTAGTCTATCGCATTAGACCACTCTGCCACTGCGCCTTTTTGCTGATTTACTTGAAATGGTCGTCGCTATTACGTCCCCAGTACCGTAGATGCAGTACCCAGTCTGCCTTGCTGTGCTGCGGATGATTTTTCCACCTCGCCGCCTGCGCGGCTGCGCCCGATGACTGTATCGGTAGCTCATCAATGAGGCCTCGCCACCAAGTTCCGTGTTACCACCACAACATAAGTAGCTACGAAAAATTTCTCTTGTTTTGCATACTTCCATCATCTTTTAGAATCAGAATCAGAGCACCTGAATAGTACATCTGCGATGGCGACTCAAGATACGCTGCAAGAGCAGCTTTCCGGCCTTCAAATTTCCACCTCAACCTCATGGCACCGTCTACAAACTCACGTCCAAGATGTCAAACTCACAGGCAGACTCATCATCGTCGGCGACGTGCACGGTCATCTTCCCGAGCTCAAGAACCTACTGGATAAAGTCTCGTACGACAAAAATAACGGTGATCAACTCATTTTTGTCGGCGACTTGATCAACAAGGGTCCCGACAGCCCTGGCGTCGTGCAACTGGCTATGCATCTTGATGCACTTGCGATAAGAGGAAATAATGAAGATCGTGTTCTTGCTGCTTATAGCGCTGCGAAGAGAGGTGAAGATAAGGCGATTATTGAGAGATGGGATCGTTTAAATGCGGAGGCTGAGAAGGAGAAGGAGAAGAGCGAGGGCGACCAAGCAGTTCCTGCCACGACGAGAGATGATCTCAAGGCGTTGTCGAGAGAGGACTTGAAGCCTTACATGGCGGCGAGCGACTTTGGAACCGCGGCTAGTCTTTCCGATGAACAGATCAAATGGCTTGCTTCACAACCGTTGATTCTACGCATCAAGCTACCAAGAGAAGCTACTGCTGCACCTTGGAATGCCGGAACACTCATTGTTGCCCACGGCGGCCTTGTACCTCAGATTCCCCTCGAGGAACAAGACCCTTGGGCAGTTATGAATATGCGTGGTCTCGTCTACCCTGATCCCGACGCTGAGACCCCCGAAGCTATCAAAGCCGACATGATCAAGGGCGCAAAGAGCCGTGTCCGTCGCTACGCAGCATTCCAATCCGCATCGGATGAAGAGATTAAGACTCAGTTAGCCAAGATGGCAGACGTTATCAAGAACGGCGAAGGTTTCACCGGACAGTACAAAGAAGGTCTTATCGGCTTTCCTTTAGAGAGTCGAGAGGGTGATTGGTGGATTGATGCTTGGAATCGATGGCAGAATACTATTGAGGATGCTGAGGAAAGGAGCATTGTCGTTTATGGACATGATGCTCGTGTTGGTATACAGGTTGGTGAGGATCCGGCTGTCGCGAGATATACGTTTGGATTGGACTCTGGATGTGTTTATGGGAAGAAGTTGACGGCTTTGGTTATTGATAAGAAGGATGGGGGATTGGAGCATGAGATCGTTCAGGTTGATGCTGTTAAGAAGGCTGAGGATAAGGCAGAGGCAGCATCCTGAGAGCACGCGTCGGACAGAATCCTACACCGCGAAAATTGCTGGGCAACTGGCCCTCCGTAGAGGAATTGGCATGAATCAACACAAACTTCATGGAGTCATACGAATAGAATGGTTGTTCTCATGGAAGCTTTCGAGTTGCCGGAAATAAACAGCTCCGATTTTGTCCCGACTTCCACGCCCTACAGCAAGCGTCATCTCCAATTGGCACTAGCTCTGTTCACCACTGTAACCTCTCACCTTTTGACAGCCAGCCGGAGGACTTCGATTGTCAAAGAAGAAGAGGTAAAAAGTCCCTGAAAGTAATTTATGATGACACCAAGAAGCACTATTCCTTTTTATCATTGTGATCTAAGATCGGGATTTGGTAGCTCGGGAACTCTTACCGAGCCAAGCCCGGGGAAGCCTTCTATCTTCATGATAAAACTGCGCCCTACAGCAATAAGACCACGTTGATCACTTCTTGAAGTTAAAACAGATAGGGAATTTAATTATGAACTTCTATTATAAATACCGGGGCCTATGCGCTCATTGATGACCGACGTGCTGTCTCCGTGCCTTGTTTGATCCCAGTATACCCTCATCACCATGCATCAATCAAGCTGTGACTACAGCTCTACTGACATGAAATGTCAATCCATACGCCCTTATCATGACATAGGAACGTATTTGTCATCATGAATGACATCGACTTGTGCTACCAGCCGATGTTTCGCAGCCCCTCATTCTATAAGACTCATTTTCACAGAGTGATGACTCCGACAAGAGGTCTCAACGCAAGGGAGGAAAGAGACACATGAGCCGTGAAAGGCAACTTATAATCCTCCTTCAAAGAATTGCCCAGAAAGAAGGATTCGGGCAATCAACTGTCTTTCGATCGGCCAACTTCACCCCGCTGGTATGGGTCCCTGATCGGCATGAGTCTAGACTCCAAGGTGGGGAATTGCTAGTCTTACTCCGACTCCGGAAAGTCCGTTATTCTCGGACTTGTGAGTCTTTGGAAGGCGTCTGACCAAAAAAAGTTGCCAATCGCAACTCCTCTCATCATCAACATCGCCATCGCTATGGCTTCCAACGCACCGAGAGATGACCTTGACGGTGACAGTAAGCCTTTTCTTTCGCATCACCAAATTGAAGTGTGCTAATGTGTGACCAGTCTTGACATTCTCGGAACTTGATTTTGCAAGACTCGGACTTGCGAACAAACAGACTCCGGATGAATTCTCACCACAATTCGATACCTTGACGGAAGGGTACCCATTTCCGATACAAAACAATCCCTTCCCAGTCGAACAAAGTTTCTTTACCGACGACTTCAATCTCGACCTCTCAACAAACCTCCAAAACAGCCTACATGACGAATTCTGGCTCGACCCAGCGCTAGATCTTCAACAATGGCAAACACCACCCTCAATGCAAACAGATACGAGTCGCGACATCTCACCACTCGCTACAGCCGACGAGCGCGTTAGCACACCTGCGCTGACCGGCCCTCCATTCACAAACAGTTTCGCAGGTCTTCCACCCCTCGAAACCCAACAACATACCCTCCCACGAAAACGAAGCACATACTTCCGCAGTCCAGCAAGCCAACCGATCTCAATACCCCACACGAACCTCCAGCGCGATAGAACACAAGCACAAGACCCCATGCAGAGATGGCAAGATTCGCCACCGGAAGCCGAGCCAGCCTCTTTATCCGCTATAGCCGACGCCCTCTCAAAAACAACACTACGCAAACGCTCTTCAGCAGGCAGTTTGGGAAAAAGCCGTGTTGGGAGTCGCGCGGGGTCTATAGGTAGTGCAACCAGTGTTTCTGATGTTTCTGTCGGATCGCCTGCAAGACGGAGGACGGGACGAGTTTCCAAGTCGAAGCGGGGTTCTGCAAAGAGCAAGATAACGGAGAAAAGACGATTTCCGTGTACATTCTGCTGTGATAGTTTCAAGAGCAAGTATGATTGGGCGAGACACGAGAAGTCGCTTCATTTGGATCTACAAGGATGGCGATGTACGCCTTTTGGAGGAACGGTTGTATCACCGGATACTGGACAGAGTCATTGTGCTTATTGCAATCAACTCAATCCCAGCGCAGAACATCTCGAAACGCATAACCACGCCAGCTGTCAAAACGACGAAAAACCGCACATCTTCCGTCGAAAAGATCATCTTGTTCAACATCTACGACTGGTCCACCACATCAAGACGTTACCTGCTATCGATTCCTGGAAAGTCGAAGGACCGCCTATAAAATCTCGCTGTGGGATTTGTAGTATCAGGATGGAGACGTGGCAAGAGCGTGTGGAACATCTTGCGAAACATTTTCGAAAAGGTGATACGATGGAAGATTGGAAAGGCGAGCATGATTTCGAACCACATGTCAAAGCAAGAGTCACAAATGCCCTGGCCCCATATATGATCGCAGCAGAAGAGCGAGCACCCGTCCCATTCTCGGCTACAGATCCCAGCTCGAAGGATCATTTATTGCAAATTGTCAAGAACGCGAGGGACGAAGCGGAAGCAGCAAAAAGGGTCTTTGAAGAGTTGCCACCTCAACAAATGGAGTCTACAGCGAAGGATGTCAACTCGCTATCTTTTCCGGAATTTCTGGCATATCATTTAGGAAAGTATGCACAGCAGCAAATCAGTGTGGGCATCATGCCGACGGATGAGATGTTCCAGACAGAGGCGAGGAGGCTTGTTTATGATACACACGATCCGTGGGATCAGACGCTGGCGGATAATAAGGATTGGTTATCGTGTTTTAGGAATTGTCATCTTGGAGGTCCTTCGGGTCAGTAAGACTCGGGATGATGACCGGTATGAGATTGAGGAGGCTGGAAAGCTGGGAGTCCAGACATTATTAGCAATCAAGCCATCATAACAAGCCACTCGGTGTCTTTTCCAATCTACAGAAGAATGGTGCAATCGTATCAAGTCCAAGATGTCATGGCTTATGTGTCTGGTGTGTCAATTCTCATTCCAAAGTACGTTCTCTTATCGTATCCACAACCGGTAGCCATCCCGAGAGTAATTCTCACACTCCGAGAAATCGGACCCGAGTTTTCACTCCGAAGGCATCCAAGCCGAGTCCACCTCAAATTTTCCTAATAATAGCCCCAGAAAACACACACCTTATTTCCAAAGTGGAAACTCCGCAAGACCCATCGTCTCCATCGTCTCCTAAACAGGTAGACCGAACCACCTCAACACTCCGTAGTTCCACAATAAAAGTCTGATCACACCGACTGCAAAGATAAGCTTAAAATATTGAGTGAGGTAGGTATATAAGTTGGGAGCAGTCGGTGGAAGTGTGGTTGGGAGATAGTAATATCATATTCACTTAATTCGTAATGGTGAAAGTTCCCTTGTATGCGACCGCTGGTGTCGCGACTTCTTGTGTTGCGTTCCTTTTCGGGTATGTTCTCGTGCCTCGTTGAAGAATTGATGTTAATTCGTGATAGAATGGATACGGGAAGTATCGGTCCCATAACGACCATGTCCTCGTTCAAAGATACGTTCGGCGATTTCTCAGCTACCATTCATGGTGTGATCGTCTCGACTATCCTCATTCCTGGAGCATTGACAGCGCTCGTCGCTGGAGCTCTTGCACACCGTTTTGGGCAGGTTAGACTCATAGCCATTGGGTCTATCATCTTCGGTATCGGCGCGGCTATCGAATGCGGTGCGCCGTATCTTGGGGTGTTCATTTTTGGACGTCTTATCAAGGGTATGGGTGAGGGGTTGTTCTTGAGTAATGTTTATGTGCAAGTTTCGGAAATGTCACCCTCGAGAGTGAGAGGTATCATGACGGCCCTGCCGCAGTTTCTCATCACTACTGGTATTGTCACTGGATACTTCACTTGTTACGGAACTTCAAGACTGGGCGATTCATCTGTTACATGGCGTTTACCATTAGCAATCGTCGCATTCCTCGGGGTCCTCCTGTCAATGGTTGCTTTCATCGTACCGCCTTCTCCACGATGGCTCCTCTCCAAGGGGCGCATCGATGAGGCCAGAGTTGTATGCAAACAACTCGGCATCGACGAAGTCGAGGAAAAGGAACTTCTCGCTCAAAATGGAGATACACCTCTCGACGGCGAAACAACGCTTTGGCAAGATATTCAGCACACCTTCAAAGATTTCCGCTGTGCCTTCTCAGCGCCATATCGCAATCGTACAGCTTTTGCGTGCTTCCTAATGGGCATGCAACAGTTCAGCGGCATAGACGGCGTTCTCTACTACGCTCCCATCCTCTTCACGCAAGCTGGTCTCAGCGGCGAAAAAGCATCATTCCTGGCATCTGGTGTTTCCGCCGTCGTTATCCTCGCAGCTACACTCCCTGCTACAATCTTTGCTGATCGTTGGGGACGGCGCATGCAGAGTATTCTCGGCGGTGTACTAATTGTTGGGCTGATGGTGATAATGGGCTCGCTTTACGCCGCGGGACAAGTTCATCCTGAGTATGGACCTGGTCGATGGGTTGTCATTGTTTGCATTTACCTGTTTGCGATTGCGTTCAGCTTTACCTGGGCGATTGGGTTTAGAACTTGGGTTGTTGAGAGTATGCCTAGACGGACGAGGAGTAGTGCTTCTAGTCTTGCGCAGAGTTCGAACTGGGTAAGTCAAGCACCGACACTACATAATGTCATTTGCTAACGTTTGAACAGACTGCCAATTATGTCGTCGCTTTGGTCACGCCTGTGCTGTTGGATAAGTCATCGTTTGGCGCATATTATTTGTTTGCTGGCTGCAGTTTGGCGACTACAGTTATGGTGATTCTGTTCATGGGTGAGACGAAGGGGTACAGTTTGGAGGAGATTGAGAAGAGACATGGTGGCGTGAAAGAGAAGAGCTTTCCGCTCAATCTGTAGAGTACAAAAAACAGGTAGCAATTGTTTGTGTACATGGCAAAATAATTTTGTTTAATAAGCTGTGCTCCAAATGGCCCGTGTGCTTGTGAGGATGCTAAAAGATTTGGAGATAATGGGCGTTGAAGGGCAGCGATTGTTGACGCCAGGGCTGCAGAGGGGGCTGCAGAGGGGGCTGTCGAGAGGACTGGCTTGGGGACTGTCAAATTTGCTACAGCGGGATGATGCAGTACATGTACCCAAATATTTACAAAGTTTTCAACAAGCGGGTTTAGCTCAGTTGGGAGAGCGTCAGACTGAAGTCAAACTTCAATCATCTACCGATATCTGAAGGTCGTGTGTTCGATCCACACAAACCGCATGTTTCTTTTTTGCCGGTTCCCACTGTAGTTCTTCTCCACTTGACGCTACGTGGAACAGAACAAATGCCAATTGACGAGAGAAGTTATGTAGTGGTTGCAATGTCTCTTTTTGTTTCCTTTGCCCTGCCTGTTCCCGCCTGTGTGATTCTGGCTCCATTTTGTAGGTGCTGTGCGTTGTGAAAACTTGATCTGGAGTCGTGGGAGCATCATCGTTCAGCGGGAGATACTGTGATATTTTCCAATTTCTAAAAGGAAGGTCAAACTGGCCATTAGCTCAATGGTACGGAATTTAAGTCGCGGTGATCTTGGCGTGGTGATGCATGTCCTTCATGCGTACCAATCACGCAAGACGGCTCAATTGATCAACCCAAAATGCTGCCATGTTCGTCAGTGACGATGTCGAATACGAGTACAACCACTTTTGTCTTTACCCCGATGCCCAGCACGTTTGTCACGCCGATGGCTGTATAAGGCAGCATCGTCCCCAACTCGACTGCCTGTTTGCGACATGCAAAGCTGGAATCATCATGGCCTTCTTCAAGCGATTATGCGGGATTCTCGCCTTCGGTATTGCAATTGTACAAGCCCAGAGAGATGATCTCGGCCTGGAAAATGGATACATCGATATCAAGACCGAGAACTTCAATGCCCGCATTGCTCGCGACGCCCAGGTTCTCGTGTCACTGACCTCGGCGGACGACTCATTCGACTTCCTCCCATTTGATCGAATTGACGTTCGCTCACAAAATGGGCAGTACCATTGGGGCGATATCACCTATCGCTATCGCGGGGAGGGTGACACGACGTGGAAAGGCGGTGATTCTGCGAAAAGTCGCAAGCCTGTCAAGAATATCACCTCCACCTCAGCGCTCACGGCTGCGAATGTTGCACCAACGCTTCCGGATAGTCCTCTGAACATCACGCGCGAATGGCTCGGCGTGGATGGTGATCTAGGCCTTCGCTTCACCATCACCAATGGAGGAAACAACACGGTCGAGATTGGTAGCCTTGGATTCCCGGCCGAGTTCAACAGTATCTTTACCAACAGAACTGCTGAAGATATGGCAGCGCATTGCTCCCTTTCAGATCCCTACATAGGCCAAGACGCTGGCCATATCAGAGTAGCGCCTGTCAAGGGTACCGGGAAAGGCTTGGTGGTAACACCTCTGAACGGAACAAAAACACCACTAGAGGCATACCGAAATCTGGACGAGCCTTGGTTCGAGTCAACGGGCTATGGAAGTCAGACCTTTGAAGGACTGTATGAGTGGCAGGTGCTGACCAAGGCTTGGGCGGAGAAAGAGTGGAAAGACGTTGAGCCTTGGAATGAACCATCTTCGAAGCTGTTGAAACCTGGAGAGTCACTGGAATTTGGTGTCCGGTTTAGCTTGGCTGAGTCTGTTCGGGATTTTGACAAGGCTATTCGCAAGACTGGGACACCGGTCGCGATTGGAGTTCCGGGATACATCATTCCACGAGATCTTCCTGCGCAACTTATTCTCAAAAGCGACGACAAAGTCGACTCCATCGAAGCTTCACCTGAAGGCGCCTTCGAAGTGAAAAAAGATGGTGATGGAAAGTATACGCTTACCTCATCTTCCTCCGCCTGGGGTCGTGTTCGTGTGTCCATCACTTACGAAGACAAGAAGGTGCAGACCGTGCATTACTTTGTCACCAAGGCCACGACCGAAGCACTCAACGACCTCGGAAACTTCCTGACCACCAAAGCTTGGTTCAACGACTCCTCAGACCCTTTCAAGCGATCTCCATCTGTCATGACTTACGACTACGAAAAAGGCTCCATCGTTGAGCAAGACCCAAGAGTTTGGATCGCAGGACTCAGCGATGAAGGTGGCACCGGAGCATATGTCGCTGCATTTCTCAAACAAGTATTGCAACCAAACGCTGAAGAGGTTGCGAAGCTTGATGACATGGTTATGGAGACTATTTGGGGAAGACTTCAAGCGCAAGACTATGGTGTCCGCAAGTCGCTCTTCTACTACGAGCCTAATGAAGTGGATTATCCTTATAGCAAGGATATCGACTGGACTACCTGGACGTCTTGGGATAAGAAGTCAGCTGCTAGCTTTGAACGAGCGTACAACTACGTTCATGTTACGGTGGCGTACTGGTCTATGTACCGCATCGTTCGAGCCTACCCGGATCTGACGACAAAGCCATGGATGTGGTACTTGGATCAAGCGCAGAAGACCATTCTTCGGATGACGCAGAAGGACGTATCGTATCGCGATGTTGGTCTCATGGGCGAGACAGTGTTCGGCGAGGTCTTAGCTGACTTGAAGCGCGAGGGCAATGATACTTCCGCTCAGGCTGTGGAGAGTGCTATGAAGGAGCGTGCTGAGCTTTGGCACTCGCAAGAGATTCCGTTTGGAAGTGAGATGGCTTGGGACTCCACTGGACAGGAAGGTGTCTACTATTGGACTAGGTAAGTAAAAGCACGCCGCGATGGGGATTCACTGACCTTCCAGATACTTTGGCTTTGACGATTCGGTGCAGAAGACGATTGATAGTGTCTTGGGGTACATGCCCAATGTCCCTCACTGGGGCTGGAACGGGAATGCTCGTCGCTACTGGGATTTCATGTAAGCCTTACCAATCTAGAGAGCCTCGCAGGTACTGACTACAGCAAGATACGGAGGCAAGCTCAAACGTATCGAGCGTCAAATCCACCACTACGGCTCCGGTCTCAATTCCCAAGTCCTCCTCTCGGCATTCCGCGACAATCCATCCGACACATACCTCCTCCGAACTGGCTACGCTGGGTCCTTCGCGCCAATGACCAACATCAACCAAAACGGATTTCCCAGCGCTGCCTTTCACTCGTTTCCCGACACGCTCGAGTGGGATGCTATCACGGGTGATTACGGCGGTGGCTTGATCGGTACTGTTCTCAACTCGGGTACTTATGTCGCCGATGACGAAGAGCTTGGTATGGTTGCGTATGGAGGAATCTTGTCGAAGGATGGAAGTTTGTATACAGTGAAGCCGAGAGATGCTGTGAGGAAGAGGGTGTTTAACGGACCATTGAAGATCTTGGTAACGGTTGATATCGGAGTCATCACTGAGTTTACGTTCGACACTGCGGATGGAACAGTTGAGGTCACTTTATCGCAGATGAAAGACGCACCAAAGGCGACTCAAGCTGTTATGTGGGTTGAGTCGACGGGTTCTGAGAAGTGGAATGTCAAGGCTGATGGAGTGAAAGAGAGTCGGGGAGGTTGGATCGTGGCAATTTCCGGCACAGATTCTATCACTTTCTCTTTGGCTCGAGTTTAGTAGTTGTACTTCTATTCACTCCGTCGGCATTGGTACACATTGCCATTAACTCAACATCTCATTTACATTTGCTCTTTATTAGATTGCTCAGGCTGGTGACAACCGCTATTGTTCAATCCAAGTAGATATTAGAAGAATTATCCTCTAAGGCTTAGAGTACAGAAATAAGGTAGCCTTAACACCAGCCTAAGACAGCATAAGGTGACCAAAATATTTCGTCTCTTATGCTCTCAGCGGCCAACTCTTCTGGCACCCTGACGCAAACGACATTGGCAGTTGTATCTGTTTCTCAAAGCCGTTAAGTTTATCTGTTCGGGGTGTTTGGTTTTCGCCCTCATTATGCCATTCAATAGCAAATATGCCATTCAATGATTCGAGGTGTTTGCACCGGCAGACTGGCAACTTCATGGTAGTTTGCTATCCGGCGAGCACGAATTCACAGCCAACACAAATTCTCAACTATTTAAAGGCCATCCGCGCCCGAGGATTCTTCTCTCATCTTCCCTTCTTCACCAAAGATCTCGATTTCTCAGTTCATATCACATTAACACATCACCATGGATGTTCTCTTTCACCCTATGGAGACGGCTGTCACTGACGGAGACACTGCTCTTTTCATCCAACTTCTGAGCCATCCCGAATACCGAAGCCAGCTATCTAGCACCATGCTTGGACATGACTGCCTGAACAGCGCAATTATGCTGGGCCGTGAGAAGATCGTCGAAGCACTGATCAACCTCCCCCTTTCAATATTCGACTGGACTCGTACGTTATCCCCAATACCCGCCGTCTCATCCTCGAAGTTGTGTGTAGACTAATATGTAGTGATAGGCGTTCCTTTGGCAGACCAGGGAGCTCTTACATACTTGAGCAGGGCTGCCAATTTCGGACAAGATGATATCGTCAGGTACATCATCCATACTGGCAAAGTCAGCGTCACCGAACGTGACCAGAAAGGTCGTACTGCTCTCCATTACGCTTGCAAATCGAAGTGTGATGAGTGTGCCGACATCCTCCTTTTGCACGAGGTCGATCCAAACGAACCCGACTTCCAGGGCCGGACACCCCTCTTCTTCGCCGCCATAGAGGGAAGCTATGATGTTATCGACCGACTCCTGGTAATACACAACATCGATCCCGATGCCCAGGATCATGGCGGCAGGACTCCCTTCTACTGGGCTATTTTCTATGGTCACAACTGTTGTGCGCTGAACTTGAGAGACTCTGGACGTGTCGACACAAGTATTATCTCTAGGGCGTATGAGGATCGAGAAGCTGTTCTGAAGGCTGGTCTACCACTCGCCTTTGCCAAGAATTCATGAGATTAAATGGATGAAGGAATGATGGGAGGCATCAGGTTCTCTCAAACATTAGCATGGCAGTTCCCAGTACTAAGTCTGCCGGTCTTATAGTAAAGACGACCATGCTTGATCAAGCAAGATTCACTTTCCGCAGGGTCTCAGAAGTAATAACCGCTGGAAACACAAGAGACGAAAGAATTTGGTCAACTTATGCTAGCTTAGGCTAGCGCTTAGGCAGCTTAATTTATGTAGCCCAAGTTTTAGAGGATATTTCTTCTGTGCCTACTTAGACCTTGAACTGAGACAGTTTTATTTCGCGCCGGGAATGTCATCATAGAGCACGTGTCACCATATGGATCGACCGGCTACTCGGATGAAAGGGAAGCGATTGTATGATTAGGGTAGGCAGCAGGCAAAGACCTAGCAAGAAAGACGGTCATGGCTGAAAAAAGGGCGCACATACGGCGCCTCAGTGGATCGACGCCCTCACCTCGTGATGTTGTTCCGGGACCACTGACGCTGTTGAAACGGCGTCACACATTACCAAATTACACAATCGTTTGCAAAGACTGATACAATCATCGAACAAACTCTTATCCTGCCATAAAATGAGCCGCATGTGAGGTTTTACAAGGCTTTCTATCAGTGAGCCGTTACACTGCTGTGACTAAAATGTCTAAATCCCAGTATCTCACATGGAAGATGTGATACCAAGTCAAAAACGAGTCCCCAAACAATGGTTTGAACACGTAAGTGGCTTAGATTTCAGGGGAATCCGAGCTCCCGCCACCGTCCGATGCCTTTGTGGTACGCATGCCTTTCAAAGGTATCATGCATCACCTTTCCGCCGAATGAAGTGAGCTACTCCAACCAAATATTGCGCTAGTGGCACATCTGGCGATAAGATGCCCGCAATGCGTACTCAATAAAGTTGCGCTGCTCTATGCGGCGCTGCTCTATGCGGCGCTGCTCAATATAATTTATCTTGTCGGAACTTAGATTGCGAATGTGTGTAATGGGGTCAGACATGGTTGATCGTCCGAAGTGTCGGTGAGACTTGCCTTCAAAAGTGATTCAAGTCGAGATTTACCTGGTCCGTACCCACGAGCACAAGGATACCTGTAGTCAGCACTGGTGAAGACAGCTAGCCAATCAAAGATGTTTGCCGCGGAACACAATAGCCCTTTCCGGCAGGTTTACAAACTTTCATCTGAGGGAGGACTCAACAATTTGTTTCAGTCCGCAAAACTCTCTGGCAAGCCGCAAAAATGATATCGCCAAAGTGATTATTCACATCGGGCTGTCAACAGATGCCCGATTGAGGGCTACGCGGTGTGAGTGGTGTGTACCATGTTTCCCGTGTAACACCGGTGTGCCCCGGTTGATTGGAGCGATGGTAGTTTTTTCGAACTGACTCGGTTAAAGACCAGGATGAAAGGTAAACAAATTCGCATACCTTGCGTAAGCTGCAACATCTGAAACACTTATAAATTAAAAATTGCGTACTGCGCTGGTAAAGTAAAGATTTAGTGTGGGTGGTCGACAAATAAATATTTCTCGCCCTGTCCACTTCCGGAGCGCAGATCATACGGGTTACACCCATGTCAACAACCCGAACCCAACGAGGTCCCTGGTCTGAGTTTACCTTCTGCCCCACCACGTTGCTGCCACCTTAATAAGTCGTTCCCTGAGCCATCGTTCCCTTGGAAGCTTTTATAAAGGAGCAGTGTTCCGAATCTCTATTGATATGTTTTTGCACTCGTTCCAACACCTTCTTATTACAAGTTGTCATGCTTTCGCCAGATGTCTTACACCCATGGACTCTTCATGACACCGCCAATCAGTTGGAGAGTTGCGGACATCTCGAGTTAATTGACACTACGATTCAGCTCAATATGCCATTTTATGACCGAGTAAGCTATCAATCAAAGACCGTGAAGTCTTAATCTTAATACTAATTCCAAACGAGGCCCCCAAGAAAAAGAAACAGGTGTGGGTTTGGACATGCTGTTGCTGTCTAGCATCCGGGATGAGGGCAACAACACCAGATTGTCCGGGCTGTGGACAGCCAAGGTGCCCATACTGCCGCGTCGAGAAGAAGACAATCAGGGAGTGAAGATACCAATAACAACCGCTCGGCATGCAAGCCTTGAGGTGAAATTCAGGTTTGGACCTCCCTGTAGGCTAGACCTGTGACGTGGAAAGGGGAGCAACGCCCTGTGGGTACAGAGGCGTTTTTATTCCCTGTCAGATGCTTCTGGATCTGCGTTCGTTCTATTAGGGGAGTTGATTGATTGGTTAAAATCCAGAGAGATCAGCCACATTACTTGTGCTTGATATCTCGATTGACCTGTCTTATGTGATAGAGTATGTGATTTGTGTGTCCTCATAACGCACTCCGTATGCGCTCCGTCTGCGCTCCATATGCATGTCAGACGAGCGCCAAGATGACTAACGTATCATTGTCCGACTTCCTAATTTCATCAATCAAATTATCTCATTGCAATCTTATTAACGAAGCATAAGTCTCATTTATTTAAACGCATCCTAATTAGCTGGACAGTAACTCTTAACTTCTTTAAAGAATGGTCATTATGGTATATGCCAAGTACATGAACGTAAGCTTATCCTCGAGAGAGTCCGGCAATCAGTGTTGTAATAACTTAGGGAATTGGTTCATTCCCGCCCTACATATTAATAAGTTCTTCTCTTTTAACATACTCTACGGGGACTGATTTGGGATTTCCTGAGGCGTAAGTCCCGAGGCATACAGATAAAAGCAACACAATAATAAACGCAGTTTTTAAACCTGAATGCCAATAAAGGTCCGGTCTATAGGTGTATTTTGTGACTTGTGAACTTATCATCACAACAATTACCATAAAAGCTAATCCTTCTCTCGAAGGTTAGTTGTCAGCTCTACAGGCGAAGGTCTTTCTTCGATAGGCTCCAGATGGGTCGTAACTAAGTTGACAGAAGTATGATCAGCTAAACTTAGATTGTGTGAAGTTAAATCGCTAGACACAAGTGCCCAAAGCAGAGACTGTGTTCCTTGCGGTGAGTAACTTGGGGCTATAATTGTCGTATCAGGTTGAGTTAAGTAGTTGGTAGCCCATTAGCCTCTATACTAATATTGATGAAGGTGTCGACGAAGGCTTCTCAAAACCACGAGAATGTGGAAACAGGGATAAAACATCAAATCTCAAGCCCTATAAGTCTGCAAGCTCGATATCCGTAGCACGACGTCGCTCCACCTCATGTCGTTTCAACCATTGGCCAAGCGCTGGCAGTATTCGGTCCCAGGATTGTATCAATCTGGCCACCGCAGCCGCAAATATGATTAAGATCGGTGCCAGCACGAAAAAAGATAGCTTATTAGGCCCCAGAATACTGGGTATGGCTTTCTCCTGCATGGAAAGCATGGCTGCTGCCACAGTGATTGGTGATATGATCTGCCAGGAGTGCGATGATTAGCAATATACACCTCGATACGAATAGAAACCATCTTTTACATGAAGCAGAAAATGTGTCGCTGTTTGATTGCTTATAGCCGAAGTCGTTTGAAGATGGGAAACTTGCTTCTGTGCCTCAATGTTGTCAAGATTCAACTAAAAGAAAAGCATTAGTATTAGTCTTCTATCTTTCTCCCAAAAGGTATACGTACAGCGTGTTCGTGTTCATCGCACTGCCTCAACACGTTCTGAAGCTCAAACAGACGACCCTTGAGATCTGAGATTGCCTCCTCTATTGACTCAAGACACCGTTCTTCATAAGGCGTTGGAGATTTTTCTTTGGCTGGGTGATTATCCCAGCAGTGGATGGTGCTCTCCAGAGATATTATCAGCTTAGTGAGCTGGCTTCTAGTCAACCGAAGCCAAACCGTAGACTCCTGGGTTTCCTTGGATAGTGTAGAATGTGGTTTCTGGGAGTCATATGGAAACTTGGAAATCTGTTAGTAGAAGGAATTAGTAAAGTTCGGTTGAGACTGATTTCAATTGATGAATACATAGTCTTGGACCCTGTTGCGAATTTGGAATACGGTATTAGTCCACTCGTTTAGAAATACTCCTAGCTGAGAGTTCAAAGATGTCATGAAGTACTCTACGGCATCCACGATAGGGTTATCGGCATCGCACTCGCCGTTGATGAAAGGATCCGTTTGCAAGTCATCCGGGTTCGCATCATCCTTACAGAAATCCTCAACGGTCTGTCGTTGACTTCTAGGCTGGTAGTATGTATCCACAAAGCAATACCCTGTCCATATCCGCCTATCGATAGCGGCAATAAGGACTGAAAGCTGCCCCTCACAAAGGTAGTCAACTTCACGAACTGGTTCGGACAGCTTCCCGCGAATGAAATGCATGCTGCAGACTTCCCTGAGTGGACTTCCGTCTACTTTGCGTCGAGTGTCTCTTAGCTCTTCTCGAGTGCACCGCCATGAGTAAAATGGCAGGTGGAACTGCTGAGCAAAGTTGAAATATCCCCGTGGAGGCTGCGCGGCACTGGTTTGTATGAGTATAATTAGTTCCATTGTGAGGAGTACTTACCTTGTTCGCAAATCGTATGTGTGAACGAAAAGATGAATAGTGGTAGAGGAAATCAGCTAGAGGAACGGCCTGGCTTTCCGAGGCTGTTGCCATGACGCCTGCTAGAGCGTAACTATCTGGATTTGCTGAGAAGCTTCATATCGTTGGCGGCTTTCTTAATATATTTTGAAAGGTTCTTACATTAATCTGCGATCTATATTGATCTCAGCAGGCATCCCGGTGGGAATTGTGTTGTGAAACCGCTATTATCACAATTATTGCTACGTCTGTGGTAGATAGGTGTAGAGACTTACCTTTTTCTTCTTTAATTTGTGGTACATTTCCCAACTCGTTAGTGGCTTATAGCTCCCTAGCCTTATCGACTTTGGTCCATCATTGGACATGTCATCGACCAAGCATTTTTTATCTGATGGAAGCCTTGAGCTGTTCGATATGAGTTGCTGCAGTGTACCCGAGTGGCAGAAAGTCTTGACAGACTCGATCTGACAGGCTGGTCTGCGTCTGTTACCAACTTTCGCCATGAACAGTTCGACAGGATCGTCATCGTCGGAATCATCTCCGGAGAGGTAAGGATCGTTCTCCGATAAGAGGTGTTCTGGCCTGAACTGTGCAGCAGTCTGCTGTCCTTGTTCATTGTGTTCATTCATGCTCTTAGATATTGCGCGATCCAGTGGGCGTAGCCTCACCGGCAAGTGGAGTACTCGGTCTTTTCCCCATTAGGAATGTTAGCATCGTAAGGCAGGTGACTTGGCTGTGTAATGTGATCGAGACCTCCGGGCTCTACATCTGTCCGATGAGTAGACGGGGTGTTGTCAAGTCACGAATGTGACACGAATGGGGGTTCTTGCAAGTGTGAAACCATACTTACACCTTCAAGATATGATTTCAAATGGTACAGATTACTAAAAGCCGGACTACTGATATCTATACTGATTCGTATCGTTATTGTGAAGAAAGAAGAGACAAGAGGGAACACGACACTAACACGGAAAAATGGGTGGTGCTCAAGAATTTATCAGCCGCATAACCAGTACCATGGTAACCATCCTGACGGTTTGAGGCCATCTACATTCTGACATATTCCAAAGCTCGGTGTGCAGTGTTCGCCTATGGGCAGTTGTTCTCAAAAGGCAACTGTTTGCCTTGCAGCAAATGAGGCCCCTCTTCTATCTGAGCCACGATTTAGGTGCTCAGCAATTGGGTGTAGGTGCTAGTTGATCAGCCCTTTCTGAGACAATGATATATATTGGGCAGCGGTCTTCCATGGAATTCCAAACCACTGCACAACTGTTGCTCCCATGACCTCTCATCTGCCAAATCACAAGCATCATCAACCATCATACCAGACTTTGCAATCTAGTAGTAGTGAACGATTGGCTTATGGCATCGTTGGTCGTCGATTCACCGGTTGAAAGGAAGCGCATTTACTAGAGTCGTGCGTCGTGAAATCACAAGAGTATGCCCAAGCAGGGCGAATTGATGCGGCCTCGATGGAATTTCTGTGCTACTAGATAAGACCTCGTTGATCGTCCATCATCGTTCGGTGGGATAAGGGTAGATGTCAAAACGCTGCACTTCAAAAAGTTGAACGGACCGGGAAACTGGAAACTGATGCGCATTAAGTATAGTATTCCTTGCATAAGCCCTGATGCACGTGGACAAACATTACGCTCGCTTTTAATAACTTCCTCTCAGTTGCTGAGCTGCCATGAAAAGTCGCAAAACAGAGATGGTCAGCTGTTGGTGCGGCCTTGCTCCCTCCCCGCATGAGATCGACAATGAGGCGACCGACAGATTTCAAAGGACTGCCAATCATTATCGGACTCTGTTCATCATGAAGTACAAGTCATTGCAATTGGCCAATCTAACTGATAGGGTTTAATGAGCTCCATGAGCTTGAATAGCAAATCAGCACTAAACACTTATAAGCTCAGGACCGAGAACTTACTTTTGTTGCCCTTGCGACATATACCCACGCCTGAGTAGGCTGCCAGCTTTGTTTGCCTGATTATAGGTGCGGTTGCCCAGCCCGGATAATTATCGCACTGGTAGTCTTCACGTCGCACCCAATCAGGTGGATTGTCAGATCGTTCCCGTACAGTACATGGGTTGGGACCTTCTGTGATTTTCTCTCCTATAGATAGGCGCCACACCTGAGCTCCGCCCCATTCACCCTTGACCCCAACCACCAGGTTCAAATGGCTGCGGCCGGAGAAGTTAAGTTCCGAATTCCTAGACTGTAACAGCACCACCACCTATGTCAAACTGAGTTCTATAAGTACTGTAAACTGCAGCTGTATGAAATCTTTATTAACATTAACTTCATTATCATGAGTGTGTCTATAGCTTAGTATACAACTATGAGAAACACCCTGAATCCAATGGCTTTATCCGTTGGTGCGCCTTTGGCTCTTCAAAAGGAAATGTAGGGTGTTAAGCGTCTAGCTTTTTGGCGTCTAGGATTAGATGTTTGGTTTTTGCAACGATCGCCATTGAAGTAACCCCAGCCACCCACATACCTTTCAGCATTGGCTGACTCGGAAACGCATTCCGGTGTCGTTGGTGAGTGTCCAGGGTGGCCTACAATCTGAGACTTGGGAAGCTAGAAGAAGGAAATCGCGACTCCCTTGAGGTAACACTCCCGTTGCAACGCATCGACCGGTCCAAGGGGAAGCTTGGGGTCCAAGTATCATTGGCTCATGTTAACAAGGGCGCGATTCCTAGAGGAAAGCCGTGGTTTAATTTTATATAAGTAGCAGTCTCATTTTCGTAGGTCTTGTCAGAAAACATGGTTCTTTTACCATAATTCAAAACTCATTATCCCAATCTATCTTTATGTACACACTAAGGCAACACTCTCCCATTTCTGTCATCTTATACCAATAACCCCTGTGAGCGGCGGCCATGCCGCTCACCATTCCGGGAACTGAAGCAATTCAAGTCCAACAGCCTTCGCTGCTCCCAGATATAGCGTCCCTCATCAACGAGCAAGAGCCCGCAAACATATGCGCTCCAGACAGTAGCGACCCGGATGAATCGAGGATAAGGCAACGGGTAAGTTCAATCTAACCCGTTCTAGACACCGATCTCAAATTACTGACTTTGTGCAAGGCACCTAAAAAGAAGCGCCAGGTCTATATATGGTCTTGTTGCTGCTGTCCAACATCGGGGATGAGAGTCTCGGTGACAAACTGCCCGGGCTGTGGAACCCCAAGATGTCCCTACTGTCACGTAGAAAAGAAGACAGTGAGGGAGTAGCGATGACAGTGAGAAAGGGTGAAAGGCTCCGGACCGTGGCCTGTGAGCCAAAAGTTGTCTTCGGCTTCCTTGCAATACTAACCTGGCACGTTTCTTTTTTTCCGTTGGCGTTTGAAATGGCTGGAGGTCAACAACGAGACATTTCTCAAACGCCAAGTGTATTATAGTAGAAGATACCCCTGGAACTCGTCTATAGAGTTGAGAGAAGCAATTCAATGGAAGCCTCGGAACCTAAATAACAGAATTAACAAGAACTTACTCCGTATTAATCTGCACTTTCTCAACTTCCTTGATCCCTTTCCCCAACTGAACTTCGAGACTAGCTTGCTATTGCCTACGAAGCTGAAAAGCCTTCGTGAATGTCTTTCTGCATAAGCAGTGACCGTAAAGCCAGACGAGCATATCAAGATCGAAGACTCAGTACTGCCCTGCCTGTTGAGTCTCATGACAGACGGCTGTGTGAACAGTCATAAGTCGAATTGTCGATCTAGCCTGTTATCTTTTCCTACACTACGATTCATTATTAATCGTTCTTATGTAACGTATAACAATCATCCGGTCTATCGGCTTGCATCTTGTATGCAACCCCACGCTTTGCACTACACATGCGTGTCTGGGGCCTATTCATCAAACCGGAGTGATCATGCTGTGCAATGTCCAGTCCCGCCTTTACAACAAATGGGGCACATTCAACATATGGAATTATGCTACCTGCAGCTATCGAAGCCATTATCGACTATCATCAATGCCCCAACTTGTGCATCGAGTCAGAAGATGGTATCGCGGATGACACTGGAAAACACGAACTTGTAAGCTCCATCTAATTTTTCGACCTGCTGAAACAGCAGTATACTTACTTCTTATCAGGCTCCAAAGAAGAAAAAACAGGTCTGGATCTGGACGTGCTGTTACTGTTTAGCGAGTGGGATGAAAGCTAGTACACCGAATTGCCCGGGTTGTGGGCAACCGAGGTGTCCTTATTGCAGAGTCGAGAAGAAGGCGGTCAGAGAATGAGAATAGGTTTTACAAAATGCACCAAGTTATTGTTATTGGGTCAAGATCTCGTTCGTTTGAGGTTTCTCAAGGGGCATCGCGTTGTGACGCGGAGGCCTTTCCTTTGTTGCAAAACGGTTTAGCTAACTCAGACCTGTCTTTTTCTTTTTCTTTTTCTTCTGATATGCGGTGGCTTGGGACGGGGAACATGGATCATGATATCCGAGTGACATCCATTCATATCCTTTGAATACTCACGGAATTGATCCTTGTATCCGTACTACCTTGTAATTTGAAGCAGTCCACTTTCAGTTCTGTTTTGTATATGATAGAGTTTGGAACTATTGAGCCTGGTTTCGAATAGAGCCATCAACCTGCCCCTCTGATATTGTCTAACCCTAGACGGTATAATAAAGAGCCAAACATCGCCATTTAGAACAATGAAAGATCCTGGTAGGTATAAAGTACAAAGGTTTACCTGCATGAGCAGTATAACGACGAAAAGCAACGGTGTAGAAGATGTGAGTCGTACATTCAGTTTGCATGAGCTATCCATGGTTCCGGAAGCGCCAATGGTTTGTGCCATCTGAGACACATTCCCAACGAAAGGCAGATCGATCTGAGAAAGCAACATGGACCGCTGCACGATAATGAACCATTACAAACCCAGCATATATGGCAGAATACAGACTGACCTGAAGCACAAGTCACTCATACAGCTCACGCTTTGCCAGTTGAGCTAACCGGGCGTGGCTTCAATTGTTTCACTCATACAGATGATTACTTGAATCATAAAAACCAGGGATGCGTGTCTATGCCAAAGACTTACTAACTACATTACCTCAGGAGCCATGAGACACACTGTTGCGTGGCTCAAGTGAGACGAAGTGTCGGTCGATCGATCGGGCCCATGATCTTTCGGCCGGTCAGCGCCGATCAATCAACTCTCTTTGCCATGTAGTACACAAATGTGGTCATTTTCGCGGGCTGACCTATCGCCCGTTCATGGTTCGTGTATGCCAAACGTTACGGAAAGAAGTGCATATGGAAGTCCATTGGTAGACAGATCCACGAATGAGATGGGATTGTTTGACAGGACTCTCAATACACGAAGGCGATAAAAAGCCACATACTCTCATGCAAACTACGTAGTTGGACTTTCCCGATGCCTAAGCCTCACCGTGCTTAGCTATTTTTATGAACACAACAAGAAACACATTGGATTAGACAGCCGAGTGGCTCATGCCACTGGCGTCAACGACTCTACCTCGGATTGCGGGTCGCGCTCCAATGAAGGGAGGAAAATGCCACGTACCACCACAAAGACGAACATCTCCGATCGCGATACCGATGCGAACCATGTTTTAACAGTAAAATAATTGTATTTTTATATTCAGGCTTATCCAAACCATTCCCCTAGATCTATATCCAGTCACATTCTATTTATACACCAATCATCCCACCCATGTATCCCAAGCCATCACACCAATTGGGGACAGCAGGGTTAAAACAAAACGCCGTAAAGAAGACAAGAACTCCAACAGCTAGTATATAAAAGGAAGCGCTTACCAAGGCTTTCCATTCTGCTTGATGAGCTCATCCTCAGAAGTCTTGAAGCTCTCAGACTCCTTAAGGAACTGCTTGTGGAAAGTCTCCAGCAGGACACCAGGGAAGACAGCGCCGACAGCTTGGACAAGACGATCCTCCTTGCCAATCCACACGTGCTTGATGAACTTGCCGTTGCACCCAGAGTTGCTCTCAGGGAAACCGTTGGCCTCGTCGCAAGGCAGAGAGAGAATCTCGCCAGGATACTCGTAGCGGATGAAGGTGCCGAAACCGCCCTGGTCGGTTGGTTGCCAGCCCTTGCGGTTGCGGAACTCGGTGCAGCCGGGGAAACGACCGCCTTCGTTGGGGCAGTCGTCCCACTCCTTGAAGATCTCGTAGGTCTTGGGCTTGTTCTGCATGATCATGAAACCAGTGTTGAGGAACAGGTTGTTCTTGCGGTCGCGGTTGTGCTGGGTGTCGGGATCGTATGGGAGAGCCATGGAGTTGTTCTTGGGGTCGATGCTCCAGTAGTTCATGAGCCACTCCATGGGAAGGTCGAGCTTATTGAACAGAGCGTCGGAGTCAATGAAGACGCAGACATCATGCTTCTTGAGGACTTGCGAGAGGACGGAGGGCTTCTTCCAGGAATCGCGACGGTCGGGGTAGCCGTTAATCGTGATGTGGTAGTACTGGTATCCGTGGATCTTGGCTGTAAAATGTGTCAGTATGTTAAGCGAGAGCTGTCATTTAGCGAGATACATACCGTAGACCCAGTGGTTCAATGTACCACCAGACGGGCCGTGGACCTCCTTGCTCTTGTTCCAAGTCATCTCGTCCGACCAGATCTGGCCAGGCTTATTGAAAGAACGACTCTCAAGATCGATAATGCAGAGCTTCTTGCCGAGGGGCTCGTTCCAGATGGGCTTGTCGGAGGGGAGCTTGGAGGGCCAGTGGCCGTAGGGGAAGTATTCGGCCTCGTTGACCTTTACGGCCGGCTTGATCCATTTGTCGGGTGTGAAGGCATTGAGGTTGAGTTCGGAGGAGAATTCGGGAATCGCGGGCGCTTCGGGGATCTCGTCGGGTGTGGGAGTAGCGTCCTGCTCAGCGGCCAGAGTGGGAGTTTCGGATGCTGTGGCTGCGTCGGCAGCCTGGGCTAGTTCTTCTTCATCGGCGGGAGCCTCAGCGGGATCCTTGTTGGGGTGGACTTGATGTTCATGGGCATGCTCGTGGTCGTGGTCGTGATCGTGCTCTTCCTCAGCGGCAGCATCGGGCGAAGGCGTAGGCTCAACCTCGACGATCTCGACGACGGTCTCAGCAGGTTCCTTAGCAGGAGCAGCGGGCTCCTTGACAGCGGGCTTCTCGGCAGCAGGTTCCTCAGCGCCAATTCCTTCATCGACAGAAGGGACGAAAGTCGGTTCAGAAGCAGCAGCTTCTTTCTCGGGGATGAAAGGCGCAGGCTCGTCGCTGTCACAGAAAAGCCGTCAGATTGAGTTTCGCAAGGCCCAAAAGAGGAGGCGGAAAACTTACATTCCGGAAGTGGCTGTCTCGCTGGGCGTCTTCAAGTGGAAATGCGCCAAACCAAGAAAAATAGTGATAAAGACCACCGCGGCCAGCACGACCGCTCTGTTTGACCTCGGGACGGTCATTTTGTGCAAAAACTCGTACAACAAAAAAACTACTATAGCAAGAAAAAGAATGTAGGGAAAGGGAAGATAGACTATAGAGGGCGAAAGAGAGAGAAGACGAATGATGCACCCCTGACTCTCTTTTTAAGCAGGGTTATTTTTTTTTAGCATCGCATCCTTTCGCTACTCCCTAAAACAAGAGCTGTAATGGTGGATGGAGTTGTCTCAGTAGCGCTTCACACCAATGGGCTGCTGCAACGGTTGGCTGATGGCGGGTACCCATCCTGACGCCTCGTTATCCACTTTGCAATCAATCTGTGACGACGCAAAAAAAGGGGACTCTCAGTGAGGCCACGGTAGTTGAGTTTAACTTTGAGTTTATCAGGAGAGCATCAATTGTCGTACTCTTCACGATGAGAATGTTGTTTTCTGGAGGCCAAGATGTGTCTATTTCTGGAGTATTCACCGCTAAAGACAGCACTGAAGGGTTCCACGAGTGCGGGGACCAGTCTGTCTTGAAGTCCAAACCTGAAGATCAGGTCCCGTCACCACCAACGGACGCGCGGGCAGCCCTGCACCTTGACTCCCGTAGTCGATCCCTTTAATGGATCCTCTCGCCAAGCAATTTCCTTCCAGATCTCCGTGTTCTAGATTATTCACGACAAAAGCTTCTCTTCAAACCGTTTCAATCGTTCTTTTTGTCGTTGTTTATATCGCTGTCAATTGAGCTGTTGCCAAGAAGTGTCTCACGTCATCTAACGCAGCCAAGCTGACGAGTCCCCCTCCAACTTCAACTCAACTCAGTACAACAGTTCTACTCCTGCTTCCCTTCTCTAGAAACTTTCTTATCAAACGGTCAAGAGCGCCACTCGTTTGAGGCATGCAAGCGACACTTCCTCTAGGATAGGAGAGCTGTAATGATCCGGTAAAAGGAGGAGCCGTTGGTTGAGAGCTCCGTGCGAAAGAGGGGCATTCGCGATGCTTCAGCTGAGAAGGAGCTAAGAACGCCACATGAAACGTGCTTTTATTTGGGTGGCTGTCGCTTCGCCCCCTTGAACTGAAGCTCACCAATTCCTACAGGATTGATCATCGAATCCGTTCTTCAACTATGAATGAGATTCTGTTCCACTAGTATAATGTTTGTTCAAAAGAAAGGCAGCTGTGGTGTTCAACATCATCAAGCTTCAAGCATCAAACCTCCGAGCTGCTGGACACGAATCCAACAACCCCTAAATTGGCACCCCTGCAACCTCATCCCTGCCTAGCGACGTAAGAATGCGCGACCCTCAAAACATCCATAGCGCGTCGTAAACACCCAATCGCGGCAAATGTTTCCTGCAAACTAACGAAAGGGTCCTTTACACTATCGATTCACTATTGAAGCTATCGTGAATTTTTGATGCATTCGCTCAGGGGCAGGTAATTTTCGTAGAAGAGTCCGAATTGTGGCTGGTTAGCTCCAGGTACTAGCGCCTGTCAATGGGCGGAAGTGTCGTGGGCGTTCAAGGACCTTGTGGCGTTTTCGTTTTATGAAGGAAGAAGTTGAGCTTCGATTTGCGCAGCGCAAAGCTGTGTACGGGACTTGGTAGTGGTCAAGATGCTTATGGAAATTCAGTGAATTGATATGAGTAATCGCATTGTCGACCTGACTTTAATTTGGTCTAGCACTCGCCGCCACAAGTCATTCGATTCCAGCTGTAGGGTACGTTGAGTCGTACTGACATTTCACGGACAATGAGGTCAAGTTTGCACGCGACGTTTCGGCATTTACACATTCACCGCTATACTGTGTTGTTTTAGAGTTATTCCAATCAGGATTCAACCTCCAAGTTAATCCACGGTATGTCTGGGTTACCGAGTGTAGCGTTAAGTAACGGCGATAAGCACACTTCCAATGTTCGCGACAGAGAAAAGATTTGTTGTCGTCTGACTGTAGCTATGAATTCAGTAAACCCCCCACGACTGATTGTTACGGGCGTTGGGTCATAGCAATTTCCCCGATGCCAGATATGATTGTGAAGCTATCACCACATTTTAAATGGGCGCTGCACTGCTTTGCGCAAGATTCTTGCCGCTCAGCTGACTCAACATGCCAACAGCCGTGGCATTCTGGACAAACATCACTCACCGACTCCTGTTATCTCTGGCCCTTTGTTGGCTGGATTGCTGTAAGGAAATCTACCTCTTTCCTTTGTCTAACATCCACTATGGCGATGCTTTATCATGTCTCCACGGCAGGCGCGATGGATTGAGCTTGAACGGAGAATTGGATTTTAAAACCTCGACAAGAAGCCTAGCTTGTACATGTTTCCCTCGTCTATCTGATCGTACATAGAACATGGGATGTATAGAGATTCATGGCTGTATGCCATGCACGCGATGTAGGGCGAGGCTGTACATACCACCACTTTGAGGCTATCATCAACAGAGCCACACTTATGAATGCTAAACCTCAGAATGTCCCTTCCCTGAGACTGCAAAGAGAAGTACTGATGCTAAAGGTAATAATAAAGTAAGGAATCCGGAGGGAATATAGTCTTAAGGTCGAATGGCCGTGAACTTGACTTCGGATGTCGCTGAATTGATGTTGAAACCCAAAATAATTCAACGGCTGCAAGGTCAATTCAACTTCAAACTGACAATTCTCCTGCAATAGCAGCCAAACTCTTATCGATCTAATTGCTATGCACCGTAATAGGCATATCAAAGTCAAGCCCTTCAATCTATCTCGGACATCGCCTGCAGGACCGGGGATGGTAGATGATTTTCCGTTTCCAACCTAGAGCCAAAGCTGTGATGCTTCCTACCAATCGCAACTTCAGCCATCCTGAACTCGACACAGAACTAGTCGTCGATCACCCGGGAATCGTTTGTCTTCCAAAAATAAACGTTGGTAAACAGTCACCAGCCGTGCGTGCAACTGAGACTGCGACTCTTTAGCTCAGTTGACTCACCTTCACTCGATCCAACTGATACGCGATGTCGATCAGAAGCTGTCAGTGCTCGGAAGGTACAGAAGTTTCGAAATACCCATCCAATCGCGCCATCTTCCTGGCACGCTATAATTGCTAAACCCACCATGCACGGGCTTGGGTTGTTTCAAATAAGGGTCCCTTCTCATTAAACCCCAGCTTTCTCGTATGAGCGACTAATCTAGAAATTCATCTGCCGGTATAAGGTTATTAAAGTCTATATTCTGAGAAATTTATAAGAGGGAAGAGATGGCCACGCTCTGGAGTTGAGGGACATCAGCCTGGCATCTGTTCATCATGTTTTCCAACTTGTCATTCGTTTCGTTGTTATTGCCTGCTCTGGTAGCAGCTCTTGATAAAAAACCTTGTGGGTTCTCATCAAGAAATCTTCATCATTCTCACAACCAGGCTCGATCTCTTGGCGCAAGACAAGCCGTCTCCACGTGCAAATTGCCAAGCACAGACACGTACATGAGCGTCGGCCATGGCTTCCAAGAAGACTGTGTATCCGGCACTGGCACGATTCAGGGTTACATGATCTTCGTCGACTTCATCGACGCCGAGTCCCCAGCGTCGGAATCCGCACAAGACCTCTACGATCTCTTGGTCCCCGAAGCAGCAGAGTGGTACAGAAACGCCAGCTACGGCCAGCTCGAACTCAACATCACCGCCGACGTATCACGATTCTACCGGATGCCTAAATCCGTCGCGTCATACGGGTGGGAACAAGGTCTCAGCAGTGAACAGCATCTGTCATACATCCAAGATGCTCTCGATGTGTATAGAAGCCAAGGAAGAAACCCAATGCCAGCCGCGCACGACGTTCTTTACATCGCGACAACACGCAACAACGATAGAATGACACGGTCAATGGGCACAGGCTTCAGCGTCACAGCTAGGAACGGGAAATTCATCTCAAAAAGAGCAGTCACGTTCGGAGCTGATCCGTATACTACGTGGGGCTACAAGGCGCTCAATCACGAGACGGGCCATGCCATGTGTCTGCCCGACTACTACCCCAGCGCACCGGACCTGCCTACGGGGCACTACACCGGAGGATGGAGCATAATGGGCAATGTAGGCGGCGCAGCGCCCGATTTCTTCGCATGGGACAAGTGGCGGCTTGGATGGTTGAAGGATACTGCTATCAATTGCGTTACAAAGCGAGGCACTACCCAACATACCCTCACCGCAGTTGAGATCGAAGGCGGCGTCAAAGCAGTTATCATTGCAGCGAGTCAAACCTCTGCCATCGTCGCTGAAGCGCGTGTTGCAAAAGGCGTCGATGGGAACATCTGCGCGCCGGGTGTTCTGTTGTATAGCGTCGACACGACTGTTACCACGTCGGCGGGTTCGATCAAGGTCTTGGATGCGACCCCTGGATCGAACGGTTGTGGGGAGAACGGAGAGCTGGAACCTTTGAATGATGCTACTCTGTCCATGAAGGGGAAGAAGTCATTCGAGGTTTCTGAGTGGGGAGTCAAGGTTACTTTGGTGGAGGAGAAGAATGGCCAGTTCAAGATTGAAGTGGAGTATTCTTAACATTATCTTCTTGTAAATAATAGCTCTTTGATAGAGTATCCTTAGGCCCTAAAAGCCTAAGAGACGAAATGATTTGGTTACTTTATGCTAGCTTAGATTAGCATTTAGGCTACTTTATTGTGGAAGCCTAAGCCTTAGAAGATAATTCTTCTGTTACTTACCTGAGTATTTGTATAAATATCTGGCATAATAATTGGTTAATTCCGTCATTCGGCCAACTTTTTTCCCTGAATCATGACGATGTTACATCGGCAAACCACGACCCAAAGTGGAAACTGGTTAAAGCAAAGCCTTTCACGTTTCATCACGAGTTCCTTCCAAGCATCCCATTGCCAAGTCTCGGACGATCCCAATTCCCCTTCTTAAACGGCCCGTTTATTCAAGCTAATGCACTCCATACTTTTAATGCCCGTCCAGGCCATCCCTTTGGGATCTAAACCACCCAATTGTTCTTAACTCATGAACATTAAGAGCTGATTAAGCGTAAATGTTATTTAGTAACCGATGTTCTACCGGTTATCCCCCGCATTATTGGTGTATTTATTTTCCCATGGGGAACTTAACTGCGGCAGTTAATCTCGGCAACAAGAGCACGATTCGGAAACAGAGACGCTTTAGGTAATTTGAGGACCGACGTTGTGTCATGGAAAAGCATTGACTCTTAATACTTTACTATACTGGAAACAATTATGGAAAACTTGCTATTAGAGAATAATTCCGCATGACGTTGGGAACCTTTTCTCCGCTCAATGTCACTCAAGCCGGGGAACCCATACTTACGGATACTTACGGGGCTAACGAGTTGAATAAATAATGGTGATCCGCACCGAGAAGATGGCCTGGTTGGTCTTTTGTTTTGTGTAGTTTCGACCAGCAATTCTCTTCATGATGCGTTCCCTTTTGAGCTTTGCCACTGCGGCTGCCCTTCTTGCTGATGGTGTTGTTTCGCAACAAGCACCTACCGTAACGGTCAAGAACGGTACTCTCGAGGGTCGTTATGAGCCTGGATACAAGCAGGATCTGTTCCTCGGTATCCCTTTCGCTCAACCTCCCGTTGGACAACTTCGATTCCAGAACCCTCAGAGCTACAATGAGACATTCGATAAGCTTGAGGTTAAGAAGTATGGTGACTCTTGTGTCGGTTATGGTGTAAGTAATACGATTGGACCTGTGGGGGAATATGCTGACTTTGTTAGAACTCTCCCGATCAAGGTGCTGCTACTTTCAGCGAGGACTGTCTCACTCTAAACGTCGTTCGTCCTTCGGGCGTCAGTGCAAATGAGACACTTCCCGTTGGTGTCTTCATCCACGGTGGAGGCTGGACCATGGACTTTGCTGCCAATGGCGCTTACAACATGACTTTCATGGTCGAGGAGGCTGTCAAGGCCGGAAAGCCCTTTGTCGCTGTTTCTGTCGCCTGTAAGTGATCTGCGATATCTCATCCTGAATTCTCAACTGACATAATAGACCGTCTTGCTTTCTGGGGTTTCATGGCCAGCAAAGACGTCATGGACGCCGGCGTCGCCAACCTCGGTCTAAAGGACCAGCGCCTCGCCCTCAACTGGGTCAAGGAAAACATCGGCGCTTTCGGCGGTGACGCCTCCAAGGTCACTATCTTCGGCGAGAGTGCTGGCGGTGGTAACGTCGGTTACCAAGCGACCGCCTACGGAGGTCGTGACGACAAGCTGTTCCGCGGTATCATCGCCCAGTCTGGCGCTGACGGTACTGACATGAAGAACCTGACCCAGCCCGAGAAGCGCTACAATATCATTGCCGAAGCAGCTGGCTGCGGTGATGCCTCTGACAAGCTCGCTTGTTTGCGTGAGGTTTCGTTCGAGAAGCTGAATGCTACTAGCACCAAGGTTCCCGGCAACTTCTATCCCGTTGTCGACAACGATTTCATCCCCGATTATCCTTCCACCCTTCTCGAGAACGGCAAGTTCGTCAAGGTTCCTCTCATCACTGGTACCAACGCCGACGAGGGTAGTTTCTTCGCCGGTCCTGGTGCTTCGACTGATGAGGAAGTCGCTGCTTCTATCATGTCCAACGGTCCTGATGCCAACACCACTGAGACCTTGATGGCTCTGTACCCTAACATTGACGCTCTTGGTCTTCCTTCTGGATATCGTCGTAAGGCGAGTGACTCTGTCAAGGCTCAGTTCAAGCGTATGGTTGCTTTGCAGGGTGATCAGCTGTTTACTAGCTGGCGACGAAGACGCTCTGATGCTTGGTCCAAGTATGATGTGCCTGCTTACACTTATCTCTTTGAGTCTCCCAACATCAACATGCGTAAGTTCATCCTGTCAAGTTCTGGAGATTGAGATGCTAACCGTAGTGAAGCTCCTCAAATCGGAACTCCTCACTTCGTCGAGATCGCCTATGTCTTTTACAACAAGCTTGGTCAAGGTTACGGAAAGAACATGGGTCCTTTCTACAACGCTCCTCAGAATGTTCTTGACCTTGCTCAGCTCGTTACACGCATGTGGATCAGCTTCATCACCGAGGGCAACCCCAACGAACACGGCCGTAAGTTCTCCCCCAAGTACCTATATGAAAACGTTACTAACAATATTTTAGTCGAGAACGTTCCTGAGTGGCCTGTCTTCAACAATGGAGGTGGTTACGGACACAACTTCTACTTCAACCCCAACGGATCCAGCGTTGAGCCTGATACCTACCGATTGGCTGGTACTACTTTCATGAACTCTGTTACTCGGGAGCAGTATGGCAGGTAATGTGGTTGTGTGAGATGATGCGTGAGTCTCATTACGAGTAGTTCGTTTGCAATTTTATCTGTAGATATTTGGATATTAGTATACTAGCGAAGAAATATGTACACAAATTTCGTATCTATTTTTACTCGCCGACCAAGACCGTTTGCATGCACAAGTGCCATGAATTTTGGAAATTGCAGATGAATAAAAGTTCGGCATCACAAATGCCATGGTTAAGTACCGGTACTTTCAGGATTGTCCCTGCCAAGCCCCGGTTCTTCTGATCCCACGCGGCACTCGGCCCCCGGCTCTAGTGACACGGGATGGCGTTTGCGCTTTGACAGACTCGCAAGATGACTACTCTAGCGCAGAGGATAAATCATACGATGGCTGGTAAAGAATTCACGAATACCACGCATTGTAGATCCCTGAAAACTTTGATCTGGAGTGTGAGCAATGAGTGGAATTATGGATTCGTTCGCTTGTGGTCACTGGGCCGGTTACGCTGTCGTGTGAGCATTTTGTGATCTGGGAAATCTTATCCGAATGGAGCAGATTTATTTACTTGAAAGAGACTGTCCCGCATCAGGCGGGTAATTCATTAAGGCCTGGCTGCGAAATTAAAGTAGCATGAGTGAATTTGAAAGGCTACATTAGGTTACCGAATCATTTCGCTTCCTATGCTATTGTCGCCAATCATTCTGGCATCCTGATGGAAGTGTAGTATCGTAAATAAACTTCTCAAGGAACGTTACGCTATGGGCTATCCATGGCCAAAACTCAAACGGCGTTCGAGATGGCGACAAGCTTGCGTGCTTGGATCGACGCCAACCCTACAGCGTTGTATCACGCCGTTACATCCCCAAGATTCGATGGCTGATCTACACGTGGAGGCTCGTCTACGTTCAAATGCTCGATACGAATACTCTAGCGAAAGAATGGAAAGTGTAACCCAGCGGTTGGGGTTGGAATTGGTGTCTAATGAGATACAGCCCGGGGAAGAGACACTAACACACGTAATCAATAGATTACGAACACAAGTGATTGAATTTATTGTCCATAGCTACACCTCGACTGGCTGTAGAAAAAGCTTTGGGCCAATCTTTTCTGGAAGTAGTATCCTCCGAGCCTGAGGCATAACACTGGAAGTCCTACGTGAAAGCTGACATTCAAAGTGCAATCATGAGGACAGACCACGCCAATGTCACACGGTCCCCGCTTCGAAGAATGAGGTTGAACGATCGACAATAGTCTTCCAATATTGTCGCGTGTCAGCACGGGACGGGCCAACCGAACGAACGAAGTAACATTGGCATACCAATAATATCCACGGAACATTTGCACTTCCGACGTCGATCCTCTATCTTGGCATCATGATCTTCATCTACAATCTTCAACAAACTATGCCTGCATTTACTGTGTCCCCCAGTCAGGCTTTCTCTTCTCCAAAAACGCCTTGACACCCTCTTCCTTATCCTTGGTCCCAAAAGCAAAATAATACAAACCTCGTTCAAACTCATGATCAGCACCCAAACCATCCGCTGTCAAGATTAGTAAACATACTGTGTGTAGATACTCGACCACTTACATCTACAAATGGCTTCCTTAGCCAAGCCCAACGCCATAGGACTCGACGCCGCAAGCGTCGATGCCGTGTCTCGTACCACGTGTTCCAACACGGTGCCGCTCTCGTAAAGATCAGTAACTAAACCCATGGACCGGGCCTCTTCCGCGGGCATGGGACGGCCGAGGAGAATCATCTGCATAGCCTATCACTCGCGCACGCGCGTGTTAGAATTAACAACTCATCACAAGTATGCCGGGATGGTAAAGTGTTTGTACAGGGTCTTGAGGGCGAAAGCGAAGAGACCGGGATGGTAAACTGTTGGTACAGGGTGGCATACCTTGAACTTTCCCACGGCGTTGGTCAGCCGCTGTGTACCGCCGGCGCCGGGAATGACACCAATCGTCACCTCAGGAAGACCAAAGCGACTGTTGTGCGCTGCAAAAATCAGGTCACACTAGAAAGTATCAATTAGTAATTATTTCGGGTCCCGGAGCAAAAAGCTTACCATGAGTGCAAGTTCAAAACCCCCACCGAGCTGTCAACAATTAGCACCGCATGTCCCGGAAACTTGGGGATAGGCTATCGTCAATCTCACCGCCATTCCCTCAACAGCCGCTATCAAAGGCTTGCGCACGGCTTGCATCCCCGAACAAAGGTCCGAGAGATAGCGGCACTTCCGCGCCTCTTCCGCATCGAGCCGTGAGATCTCCCCGATATCAGCTCCGGCTTTTCGTCTGTCAGCTGGTCTGGGTCGTGCAAGTGCCGGGCCCCCTTGTCCCTGTCTGTACAAGTGGAGAGTGGTTCATACCGCAAAAGAAAGTCGTGCTGCCAGTGATGACAATGACTCGCACGCCATCGTCGTTCGCTGCTGAGCGCAGATGTTCCAGGAATACGGCTATCAGGTCTTGCGAGAGGGCGTTTCGTTTGGAGGGTCTGTTTAACGCGAGGACGCGTACGCCGGCTGCGGGTGTGGAAGGGAGGATCAATTGATCGGTCATTTTTATCGAGATCACAAGAGAGGATGAGGAAAGCTGAAAATGGTATGGTTGACTTAGCTGGTGACGATTCGATTTGACTGACGTTCAAGTCGCGTCGACGAAAGAGATAAATGTACCTCTTTCTCTCTCCCTTGAGTTCGGTTCAGGTACGTCAAAAAAACGCGCGCCTTGGCTTTTTAGCCGCGTCGATCACTAGTGTTAGTGTCTTTGATTCAACTGAGACACGGCCTGGATTGTGTTTGTCTCACTTGTCACAGCATGGATCCCGGCAACCCGACAAGGTATTTTGCCCAACATTCATTCAATTGAAGAAGTTTGCACAGGGAACATCCGATTACTTGCGCCATTTGTAATGCAAAGAGCGGTGGTTGGAGAGGATCTTTTTCTTTGTTCGGAAAGTTCGGTGGTACAAGTGAGGGTAGTTTGTCGATCTGGTGTCTTGTCAATTCCGCTGGCTCGGTCCACTCCTCAGGCCGTTCGCGTGGCTAGTTTCTAATAGCTTCAACAAGAGCCGACGATCTTTGTTGAGGTGATAGGTTTCGTAGATTTCCGTTTAGCTTGTGGAGAATAAAATCAGTCTAGAGAAGCCGAGGAAGTCCTGTCAAAAGCGGTCAGTTACTACGGTATACTCGTATCTCAGACTGGTATTGATTGATGAACTCATTGGGAAGTATTGACAGCTTACTTGATAATATGTCATCACCACCAACATCGTCATATCACCTCTCCCCCATGTCAGATTTGGGTCTATATGCCGGAGTGAGATCCTGCAGCTCCCGCATGCTGTCGATGTCTTGGCGTACCCTTGTAGTAACCGCATCCACGGAACCGAACTTTCACTAATTCTCTTCTTCCCGCAGATCCCTCGTCTCCTCTGCGGGTCCCATCACCTCGCTAGAACAGAGACTAAAACACTTTTAGACTGACAGGGATCAAATCAGATCCACAGACCCAACCAACACCAAACCACTGTCAGGACGGTGAGAGAACAAACAAACAGACTTCAATAATTCCACGTATTGTTTTTAGTTTCTGTTACCTTTTTCACAAGAAAACAACTCTCAGCGCTCCATCCCGAGTCCGTGCCTGCCCAGATCCCTGCAACATAGTCAAAAAGCTTGCTTTCTCCCCTGTCTCCAAACTGCATACGGCTTTAGCCTGATGATTGTTACCCCAAACAGCATGAAAAGTAACGGAAGAGAGAAATCAAAAACTGTCAATTTACGGACGAGGAAAAAAAGACGCACCACGGAGGTGTGGCCTTGATTCTGAACTACCGACCCCCCCTCTAAGAGTGCTACGGCACATGACGGGTTGTCACCCTTTTTGTAGTGTAGGTTGCTTGATAGCTGCCAAAGTCCTGCCAAGCAAGCTTATGACGAGGAAGGCTGGGGGTTGGGTTAACGTTAGGCTATGCGTGTGAGTAAAGATGGCAGGGAAGAGGATCAAGAAAAACATTGCTGAAAGCGGAGAAGGTTAAGCATGCGTATCTGTCTATTTAAGAACAGACGTGCTTGTTTGGTGGGGAGACTCGACACTCCTTTTAATTTCAAATCATCAAAGCTCCTCGTCTTCCCTCATCCTTTCATCGGATTTGAGTTTTATCTCTTGTCTTGTACGACGATCCTCATTTCTCATCTCACGCCTCCTCACAAATCCCCTTGTCCAGTATGAGCTTGTCTCCTGGAACTGCCGTGCCCGTGTCCTTTACACGAGGTACATGCAGTCAACCTAGCTTCTCAACCGTCACAGAAGCTTTCTTCCACCATGCCGCTACACAGCCTTCGGCAGCCGCGGCACGAGATCTATCTGCCGAGCCGCCCGTTGAGATAAGCTATGGTGAGCTTGCTTCCCAGGCTATTCGTCTAGCGAGGCGGTTGCAGAGTCTTGGTGTTTTGCCTGGTGATCGTGTGCCGCTTGTTGTGAAGCGTGGTGTTGGTATGCTTGTTGGTATCGTCTCTATCTTGTCTTGCGGTGCTCAATATGTTCCGCTTGATGGTGGTGTTGTTGCGGAAGAGACGTTGAGGTTTGTGTTGAAGCAGACTGGTGGCAAGCTTGCTGTGTCTTCAAAATCTACTTCTCATCGCCTTGATAACACTGGTGTTTCAAACGTTGTCGTTATTGAGGATGAGTATGAGGTGGATGAGAAGGTTGACTTTGTGCCTTTCAGTCAACCTGAGGCTGGCTGTTATGTGATATATACTTCTGGTAAGTTGAGTCATGTTCATGCTTTATGTCGCACCACTAATATAGTCAGGCACAACTGGTACACCAAAGGGTGTAGATGTTAGCCACCGCAACGTTACAAATTTGCTATGTCAAGCACCAGGTAGCTTGGGCATCGGACCAGGAACATGCGTTGGTCAGGTATTGAACGTTAGCTTTGACATGGGTAAGTTAAACCTTCTTTTTGATATTCACAAGGATCATAATTAACCTTTTGAAGCTGCATGGGAAACCCTTGGCTGTTTGACCAACGGGGGTACCTTGGTCCTTCGAGGATCAGACTGGTCAAAAGCTTTGAAAGAGGTAAGACTTCTCTATTAATGTTGTTGGTATATACTAACATATCTAAGCTTGATGTTCTCATTTGCACACCAAGCATTCTCTCAAAACAAAACCCCCAAGACTACCCCAGGTTGAAAACAGTGGCCACGGCAGGTGAACCAAGCTGCCAAAAGTAAGTCACAAAACTCTTCCCACCAGACCTCAACTAACAGACCTAGACTCGCGGACCTTTGGGCTTCTCACCTCTCCTACTTCAACTGCTATGGTCCCACAGAAACAACAATCGTCAACACAATGCACCCTCACACACCAAACCAACCTCTATCAATCGGTAAACCAACACCAGGAAACAACATCTACATCCTAGATGAATTCCTCAACCCAGTGCCCGTCGGTGAAGTCGGTAATGTCTGGGCCGGTGGCGCGGGAGTGGCGCGAGGCTACGTCGATTTGCCGGATAAGACAGCTGAAAAGTTCCGCCTCGATCCCTTCGCCCAAGACGGGTAAGTGCCACACTATCAACCAACTTTATTCGAACTCGATGCTAACGGATACAGTTCAATGATGTACAACACCGGCGATATCTGCCAATGGAACACAGACGGCACTCTTCACATCCTCGGCAGGATAGACGACCAAGTCAAAGTCAAAGGTTTCCGCGTGGAACTAGACGGTGTAGTCGCATGCATCAAGTCCTGCCCCTCCGTGCAAACCGCAACCGCACTCCTCATCAACGAAGAAATCCACGCCTTCGTAACACCCAGCCACTCTCCTGTTCCGGTCGTGGAAGCACATCTCAAGACTCTGCAGCCTTATTACGCCATGCCGACGCATTACCACCAACTTGAGAACTTGCCCATGACCGCAAACGGTAAAGTGGATAAGCATGCGCTCAAGATGTCTGTCATGTCCAAGACTGCGGTTGTCAAGTCGCCGCAGCCTGCTGTGTTGGCGCATGCTAGGATGGACTCGAATGCTTCGAGTGCTACGCAATTCAGTTCCTTCTCGGATGCTTCCGATGCGACGCTCATTGCTGAGAAGGAGTTTGATCTTGAGAAGGCTCTTCCTGAAAAGGATCTTCCAAAACAAGCTCGAGGACTGCGCCACAGAATCCTCATCGTCTATCGTCGCCTGTTCTCACTCGTTGGCCTGTTCAACATCGGCGCTGCTATCGCTCTGCTCCTTACGAGCATCAACCGAGAATGGATGGGTATTATCACAGCTATCAACCTAGCAACCGCCGTCCTCGTCCGTCAAGAATTCGTTATCAACGCTCTTTACACTATCACATGCAGCGTCCCCAAGTCTTGGCCTCTGGCCATCAGATCTCGCTGTGCGAAGATCTACCATCTTGGAGGCGTTCACTCCGGTGCGGCTGTCAGTGCGGGAGCTTGGCTTTTGGCGACCAACATTGCAGATATTGCTTGTAGCTTTGGAAATTGTCCTAACTGGGGTAATCTTTCCATCGCTTCGCAAGTCATCTCTTGGATCCTCTCGGCTATGTTTGTCGGTATGATCGGTATGGCTTGGCCAACTGTTCGCAAGCGCTACCATGATCTCTTCGAGAGGACTCATCGATTCGCTGGTTGGACTATGCTTGCCCTCTTCTGGGTCCAAGTCGTCCTCGCAGCCAACGATAGCAAGCCAGCTGGTACCACATTGGGAGAGTCTTGCGTCAAGTCACCCGCTTTCTGGCTCTTGGCTGTAGCCACAGCGAGCGTCGCTTCCTCATGGTGCTTCCTCCGCAAAGTCCCTGTCGAAGCAGAGAAGCTCTCAGACCACGCCATCAGACTTCACTTCGATTACACAGTCCCAGTCAACGGCTCCTTCACCCGTCTCTCCCGCGCACCCCTCAAGGAATGGCACTCCTTCGCCACCATTCCCGCTCCCGAATCCATCAATGGCCGCTCAAAAGGTTATTCCCTCGTCGTCTCTAACGCAGGCGACTGGACGAAAACAACCATTGAGAACGGTCCCCAGTACATCTGGACACGCGGCGTCCCAACATGCGGCGTCATGCGTATCGCGACGTTGTTCAACCGCGTTGTCCTCATCGCAACAGGTTCAGGTATTGGACCTGTGCTAGGCCACATTCAAAATCCTTCGTGCCCTACACAACTTATCTGGTCTACCAAGAACCCCGAAGAGACGTTTGGCAAGGAGATCTGCGATACTATCGCCGAGCGCATCCCCAACGCGGTCATCCACGACACTAAGAAGCTCGGGAGACCTGACTTGGTGAAAATGGGTTACAACCTGGTCAAAGCCTTCAAGGCGGAGGCCGTGGTGATCATCGCGAATGAGAAGATTACCAAGAAGATTGTTTACGGTTTGGAAACGCGTGGCGTTCCTGCCTACGGAGCTATCTGGGATAGCTAAGGAATGAGTTTATGTTTGTTTTACGATTCATGTTAATGTCCATGAAAGTATGTTATGTTTATGTTTATGTTATGTATGTACGTATGGCTTTGATACCTTGTTATGATCTTGAATGAATGAATATCATGTTTGTCGATCTGAAACATTGCTTGCGTGATTGGAATGTAAATCGCCCTTGGCATCGGGGCATTTGATAGCTGAGACAGAGTTTGGGGCGGAGGAATGACTGCCGACCCCGTTGAAGTCCGATTGAGTTCAGATAGATGATTGGCGGAGGCTAAACTCAAAAACACCTGATTTCAGTTGACTTAGATTGCAGATCGTAGGAGTTTCACTTCCGGTGTTCTTGGCTCATAAGACGAATGCTCGTGTATTCTCTTTTCGAGGAACTCTAATTTTCCAACTGGGTAACCAACATGAAAGACGCTGCAAGCAGTAAACAATGCATCGCTCAAAGACAAGTTTGTACATGCCGCGAGGCTTTTGAAGTATCTCAACCAACAGATAACTATCCGTCCCCGGCCTAGGTGAAGGGCGATCCAAAAGCCAACCAGTCCGCTTCAGGATCAGGTGCTCCGTTGCTCCGACTCTCCTGTGTCCGCATCGGTTGCAGCTGTAACTGCGACTGCGCATTTGAACTCATAGAGGCACGTGGATAGTTGAAGAACTCGAAGACATCGATGTTATCTAGCTCACTTAGCGACGTAGCTTGTGTTGATGTAGCTTCTAAGCCTGAGTGTCGTGCAGTGGATGTCAAGGTGACCAAGTCATACGCGCTCCTGATAAACGTTAGTTAAATAATGCGGCGTGAATGGACGTGAGACGCACCTTCGCATCGCCGAGAATCCCATATCCCCCTGTCTCGCCCTCTGCACAACACGCTGAAGAATCTTAGAATAATTATTCGCCACCTCCCAATGCTGTCCAACATCCCTCAACGTCTCAATAAAGAAATCAATCTGTGAATCCACCGTACATCCAACCGTAGCAGCATGAACAAGTAATAATCTCGCAGCAACCCAAAGTGAAAACGCAAACGAGGGTCCAAGAAGGTTGAGACCATCTGCTTCAAGCACATCACGCGTGATATCCCCTAAGCTTTGGACAGCTGACAAACATCTCTGCATCGCGTAATGTGACGGAACAAAAATGTGAGATCGTACTGTTGGATATGCTGCAGAGGAGTGTAATCGTACAGCAGCCGTGACATACGCGCTATGCAACATAAACCAATTCGCAACCCGACTCGCAGGATCAGAATGACACAGCGCAGAAATCTTGCTATATTCACTCGGCAAGCTCTGCAACCAGCCATCCAGCGTGCGATCAAGATTCCGATACGTATTCCGCCACTCTGCCATGTCGCTCGCAGAGGTGACATCAACCGGCATCTTCAGAAACTCATGTATTCTACTAAGAATAACAAGAATCTCACAATGATACGCGAAACTGCCGAGATTCTCGGGCTTGTTGACGAGATATGTCATGATGGGGGATTGTTTGTTATTGCACGCGCTCAAGGAGCGTGTTTCGACGGGAACGTTCTTGGAGAAGAGATCGTAGGAACATGGTAGGAAGCGGTTGATTTTGGTGTCGGAGAGAACAAAGTCAAAGGTGGGTGTGGCGATTGTTGCGTAGCGGTCGAGGAGGAATATCATCCAGTACAAACGTCGACGACCTTCGTCTTCGATCCAGGATTCGGGTTTGCTGGCGGCTACTCTATGGGATGATGCTGTGTGGGTGACTTCTGATGCTTCGGCTGATAGGAAGACGCTGCTTTCTTCACATAGACCTAGTTGTCTTGCGTTCTGGGCTAGTAAGGATAAAAGATTCCATCCTCGTGGGCCGTTTGATGTTCCTAGTTCATCGAGAGTTATGATAACGAGAGCTCTTAATGCTGGAACGGTGGTATGCTCCATTGCGTAAAGTTGGACAGTGTGTTTGGCGACTGAGTGATAGTATGCACTCATCTCAGGAGATAGTCTGGGGTCCTTGAGAAAGCGCAACGTGGTTGCTACGATGGCATAGAGTAATATCCGATCAGGTTCCTCCATTGACGTTGAGCCGAAGAAGGTGGCAAAGATGGTTTTGCGCTCGAGGATAGGACACCACGTTCCGCAGTGCTTGAAGTAGAGGTCCACTAGACTGTAGATGATGTCGTGTGGTGGTAGATCGATGGTGTAAGACTGGATAGACGGGTTTCGTGGTATAGCTGATGGTGTTGGGATGTTCGTCTGAGCTGGTGTTCCTGCACTGGTTCCGTGCTGTTGAGTTTGTGATGGACCACCATTCTGGCTATTGGTGACCTGCCACGGACTCGTAACAGCTGGCGACTTGGCCTGCGAGAACGAAGACTGCCTTGGGAGCGTCGCAGGTGTAATCCGACTATCAATCGTCGAAGCATAACCGTTGACATTCCCACCCGGCGAAACAACAGGAGAATGATCTTGAACAATATGCTCTTCCACTCTCCGTCCCAGCGCTTGAAGCAACGCATCAATCCTATTGACCTTGGCCTCAAGCTCAATACTAAACCCATTCCTTGCGGCCCCTGGTTTCTGCCGTTCAAGATAGACACAAGCTTTGTTATGTCGCGCACACCACGAACAGGCCGGTTCAGCGCGGTCGCATTTCACCTTGCGCGTCTTGCACATTTCACACCTAGTAAAGTTCAGATCCATTTTCCATTAATGTTGTATTGATAAACATACGATATCTTTTGGTGCTTCTCCCTCCTCCGCTTCTTGGACCTCGACTCATCACCGCTAGAACCGCTCAATGTCGAATTGGCTTCCTCCTCTGCCAGGGAGGGTCCGCTGATGGAAGTCATGGGCGATCTTTTTCCCTCGCAGCGCGTGCTCTCCACTGTTCCCAGCACCAAACAATGGGAAAGAAGAGGGTCTGGGGTAAGAAAAAAGAGAGATAAGCTACTGGGTCCCCTTGCAGTTCAACTTTTCCCCTCTAGTCCGGCGTTGATTTCCCTGAATGGAGAGCGTTGGATTGAAATAAGATGCGGGTGATAAAAGTAACGCCGAAGTGGAGAGGGAGAAAAGAAATTGAGTGGAGTGGAGAAAGATGAGAAATGATTTGCTAAGACGGGAAAATGAGGGGCAACAGACACCAACAATGAGATCGGCGAATATTGAACAACAGTCAGTAAACATGCCGAAAGGTCAATTGTAACCCATTCAATTGTGAGAATGCGACTACAACCCAATCTCAACTACTTCTCTATTAGACCAAACATCCGAAACAATCCTTGTAAAAGCCAAGTCGAGATGCCAACGTTAAACGCTGGATCCTCGCATGTCATGCATATAACAAACAGAAGACCTTCTATCTATGGTTAACACTGCACATGTGATGTCTCGGCACACATGCGTTCTTGTCTCCCCGGATTACCCGGCGTGTTGCAGGAGTTTGCAGAAAGGAAACGTTTCAATCCTTGACCCATGACAGAAGCCAAGGGGCAACGGGACCAACCGAAACTCGGCACAACAACATGGGTAGTGAGTGAGATATGAGGGGTGGTAGGGGTAGGTGGGTAGCAGAGGAAATGTCCTCTAAGGCTTAGGCCTCCTAAATAAAGTAGCCTAAATGCTAGTTTAAGCTAGCATAATGCGACCAAATTATTTCGTCCCTTATACCCCTAGGGGCCAATTCTTCTGACACCCTGAGGGAGGGGGATGCAGTGTACAGTAGCTTGAACCCCTCCTCCGGAAATAACACTGCGGAGCCGCGAATGGTACGAGGATCTGGAGGCTAGTGCATGTCTAGAAGAAGTCAAGTGTTCCATTCAGACCCTCATAGACAAAATAACTCATCCACTCGGTGGATTTTAAGACCTGCATCTAGACTGCTTCATTCTGTCAAACTAGGTAAGCTCAGCCAACATCAGCTTATTTCTCCTTTAGTAGCCCGACAGATCCTGGTTCCAGGCAGCAGAATAAAAATCCATGCAAGCTATCAAACAAGTACTAGTACATAACAAACAAATCAACAAATGTCCTCTTTCATTACCACTTCTGAATTACGTTTACTCGTTGGCCCAGCCCTTGGACATCTCAACGGCCTTGGTCCATCGACTAAACCGCTGGGTCGCCTCCTCCTCGGCGATCTGCGGCTTGAAGATGGTACGACCTTGAGTATTGACATCCTTCAAGTCATCAAAGCTCTTCCAGATTCCAACGGCGAATCCCGCTGCGATGGCTGCGCCTAGGGCTGTTGTCTCGCGCATGGCGGGGCGGTTTACTGGGATTCCAATGAGATCTGACTGGGTCTGTTCAAGGGTTAGCAAAGTGTCGCACATGGATCGTGGTCTGGTGATGGTTACGTACCTGCATGATGAGATCCGAATTGCACATGCCGCCATCAACAGCAAGCTCGGTCAAAGCATGTCCGCTGTCCTTCTCCATCGAGTCGAGAATCGCCTTGGTCTGGAAACACGTCGCTTCAAGCGTAGCCCTCGCAACATGTCCTCGCTGCGTGTACGCCGTGATACCAAAAATGGTTCCTCGCGCATCGTCAATCCAGTACGGCGCAAACAGGCCGCTAAAGGCCGTAACAAAGGTGCACCCACCGTTGTCCTCCACCGTCTCCGCCAGAGCGCTCAGCTTGGCAGATGACTCGATGAAGCCGAAATTGTCCACGAGAAATTTAACGCTGGAGCCTGCTACCGCGATGCTGCCTTCTAGTGCGTACATGGTGTTGCCCTCGCCAAAGTCAAAGGCGACAGTCGTCAAAAGACCGTGCGACGAGATCACTGGCTTTGCGCCTACGTTGTAGAGCAGGAAACAGCCTGTGCCATACGTGTTCTTGGCAAGACCGGGGGTAAACGCCTTTTGTCCGACCAACGCTGCAGACTGGTCGCCCAGACATCCGGTGATCTTGACTCCCTTGAGCGACGTACCAGCCAGAGAACCATACGCCTTGCTATCAGAAGAACGCACGATCCTTGGCAGCGTAATCTTGGAATCATCGACTCTGAACCAGTCAAGAATATCCTCGTCATACTGAAGCGTCTCAAGATTCATAAACATGGTTCTAGACGCATTCGAGGGATCAGAAACGTAAACGTCGCGATCCGTCGCGCCGTTGAGCTTGTACGTCAACCACGTATCCACAGTTCCAAAAGCCAAGACACCGCGCTCGTACGCATCTTTGACTTCGGGAATGTTCTGTAGCAGCCAGAGAAGCTTGCTGACGGATGGGTACGTGGAGAGAGGAATACCGCAGCGCGCGATGAGCTCGCTGGAGCCGAGACGGCGCTTGAGACGGCGCACGAGATCTTTTGAGCGAGTGTCTGTCCAAACGATGGCGTTGTGCAGAGCTTTGCCGGTTGTCTTGTCCCAGACGACTGTAGTCTCGCGCTGGTTTGTGATACCAACGGTCTTGATCTGATCTCTTGAGTGGCCCTGACTCTCGAAAGATTCAACGGCGCCGTCGATGCACTGCTCAACAGAGCTCACCAACTCCTCAGGATCATGTTCATGCCATCTGAACACACCATCAATAATCGTTCAAAAGTAGATGTTGTGGACGTGACTTACCCAGGATGAGGATAGTACTGCTTAAACTCAAGCTGATGCGTAGCGACAACATCGCCACTGGTGTCAAAGATCAGAAAGCGTGAGCTTGTAGTACCCTGATCAATAGCACCAATAAAGGTAGGGTTGGGCTTGCCGTTGAGGAGAGGCATTGTGCTGCGGCGACGGTAACGAGATGAAGATTGTGTGGAGAAAGAGTGTTCAGATGGGGAAAGGCAAAAATGCAACAGTGACAAATTGAATCTTGACGTGAACGATCGCCTTATAAAGTTTCGCTGCAACTGCATCTCGGGACAGGCGCAACGGGTCTTGGTAAATTGTTGGCCTTAAGTATCTGACCTACCTCGGTGTCTAAACGTCTACAAACACCGAATCTCTCGTGCAAGTGCAAGTGCAATCCGGGACCAAAGTGCATCTCGGGAAACCGTTTCCCACATCCCCCTGGTCTCCCCTCTTCCCCCAAGAGATTGCCCAGGTGCGGGGTTCCCAAGTGGCTTGTCAGACCCAAGATGAGAATGAGTACATTTCGAATCCTTCGCTCACACACAGGCCACACCCTTGTAGAGCCCATCCTTGTTCGTAGCACACAACCAACAACACTTTCCTCTTCGAGTCCGTAAGCTAAAAAGGCCTCGGCTTGGGGAATACCGAATTACAGGCCCATGTCACAAGACAAAGGCGCAGTCCATCGGGATCTCATAAGCGCAAGATACCTGCCTCATGTATCTATACTTCGACAGGGGGGTTGGGTGAGAATGTTGCATTTCCCCGCAGTGCACTAGGGGAAGCGCAATCCCATGTTCCAGAAGCTTGATTCGGATCCGCTTGTCACCTTGGTCGCGTATATGCGGGTCAATATAACTTTGACCATACCTTAATTCTGAGCAGCCAACCACTTAACCTCGGTCAATCCGGAGAAGCGCCAATCCTTTCCCTCTCTTCTTCAATAGTCTGGGGTTGCTCTGATGTAGTGGAGAAAGAAAACCGCACCAGTCTCGACCGTTCTGCCCCTCTTCTTCAGTCCCAGGCCTTCGGTGTAAGCAACCTGATGAGAGCAAATTATCTCGGTGTTGGATATCCCACGGCGTTGTTTGTTGGTTCTTTTTCGGTGGTGCGCCGCCGAGCGACATGGTTGGAGAAAAGTCTCCTTTGCACATGACCGAATCCAAGTAGAGTTTCCTCCTGAACGCCATCTTGGCCCCGTTGCCCTGTCATGGTTCGATTGCATCGGAAGTACTTGCTGACCATTTGTCCCTCATCCCCTCTCGACATGTCCCCGAAATAGTCTCGTTCCATATCCAGGTGGGATCAGCATGCTTGCAAGCTTCGACATAGACGGGAAAGGCGTTCGCATCTTCGGTAAATGGACGTACGTTGGTGTTTTCCATCACCGAGAGACAGGTCGTCTTGGCCGTAAAGGGAACGAGGGGCAAAAGCACCACCTCTGTATGCATCCTCTCGTTTGCTGACCATAAATTGTAACGTGATCCCCAGCAATGCCGAGCCAAGTGGATGACGCCCGCCAATCTTGACTGTAACCTGTCTGTCCTGCATCCTGTTGCCAACAATCCTTCATCCCATCCATCTTTCCTCCCCTCTGCAACCTCATCTTCTTTTGTTCTCCCCCCAAGATGCCCATCGATACCATTCACGACTCCATCTCAGAGTCTTCAGTGCACAAGTCTTCAATTCCAACAAAAGTCGAAATGAGCCAGACTGAGAAGTACAGTGAGGCGACCAGTGAGGCGCCCACGATTCCTCCCCCGCCTGAGCAATATGCTTGGAGTAGGATGAGGGAGTACTGTCAAGATGCCTTTTCGGAGTTCTTCGGTACCTTCACACTCCTCCTCTTTGGTGATGGTGTCGTTGCACAAGTTGTGCTCAGCCGTGGTACAAAGGGTGATTACCAGAGTATCTCTTGGGGATGGGGGTAAGTCGTCGTCGTCAATGTAATTGAGCTCATCACTGACATGAACTTAGTCTCGGTGTCATGCTTGGAGTGTATGTCGGAGGTAAATCAGGCGGTCACTTGAACCCAGCCGTGACTCTGGCCAACTGCTTGTTCAGAGGTCACCCCTGGCGAAAGTTCCCCATCTACATGGTCGCTCAAGTCCTTGGAGCCATGGCCGCCGCATTCATCGTATATGGCAACTACAAATCTGCCATTGATGCGTATGAAGGTGTCGGTGTCCGTACCGTCATTGGCGAGAACGCAACTGCTGGAATCTTCTGCACATATCCCGCAGAGTTCATGACACGCACTGGCATGTTCTTTTCTGAGTTCATCGCCAGCACGATTCTGCAGTTTGTCATTTTTGCCATGGCCGATAGCGCCAACATTGGTGCTGGTCCGTTGATGCCGCTTGGTCTGTTCTTCTTGATCTTCGGTATCGGTGCTTGCTTCGGCTGGGAGACTGGTTACGCCATCAACTTGGCTCGTGATTTCGGTCCTCGTCTGGTTTCGTACATGCTCGGATACGGCAGTGAAGTGTGGTCTGCTGGCGGGTACTATTTCTGGGTAAGTCTTTGTTCGTATCGTGAATTGAGAATTTCGACTGACAGTGATATCCAGATTCCTATGGTCGCTCCATTCTTTGGTTGTGCTTTCGGTGGTCTCTTGTATGATGTCTTCATCTACACTGGACCCAGTCCCATCAACACTCCTGGCATGGGTCTTCCTCGTCTCGTAAGCCCTCGTCGCTCGACGTGGTCTAACACATACAGCGCAAATTCTCCAGTATAATTCTTATCTTGAAATGATCGGTCGCTTTTGTGATGAAGACGAGGTATTCGCTAGGGTTGTCGAGTTTGAAAACCGTACCAGAACGGGGTGATGTGACGTGACCCAGCTTGGATACAGCAAGCGTGCATCATCAGCTTAGCAGAACGGGTCTTGTCATGTGTTATTGCTTTTCGTCATGTTTACCCTTTTTGTGGAGTGGTGGCGTTATGATAAGAAGTAGTCGAAAGAGTAGAGAAGAAGCTCATGCTATCATTTGAGATGCTCCCAAACATGATTGTGACTCGCAAACGGCGGTGATTATGAGGTGACTTGTGGGGTAAGACGGAGTCTTGATTGTGTTTTCTGTGTTTCCGCACCAGTTAGCCAATTGCAAAAAGAGACGGACAGCTCTCTGAAGTAAAGGCAGAAGGTGGTTGTGATTGAGCTCCTGCGAGGTCTAATGAGCTGAAAAGGCAGACTAACCAAATTCGTTCCGCCAACCCTATACCTTCAATCATCCTCAACGTCATCGCCCATATCGTCGGCATCGCAATTGTCGCAAATGCGAAAACACCATGGAAAGGTCGAATGCTTTTTTCTCAAGAGATAACTGATCAATTTGACCGTTGGCTGAAGTTTGGGGGTGCTTGTTCGCGAGTATTGATGGCTTGTCAGCTCAAGATATTGTCCAACTAAATCCACCAGTGATAGCTTCAGACAAGAATCTTCACCATATAATTAGTGGAAAATCGCCCGTGCCTCTCAAGCCACAAAATCGATATCGCATAGCTGAAATGGACTTCTTTTGAACAAATGCATTTTCTGTAATTCCCGCAGGGCGAGACTCGTCTTTCTTTTAGCCAAATGCTCAGCCGTCACTTACTGAACTTTCACGGTTTCCCCAAAGTTGACATCTCCGGCTGCGGGGTGACAGAAAGATGAACAGCTCGGCTCAGATGTGACAAAATATGACAATGAATGACACGCGAAATGATGGGGCAAAATGACTGTACTATTCTGCTCAACTACGGCAACAAGTGCATCATTCTTACGCACCCCCGAAGTCGGGGTTTCCCCTCCTGGGGGTGGGGGCGGATGATTAGACTCACAGGAGCAAACTCCGGATCGGACTGACCCACCAGACGGGACAATCAATGATCCGAAACCCACTAACCCAAATCCATCCAGTCTTCGGCGTCAGACTCGGGCTTTGCACGCCGAGCTGCATAAGCCCAGGGGTAAAATCTCGATGTCGACGTCAGCGAACTCGGTATTCCCACCCCGAACTGCATACGCGGCTTGCACCTTGAATGAGCCTCAGGACCAGCCGGATTTCCCATTCAGGCCATGCGACGCAGTTCGCGACGTTTATTGCACAGTCTTTGTCTCTGTCTGCGGGTCAGAATCAGGTCAGATGAGCCCATAAGGTTACTTTTTTTACTCGCAGGGTAAATTGGTCAGTCGCTTGGGTTCGGCCATTCCAGGGCGTTTGCATAGCCTAATTCTGCAACTGCAGCACTGAGTCAACCCCCAAACTTTGGGGCCATGAGGAATAAAAAAAAAACTAAAAACTTGTTAAAGTGTCCATGATATCAGTCTCGAGTAAACTGACCCATTTCCAACTCCACCTAATTTATGGGCACATCCTCCGCGATCGTCATCTATACAGTCTTATAAACATCCTTTGAACACTTCCTTTGTCCGCTGGTCTTTGACTTTATCTTTATTCCCCCAGACTTCAATCTCCAGTCTTTCTCCAACTTCTTTTCTCCTCCCCCTCAAACGGTCGCCCACCTTAATTGCGACAAACCCCCAAACCTCACATTCACATACACACACAAGATGCAACAAAGATTACGGTCGATGAAGCGCCCTCTGCTCCTCGCAGCTGCGGCCACCACAACTGTCGCTGTCGGAGGCGGTTACTACGCCACCCGCAACAAGACTCACGTCGTCGACAAGCCTCTCGTCCCTCTCAAGCGCGACTCAACAGGACGCATCGTTCCTCCCACATTCAGCGCAACAAAAGCCCGCGCCGAAGCCCTCGCTGAGCTGCGTCGCAGCGGCCAGCCCGATAAGGATACAGAGTACGATCTCCTCGTCATCGGCGGTGGTGCTACAGGAACTGGTATTGCTCTCGACGCAATTACTCGCGGCCTCAAGGTCGCCCTCGTCGAGCGCGATGACTTCTCCTCCGGTACAAGCTCCAAGAGCACAAAGCTCGTCCACGGTGGCGTTCGATATCTAGAAAAGGCTGTCTGGAACCTTGACTACGGTCAATTGCAGCTCGTCATGGAGGCTCTCCGCGAGCGCAAGACTTTCCTCAACATTGCTCCCCATCTGTCTAGCTCGCTGCCCATTCTTCTGCCTCTCCAGAAGTGGTGGGAGGCGCCTTACTTCTGGGCTGGCACCAAGGCTTACGATCTTCTCGCTGGCTCCCAGGGTCTTGAGAGCTCTTACTACATGAGCAAGAACAAGGCTCTCGAGGCTTTCCCCAAGCTTCGCAAGGAGAACATGGTTGGTGCTCTCGTCTACTACGATGGTCAGCACAACGACTCTCGCATGAACGTCGCTCTCGCCATGACTGCTGCGCACTACGGCGGTACCGTCCTCAACCACGTTGAGGTCACCGGTCTCGAGAAGGATGCCAGTGGCAAGATCAACGGCGCTACAGTCCGCGATGTCCTTGCTTCCAAGAATGGCGACTCTGCCAACGCTGAGCCCTTCAAGGTCCGCGCTAAGGGTGTTGTCAATGCTACAGGTCCCTTCACCGATGCCATTCACCAAATGGACGATCCCTCTCGCAAGCCCATCGTCGCTCCCGCTTCCGGTGTGCACGTCATGCTTCCCAAGGACATCTGCCCCAACGGTATCGGTCTTCTCGACGCTGCCACCTCTGACGGCCGTGTCATCTTCGTCCTTCCCTGGCAAGGATTCACCCTCGCCGGTACCACCGACAACCAGTGCGAGGTTGAGCGCGCTCCTGTTGCTCAGCAGAACGATGTTGACTTCATTCTCCGTGAGGCCAGCAAGCTTCTGAACCCCGACTCTGCTCTTTCCCGCAAGGATGTCCAGGCTGCCTGGTCTGGTAAGTAACCACCGCTCAATCAATTGATCTGCCCACGATACTAACATTTACAGGCATCCGACCTCTCGTCAAGAACCCCAACGCCAAGAACACCGAGTCGCTCGTCCGAAACCACCTCATCACCACCTCTCCCTCCGGCCTCCTCACCTGCGCCGGTGGCAAGTGGACTACATACCGTGAGATGGCCGAGGACACTGTCAACGAGGCCATCAAGCTCTTCGACCTCAAGCCCCAGGCTGTCGCTCTCCCCGACATCAGCGGTGCCAACGCTGCCGGCTTCACCACCTCCGGCGTCTGCTGCACCCGCAACATTCCTCTCATCGGCGCTCACGGATACTCTACCTCTCTGGCCTCTCAATTGATGGAGATGTACCCCATCGACGCTGACGTCGCTGACCACCTCGCTCACAACTACGGTGATCGCGCCTGGACTCTTCTCGCCCACAACCCCGCTCTCAACACCCGTCTCGTCTCTGGCCTTCCCTACCTCGAGGCTGAGGTCGCCCACGGTATCCGCGCCGAGTCCGCCTGCACCGTCGCCGACATCATCGCCCGCCGCACCCGTCTCTCCTTCCTCGACTCCAAGAAGGCTCTCGAGGCTCTCCCCCGCGTCATCGACATCGCCTCCACCGAGCTTCAATGGAGCAAGGCCCGCAAGGCCGAGGAGAAGGCCGACGCCATCAAGTTCCTCGCCTCCATGGGTCTCGAGCAACAGAGCAATGCGCCCGTCCAGGAGTCCCAGGAGGAGCGCATGCCTGCTCGTGCCATTGACTACAGCCAACAGCGCCCCGCCCGCGTCGGTGGTCTCGACGTTGACGTGAACGGCCTCGGCAGCACTGGTTCTTACAGCAAATCGCGCGACGAATAAAATTGGAGCGAGATGTGATGTGGCTTTCTTTTGTTTTAAGACATGGCATGTGTAGCATATAGAAGATTCCCAGGCATTGGACATTGTGTTATAAAAGCACGGCGCATAGATGCAGGCAGGATTGGGCATTCTTGGGACAAGGAGTTATGGATTTTCCTTGGTAATTACTTCTAATTAATGAACAACTTATGATCATATCTTGACTTTATTATCTTCTTGTGATGGTGTTCTTAATTGCGATGAACGTGCATTTACTGACCCGCCAGGAATATTCCAGTTATTACCGACTTCCCTTGGGAATCGCTATTAACGAACATCCTACGGTCGCATTTTGACCTTTCTTCGTGACACTATTTTAATGGTCCTTTCCCTGTATGAATGAGTATTCCCCCGCCAAACCATCCCATCAATTAACCTCTGTAAAAATTATTGACGCCGCTATTCCCCGCGGTCGATCGATTGGGGATTCTGCTTTATTCCCCGCAAATAAATCCGGTTTGGAGAATCTCCATTCTGATCGTCGATGTTTCTGTCGCCATCCCCATAAAATGAGGCTCCATTACATCAGGACCCATCTGGAGCCCCAGATTATCGTGACACCTGGAGAGTGACGTCGTTTGTCGGTAATGAACGGATCCTCCGTACGTAACGTGTTTTCCCGTTCCTTTTAACGTTGGGACCGGGTTACCTTAATAGGTATTGCGTGGGTGACATCACGATGCTGTATAGAAGATCTGCAGTATTTGCCGGAGATTTTGTCCGGCGTTTTGGGAATGCGCTTGAAGGCTGTTTGTTGTCTGGTGGATGCAAATGGTGAGGGTATCGCGATGCGATGGACATGAGCAGCAGATGGTTATTGTCAGTGTTTGGTCGTCCAAAGCAAATGAGACGAGACGAACTGGTCACTTCATGTAAGACTAAATTAGCGTTTAGAAGACATTTTCGCGTAGATGATACATTTTCAACTGTCCGAATCCGTTCTTTTTGTTGTGATGTCGAACCACAAGAATTCTATTGACAATAGTCACTTACTCATGTCGGCTTTCAGTCGTCCAGGCTAGAATTGCCCGAAGCTACTCCAAACCTCCAGCCTTGAGATTATTTTGACATGTATCTTATCTTTCCAGAGAGTTAGCGGCGAGATACCAGTGTCATGTTCATCTGTGGTTTGAACTGTACGACTTGATGACTGACCTTCAAAAACCCTGAAATAGGTCATGTTCATCTGCATCCGGCGACAGTCAATGATTGAGCAAGATAATTACGGAGGCTGCGGCAACGACTCACAGAAAGGCACAGCCCATGGGCTGTAATTTTCAGAAGCGATGGTCAAAGTCTCAATGTATTTAACCCAGATAAGCATATGGCACATGGTCGCGTGAACAGCGTCAGCACTCTACCATGTAAGCCGTTTCAGAAAGTCCTATGCCCAAGTTTAGCGTCCCCTCTCGGCTTTGGGAAATATTCTAGAAGTATTTCCGACCAGACAAGGCCTTTAACTCCACGTTCATCATCTGTTGTGGCGGTACTAGGCAGAGTTCATCAGTTTCAACCCCAAACTCGTCTGAGCTGATGGCCCGGGCCAATAACGAACGATCAAGATGTCTGAGATTGCGTATGATGCTCAGTCCATCTCACTCAGCTTTGAGCCGCAAGTCCGCGTATCAACAGCGGATGGGGTGGAATCTCTAGCTGCAGTGAATGTCACTTTGTTATTGATGCTAAAAATTAAGCTCAAATTGTGCTGAAGCAGTTTAAGTGGTTGGGGGCCATGCTGTGCAACCACAAAGGAAGTCATCAGGCATCGGGAAGTCTACTCCGTTGCCCATCTCATACAAGCTCAGCCCCAGAAAGAAACTCGCCTTGCTATAAGGCTCGCCCCCAACGATGAGAAATATTGCAGAGCCTCAAATCGAGTCTCTTTGGCATTTGGAATTAAATGTACCAGTCGCTGGCGGTTGGGCATGTGAAGGTATGTTGATTTAGCCTACCGGCCATGGCGAGCTACGATATAAATGCGGCATGCGTCCAGTATTGATACGAGAACCATGGGCAAGAAACAATCAACCCATCCACTCAACACAACACCACCATCGTACGACACTTTATCGACTCCAAGATGGCCCCTCTTCAGCTGCAAGGCCTTTCCCAAGAGGACCTGGACCTTCAAATGCGACAACTGGTCCGTGGAGTTGGTCGCGACAGTCTCGGAACCGTTATATCAGGAATTCTCTCAATCAAATTGCCTCATATGCTGGTGTCTTGCGGCGTCAACATCGTCAGCCTTTGTTCCAACGCTTTTAAACTTCATGAACTCAAAACCGCCTTGCGTAACGCGGGCATCACGATCAAGAAACGCGTTATAGCCAAGGGTTTGATGGAGGGAGCAATCACGAAATTTGGGAGCACAGCCATAACTCTTGGCCACGACGACTTTACTACTGGAACAAAAGCCGTTACTGAATGGTTTAACCACGCGGGGACTTATATCGCGAACCATACGAGTTCTTTATTCTCCCCGCTTAACTCCTTGTCTGCCAGCGTCTGGGACCAGGAGAATCGCATGAGTCATGGTCTGTTCGAGCATTCAACGGCTATCGCTAACGGATGGACCAACGCTGCTGAGAATGCGACCGGCACAGCTGAAACAAAGAGCCTAGGTTGGTATCAGGAGGACGGGGACTTGACGAAGCAGGTCGTCGTCGTTGGCGCTGCGACGGGTGCGGCTATGAAGGTGGCTGATCATGTTCTTGAAAAGCCTTACGACGAAGGGAAAGACTCGAGATGGTACAAGCGGCAGCGGGATAAGATTAGAAGATGGTTTAAGTAGATAGAACAGAAACAGTAGAAGATCTTGGGGGATATGTTCAAGGAGCTCAACGTTCTCTGATGCTGAGGCTTGGGAACTTGGAACTTGAAACTGGGAGTTAATGGCAAATGATTAGGTCACAATACGATTTTAAACTTAACGAACAAAGAAGAAACAAAGAATTTGCATCTTCTTCTGAAAGAAACCATAGCAAACAATGTGATTGAAAGTTACCAGGCAGTGTGCAGCAATAGGAAGTGGCCTCGAAGGCAGCTTTCTGAGTGATCTGGGCACAGCAAACTACTTCACTGACAACATCACTTCGAAGAATGCGCCCTGGTAACAAGGACTAGAATAATAGAGGATGTTAAATACAGGTTGCTCGAAACCACCTTTGAAACCAACGTCTCTGGATGATGCGAAGAGGAATCGTTGACAATCAGGATAGCAGACACCTCAAGAGATGACAACGCACGGGACTATATGTTGCAAGCAAGATATAAGAAAGAAAAAGAGAATGAAGTGAGAGTCTAAGATAGTTAAGTGAAGCCATTGTGAATACGTGATTGAAGCTTGTCTGTCTCCTGTAACCATAAAGAATGAGTGGCCTGTCAACCAGGTTTCTAAGGTCGCCATCCTGCCACCTCGCAGCCTAAGATTTGAGAAATGGTCTAAGGATTGGCCACAGAAATAGTCTAAGGATTAGGGACACGCAATTTCATAACTGGGTAACCTCACCTAATGCTACCCAGAACAGAGTTCCCACAGGCCTGAGGCTCCACTGCGACTTTCTTATCTCGCACTGCCAGCGTCTGCCGCACCTGCCAAAAAGACAACCTCTGCTTCCAAGTTCCGACGCGACTTCCCTTTCTCCTTTCTTTCAAATCCCTTAACGCGTCAACGCGTCTATCTTCCCTTTCACCACTCCACCACTCCATCATTCAAACACTCTCACACTCCTTCATCAACCTACCTTCCACCACCACCTCAGTCAAGATGCCCTCCCTTTCCGTCCCTAGTCCCTACAACGAATACCCCAAACCTACTATTGCCGCCTTCCGTCGCTTTCACGAGCTGACGAATGAATGGCCTTGGGAGCTCGTCGAGTGTTTTGAACCTAACCGCTGGAACCAGACTCTTATCCAGCGCTTCTACCGGCTGATCAAGAATGATCTGCCACGCACTTCTACGACCCTCAACGAGTTGGTCAACTATCTCTTTGATAGATCTGCCGAGCACCCTATGCAGAAGTACCGCTGCGTTTTGAGCAACAAGACCATCAAGCAAGCTACTGATTGGCTGGCTGGTCAAGGCCAAGGCCAAAGCTCTTTCCGTTTCCGTGCTCAGCGTCTTGCCCGACGAGGCGGCGCTCTTCCTAGTCTGCCACGATCATCATTGGGTAAGTATCTACGATAAATTACAGGAACTTTAAGGTGTTGACTACCCTTTGTAGCCAGCCGTTCCCGCGTTGCATACAGTCGCTCGCGTACCTCCGAGACTATTCAGGCCAGCGATGACAAAGAAGCCGCATCAAATGAACAAGCTTCTTCAAGTGTCACTGACAAGACTGCCCCGATGGCAAAGAAGAGACTGATGGTTCACATCAACTTGCAGCGTCAGCCGGCTAGTGAGTCTATCACCGTTGTAGGTGACGAGGCGGATCAGATCGCTACACAGGGCTACGCAAGCATCGGCCAGCCCGCCTCGCATTCCAACATCCATACCGGACTTCAGACGCCGGTCGGAGAAAGCGGCCGCGCGGAAGAGTCCCCCTTTGATGGTGTCTCGGTGAGTGCAACATGGTCTTTAGCTATATGCTATAGTGTTACTGACGCCAACTAGTTCAGATCTCTTGAGGAAGCCCAAGAGGCCCACGATCTCTACCTGAAGGGTCAATTGACCAGCGCCGGAATCACCATTCGACGCACCAAGGAAGAAATCGAATCCACTCGTATCCGTCATCGTGAACGCGTCGAGGCGATCCTGCATGAGACCGCTGTCAAGGAGCAAATCGAGACTGAGATCGCTGAGGCACAGAAAGAGGTGAAGCGCAAGGAGGCAGAGTACGCCGTCAATATCAAGGGACTCCGCCAAGTACGCCTCTATCCTTCCGAGAACCCAGATGAAAACGAAGCTGCGGCAAAGGCAAAGGCACGCCGAGTTTCTCAGGAACTCGACGCCGGAAATCTCGACATCGAGGCAAAGAAGAAACGTCTGGCCGACAAGGTCGCCGAAATCAAGATGACAGAGGCCCAAGCTGCTGCCCTGTCCGACCTACTCATTGAGTTGGAAGAGAAGAAGGAGTCTCAGGAGAAGGATGAACGCGACATCAATATTCTCCGCCGTCTCATCGCGATTGGACCTAAGCTGGTTGACTACATTGAAGAACTTTTGGGTGGTCGAGACATTGAGGAGTGGTCCAAGGAGAAGCTGCAGGAGGCCAAACAGAGCCAGGCTAAGCTCACGTAATTAAGGACAGATGTATGACCGGGAGATTTTGCTTTGGGCTGGCGTCAAGGACAAGGAAAACGCGATGGGAATTGCCGCTACATCTCATGAGGAACTGGGCAGAGATGAAGGCCCTATGGCATACAAAAGTCGAGATAGATCAATGAGTTTAATGCAATGATTTAATCAATACTTTCTGTGTTGCGTTGTCTACGTAGAAGCAAACTCTTCATTCATGCTCAAGCCAGCACCTTCTGGCTCCAAAGTCCTAACATGTTCACCTCGTGGATAAAGGTTTGCTAAACGACAGAAGGCACAGAAATCTTCTAACCGCCGTGTTCGGTGAGTTGAGCGCATATCAAACCCTTTCTATCATGCTATGGACGGAAGTGCAATCAGTATGATGCTTGATAAAGGTTCAATGGTAGTAAAATATATGGCTTTGGAGAGAACATTATGGTAGTAAGACTCGGTGATACTCACTAGGACCCCATGACTAGAGGTTATGATCATAATGCGTATCGATGCCGTAATGCGCTTGTGCGCCTGACGCTGGGCGTGTAATCGACGCGCACATGCCGCTGCACACTAGAATACCCCCTCCTCTTTTTCTTCTCGCTTCTCCTCCTCTCTTCTCCTCAACACCATCATCACATCTCGGTAAGTAAATACCCTCAGCCCGCTTACGAAGAAGGAAACCTTTTTTCTACATTCCGATCCTTTTACTAACTACTGAATAGCGTCCCGCGTCCGTATGTTTCCATCCTCAACCCCCGCTCCCGATCGGTGTTGCTGACGCGCAGGTCTTCTCAGATAGCTCTTTATTTTCCAACAGCGAGTATACACACAACTACGGAGGGATGATAGCTGACATACGGGCGATACTTAGAAACTTTCAACTTTTCTTCACCGTAAGTACACTGCGAAACCCACTGGCTTGAATAAACGGCTGACTCTCGCGACAGACAATTCATCATCCATGTAAGGTCAACTCCCGATCACATTTGCTGTTGACCTGGCTGGTTCTCACGGAATCGATAGCATGAACAACAACGGCGCTGTAAGTAACAGCCAGAACATGTTTCAATGAGTCTTGTCGCTGATTCTTGAGTAGCACCCTGAGCTTCCCTCGCCCGTAAGTGAATCTTACCCACAGTCCAATGTATTATGGACCTCGCTAACAAATGATTTGTAGCCCGATGCCTCAGACGTGAGTCCATACATCCCTTTCAAGCTTTATTGACCATCATACTAAAGGTACTGCGAAGTTCGCCGACGAGCTCGAGGTAACCCATCACCCAGCTAAATCGCTACAGTACCAGTACCAACTATAATGGAACTTAGTATGCTAAAGCCATGAGCGATGTAAGCTTACTGTTCTTGCTGCTTCTTCCTCAGCTGATCAAATCCAGTATTACGCCGCTAGACAGCTGGTGAGAAACCATGTGAACACTTACTCTTCCCGATGCTGATCTAGATTGTCTGCGAAGTTCTGGGGCGAAGAGGTCGCCGTAAGTCCTCTAGAGCCCTCGGACGTCGGAAGACACTGGCACAATGATTGACATTGCTTCTAGTACTACAAGAAGAAGCACGACGAGTCTCTGGCCAAGCAGAAGGTTAGTACTATCATACCCAACTGTCTATTGGGAATACAATCTAACAGACACGATAGGGGCACGATGAGGAGGTGGCTGTAAGTTGAATGCCCACGATTCTTTTGGTGCGAGACTGATATTGCTTTTGTTTAGCAAGCGCTCCTGACTATCCAGGTATGTACTGTGTCTTTACGATGATGGGAGATATCACTAATGTCTATAAGCGCCTCGATGCTGAAGAGGCCAAGCAGCGGGCCAAGGCGACCAAAGAGGCTGAGAAGAAGAAGAAGGCCGAAGAGAAGAAGGCCGAGGAGGACGAGGATGCCAACGTTGTACAAATCCCCGTCTATGCAAGCTGAAAGGTTGCAAGGCTAACTTTCTCGCAGTAATTCCTTTTTTATATCGAGAATGTGGTCTAGCTAGTCTGAGAGGTAAGAGTTGTGCCAACCTTTTGGATCCATGGCAACTGAAATTGGTAGAGAAGCAGAATAAGACACATCGCCGGGGCGTGGCCCCTTTTTATCGGCACACACAGCGATTCCTACATGTGACATGTGATATACTGACACCATTGTCATCAGCGACATGTTCACGACACATCTAACGCGTAGGATTATGAACGGACGTGGGTACAGTTACTCAACCGAGAACTTTTCTTTTTTGTAAGACTTTCCCATAACCAATCTCTACCTGTTGGGCACTAGAAGGATTGGCCCCCAAAAGCATAAGAGACGAAAGGACTTGTTTACTTTATGCTGGCTTAGACTAACACTCAGAGAGCCTTATGATCATAGTCTAAGCCTTAGAAGACGACTCTTCATTTACCGACACAGCGATATCGCACCCACAAGTTCAAGAGATGACCGACGGAGAATGAGCAATGGTCGACAGGACGTGGAACTACAAGGGATGAGATCTCCGATGGAACGCCGTAGATAAGGGGTGCTGGATAAGTGATAAAGAAAGAGATATGCACGACAGAGAATTGGATATGGGATGCACCACTTCAAACGAGCGAGAGGTGCGTGACGAGTGGTCGCAAGGCGAGTCATTGTCCACAGCATTGTCCAAGGGATAAATTGGGTTGAAGACTTCATCTTGTCCTTGTATTGGAAGGGTTATTAGATCCTTAGCATCGTAATCACAAATCTCCAATCCTCCACCGATTGTCCAATCAATCATCAAAGTCCCCATCTCTTGTAACATCCAATCGATCGTAGTATTCATTCCGACGATAGTGTAATCGAGCGGATCAGGATACTAGCAGTCGGTTCAGTATTGCAGTCAGTTGATCGGTCAGGTGATGTAGACTCACGTCCGAGAGCTTGGGCTGGAAAATGTTAGTGAAACCTATTCTATGAGAGGAGAGCAGTAGCATGAACTTACCCCCACGATCTGGGGCTGGGACTTACGTCCCGAAGGACGTTTGTTCGGCTCCTATAGATTATCAGTCAGTCATGCTATCCAACATTGAACCTATCGTTCGGTACGGCGGCTAACTTACCTCTTCGGCATTGCTAGCTTCTTACGGCCTTGTCGGAGGTCTTCTGTACACCTGTCGGCGGATGTGATGCAAAGCCATCCAGCCGTTGTGAACAGGTTCTGTGCATACGGCCTTCTTGGATGGCGCCATTCTATCCAATCTGTAAGACACAACCAGCTTGATACCCAATGCGACGGGGGGTCGATCTTACTTGGATGAGGGTGATGCTTGTCACGATAGTTAGCGAAACGCTCAAATAGATGATCGAATGCGTGTGGTGTACTTACTTGAGAAAAGTTTGAGAACACTAAGTATCACGAATATGTTAGCCATGGCAACCCGATTGTTCTCAAGTGAGTATACTTACAAATGTGGAAGAAGAGGGCTTTCTGGAGAAACCTGCGTATCAGCGTCCCAGATCATGAGCAGCGGATGTGGTTGAATACGTACTGACGCGGTACGGCAACTGTCTAACAGTCAGTAAAGGGTTCAGAAAGCAAGCAAGAAACGTTTTCAATCTTCCAAAGGTAAATTGGAAGTGTTTTCCTTGTTCCAGGAGCTGGGGGTGATCACTTACAGAGAGTGGTTGATGGTGTTGAGGAGAAGAAAAAGAGAATAAGGAGCGGAGCGAGTAAAGAAGGGGAGGGTGTTGTGGGGGCACCCTTTGCCTCATAATTCGGCCGCAGTGTCGACTGGAAATGCGGCGTGTAAGGTGCTGAAATGAGGAAGGGCACGCTCCGTCGATGGCCTCATTCTTTCCCTCTGTCAGCTGTCAAGAATCCGAATATGGGTCGACAAGCGCTGACCAACTTGTATATTTGTAGCGGCCTCTTTCAGGAGGGGGATCGGAGTAAGACGATCGTGAAGGTCGATGGGCGGTATCGCTCTGAGAGGCAGGGAGGAGGAAAGGTTGGATGAAGAAAAGGAAAGGAGATGAGGGACGACTGAGGGGTTTGCTCCTCCATCGCTTGGGACTCGGTGGCTCTTTCCTTGTCAGCTGTCGCGAGTGCGATGAATTGAAGCGCCCACGCGCAGGCAGTGCCAGAGGACGAAATATCGGGCGGGCACGGCTCGGGAGGATATTAGGTCAGCTTTAATGTACTCGGTTTTCTTGCTCAATGCTGAAGGAAGGCACCCCCCGCTGTACATCCATTCAGACCAAGGTGACCATCTTTACTCCCACACTACTGCTCTTCTTGTGGTTTCATTGCTTTCGAATTCCTAGACATAGTGTCGCTAGGCAGACAGGTGAGCAACAGCGATATTCCCAACATGTAGATAGTAGTCACAATGCACGATATTTGTATGGTCTTATGCTTTGTTCCTCTGAGAGGGTATCTACAGAGGATTTCTCGACCTCGGCCTTCTTGGCCTCCTTCTCAGCCTCCAGCCTCAAGACTGTCAATTTTGGTCGATGCAGTTGCATCAGTAAACTCGCAGCTTCCTCCTTGTCGGTTTCGGCCTACGCAAGAAAATCATGTCAGTGAATCGGCCATTCTTGTCTTCGTGCTGTACTCACGCGACGGGCCTCAAGCAAATCCTATTCTAACTTAGCAATGTAATGTCTGAGGGGGGAAGAGGCTTTACTTACGTCGACGGTTCTTTGCTCATCCTCAGCCTCCCTGTCCTTCAACATGTTAGTTCTGGGCCAAAAAAGGGCATTGATTTGATAGACTTACAGCAGCTTCCTTCAGGAGCGCGGTCTATTCAAGACGGTCATGTCGATGGATGCGTTGCTGACATTGTCGGAATGCGTCGCGCCCGTCGTGGCGGCGGTCGGTGATGGTGAAAGGACGAGAATGAAGAGGGAGAAAATGAAGAGAAGAGGATGGTTCTTTTTTTATGGTACGCCCCAGTGCGATAAGGAATAGCACCTGCCTTGTCTTGGCAGTGCCCCCTGACGTTAGGTCAACTTTGGTGAAGTGCGTGGAATAACAGAAGAATTTTCATCTATTAGGAAAGAAACCATGATGAAGCAGGCTAAACTACAATCGATCTTACATAAATTGACTAAATCCTTTGCTCTCTTATGCTCCGATGGCTAACCTTCCAGATCATCCCAGCCAAGAACAGAGACAGGGCGTCCATAAGTCCTAGAAAGGTGCCAGGCAAGGTCAATAGAGCAGTCCCGAAGTGGTTGGCCTTCTTTGCCCAAAGCCTCAGGGTAATACAATGTGAAATGCTTCATGTTCACACTATTGACTTCAACAAGCTTCCTGTCGCTAGTGTCGAACGTGGGGTACAGAAACTCGGATTTCGCCGACATCTCCTCGATAGTGGGAGCGTCTTCACTCCTCTTCAGACCATGGTCGATGATCCATAACCTGTCGACTGAATGCCACATTGTCTTACTCGAGTATTTCACGAGAATCCTGATAACATGCAGCTTCCAATTTTCGTTCTCCTTGTGCCACCAATTAGGATTGAACACGACGCCTACGTTCTTGAGGCCACACTGAGGTCGTAATGTGGAAGGTCCGAAGCCGAAGTCGAAGCTGAGGTATTTCCAGTCAACATCGCGGAGGCGCCAAGCCTGCAAGACGAAGAGATCTCGCTGCTGGGAAGTGGTGAGTTGGGGGAGCGGTGATCCCCAAAAGTAGTCTGGCTGGGATAACTCGAGGCCTTTCTCGTCAGGAAGCGCTATCCTCCTGTCCACTGGACCAACGCGAGGTGGTAGGACCTTACTTGACCATTCGCAATCTGTAAGGCCAACTACACAGTCCCCAGCCTCGTCTATGGACTGATCCCCGCACTGGCGTATAGTCCACTTTGAAATTCTAAAGTGATTTCCGATGATAGCTCGGGATTCTTTACAAGCCATCCATAGCCCAGCGTCGATCAAATACGTCGATTCATTTTTGCGACTTAGGTCGTCCGCTTTGACACTGGGGAAAGAGGGTAAAGGTTGCACGTCTTTGGGAAAGGGTTTTTTGCCATCCTCAGATCGACTTGCACTCGCACACCTTTTGCTTCTGAAGATGTGAACTCCCGGGCGATCATCTCGAATAGCGAAGAGCCAGATCATATTTCTGATCTCCCCTGGTAATTTCGGGAATCCGTTGAAGGTCGCCATCGTTATCGACGTGTGGTTTGTGGGGTTCGGCTGACGTTGGTGGGAGGAGGAGAGACAGAGCGGAACGAAGCAGGCGGGCGAGCAAGAAGTTGTTGCCTGAATAAAAAGCTTGTATTCTGGCAGTGCCAGGAAAGGTTGTTATGGGAACCGACAGAGCTTCCCAATTTTAGGGCATCAAGATAAGGTTACCGAAATGCTGACCTAAGCTAGCAGAAAGAAGTAAAATTATTTCGGTTCTTATGCCAGTCGGGATAGCAAATCTGAGCAAGATTCACATCTTCTCCCATTAAAGTTCCACATTTCAAGCATCATGACTGGTTCCAACATAGATCAATTTTAAATTTTTTATCTTGCTTCCATCTATGCATAGGACACAAAACATTTCCTTTCACTTCTCTATTCTCTTGACCTCTCTTACTCCCACCAACATTCAGCAATATCATCGACTATGGCCTCAACACTCGGCAAAGAATTCTTAGGCGCATTGCCTACAGAGTTATGTTTCCAAGTCCTTCAATCCCTTGAATCCAAAACCGCTATATCCTCTCTCATACGAGCTTCATCACGGATGCTTCAAGTCTACCTCAGATACAAAGCAGTAATTGTATGGCACATCCTTGCCTCGGACTTCGACAAAGATATGATCCAGGATGCCATATTCATCATACAGCTCCCAAGATCCGCAGGACCCCTTTACATCGAGGAAGAATACGAGCCCTGGAAGGCAATCGTGAGCCAGTGGATTGCAAAAGACCTTCCTGACCCCGTCGCCTCTCGGGACAAATCGTCGCAACTCTTCTGGTCGCTCAATAAACTCCACTCCGTGTTGATACGACTCGGCGAGGACTATATCACCAAAGCCAGATCGAAATATATGATCCAAAGCTATCCTTGTCTTCCACAGATGAGAGCTTCGCAGCGCCATCTTACTTTCAAAGGAAAGGAGGTCATGACTAGGATGGACGCAGGCCAGCTTCAGCAGTCAGAACGACGCAAGCTTCTCAAATCATTTCTTTTTTACGAATGGACCGCCAAGGCGATGAGAACTCAACATATGTTCGTGCTTCTAAACTTTGACTTTGACCTGTTGATATCAAAGCCTCGCGAAGTCAGTTTATCTGACGAGAAAGGCTGGGCTAGTGTGCAAGTATACGTTGCAACACTCTACAAAGCGATCTTTGCACAGATTACGGAGGGAAGGCTCCCGGAGCCTGAGAAGGACTTTTGTCCCGACACAGGGATTCCACATTGGCATTTCGCTTCCACCTCCCTGGCTATATACAGTGCCTTCAGCCCGTATGACGTGAGAGTTGAAGGTCTACCTGAGGAGCTGACTGCATGGGGTCTGGATCTCCTCATGGTGTATCTGAACCTTGACGTAAACCGTACAGATGACAGGGAACTCGTCGAAGACCACTTCGGAGCCAAGATCACTAAAGAAGGAGAGGAAAGTGCATGGTCGTCTGCACATCTTAATGTCATGATGTATTTTGAAACAGACGTTCTTTTTACTTCTGGCGAGATGGAATCGGCCGAGAGCTGGTGTGCGTGGGAATACCTGAACGATGCCAAGCCACATTACAACCGTAATTTGGTGACTCGCCACTGCTCTCAATGGTCAGACGACGATTTACTCCGTCATTACGAAGAGCGTCCCCACGTATCACAATTCGATATAGAAGTTGCACTTCACTGGAATCGTATGAAAAGGAAACGAAAGTCCACGAAGAAAGGCAGAAGTCCTCTACCGCAGTTGATTGAGACCCGTTCTGGGTACCATGTCATTGAGCAGTCGCCAGCCTTTTGGCGTGTGGGCTTACGATCATTGTGAAAGGCACCAACAGCTTGGCGTTGCGGTGACAGGTTTATCAGTCCAGCTTCTCCTGGTTTTAGCGCAAATCTTAGTACTCCGTCCAATGACGTTTGATAAAGTTGGCCGACGCGACAAGTGCCCCACGGGTGAGCTAGTAGTTCTCAGCGTCGCATGCTGGCTCGAGTAAGGAGAGGAGAGCGGCCGAGATGAGATGATGCATGGAGATTTAATGTATTAGATGATGTATTAAATATATATGCTATTCAAGAAAAGTAAGGGTATCTTATGATCGTCTGCTGCTCGAAATAGAAGGCCCACGACTAATCTCCTCAATGACAACCTGCTTAGGATGTCCATGCGTCAAAGGAATCTCATCCGTATCCGAACCCCCCTTGAAAGGATTCCTATCAGGACTATTCTCAACAGTGACCTGGAACTCTGTTCGCTGATGAATACCAGGGCCGCGGTTAGGCAGATCATCATCGGAGTCTCCAGCGACAACCTTAGATCGATGCGTAAGCTGCAAGTTGTTTCCTCCGGTTGTCCAAGGAGCGTCTTCGGTTCGGTGGCCGCTGCGGCCGTGGCCGGAGTGGGAGAGGGAGGGGTAATAGTCGTCGGCGTTTTCGCCTTTGGCTAGACGTGTGATGAGCTTTGCCATGGACATTTCGATGTTGAGCTTGACCATGTAGGCTACGGGGTGGAACTGAATGTAGACGACTTGGTTGGGGAGCCACATGAGACCGATGAGCATGGCCTGTGAATATTAGTGACTGTGCAATGAGACGTAGTTGGTGAGAGATGACTTACATCCATGAGGATGGAGACAATCATGAGTTTGGCGTTGAAGCCGACGAGAGGCTCGTACTTCTTCAGATTGTGCTGCTCGACGAGTCTCTTCTTGACGGTGCGGAGGAAATACCAGTTCAGGCCGGCATCGACGATGAGGATGATGACCTTGGAGATACGATCCCAGACATCATTGACTTTGACCCATCTACGCAACAGTTAGCCACACTCCTCAGTGTCAGACCCATGCATCGCAACTTACGTCTGGCTCACGGGAGGTACGGTATGCGAAGGAATCCAGATAACAAACACAGCAATGTTGACAAGCGTAATAATAATAGCTGTGCCCCATTTCAACTTAAAGATAGTAGATCGATGTTCCGCAATGATAGAAATTCGGTTGACGATGATCTGAAGAAGTAACTGGATCTCCCAGACCCAGAAGAACAGAATGAAGAAAAGAACAGGGACACTAGAGCAATAAGGTTAGTCAACCAGATCGCGTCAGTGACATCGCACTACTTACGTCGGGCCGATAATTCCATCCAAGAAAACCCATCCGATGATAGCAATAGCAAGATTCGCAGCGATTTCTCCCCAGAGCATGTAAATATACGTGCTGCGAAGCGGATTTCTGTTGCGGCGTGTTTGTTTCCATGCTTCCCAAACGGTGAGCAGACCAAAGCCGAGGGTGAAGCCCATGGCCATGGAAGCGATCTTGTGATCGCTTGTAGACGCCATATTGAAGGAGTGACGGTGTATCCAAAACAAACGATACAAGAATGACAGAACCCCTAGAAAAGAAGAACGAAGATGCAGATCTGGGGTTGCGTGAGCTTTAATACGCATGCATGGAAGGCATGGAAGAGCTGCATCGTACCGAAGAACCACGTTTTGCTCTAGGTCAAGCCACAGTGGGACCGCATTGTCTTGAGATGCAGGGGAAGTTCAGTAACCAAGACCGACGATCTCATACAGACTATACGTCAGGCCGTTAGCTTGCAGTCGTTGGTGTCAGTGGCTCCGGGGCGCACAGCTGGAAACGGTCTGGTGCGCAGCGTGGCGAAACGATTTTGGGTAAAAGTATATCTCGCGCTTTGACACTCGCTTGTCGAGATTGTCTGGAAGACGATCCCTTATTGGGGTAATTACGAAGCTTGGTTCATTCTCTGCCGGAGGTGTCATTTAACCTCGAAGGATCCCAAGGATCCCTGCGGGTCGTTACCCGGGGAGCTGGAAAGGATCGTTAAGATGCATGAATGATTTTCTGAGTTTGCTAGGTCCCGGGTGAGACGAAAAGAGTCTCACGGATGTTGCCGTAGACATCTCCATCTGTGCGCGCCATGTGTTGAGAAGGTTTGAACTACTGGTTTCAATTCTGCTTCCATCGCGACAAGCTTTTCTTGGGCGTCGGTACCAGAACAAAATCAGGGGCGACAGTCAGCCACTAAAGAAATTCTCAACGCCACATTGTTAGACTGGGCGTCTCATATCTCGGTACTGGGGAATCTTTTCAGCATGATTCCGCGGCCTTCCCCATTTGTCATTAGCAGACCTGCCAGAGCTAAATCTCTAGTCGAAGCCAAGTTCTCGGGCTCCATTTAATTACTGATCTACCAGGGTAAACTGCGGCACTGCACTCGACTTTTTACCGTTTTGGTGGCTGTGGCTGCTTTTTTGAAACAAGATCAGGGGAAGAAACCTCTTTGCTCCATCTCATTCGTTCTTTTAGTGTAATAGTTCCAATAGCTTACGGCGAAGTTTATTTTCAATCTTCTTTTACCGACATTCTGGGTAAATGCAGCTGAACAGGGCATGGTAACCGAAATGCCTTTGTACCCACGTGTCGAGGAACAATTGACGTTGCTCTCGAAGCGTCGGAGAGAAATTCCTCCCGCACGAGCCCATCTTGCAGATCCGAGTTTAATAACTCACAACCTGATTGCATGACAAAGTGTCCAACTCTTTGACAACATCTTGATCAAAAAAAGGTCATCTGACTCGAGATGCTCTCGTACAGCTTCCTATGGCAAGATACCTGGAGTCAAGTAGTAACTCGATCGGCAACACTACGGAGTCATTAGCGCATCTACCATGCAGGGTCAAATCTTGGTGATCCTGCTCCACGTGTGTTCGTCTGTGCCACCCTAGACTTGTCATTTGCCAATCTCGGTAATCTTTTCCTGCTTGCTCCTTCAACGTTGACTCTGAAGTGGAGGTCTAGGGTGGGTTGGAGTTTGATCGTCATATTTATTCGATGTATAGACCTTGGCAACATGAATCGTCTATAAGATCAACAATGAATGGCTGGGCATTCATGCGAAACCATGTTTCTTATAGTGATGTGATTTATCCCCATAATTGATCAGCGAGCCGAGGTGGCATCGTGATGCAAGCAGCTCCTTGTTAGGACCGTTATGCGGCGCGTACCATGGATTCCCATTCTGCTGTCCAAGCTCAGCCGGCCACTCTCTCGAACTAATAAATCGCGCTAAATTAACGAGAAGACAAGGACTTTCATTAATAACGATGTTCCTCCAGAAACAAGTGATATTGTCACAGTATGCTGCTTTTCCCCGATGGGTGCACATGGCTCAGCTAATGATTCCTCCTCCTGATAGCAACGCGAAAGTCAAGGTGGAACGAGAACCACTGCGTCCTAGTCGTCCAAGGCTTGTCCCCATTCTCAAGCTCAGCATCAAAATATCGAAAGAATTGAGCGATGTACTTGTACATCTCAACGGTTGCCAAATGCTTCCCAATGCAGCTACGACTACCCATGCCAAACTAGTAGACCACGTCAATAACACAGCATATAAGACCGAAGGGATACTCACCGTCATTAACAAAGACTTCTCCCTCTTGATTCGTTCCTCATCCACTGCATTTTGAGCAATCCATCGCTTAGGTCGGAACTCTTCCGCATCCGGACCAAAGATTTCCCGCGAACAATTCACAGCTCTGGCACTCGCACCACAAGTCGAACCAGGCGGAAGAAAGTATTCTCCAACCTGCGATCCTTCCGCTGGCACAATGCGGGGAAGTTGGTACTGAATAGAGGGATGAAGACGGATGCTTTCCGTGATCACAGCGGACAGAAGCGGTAATTTCTCCGCTTCCTTGAAGGAAATCTCCCGTCCTTCCTCATCTAGATTTAGTTCCCGGTAAGCCTGATCAATCTCGTCCATTAACCTTGTTTTTGTATTACGGTTTGTGAGGATATAGCCTAGACAGGCTAAAATGCTGATGGCTGTTGTATCAGAACCTGCGGCTAGGATGTTTACCCCTTCGATCATAACGTCTCGCTTGCCGACTGGTTGACCCTGAGGATCTTTGGCTTCGATGAAGTGTTGGAGGAGATCTCGTCGTTGACCGGGGAGAAGACCATTCGTCATTCTCTCCTCTACACGACCGTCGAGCCAATTGATGAAAACATCGAAGGCGTTGAGGCGATCGCCGCCGAAGTTCTTGGTGAACCACTTCGATACTGGGTTGTTGATCCAGAACATTTGTAACGGAAGAATACCCATGTTTCCCATGAAGTAGAATCCATCATGGATAGACTGGATGATACCGCCGATATCCTTGCCTTGTTCTAGGAATCCGACCATGCCGCCTATGGCTAGTTGGCCGACGACATCTGAGGTAAAGTAGTTGACCATCTTGTCAATCGCAAAGTAGTCGCCTCCATCCGCAAGCTCACCAAGCTTTCTGAGGTTGACATCCATCACGTCTTGGATCAACGACTCCATGGTGAGGATGGACGTCATCGAATACGCACTCGACACTCGCGACCGGAGATATCGATGGGCTTTATTATCCCTTGTCGCGAAGAAGCTGACTGTCATATTCGGTACGATGAATGCATCGTAGAACCTGGCCTGCAAGCGAATCAGTCCACCACTCCTGTTCATAGAGATGACTCTCACCTTTGTCACAGTCTTCCCATGACCATAGATGCCTTTGATAGCATCTGGATCCGTAAAGCTCACTTCACCAGGTGAGATCCGAACGACCTGTCCGTACTTTCTGTGAAGTTCCAAGACATCATCGTGCCATGTCCCCCGAAAGTACCGAATAAGTCTCCAGAGACTGCTTGCCCTGGCGAAAAGAGGACCGGGGACGTTGCGCAGGGGGTGGAAAAAGATATTATATACAATGCGAAGGAGGACTAGGCTGATTAATGTGATGGCAAGACCCTCCTTGGAGCGCAGCAGGAATGACATGGCTGTATGAAGATCTGCATTGCTGGTGTTCGGCTGAACATAAGAGCTCGGTCTAAGGGCGGTTTTGTTGTCGAACTCCATCTTGTTCGCATGGCCTTCGTAAATCAGATGTCGGCAAACATTGATGTCTTATATGCAGATTCCCTTTGACGACTGGGTGCTCACACTATGAGTCGGAGACAACATCTCGGGTCATGTCTCGGGCGGGAAACCATGGGCAACTGTGGTTGGATACTTCCAGGCGCCCTGAATTATGTTTGCTTTGTTGCCAATGGTGTTGATCCAATGTAGAGGCGTGATAAGCAAGGCCCGTTCCGTAATCGACAGCTGCAAGTAAGACCAATCCCACCATCTTGCTCGTAAACCGCCACCAACTCGTATCTTCAACAGCCTTGTTTATTCACTTTAACACTGAACTATTGATGAGAAAAATCTCGAAAAGGGCTAGAAAACAAACCAACCATTCGATCAAAAGCGAGAGACGTTCAGCTTCCTATCCACTCATGACCTAAGCTGTCTTAGAAATGGGCCTGCCCACTTCAAATAGCAAGGCTACATTGCTGTACCGGGAGGTGTCTGCATGAAATATGATATCATATCTGTTGGTCAGCCTAAACGCAAAGTGACTGCTACTCTTTCTGGTAATATCATGCAATTCAACCTCTTGGCGCGACGTGAGGAAGCTGTCACCCTGCATTCTCTCCGTTGGGCATTGATGAGTGATTTCTTCTCACTGAAAAGCAATATGTGATCTCTTCTCTCACTTGGCTGAGACAACGGCACTTTGATAACCAGTCAAAAACTTGCATCGTACAGCCACCAACCATCTCAATGCAACGTCCAACATTAGACCCACAAACATACTGTCTTACACTTGCCGGGCTTCCGTTTTGCGCTCTAATGCAGGCGGAATCTCGTCCAGGGACATAACCATGAATTGAACTTGTGTCTTCATGCACGCTATTTGGGCGTTTGCACTGCTCCAGTAACCAAGATGTGCGCTCTCCATGTGCGCATCCCGTTGAAGTATCACGTCAAGTATTCAGCCGCCACCATAGCAATGTGATTGTATTCCTACTAGGAGTATCTCGTTATGTATGTATAGCGACCCCGTCTAGTCTACAAGAATACAACCATCTCCAGGACTCCATTAAATGCCCAGTTGAATCGACATTTCTCATTTGTTATTCCCATGTAGGTCAAGACAATACCACCCACCCATAGTAAAGACTGATACTCGTTCCAAGCCTCTAACAATCTGTTCCAAGACACTTGGCGAGCCATCTGTTTTTCGTCCGGACATGCTTTATATACCGCTAATGCAGTATGGTGGCGAACGGATCGCTAATAACCGCCCCAAAGATTCGTTCCCCCGTTTTCGGCGGTAGGTGTCTCCTCTGATGCCAGAGAAGGCGACACCATAGATGGCGACGAAGGAGCATCGACAGCTGAGACAAAGGAATCCACCGTATAGTCAGCGGTGCAGACCCTGGCAGGGAATCGGCAGTATCCCTTGCCCGTACCATTCGTTCGGTGTCGACAGTCCGCCTTCTGGCAGACATGACCGTTCACACAATTCGCCCTTCTACAAGCGCCCCGACGCGAGCAAATGTTCGATCGAGCAAGGTGCTCCAAAGCAGGCTTGAGATCTTCATCAATGGGCGTATGTTCATACTCGCAGTTTTCGTTCTCGCAGGAATTATACAGCTGCGCACTATTGCAGAACTTTCGCTCTTGAGAAAGTAGTTTGAGACGCTTAACAGCCTCGGGGTCAAGAGGAGGTAGCAAAGCGTCGAGTCGGTCTTCGAGGGCGTTGAGGGGCACAGTGCCTTCAGGAATATCTTCCTTCTTGGGAAGAGAGTCAATGTTGGATTTTCCGCCGTTGGATAAACTGGCGCCTCGTCGCCAATCACCACTAAAACGGTCGGATTTTATCCCGTTGCTAGGAGATGGCGTACTAGTCTGACTGGACGATTTGCTGTCGTGGGCGAATTTGCAGCCATTACCATATCGGCAATTACCTTGCATGTAGAAACTGCAAACTGCTCGCCCATCGTTATTTTCTTTCGTAGGTGTGTACGCTTTGCCGTTGCTAACAGCCGGACCCAGCGGCGCCTTCGCGGGTGCGGCTGTATAAGGTTGTTGGAGAGGCGTGTGGCGGAACACGCCCGGTAATTCCTCAACGTTCATACCGAGTTTGTTAAATTCCTTATGGAACAGCAAACTCGGCGTTCGAACAAGCGTGAATCGCTCACTATTACCCCTAAAGGGAGTAAGATCCGAGACGTAACCCACATCATGGCAGGCGGCAAAGTAAATGTGTTTGCACTGTGCGTTATCCGCATAAAGCCGAAGAATAGCTTTGAGTTTGAAGTCGGCGTTTTCCTTTAATTCGCCGGCGTCGATAAAATCAGCCAGACCGTATGATCTGTTGAATCCAGCTGTGAAGGATGACAAAGATCGCTTTTCCGCGCCCACGAGACCGTTCTTAAACAGCGCTTTGGATAGTCCGGTGAGGTTTGCGTACACGCGAATCATGACCTCGCAGCTTTCGAGACCCTTGCGACGCAGACTATCTTTGATAGTATCATTTAGTTGTTTGGCAGCTCTGCTACCGCCTTGTTCGCCAGCCTGGATGAAGCGCTCGTCAAAGATATATCCATCGCCATCAACGACGACAAGCGCGAACGGATTGCGCTCCTGACCGCGAGCGAGCTGTTTGTATCGCTCTCTACCCTCTCGTTCTTCTTCATAGTCGCTCTTGAGACGCTTATAGTCCTCGATAAGGACTTGGTACTGGTCGAGGAGTTCCGTGAGGGCGTTGTTTCTGCGGAACTCGGCTAGCTTGTCAGCTGCTGCGTCGATGGTGGCATCAGGGAGCATTGTCGCAGGATGGCGACGGGCCCCGCATCGCCGAGAGATTGAGATATGGTGATGCTCCGAAGAGTGATTTGAGAGGGAGTTGAGTGAGCTGGATGATGGTATGTCGCTTATGCTGAGTGAAAGTGCCCGCACTGAGCGACCTGGCAGATTTAAGCGGACGAAGCAGGGTCATGTGATCTGCCACGTGTGTCACTGTAACTGTTTCTTTAGGCGTCAACAACTGCAACCCAATCCGACAAATCGTGAAGATAAAGAATGTTACAAAAATCGACAGACTGTCACTTCAATGTTCGGTTTCCGTCTGTTTGGCATGAATGGCTGCCAATAGCACCCTTTGTCACAGAAATGTTGGTGCAGGCACCCGCTATACCCTAGCTTGGTGGTGCGTCAAAGATGACCAGGATGTGAATTTAGCGACAAGTCTCTTTGAGGCCCTGCTTTTTTGTTGATCTATCGCAAATAGCATTCACTCATGATACCATGCTCTAGCCAGCTCCTTATTCTATAGTCTTTGTCCTTCAATCCAAGCTTCACTGAAAGGATAATCCGTATACCCATCTTTGCTCTTAACCTTGTAAAATGTATCTCTGTCATATTTCGCCAAATCAATATCCTTAGACAACCTGAATGGCAGGTCAGGGTTCGAAATAAAGTGTCTCCCGAAAGCAAACGCCACTGTATCATCCCTGAAACGCGTCTCGAGCGCGTGATTTGCTGTTTCGGCCGTGTATCCTCCTGCGACAATCACGGGTGCCGCCCTTGCCCAGGCATCAAAAGCAAAGTCAAGACTTTCCTTGTCTTCGTCTACTGGCCTGTCAACGTTGCCGGCGATTCTGGGCTCGATGAGGTGAAAGTATGCAAGACCAAGTGACTTCAGCTTGGAAATAAGGTGGGTGAACTGTGGTTTGGGGTCTTCCATTCTCATGGCCTGGAAAGTACTGAATGGTGACAAACGGATAGCTGTTCGGTCTGCACCTATCTCTTTCGTCACCGCTTTAGCAATCTCCAAACAGAAACGTGAGCGATTCACGATAGTTCCGCCCCATTCGTCGGTTCGTCTGTTACATGTGTCTTGTGTGAACTGATCGATCAGATATCCATTCGCAGCATGTATCTCAACACCATCAAATCCAGCATCAATAGCGTTCCTTGCAGCACTAGCGAAAGACGCAATGCATTCCCAGATTTCATCTGTAGTCATAGGTCGAGGTGTCGGATTGCCATCGCCGATGGGAATATCGCTGCTGCTAACCATCTCCAGCTCAGCTCTGTCCAAAGCGTGTTGACGAGCTGCTCTGCCAACATGCCAAAGCTGCATAAAGATAAATGAACCCTTCGCGTGAACTTCATCCGTTATTCTTTTCCAAGCATCAACCTGCTCTTTAGAATAAATGCCCGGTGCATTTTCGTCCCGACCTCTCGATTTCTCCGAGGCGAATGTGGCTTCCGTGATGAGCAGAGTCCCAGGTACCGAAGCCCTTTGCGCGTAATACTCCAGCATCATATCAAGCGGTACGTGATTTTCGTCAGCTCTTAGCCTCGTCATGGGCGCCATTACGACGCGATGTTTGAGGGCGCATCGCCCTATTTTGATTGGCGTTGCAACGGTCGCAACGGTCATGGTCGAAATGGAATTGTCGGAAAGTTAAAGAGATTAATTGCCGAGATGTTGAAGTGGATTGTGATATTGACTGAGACCCCCGCATTTTCGGCAGGCACGTCATTGGGATCCATCTCCAGCTGTCAAAATCGGTCGGATGTTGCTGATGGAGTCGGTGGATCTCGACCTTGTCTTGTGTTTCGGAAGTTAGTAAATAACGGCGTCGTCAGGGTATTGGAAGAATTAGTCACTCACTGAAAGGATAAGAGATAAAAGTAACTGAGACATCCCATGAAAGTCTCAATTGGCAGTTAGATTACATTGGCAGTGTCTGCATTCTGAGAACAATGTTGCAGTCATCCATGCCAGGCCACTCTTATTACTCAGAGTATCTTAATCCGCGACTGAGTCAAAGGCAACCGATCTATCGTCTGACAACATTTTTCGTTTGATATAGTACATTTTGATGTCTTCTGTAGGTCACGTCCGTCGTTTTTCGCTATCGGGTGCGATGACGTATCCAATCTTGAGCGATATTGGAACGATTGAGGCACGGATTTCCCAAGACTTTGGCTTGGGGTTCACAGAGCAATCTAACATGCACCGCCGCCGCCAATTTACCCCATCAAACAATTATGTTCCGGCCAGTTCATCCTCCATGGCATTACTCGGCTATAACTTCTCCCCATAACGTCGATCTGTCCTCATCCGAGGAAGTGTCAAGATTCCCCGAGCCCTACACTAACCGAAACAATGGCAGGTGACAGCTTAAAACAGATCATATCTCCTCGGCCAATGACTGTAATCATCACTCTTGTCTCTTTCCTCCACGATTGACAATTACGAATTATTCAGCGCCGATCGCGGCAAACCAGCACGCCCTAGCCGCAGCACACACACGCAAAGACGATGACCAAGTCTGGACCCTTGCTTGAGAGTTTGGCGTCTGGGGTAAGGTTTAGCCCAAAGTCAATTATTGGACGGTGACAACGGCCAAGAGCTGAATGGACTCAATTCACCGCCGACCGTTGATAACATGTGCTGTTGGCTTGTCAAATACGTAAATGCTTTCCTGTTTATTCCCTGCCTGTCCGGTTATCTTTCCCACCAGCCCCGCTTCCCCCAGACTCTTATCTCGTGCCCAGCTACTCTAAAATACCAGTCAAAGCTTGGCTTTGGTAGATAATTCGCTGGTTGATGGCCTGTGATCAGGATACCCCTCATTGAAATGATAGGTGGCTTACTGCTAACTCTTGGCTTTCGTAGTAGTGTCGCATCCATATTCTCCCAACATTCAGTTCTCCATCATTTATCATCAATATTAAAAGACTATCATCTTGCAATTAAAGGCGTGATATGGATTGATAAGCTGCAGATCATTGACAGAAGAAAAAGGGTATTCGGAAATGTCATGTCCAGGGCGTACGGTAGAAATGAGTTCTGGTGGTGTCGGCTTTTAACTAACCAATTAGACAAAACCCAAATGCACGACCAGGGCGCTGCGTCGGCCAAGACAGCCAATCAATGCATCCTTGAGCCTTGGCTGAGATAAAGGGTCATGTGCTGAGTGTGTCTCTTGTGGCGGAAGTTAAGTTGAAATTGTCAGCTTTCAAGTATCAGGTTGCATGCTCTTTTCTTTCTCTTCACAATCCAATCATTGAGACACATGTACTTGGTATCGTAGCTTTTGTGCATATACCCATTTGTTCTTGATACTACCGAATTTGTTGATCAAAATGTCTGCTGCTCAAGTCTTGTTCAACACTGCTCCCAGTATCTCTGTAGCCGCTGAACCCAAACGCAGAGGCAGCTGGGTTCCTACACGGCGCAAATCAGAATGTCCCCTCGACGTCTCAATCGATAGACATTTCGAAGCCAAGATCTACACATCAGGCTCAACAATCACAGGCTCAGTATCCCTCTCACCACAAGCAAACCTCACAGTCGATGCCTTTGAGATTGTCTTTTCCGGGTCATCATCCACCATCGTGCAGATGCTGCATCAAGGCTCCATGCCCAAGTCCGCTCACAAGTTCCTCCTGCTAAGAATGCCAATTCCTGAAAGTGCTCTGCCGGAAGATGGTGTGCTGCAGGCTGGGTTTACTTATCAAGTACCTTTTTCTTTCGTCATTCCGTATCAGCTTCCTAGTGCGGCTTGTAGGCATCGCAATGCTATGATTCGGGAACGGCATTTGCAGTTGCCGCCTACTGTGGGGCCGGCGTGGGAGCATGATGATATGGCTGTTCATACTGTCAATATCACCTATGGTGTTGAGGCGCGAGGGTGGTTCGTGACTGGAAAGGGAAAGTCGTTGACTTTGGAGAGGACGCATCCTGTCAAGGTTATGCCTTTCCTTCCGGAGCAACCTCCTCTGCATATCGTACCTGGCAACCCACGTTATGTACTCTCTCAAGAGAAGACCATCCGAAAAGATATCCTCTCATCCAAATTGGGTTTCATCAGAGCCTCAACTCTGCAACCCGACCCTGTCAAAATCACAAGTGACAAGCTTCAACCATCTGACATCTCATTGAACATCGATCTCGAGTTTTGGCCAAACGGCAACAAAGAGCCACCAGAGATTTATGCAAAGTCAGCTTCCATCAAAGCATCCACATATTACTCCACAGGCCATCTGAGCTTTCTTCCCGACCAACACAGCTTCCCCAGCGTGATGCCAAACCCCATTCTAAGTTTCGTCCTCGATGAGAACGCAACAGTCACATGCCCCAAACCCAACTGGCGCCTCAACTCATCATCAACACCTTCACCACCAGTATCTCGTCGAGGTTCAGAATATTCAGAAGTAGGCGATGCACCACCGCGAAATGCACCCCGACGAGGTTCCAAGAGCAGTGATATCATCCGGACTGAAGCGCCAAGACATACAGCCTCACTGCCCATTTCCATTACGCTGCCAAGTCCGGACTCTAGGATCTTGCTACCGACATTTTTCTCTTGTCTTATTAGTCGAACGTACACGCTTGAGATCATTCTTGCTTCGAGAGCGCATGGTTCGAGTTTTACATTGCGGCTTCCGATCCAGATTGCTGTTGAGGGTGAGGGTGAGACTGGAGTCAACCACGTACCGACTTATGTGAGTAGCATCATTTCAACAGATTGTGATATGGTGGAGGCTAATACGTCTTGTAGGAGCAGGTTCAAGCAAACCAAGATCTCTTCGATACCCTTCCCACTTACAACATGATCCATTGATGCATCACGTTCTATGTCTTGTTCTCTATTCGGGCTTTTTGGAAGTCTCGTTCTCAAGTGTACAGTTTAAATCAGCACATTCAACAACCACGGATGCCAACTTCAGCTTAAATTCCGTCTCTATCTCAACCTGACTTTGGCATCCGTGTTTGTTCGTGTGTTGATTTAAACCGTAACGACTTGAAAACGAGACTTCCAACAAGCCCGGATACATCTGGCGTTGGAGCTTTGGATAATCATTTTGTCACCAGATTGTCATGTTTTGGAGGCGTGCTTTTGGTGTGGGGGACATTGAACACATTATATCCTTGTCAATTAAAAGCATATAGGAAATTTAAAACTCGTTTATATAACTACCGTGCTCATGATACATCCTACGCCATCTTCTCTGACTGGCGGATAGAAACCCGTACTTGGAAGTCTAAAGGCTTGACAAACCAGTAGTTGTTGGTATGCCAATCGCCTCCTTGAAGTGATCCATCAAGCTCGAAATCGAAGTCTCGGATGATGCGCGGGATAAGTTTGGACATCTCGAGCATGGAGACGTGGCGACCGATGCAGGTTCGCGAGCCAAGTCCGAACTTCAAAATGTCAGTAATCGACATGGTAATCTGTGCGTATTAGCAACTTACTGGCATAAAATAACGGTTCATAGCAGAAAGCCTTTCGCTGTCCGATGTGAGCCACCTGTCGGGGTTGAAGACAGCAGCATCTTGGCCGAACACATCGGTGTTTCTGTGTGCTACCCAGCAGTTGATACCAACGATAGTCTGTCTGTCATTAGTTATGTCACACCGTTTTTCTATGGCCAACTTACGCCTTCGGGAAAGAATCTCCCACAAATCTCGGCGCCGCCGTCAGGCACAATTCTCTCAAGCGGCAAGCCCGTAGCAGGATGCATTCGTAACGCTTCCTTGATCACGGCCTGGAGGTAAACCATCTGCTGACTCTCTTTGAACGTTGGTGACTTTGACAGCTCTGCCGCGTCTATTTCAGTTCTAAGCTTGTCCAAACAGACGGGATTCTTGAGCAGGTAGTAAAGAACAGCCGATAGACTGATGGCAGTGGTATCGGAACCAGCAACCATGTTCGAAGTACATCCCATGAGGACATGATATTGTGTGAACACTTGGGGGTCAGCTGCATTCTTTGCGAGGAATTTGGTAAGGAAATCTTCCATAGCAACCTCGCTCTCCGCGGCGACAGGCTTTGGGGATGTCTGAGCTTCTCGGATCCGCTCATTGGTAAAGTTGAGCACATAAGCTCTCCCAGTACCGGCACTCCCCGCTAGATAGTTCCTGATTGGGAAGAGATATTGATGAAGACTGGGAAAGATGCCGCAAAGTGTTGCGTAGCCGAGATGGTCTTCCAAAGCCCGAATGACTCCACGAATATCATCGCCACGATCCAAAAAGCCGAGTCTCTTCGCATAAGTGATCAACCCGATGACATCAAAGGCATAGCATTGAAACCAATGTCTCATATCCACAGGCAAACTGGAACCCGACGTGGACATCTCCGAGAGTCGCTGAGTAAAGAGATTGGCACATTCATCAACGAAGGGCTCATAGTGCACAAGAGAAGACATGGCGTATGTCGCTTGGTACAATTTCCGATTTTGAGAATGCCGCTTAATTGACTGATCACTGAAAATGGCCCATTTTCCGGGACTCGCCCAAGTAGAATACCATGATGACTTGGGGAAGTGGTTGCCGAGACCGTAGATCACTTTTGCAGCTTCAAGGTCGTTGATGCTGTAGCGGTTGGGTCCATACCGAACGATAGGCCCTGGACCAGAAGCTTAGAACGGAGAAGTATATATTTCGGAAGGAAGCATACCATATTTCTTGTGTAAATCAAGGTTTACATCTTCAAAAGATCCTTTCCGGACGTTCCAGAAATACCATAGATCCGTGAAGCGAGCTAAGAACGGGCCGGGGATATGACGAAGCGGGGAGAACAACGCGCGTAGAAGCAGGTGTGCGATGAAAGCGATGGCAACGACAGGAAGGAAAATGAGTGACATATTGAGAGTCATCTTGAAGTTTCATGAGAATTGAGAAATGAGAAAGAGAAGCAAAAGGGCAGGAAGAGGGTGCTACCGAGGTGTTGATGATCTTGCCGCCTCTTGTTATGGTGGATAAGCGGGGCTCGGGAATAGCGCAACGTCACGGTCAGCAGAATTGTCCGCGTTGATATAAGAGAGGAGATAATTCAATCATCTTAGACTAGCAACTAGGCTACTATATTCTGACACACCAAGAGAACATCTCTTGTCGTAGCCAATCCGCGAAGCTCAAATCCGAGAAGATAAAGACCGATTAGTCAGACAACTCCGTGTCCGTGTTCAAATCAGCCTGCGTGATCCTTACACACTTCATCGCCGGAATCAACAAATAAGACAACCTTTGCCTGAAGTTGGACCCATGCCTACGGATGGTAGGATGTCCCTGCTCTTCTAGCTTACGACAGCACCGGGAGTGCTTCCTCCAGATCACACAAAACTTGAAGCTGCGCTGGTACTCCGTCTCAAGATCCTCCATGCGGAATTGCAACTCGGCGGCTCGCCGCGTTAACTCCCAGTCCCTTGAATCCAAAGCACGAGCTTGGCCGATTCTGCGTCGACGTGCGAGCTCTTCGGGTGGTGGGCGGGGTCTACGTGCGAGCTCCTCCGGTGATGGGCGCCCGGGACGTACGGGACGGAGAGACAGATTCGCTATACGATCTTCGACGGATGTCTCGGTGGCCGGTCTCGCTGTTTTGGCTGCTTCGACCTCGTCTCGATATTGCTGGCGTTTTTTCTCGTGCTCAATCACTTCTTTGAGAAATTCTAGGCTGGCTTCGTATTTCTCGAGAGGTGATTGGAATACGATGGGGGGTGGAAGCGTGTAGTGACGTTCTATATAGGCTGCGGCGAATTTCTCTGCGAATTCATATCCCTCTAGGTCGTTGTCGCGGCTAGGGTGAAACATGATGATAGGTTGTAGATAGAGTGATGTAGAGGTTTATTTGGGACAACAAGTGTTTGGAGTAACAAGTCTCGGGCAATGGAGAAGTCCAGGAGTCTTCGTTAGGAACTTGGGAGATTATTTATACTTATCATTCAAGGAAAGTTTTGCAAAACTCATGACAATAAAGTTCATAAGCGAAGGCATCCAGATTTTTGCAAAGGCACTGCATTATGTGAATTTTATTTAAACATTAATGAAAACGAGGTAGACTGGGCACCTAAATCTTTGCACCTCTGATACAGAGTTACTTCGCAGCTAGCGTTTCCATATGTTTGTCTCGTGTATAATACTTTGAAGAACGTCCTTAAAAGTCCAATGCTAATCAAACTGCGTCTGTCTGGCATATTTTCAGCCTCGCCTGAGATCCAGGTCACTAAACGACTTCTTCAGCATTTCTCTGAGCACATTGTCAAGTTTTAGTTCACTCACATATCCACTTAATGAGCCTCTGGAATGAACTCTAATCCTGACGCAATACAAGGCAGAATTCACTGAGGCTTCGAGCAAGCGCCATGCCACGTGTTTATGACCAAATCATCAATTTATGCTTTTATCTCGCTCCTTCCATGGGTATACAATGCTCTGATACCTCCCCATCTATGTTTTTACTCCTAACGTACATGAAGCTCATCCAGTTTTAAACATCTATTTCAACCAACCCTTAGGTCCTCCCCATGTTCCCTTGACCATGTAGTTCTTGTACACCCAAGGGAAGAAGTCCTTCTTAAGGTGGTAGAACGAGCGTCGGGGAACAGCCTGGTCAATACCCAAAATCTCGCCGAAGGTCTCCTTGGGAACACCACCGTACTTGAACTCGGCCAGCATCACCTTGCCGTACTCGGTCAGGAGAGGGCAGGAGGTGTAGCCGTCGTACGCGGGCTCGGGCTCTTGGCCATCCATGGCGCGGAGAAGGTTGCTGACCAGAACGGGGGCCTCGGACGTCACGGCGGCAGCGGTCTTGGAGGTGGGAAGACTGGAGGCGTCACCGGCAGACCAGACGTTGGCGAACTTGTTGTGGCGGAGAGTGTTGTCGTTGACATCGACGTAACCAGCCTCGTTGGCAAGAGCACTGCTCTTGACGAAATCGTGAGGTCCCATCTTGGGAACGACGTGTAGGAAGTCAAACTGCTTGGTAACCTTCTCCTGACCCTCAGGACGAGCAAAGATAGCCTTGTCGCCGTTGATCTCGACGAGGTCGTGCTGGAAAAGACCCTCGACACCGCGCTCTTGACGCATCTTCTCGAGCTCGGCGCTGTACTTGGGAACACCGAACATGACGGGCAGACCGGTGGCGAAGCTGATCTTGATGGGAGAGGCGGAAGGGTTGGTGGGGTTGTAAAGACCAGTCTGCTTCCAGTGGTCGAGGGCCAGCCACATGGACTTTTGAGGAGCACCGGCGCACTTGATCACACCGGCGGGCTGGGTGAAGATGGCGTTACCCTTCTGGAGGCGCTGAATGTTGGGGAAAACCTTGTCGCAGTGGTCGTAGCCGTAAATGGAGGAGACAGGGCTGCTCTTCTCGGCAAGAGCCTCAGTAAGACCCTTGACACTGCCGTAGTTGATCTTGATACCAGGTGCAACAACAAGGTGCTCATAGTTGACCTTGTCACCAGTTCCGAGAGTGATAGCGTTATCCTCAGGAGTAAGCCCGTTGACGCTGACGTTATAGAACTTGATCTTGGGGTCGATGAGCTCAGGCATGTTCATCTTCAACTCCTCCTTGGTCTTGAGACCGGCACCAACGAGTGTCCATCCGGGCTGGTAGTGGTGGTGCTGAGCAGGGTCAACAACAGCGATGTCATCGTGGGTGAAACGGCCTGTTCGGAGAAGTTGATGGCTGATAGCGAGACCAGCAGAGCCTCCTCCAATGACAACGACCTTGTGGCTCCTCGTTCCGGCGGCGACGGCGGCAGCGGTAGCAAGGCCCCGACGGGTTTGGCTAAAGACCGCAGAGCGAGCAGCCATTGACACGCGACTTGAAAGCATCTTGAAAATAAACTTAAACTTTTTACAGAAACACAAAGTCAAATGCAATAAAAAAGCTCAAAGAATAAGATGAGGCCAGAAAAAGTACAATGAAAGTGACGTACTGTACGTACCCACTAGTGCATGCCGCTTTACTGTATCAGGGTCGAATCTGAGCGGATCATTCTTTGTCCGGGACGGAAACTTACCGAGTGTAGATAAGTCTCAATTGCGTGATTCAGGGATGATTGTTGTTACCGCCGATGGCCCGAATTTGAAGCCCGATGGCCCAGAGTCGTATCACAAACGGCGACTGCCGGTATCAAAGGTCAAATGAGATACATATGACGTTTAACATGAGGTCTATAATACTCAATCGCCGTTTGATGGTACAGTTCCCTAATCGATGCAGTAATTCTGCTCTCAGGATCTTATATTTCAGTGAAAAGGTCTCGAGAGCCCAAGATGAACGAGAATGACACGATCGAAAACACCCCTAGTCAAGTAAAAACGCAACGATCACAACGATCATTTAGTAGCTTTCAAGATAGAATAGTACTATCGACTGCGTTAAAAAAATTATCTATAAGAAAAATCATTAGGGAATGCTTTATGGTAAGGCAAAAGTCATATCCAGTCTTTGTTACCCTACAGATAGACTCCATAATAAGCGGCGATCTTGTGCAGATCTATCGCGAGTAAACCCGATAATATTGCACTGTCGAAAGTATCTGAAACAAATGAAAACGTTCTCCATATGAGTGGTTTATCGATATTCATGTTATATCTTCGGCGAATAAAAAGTCCCCGATGTCCCGGCCTCGTACGACTGCCAAGATATGTCACCCTTACTCCGTGCTCGTCAGACAAATTGGGAACCATCAATCCAAACAATCAGAAGCCGACATCATCTTCCGCAATCTGAAAGTTAGCTCCAACACCCGCCATTATCCCAGTACTCAATGCCACTGCTTCACTATCAACAACAGAAGCGCAGCTGCCAGCAGCAAAAACACCACGCACACTCGTCTCGTGATAATCGCCTTCAACCAGTATCCGACCTCCCGACGTCATCTCAAGATCAAGTTGATCCACAAAAGGCCCTATGATGAACGATCGAGGCTTGTGCGCTATGAAACCGTACGAAGTCTTTGATCCGTCTTCGAACTCGACGGTTACGGATGACTCGGCGTCTGATTTTGTGAAAGATTGGATAGGCCAGCTGTCGATCTTGAAACCCCGCTTGACGGCAGAAATGATTTGAGGATGTTGTTCGAGATGAAACATGCCGTTGGTAAGAAGTGTGATGTCTGGCGTGTGTTGACGGGCCAGATGAGCAGAGAGAATGGCCGAATTCATGGACTCCGAGTCGCTCGAGGTGATCAAAGCGGCAGCGCACTTCAAGCTGGTATCCTCAAACTCAGGACACTGCGAGAAGTCCAGACTGCATTTTGTTAACTCCCCCTGTCACAGAGGTTTAAGTATATACTCACATGCCGGTGCCCCTCCGCTCCTGATAACCCGGTATTTTGGGCAGAATCTCATGGCATCCCGTGGCTATTATCACTTTTCGACCTTTCCAACATCGGCCTGCTGTGTCCTCCACCTCGAATACCATACCTCTCTCACGAACAGACTTCGCGGCGGTGCTGATGAAGGAGACCGTTCTGTACTTGGTGTTCAACTCGGTGACCATATGGGTATGTAACGACGTCAGGTTCTCTATGTCACGGCCCTGTGGTCCGGAGCGTTCGAAAGAACCAAAGATAGCCGCACTCCGTCGCGCACGACCCAAAGCCAGAGCCGCTGACAGACCAGCGGGCCCTGCTCCTATGATCAGGACATCGAGGGCGTTGCGAAGGAAGTGAGGCTCAAGAGCCCTTGAACTGGATACTGCATGAGGCATCGTTACAGAAGAGACTGCGGAGGACTGGGGATTTACCACAACGGGAGGTAAAAGCCGGGGGCCAAGCGGGTATATAAGAGAAGGGAGATAAGCATAGACAACGCGGAGAGATACGACTGCGCCGCTTGCAAAAGTCGCATCTGGAAAGTAATTGGCTATTTGTGAATCCTCTAAATCCTTAGGCTATATCTTTCCGAAACTAATGGTCGGACTCGTCAGGTAAGATGATGTAAGATTCCCAGCTCTCAATGGAAGGATTCCAGATATCGCCTCAAAATAAATGCTAGCGCTTATTAAATTACGAGATCCACTGGCTTTTGTACTGGTAGGGTGAGATCTAAATTCTCATGAATCCTGGGAACTCAGCCCGAGTGACCCAAGAAATGTCTTCGCTCCTTGCAATATCTTCATACATAACGGCTCCTTATCTGCCAAACGCCTATATGGACAATCTGGCTTAGGAGGTAAGGCATGCCATTTTGCCTGACGCCGTTCCAAGAGGTGAATGAGACCCCATAGTGAGTCTTCCTTGTCGTCACTCCCGTAAATCTCCTGTTTGACAGATCGTCTGGCTAGCGACGCCCATTCCACAGGGCTCATTTCCAAAGCAAAGTCCGACGAGACATCAGCTCTGGAAGTTCCAAATTGGATATGCATCGGCTGCCCTGTCTCGGACATAAGTTCACTTTCCTTGGTGATGGACTCTAGTACTACCCCATATTGCTTCGCTATAGACATGAGAAGTGTGCCGAGGAGTTGGATGTTTTGCATAGAAGACAGGTATTGTGTTGGACATATCTGGCAGTGAGCAAGTTGGCTGACTGTGCTGAGCTTCTCGCGTAGGAACATGAGACCGGATGGGAAGACAAGATCTGTGTTTTTGCAGAGATCGTCCATTGTGAGATAGAAAGTTGCTAGACAAGAACAGGATGGAGATGCTGAAGTACCAATGTCTGTGTTATTGGCCGAATCTGAGGCGCTTGTATGGGACACAGATGGCAAAACGAGGTCTGTGGACTGTTCTGATGGTGAGGGATGTTGTTGTAAGCCAGGATCTATGCTCGCAGCAAGCGACAATCCAATAAGAGGATCAATATTGAAATCCAGGCCGGCTCCTATTGTAGATGGCGAAAAGGATGCGATATCGAAGCCAGAGAGTGGAGTAGTCACTTCTTGTTGATCCCTCGGACTGTTCTGCGTCGGAGTCAAAGGAGGCGTCAACCTCCTCTTCGAAGGCCGACCCATACGCTGCTTGACCGAGTAAATACACTCAAGGCCATGAAAAGCACATCTCGCACAAGTGGGCTTTTCGCCGTTGCACTTGCACTTCCTTGACCCTGAGAAATCGTGATCAGCTTTGGGTTAGATGGAGGAGGGGTGGGTAACGTACGGCATGCGTCACAAGCGGAGCGTTGTGCGGCGCGAGTAGGAGAAGCACTAGTTTGAGAATTGATCATATCGGCAACGCTAGATGAGCGGAAAGTTCTGAAGTCAATTATAGTACAAGATTTGGATGGTGTTGGAAGAGGTAAAGGAGTTCGAGGGAGTAAAGAGGATGTGTCGGAGACTTTGTGGAGAGTTGTCAAGCGTGCAGAATACAGCAAACGACAAGAGGGAAAAGTCGCCGACGGGATCCACTATTGTTGCTTTGCCCAATTACAAAACAGAGCTGCTCTTGTACGCCAAAGTGAGCAAGTTTCGGAAAGTGAGGAGATGCATGATAACAAAACGATCATATTGCTATGTACACTTCTAACAAGAATCCTATCCCTTGATAGTCTCATTAACCCACTTCCAAGTCTGCAACAACCTCTCTCGATCCAAAGGTTGAACATCCTTAATCGTATTCGAAACCTCACTCGTCTTCTTTACATCAAACGGGCTCTCATCACCACTCTTCTTCAACTCAACATCTTCCTCCATCATAAGCCCATAAGACTCCTTCCATAGCCCTAGAAGAGCTTGCGCAGGATGATTGACGCTCCTCTCACCAAGTGCCTTCTCCAAACGCTTGATCCACTCTCGGGGCGAAACCCTTTCGAACTCGGGAGTTCCGATGCTGGAGGATAGCCAGTCTAGCATTTCTGTCCATGTTGGTGTCGTATGAGGATTGAGAACGTGATAGACTGGTGTGGAGGAAGCATCGTCTTTTGAACGCGAGACTTCGATGACGGCTTGTGCTGCTTGTTCCACGGGAAGCCAGTTCAATGGCTCACCCGGAATATTTGGCAAACATCCTGTTATCTTTGCAGTAGACAGGAGCAATGGGTACGCTTCTGTAGCATTCCAAACACCTGATTCATTACTGCACAATTGTCCCACGCGAACAACCGAAGCAAGAGGGTCTCCACCAGATGTCTTGTTCAGAGCATCGCAGACCTGTTCAGCTACCCACTTCGACCGCGAGTATCCCAACGGAGAAGCTTCGCTCGGATCCTGCGATAGTTCCTCGGGGATAGGCTTGGCCTTCGAATCGCTCACTGCCGCGATCGAACTGACAAAGACAAAACGCGCACCTGATTCAGCGGAAAGGGCGGCCAGATTTCGTGTGCTGACGATTTGGTCTTCAAAAGAAGGAAGCCGAAGACTAAAGTTCACCGCCCAAGCAGAGTGAATAACCGTTCCGACATTTTCCAAAATGGCTTGCCGGTCTATATCAGAGAGACCCAGATTGGATTCAGTGAGGTTGCATGGTAGGCATAGGACTAGGTTATCGCTTTGTCGTTGATTGAGAGCTTGTAAGCCACGGTTGCTTAAAGCTTCAGAAACTCGCTTTTGCGCCATAGCTGCGTCGTCTGCTCGCAAAAGACAATAGATCTTGTCGACGTTGGAGTCTTGACGGAGGAGATCGAGGATATGTGTGCCGAGAAAGCCAGTGGCTCCTGTTAAAAGGACGCTCTTCCCTTCACTGCGGGAAGCCTTCTTGACATCTCTAAAATCGCTGTACTTCTGGACGAGACTTTTCATCGCTTGAACGTCTGCATCTTGAGAGTTGCTACCGCGGTGGTGGTGTCCCTTCCTCACACAGTGGAGGTATTCGACAAGTGCTTTGACGGTGCCCTGGTCGTAAATAACGTTCAAAGGCAAAGACTCGTTTCGAGGCGATAAACAAGCTCGCTCCAGCAGCTTTCGGATTTGGATGCAGGCGATGGAATCAACGCCCTGGCGATACAAATCCTGATTGGGATCTACGTCTCGTCCCAGAACTTGGTGGAAGCAATACCGGACCGTTTGCGAAAGTTCGTCGTCAGAAACCTCTTTAGATGAAGACCCTCTGTTGTAAGCGCCCTCAATCTCCTTCTCATACCGCTCTTCTGCTTGTCTTCGCAGAATAGTGCCCTTACTACTCTTCTCGAGCGCCTTTTCGCCTTCCTTCACGGGAACAACAACGAGCATGGCCTTTGTGATCCGGGCGTGGCTTTGACTCTCGTTGTTCATCTTATCAATGTGTGGCCAAACTGCTTCGATGACTTCCTGCTCGCTGACGTCGTTTGAAGAGGGGAACAACAGAGCTCCGGAATAGTCTCTTCCACCACCAAAGATCAGAACATCCTGGAGTAATTTCGACAAAGCAAGTATACTACCCTCGACAGGTGAAGGATCAAACTTCTTCCCGTTCGCAAGAGTGATCTGCGCGTCAGCCCTGCTATGATACCGCCACGCATTCTTGATCGTCGAGTGAGGCTCGAAAAGATCGGACGTAGCGTATGATCCATCTTCGCGATTGGTCTTAATAAGGAACGGCCAATCTGACTTGACAACAAGCTCTGAAAGACCATTGTCGCGCGGTTCAAACTCGAGTAATTTCGGATCATCGATGGGTCTAAGGAACTGCCATTCCTTATCACTTGCGTAGTCTCGATGTGAAGACATCAAGAATCCACATTCTGCGCTTCCCATTCGCGATAAGAGATTGACATCTGCTTCAACAAGCCTGTCACCTATCGCAGGAGGAAGAGCTGCGCCTCCAACACCTACAAGATCCATCGACTGCAGAATCTCAAGACCTCCATACTCATCAGACAGCATCTGAAGTACATACGGCACCGAAGAGAAATACTTGACAGGGCTTGGGCTCTTAGCCCTCGCATACTCAAGCGCTTTCATAATGTTGGTGCCAGTAATAGGTGCATGTCCCTCAGGAAAGAACCAGATCGCCGCGCCACTCGTCCAAGCCCTTAGACAGTCGGGAAAGCCCCCATGGTACAATGGCGTGGTGGAAAACGTAGCTGGTTTGTCCTTGCCTGGGAAGCTGTAAAGTGCGCCCATGACGCCGAATTGAGTTTGGGGAATGGGCTTGGGAAGGCCTGAGGATGTCCCTGATGTGTGGCAGATGTATGCTGTGTCGGATATGTTATCTGCTTGTTGAAACTTGGGTGTCGCGTATTCCTCTGGATGGTATCTTGGGATCATGGCAACGCTGATTTCATTGCTTAGGCCGCGAGCGCGATGCTCGTATAGCTCGTCAACTAGAACCTGTGTGATATGCAGGGTTTGGCATAGATGCGTGATTGCTGGAGGTGCGAGCTGAGGTCTATAGGAATTAGCCATGTTTATAGACGTGGACGAGCGACTTACGCGAGAAGCAACACTGTATATCCCAGTCGCATCAAACCAAGCCATGTCAACACGAAATCTGTACTGCTCGCGGATAGAAGACCAATCGTCATCCGCGAAGGATCCTTTGGCGGAGGAAGATGGTGTGATAATATTTGCGCGGCATGTCTTGATGATTCCGAGAGACTTCGAAATGTGAAGAAGTACGGTATTACTGCCAATGTTAGCGACACGACCATGTGATGGTGAAGGGTAACAACCTTGACTCGACTTCAAATGCTTGAACGTCGCAAATCCAAGCGCTGGCGAATCAGGAATATTCTCAGCCTGATCGTCAATCAATTCCAGGACCGTCTTCCATTTCTTGGCCGATCCATCTTGGCGTTTTAGCTGGGCTGCCTCTCCGAGTGTACAAGCAAAATAATTCGGTTCAACAGGCGCCATTGTAAACCGTTCATTAATCGGAATTGGATGTGACTCTATCGTGAATTTACTCTGCCACTGTTGTTACCCCTCTTGCAGTGGCTTGACCTTTCTAGCAACTCATGTCATCATCGACTCCTGCCTGTGAGACAAAACAGCACAAAAAAAGAGGAGCACAAAACACAACGTCATCGATTCACTCATAACACATTATGACTGGATCTTTACGCGCTGCACATGCAACAAAAACAAAAAGAAAAGTCAATTGAATTACCCCTCTTTTGGTTACGAAAATTGAACTGAATCGCTCAACACCAGAACTTTATCACCATTCCTCACGATCAAATCATGGAGCGCTCACAGTCTGATACCCTCCCCCTCTCAAATTCCGTCGAAATTCCTCAGCTGGGCTTCGGCGTGTATTTATCCCCCCCCGAAGTCTGCGTGAATTCATGCCTCACTGCGCTCGAAGCTGGATACCGCCACATTGATACGGCGCAGTACTACGGCAACGAGGCAGAGGTGGGCAAAGCTGTGCAACAGTCCAACGTTGAGAGAAAAGATGTGTTTCTCACGACAAAGATTCTCGAGGCAGCAGGATCTGTGGATTTGAGCTATGCGAAATGTGTTGAGAGCATCAAGAAGCTGGACCCCGAAAGCGGCTACGTTGATTTGTTTCTCATTCACAGCCCGAATCCCGGTGCTGCGAAGAGGAAGGAGATGTGGCAGGCTCTGGAGAGGCTTTATGAAGAGGGAAAGGCGAAGAGTATTGGTGTGAGCAATTTTGGCATCAAGCATGTCGATGGATTGAAGGAATTCGCCAAAGTGTGGCCTCCTCATGTGAACCAAATTGAGGTACATCTTCCCATCGCACCAGATTGGCAATTACTAATGGAAACAGTTGCATCCCTGGTTGCAGCAGAGAGACGCAGTATCATACTGCGAAAAGAACAACATCGCAGTAGAAGCCTACGCTCCTCTGGTGCGCAACCAAAAAGCCAACGACAAAACCCTCACCAGCATCGCATCAAAGCACAGCGTCACACCAAGCAAAGGTCTCATCCGCTACTGTCTCCAAAAGAACTGGATTCCCCTTCCCAAGAGCGACACGCCGGAGCGTATCAGGGATAATGCGGATGTTTTTGGGTTTGAGCTTGATGAGAAGGATATGAAGGCTTTAGATGATCTTGATGAGGGCGATGCGGGTGCTATTGTGCAAGCTGTAGATAACTACTAAAATTAGAAGGACGGTGTGGTGGTTACACTGGATCTCACCGTTATTTTAGCTCCCGAGATCTGGACCTTATCGTAGATCTTGGCGATAAACGAGGCTTGTCAATTGGATGGGTCTTGGAAGCGTCATTGATTGAAGAGTGTTTCAGAATAAACTCAATTCATCCAGTGATGCTTTCTCAAAAGGTCGCGATTGCGGAGAAGATGGTCCTGCTGTTCGTACCTTCACCGGTTGGGTGAACATGGCACGATGCAGGCCAGGTACATACAACCATTTGACCACGTCTCGCGTCGTGTAGTCACGGGAAGTTTCTTTTCTTTTTCCTTTTTCCTCCCCTAGAATAATTTTATTACAACTCGTAATAGATAATCAGAAGAATTTAAACTGTAAGGGATAAATAAGCATTGCCAATTAATGACACAATCTGTCATATTTCAATGACGTCCACGAAGTGACGAATCTTCATCATCTCTTTTCCCCCTCCTCATCCCTCAGTCTCTCCCCTCTTTTCTCACCACCCTCAATTGTATCTCCCATCTGCAGCTTCCTACGAAAATGGACAACAACAACACCACCAGCAAGAAGAGGCACAACGCCTATGCAACCCTCATCACCCGCGACTCGTATCTGCCAGGCGTCATCATCCTCGCCTACACCCTGCAGCGCAACCACTCAGCTTATCCCTTGGTGGTACTCTACACGTCCAACCTTCCCCAAAATGCGCGCAGGGTTCTGGAGCTGGAGGCTCCGAAATGCAACATGATTCTGCGCGAGTGCGACTTTTTGCTGCCACCCAAGAATATCAAGATGACGATCATAGCTGAGCGCTTTGTTGACACGTGGACCAAGCTGCGCGTGTTTGAGCTCTTTGAGTATGATGCTGTTTGTTATCTGGATGCTGATATGGCGGTGCTGGATAACATGGATGTTGTCTTTGAGTGCGAGGAGCAGTTGCCGGATGATTGGCTTGCGGCGAATCATGTTTGTGTGTGTAACCTTGATTCCGACTCGTGGGCGCCTGAGGATTGGAAGGCGGAGAATTGCGCGTATACACCACTTTCGCATCCCACAGCTCTCAAAGAGCCGTTGCAGCCAACAGCGACATCTCCTTCGCCACATAAGCTACTGAATGGCGGCATGTTCATTTTCCATCCATCAGAAGGTCTTTGGGATCGCATGCTGCACGTTTTCAACACAACGCCTCAACTCTCAGAGTTCATGTTTCCCGATCAAGATTTCCTGGCCTTCTTTTTCGAGAATAAGTGGTATGCGCTTGGATGGCAGTACAATGCTATTAAGACGATGCGATACTGGCATCCGAACATCTGGAGAGATGAGGAGGTGATCTGTCTGCACTACATTGTCGATAAGCCCTGGGCGAAGAGGGTGGGATTGGACGGTGTTGCTGGGTACAAGGGTCTTGATGGTGTTACACATTGCTGGTGGTGGCAGCTTTACCAATACTGGGAGGATGAGAGAACTTCTGATGGAATGGGAGGTAATGAGGCAATTGCGCTGTTGCAGAAGCTGATTGCCCCGGCGTACACGATGGAGAATGGCTTGGGATACCTCAACGTGGCTTTGCCTGTCCGAGCTTGAGCATAAGAACACGATGCTATGGCGTTTGGGATTGCTTGAATTCAAAGAAAAGGAAGACGGGAAAAAAGACGTAGACACTTGAAAGTGGGCTAGAAGTAATAGATCGTGGAATTTCACATTGAGAACTATTCAGAAAGATTACTCTACCTCCATCCAAGCAGCCTTCAACTGCGCAATCTGCATCCAATCACTCATCTTATTCGCATCCGCCATCCCAGCATGCATGTTGTTCATCATATTCGCAGCAGTAACACCATGTTCGGTCTCATAATATCCAACAGAACTATTGCCATGCAGATTACCGTCGGTCGTTCCCATGATGGACGACGTTGAGTTCATGCCCTGATACATAAGACTCAATTGACCTTGCTGCATAGCCTGCATTCGTTTCATTATCATCATTTGTTCAATCATCTCGATATGCGGTATGGTAGCGTTGTACACTTGTACTCGCTTGGTCCCGAAAGCGCGGAAGTCATCAAGGGCTTTCTCTGACTCTGGCGATCCGGGAGGCCCGGCGGCACAGGCTGCGAGCCACATGTTGCGCATCCTTGGAGACCATAGTTGGCAGATCAGGGTTCGCTCATCGTAGACGCCCTTGACGGGAACGGTCGGTCCGAGAGGAGTGTCGGCGACAAAGTTGAGCCAGCAGTCTTCACAGGCAAGGGCCTCCGGGTGTCCCCACCATGTACTCTTCCCCTTGTTCCGAATACCAGGACAGGTTGGCACGCCAGCCCACTTCTTGACATAGTCCGTGTAGTAGCTGAAGACACCCTTGTCCATGGCTTCGGCGAACTTGGTGATGAACATGCCCCACCGCGGGCTCGCAGGACAGAAGTTGCAGACGATGGTCGCAGCTGGGTCTCGCTGAGCAGGCTCAAAGAAGCGCTCGAGATTAGAGGTCTCGAGGATACCCTTGTAACATGCCTCGCAAACGTCAAGATCGGGGCAGCCACCTGCAACAGTCCACCATTTGCCCCCAACGATTCCATTCGCGGTACAAGGGACCAGTCCACATATGGCATTAGCCGCCTTCCAAAAGACTTCAAAGTCGCGACGGTAGATAGCTGCCTCGAGAGCGACGCTCATGTTGACAGCTGTGTCCGTCATGCTGCACTTCCATTTCTGACCCAGTGAGTTCAAGAAAGCATCAAATCCTTCAGCTCGGGCGTGGCGCTCAAACTCGTTGCCAAAGGGTGTCAAGGCAAGCTTATCTAGGTAGCACGTCTCGCAAATCGTCATGTTCTCGATCCTGCGACGTGGAAAAATCCAATGGCCATTGTTGGACTCTTCATCTCGTCCTTCACATACAGGAAGATGAATGCGCGCTTTGACTGCTTCCACGAAGCCGTTCCAGTGGTCCTGCTTAGACATCTTGACAATCGCCGTTGAGAGGTACGGAATACACAAGTCGCACATCCACTTTTCCTCCGGGCCTTGCTGGCGATACGGAGAGAAGCGAGCCTGAAAAGGTGTGCCGGCAATACGATCCTCGTAGCAGGCATCGCAAGAGATGAATCCGTCGACTTCGTTGTTGATCATACCCCACCACTTGACACCATCAGCAGCTGTACTAAAAACTCTTCCCTTGCAGTCAGGTGCAGCCAGGCTCTTCTCTGCGAACGCGCGTAGATAGCCGATACCATTGGTCTGTAGAGCCTGAGGCCAAAGGACTTCTCTTGCACGTGGCGACCAGAAGCCACACTTAGAGTCAGTGCCCTCTGGAGAATGGTATCGTTCAAAATGTCCAGCGAGATGAGTGCCCGCGACATGGTCGGCGTAGCATCTTGTACAGATGAGATACTGTGGTGCGACAGCTAAGCGGTACCAGTCAAGAGCGTATGTAACGACTCTGTTCTCAGGGCAGTATGGGAGTGTGTCTACGACCATGCCTGTAGCCTGACAGGGCGGTGGCCCGCGCGGTCCATCTTGGCCATGGATTTGGTTAGTATTAGGCACGGGTTGATGTTGGTGCCCGTTGTGCACATTGAGACTGTGCATCTGAGTGGACAGAGAGTCAACCGGGTCTTGGTGGTGGTCATTCGCCGCGGGCTGGCCGTTGACCGGCGGAGGTTGCGGGGCATGAGGCGATTGCTGTGCCGGCTGATAGGGTTGGTAGGGCTGGATGGGCTGGCCAACGGCGCCTGGCGCTGGCGCCGGCACAAAATGTGCGGCAGACGTGTGATCTTCTTGGGTTGAAGGTGAAGTTTGTGGATAGTGCTGGGTGTTCGCATTGGCCACAGGGTGTCCGTACTGGCCGGGTGGTGGTGGAGGCGGCGCCTGAAGCGTACTCGGGCTATAAGGCTGGAACTCGCCAGCCGTTGGTGCCGAAGGGAGGATGCCACTCGGCTGGTTCAGGTTTTGCAATGGCGGCGATGAAGGTAGGGAATTGTGGCTCTGACCAGGAGTCGACGCTTGCTGTGCAGGTGCTGGAGCGCCCATGTTGGATGGAGGCTGCCCATGAGATGGCGAGTAGTGATGGCCATGAGGTGCGTATTGAGTCTGGGCTAACGGAGCTCCGACTAGCGGCTGGTGATTCGGAGAGATGCTGTGCTGCTGATGCGGCGACTGTGTCGGAGCACTCGTCTGCGGTGCGTGATTGACAGAGCCTGTCTGAGCGATCGGATGCGTGACTGCCTGAGAGACTGGCTGCGTCGGCGGTACAGCATATTGGCCATGTTGCTGTGTGGGCGGAGCCTGGTGCGAAGGCTGTTGCGATTGATGTAAAGGACTCTGCAAGTGCTGCTGCGACGGCGAGAGAGGCTGCGAAGGGTTCTGCACTTGGTATGGTGGTCCTGTTGGAGAGATCAATTGAGCGGCATGTGGGGAGGTTGCCGACACATTTGAAACCGGAGCGCCTGGATGATTCTGTGCCTGCTGGTACATTCCTGGAGGCCCATGGCTGGGTGCACCAACCTGATATGTTGGCTGCGCAGTGGTCTGCAAGCTGGTTGCTGCCGCTGCCAGATTGTACGGAGCGCCAGGACCGATCTGATGTGGTGATGACGCCTGGGGATGCACCTGAGGAGCAGGATGGTACTGCTGTTGTGGGGGTATCTGGGCAGGGCTTTGTCCGTAACCCAAATGCGCGACACCTTGGCCAGGCACACCTTGGGGCGACTGAGCTGGTGGTGTTGTTGCGTATGGGTTAGATTGCTGGTGATGCAGCATAGGCTGGGGATACGGCGAGACGGTCGCTGTGGGTGATTGAACAGCCTGCTGGGGAACAGCGCCCGGGGGAGCAGAGACCTCGTTCATGGAGTGCTGTGACTGATGGTCTTGAGGAGCATTCTGTCCAATCTGAGGCTGTCCAGGAATTGCTTGCGACTGCGACGGAAACGACCCTTGATGCGCGATCGCGGGATGATAGCCCGAAGCGCCAGGCGAGACGCTCTGCTGTGGTGTCGGCGGCGCATGCTGAGGATAACCCTGCTGACCAAACCCTTGAGGAAACGAGTTGGTAGGACTCAAAGGCGTCTGCGTCGGGTGTTGCCCAGGATTATACGTCGGCTTTGGTGCTTCACCAGTATATGAAGTCGTAGAGGATGTCGCTGGTGCGTTGGAGTTGGCGGGGTACTTGTTCTTGATGTTGCTGGCAAGATTACCCAGAAAGCCCTTTCCCGATTTGTACAGTGACTGTGCGGTGGATTGTAGCTGTGCAGGCTTCGCGAATTGAGCGGCTTGTTGTTGGTATTGCTGTTGATGCTGGGCGGGTGTCGGTGGTGCTGCGACACCGTATTGGGGTGACTGGTAGCTTGGCTGCTGGCTGGGAGCGTGCTGTTGAGGGAGGCCCGGGTGTTGTTGCAGCTGCGGCGATTGATGCACTGGGTGACCAGGTGCTGGCGACTGGTAGACAGGCTGCTGGCCTGGAATCTGCTGTGGTGCAGGAGGGTATTGGCCTTGAGGAGATTGCGAATAATGCGCTTGAGGAGTTTGAGGGATCTGGTTCACGGGCGGGCCTTGAGACGACTGGTATTGAGGATGTTGCGCGGGCGCATATTGCTGAATTGGTGTTTGTCCCGGCGGAGCTTGCGGATACTGGGCGTGGTGTTGTTGTCCAGGTGGGACCTGCCCTGGCTGCTGCGCGAACTGAGGGCCTGGAGGCGGCGACTGGTAATTGTTGTAAGGCGGAACAGTCGCCATCTTGGCTTGGTAATCTCTGAACTTGACAGGATCTTTAAAACTCCTCAATACCGATCTACAGATTTGCCAAGAGGTCTTCGCATGAGCATCTTATGAGAATTGTCCCTTCTCGCAGGATGCAACACGGCTTGGTCTCGACCGGTCGGCGCATTCAGCTGAAGCATTAGTCTCACATCACAAGGCACAAATAGTAACAAAACGACCCTGAAAACGCCTTGTGCACACAAGATTGTTCACTTCGTGGCGCCTTACTCGCTAATTCCAGAAGCCACGTCGCTATGCTTACTCTTTTCTTTTCAGCCGCAGGAGAATGAATGTCACCTTAGACAGGGGTCAAAAGAACTGGCCACGAAGAGCATAATAAGGGACGAAATGATTTGATCACCTTATGATAACTTAGGCTGGCATCTAGACTAGTTTATCCCTGGAGCCCAGGTCTTGGAGGACAATTCGTCTAACGCCTACCTAAATAAATATACTGAGGTGTCACACTGGGCGATGCAATTGAGATGGAAGTCTTCCTTTTATTTAGACTAACAAGCTTCTAGAGAAACATAATATTCCACCTGCCTCCCGATGTTGTATAAACTTCACGCTTTTTCAGTTGCGGTGACGGTTTCGCAATGCCAATAGCCCGAAGTCGCTGCAGCCTCGAGCCAAAATGCCCGTCTGATTTGGGCTACCTTGGCCAACGTGAAGTCGCGACCAGCAACGACAACTACACCCATGTCTGCCGACGTATTTGACCGCTCTAAATTGGCCTACACAGTTGGTTCGACGCGATTGTCTGTGGCCATCATAGAGGCACTCAGACGTTGTTGGAGTGGGCTTTGAAGAAGGGAGATCTAGCGCGGAGATAAGGCCCGGGAAGATGTGCGGGACCGGTATCAGAGAAGCAGGAGAACGGTGCCGGCGGGGCCCCTAGGTAGCCGGGTGGTCGGGGCGGGTGCGGCGAGTACGGCGGGCAGGAGTAGGCGAGACGGGCGGCGTGCCCCTTGGAGCAGGGATTCGGCGGCCGGCCCGAGTAGTATAATAGAACTCGGGAGAAAGTGTAGTCCTAGACAACTCATCGCTCCCGTTCCTATCATTCTGTTCATCCTCTGCAGTTGAACGTCTGGTCACCTCGTCTATCAGGTCCTTGAAACGGTTGCCTGGCTCTGCCCGTTCCACACTAAACGCCTTGTTAGAGCTGCGTGCTTCACCCTCCAGCTGCATATCGACATCCTCTTGCGTTTGCATGTCGACGTCCTCTTGAGGCTGCATTTCGACGTCCCTTTGCCACGGTGGTGGATTGCACTTGCCGCAGAATACGGCGCTAGCATCCCTAACAGTAGTGGGATATTCAGCTCCCGGACACCGTTCTGTTTGCCAGAATACCTCGCAATGCACCATTACATCGTAGGTTCTGTTAATCGTCCACCGGCAGACGACGCAACGAGTACGGACACAATTTGCTCGGCACATGTTGGAAAGGGTTGAGATTTGGGAGGAAGGGTCAGTTGGTTTGTGTCTGTGAATGATGGAGATAGATGCTAGATGTAAGGGAAAGGTCTCTTTATATAGTCCATGGAAGCTGAAGGTTTGCGGCCATTTCCCAAGCTTTCTATTCCGCGAGAGTAGAGTTCATAGCACGCATAAGACTAGAGGACTGTGAGTTCGCAATAAAGTTGTTACAAAGGCCGCAGGTTATTAGAAGTACTAGATCCTAAAGGCATAGGAGATTAAATAAATTGGCCCGTTTATGCTATCTTGGACCAGCACTTAGGTTACTTTATGTTGGTAGCCCAATACTTAGAAGATAATTCTCTATTATCTACTTAGAAGGATATGCTGGGATATCTATAATTGTATAGTAAATGACATTTGTTATTACCAGAGTCCACAGAAACATTAGTGTGGGATTAATGTGTTGCACAGATGGTATCGACGACCCCGTGAAGGCGATAGGTATCTCTTTTGCGCTACGCAAGCTCGGAGGGGCTTATCACGAAACCATCTTGATTTTCAGGCCCTTTTTGTTCCTCTTGTGGAGGTTCGTCCACTCTACACCCTTCTCGAAGCGGTACAGCTGAGAAGGGAAGCGGACACTGAGTCCTTGACACTCTATACCGTTGCTCACGGAAACCTTGCGAGGGTGTCAAAGGGAGGATCGAATCCGTACAAAGTCCTACAGAGCGAGAGCTATGTTGTGACCATTACAACATTAGTAGCTCGACACGTCTTGGCATACTCACCTCCGCTCGAATCCATCAAGGGTTGGGCTTTGTCAAATCGGGTCGTCTTAAGTAACCGGTGAAGGGAAGCCGTTGTTTCTTGAAGAATTATCAATCTTTCCAACCGAGACACAATCCGAGACAAACACAATAGTTCTAGCGCATGGGCGCTCCTTCAATAGTCCTACTAACGTATCGTGTTTTGTATACTGACTGACTTGTTTGACTGCTTGACGGATACTGGTACGAGGGTTGCCGCCGCTTCTTCGCCACCAAGATTCCCTCCAAGGAGTCTTGGACTTTTCGTCGGAGCCCCCTCTCACTCCAGTTCACCGCGCTTCTGCTAAGCGCCGCTTTAATCAAATCATCAATCACTCTTATAATGGCATCATCAAACCTAGTCGCAATTACAACCGCGTTAAACGAGTCAAACTGACGTATAAGTACTCAACAAGCGAAAAGTCCAAAGACAATATTCTGGCTGCTTTCTTTTCCGTTGCAGGACTCTCCATCACCGCAATGAAGAAGACAAGCTCTACCAACACGGAAGTAGATATAGTTGCGATGCTTGTGCCAGTGCTGCAAAGTCTCGTACGATTTGTGGAAATGACTGCGAGAACATGCTTATCTGGACTTTGTGTTGAGATTGTTCCACTATCATGGTTAGCTAAGTGGGAGGTAGACACCTTGCCCATTTATTCTACTTACCTGCTTGGTAAGTCATGGCTCTCATGACTGGCGTTTCCTTGTCGAAGATGATCACGACACCGGGTCCACCTTCACAAGGTCTGGTGTGTTTGGTAGTCAACTTTCAGACACACTAGCACTGTAGCGCCGAGCTTGCGCTTAGTGGGGGAGGAAGGGGTTCAATAAGGGGGAGTAGACATCGTGTATGTTTGGAATGTAACGTGACTATCTTTGTTAGCAGTACTGTGTGCAATAATAAGCCGCCTAAGCTTTGTATCTGTGCAAAAGTGTTCTGATTCGTGTGATGTTGTGCTGTGTCGATGTCAAGTGAGGAATCTCTCGGCGGAGGTGGCCTAGAAGGTACTCATGCCTACGCGCCAGCACCTTCCTCTCCTTCCGCCTCTGTTTTCGGGGAAGGACCACCGAGTCTGCCTTCTTAAGGTCAGGTGTGTTCGGTGTAAACTCTCAGACAGTGGGTGTCACAGTGCATAGCGAAGGTTGAGTTCATGGAACGATGAATATCTGGTGTCCCGTCTCAATTCCGCGGTCTGGTGGATCAGTGTAGCTGCTACCAAGTGTTGCAGTGCGCATGCGAAGGTTGAGTTCATTATTCTATCTAGCTAAGATGGAGATGCCGCCAAGGCCCCGTCGTGCCGCACGTGACAGTGAGTATCCTCTAGAATAGCCATCGTGGTTTATGCGGGTTACCCTTTGATCGTTTAGAGGCATCAGGGTATTGGAAGTCAGAAGACTTGGGCGCGGAGAGCATAAGAGACGAAATAATTTAGTTAACTTATGATAGCTTAGACTAGCATTTAGGCTACTTTATCCTAAGACCCTAAGCCTTAAAGAACCATTCTTTTATCATCTGCCTAGGCACGACGTCATGCAGCTTATTCTACCTACGATACAGACCAAGTCGAATTTTCAGACTCTCTTGCAATAACCTATCAACTGGCTTTTTTCCATCACATACTTTCTGTCATGCGTATGCATGCCTGAGAATCAAATTGGGTGCGTCTCCTGAAGTATCATCGGTAAGTTTTGCGGATGCGATGTTGAACAATTTGAGTTCGGGATTCGTTTTGTCAAATGGTTCGCGAGCAATCTGGCCAAGAGTCCTTGAGCGCAAAATTGGTGCTGACAATCAAAAACGAATCATCATCGCTAACTTGGCCGAGTGGTTAAGGCGCTGTGTTTAGGTTCTTATCAGAAACCAAACCCGCAGTGGGAAACCGCGGAGGTTCGAACCCTCCAGTTAGCATATAGCGATTCTCTTTTTGCATTTTTGCAGTCATTTTTTGAGCTTATTTTTCTTTCTCATTGGTTTGTGCTTCCGTTTGATATGAAAGTGGTCATGAATCCGAAGCTGAATGGAAGGTCTTGACATGTGGTAATACAACCCTTTCGGACCATGGACCCTCCCTCTCTGATGGAAGTGCATTCATTCAAACTATGAAGAAATGTGGTTCGCTAGCAAAAGAATCATCATCTCATAATTGATAGTACCAATTTATAGAAAGTGAGAAGCAACCTTCCATGCACCCCAAGTCGCACCAAACAACGCCGTCCACGACAAAAGGCCTTTCGCAATGAATATCCTCCTAACCATTTGAAACGTCTTCTTCTCATTCAATCTCGGAAACGGCTCATCAGGAACCTCCACACCCAAAAACTTGCAAAGCGGCTCCCATCCATCCTCAGCCTTAAACAGCAGCACCTCACGGTCGCGCTTCTTAGCCTCCGCAAGCATCCGCTCATAGTACACATTATAAGTCTTAGCGCTGAAGATATATTCCGTACCATACTCTTCTTTGCACTTCTTGATGCTCTCTTGATTAAGCGCATACCAAAGTCGATCCGTAGCCCAAAGCATACCGACCCACTTGAACCAAGGACTAAAGAAGAACCAAAAACTATCCTCAGCGCTCTTCGCCCAGACTTCAGGGTCAGGTCTCATATTGACTACTATTTTGGCGTCGGGGTAAATGTCCATCATGTCAGGCGTGAAGTAAACGACGGGAAGATCACAGATGGAGCGATGACCGTGGATAAGTTGGCGGACCATCTTTTGGCGTTTTTTGTCGTTTTTCTCGCGGAGGGTGTCGATGAAGAGTTGCATGCGGGATACGTGTGGGAGAATTTCTGCCATGTGCATGCAGGGTCCGAAACCGAGTTTTTCAAAGGCTGCTTGCATGGAGGATGTGGCTGCGCGTGGAAGACCGGCGCCGATGACCTGGAGGGGAACTGCCTCTGAGTTTGGGTCACCGAGACCACGGGAATCGGTGATGAAGCGCATGGTTACAGTCTGTGAGTTCTCAGTCACGATGTGGGTGAGAGAGTAGTCCTGGTCAAGGCGAGGTCATCTCATATATATCCCCGCATGGTGTCAAAGATTAAGCGCTCACGGGTCATCTTACCTACAATCGCCAAGCAACTAAGGCTAATTCCAGAGGGGATCGGGGTAAGATATAACCGATTAAAGATATTCAGTCATCGTTGCATGAAACTCCATTCGCTACGTGGTTAAGTGCTGACAAAAAGCGGCACAGCATGACTGGATGTAGCAGGTGGTGAGTGATACACTGGAAGATCCTTTGGAATCCACCACGAACCGTCTCACCTCCTTCAAGGCCCTAAGAGCTCTTCTTCAAGTACAGTTTCTGAAATTGAAGCTATAAAAAGGCCGGTGTGTAAGATGCATTGGAGATTTTGCGATTCCTGCTTTGCTCATTTGTAGTCGAGGCTGTCGAGCTGCCCCCAAAGGCATAATCCATGTCAGACCGGATAAATGCGAATCTTATAGGTGGTCTCAGCAACAGCTAGTCTAATTGGTTGGCTTGTAGAAATTCCTATATCTGAGTAAGCTTTTACTCTGTAGCCGCTGAGCTGTCGTTGTGCTCATCTGGTGAGAATGCCACGTTCCACTCTGCTGACATGTGAAAGCGAATTATCGACTGTTTATTGCGACGAGGATGGCCAGTAAAAGCACACACTGCCATGGTATGTGAATGACAACAGGACCACATGCCACACATGTCGTTGTTTTTGAGTTGGTTGTGGCTAAACATAGCTGTTTGTTTTAAGTCGAGAGCCTTCAGTTGGGTGTTACCCTGTACCAAGATTTCAGAATGGCGGCCAGCATTCATGATCTTTCCTCAATACTTGGCAGTCATAAACACTGACATATGATGTTTGATTCTTCCACATAATGTCGTTGTTAAATGAGACCAATTTGGGTGTTTGTCAATTGACGTAGGTCCATCATCTCAGGCTCGATGACGACAATGACATCATGACGATCGCATCCCTTCATCAAAGCATGCTATTTCTTCCACCACAGGAAAACATGCACGCGACATGATCCGCATCAGTCGCACATTCAGAAAACCACTATTAGAAACAGCAGTCTCAATTGCGCGACGCCAGACATTCTCAACACGCACATTTCTGAACCGAGGGTCATCGTCAGAGTCAGCCAAAATGAGTTGGATGGACAGTTGGAGTCGGCCGTCCAAATCCCAAGCAGTGCCAGCGCCTTTTTATCTACTGCCAGGAGGAGAAGCTACGCCCTACTGCCATTCATGCGGAAGAGTTATCAGTACCCGAAAGACTACAGCTACAGCGAACACCAATACGCCAGCTAAATACTGCTCTCATCGATGTCGCACTCAAAAGCCCGGAAAGCTAGACCGTGAGCTTGAGAAGGCATTTGTGAAATTACTAGGTGCGGAGGAGAGTGCAACTGCAGAGAAGAAGCATACGAAGGGAGCAGGGAAGCATAAGAAGGGCAAGAACAGTAAGGGCGATAATAGGATCTTGGTATCATGCAGTGCAGCGGAAGAACTCGTCTTTGGACCAAACCGGACATCGATGGAAGAAGAACACGAAGAAACTCACAGCGAAGATGAAACACCTCAAGCATCAGAGCCCGTCCAAGCACCGTCCGAGCCACGAACTTCTGAAGAAGACATCCCCCTCACAGACGATCTCAAAAATGACAATCAAATCGACGGCGACGTTTTGGCCCGCATGTCCGTCCGCAGCGGCACGCGCATCCGCCCAGCTCAAGCTGTGTCTGAAGTCAACGGCAGCGTAGGCGGCGAAAAGGGTCGCGCTGAACGAATTCACGAAACGGATGAGATGTTGGAGAAGCGTAGACAGGGACAGAAGAGAGCGAGGGAGAAGGAGATGACAAAGTGTGCTGCAAGACGGGGTGTTGTTTTTGGATTCGCTGTGGGTGAGGATGGTGAGAAGAAGATGTGTGAGGCTGTTATGTCGGGGAAGGTCGTTGAGCCGAGCTTTGCAAAGGGAGATTGGGCGATACGTTGGAGGGAGTAAGATGAAATCATCTAAAAGTTAGGCTGTCAAAATAAAGTAGTCTAAATGTTAGTCTAAAGTGATTATGTTGTTTCGTCTCTTATGCTACTGGCGACCAGGCGGCCAATTCTTCTGACCCTGACGAAACGGCACTGGAAGCCAAGATCTCTAGCCGAGTTACGCAGTCCAAACTTCGGGCCGACAAGAAAAGAGACGGATGTAGACATCCGACAAGTATGTTATCACAATCATGATGTATTTCCGCTATTCGGTTATCTTCCAAGAATTAGGGGCGGATCCATTTTCCAGGCTGGCCTGGCTCCGCTGGGCTTATCTCTTCAGGGGATGATAGCGCTGTGGAGTTGACGGTATTCAGTGGAGCGCTCCACCTGCCGTCAATATTTCAACGGGCAGTCGGAGATACAGAAACCTCGTACCATTCTTATCATGAAGTTGTTAAGAATCTGTGCTTCCGAGCTATATCGTGCACTATTGATTTAGTACGGAGGCACAAGAGATTGGCAGGTAAAATGGGCCTTGAATGGAGCGCTTTGGACTTAGGGTGCCTGAGCGCTGTAGATCCCCCATTCTGCCAAAACACATGGCGCAACAGGGTCATGCCATGGCCATACCCCCGAATCCATGGACCATGAGGTTACATGGCTGTATTAATAATTGCAAAATGACATCTTCACGTACGATTCCTCGCAGAAAGTCTAGAAGCATGCCCGGGGGAAATAAACCTGTCTTCTGTCGTGCAGGGTCCCTGTAATGGCTGCCACACTTTTTACAAAGCTGAACCTTTTAGCTGTGCCTGAAAATCAGGCGATCCTTTTAACGGCAAGGACAGAACGTGGAACATGCATCTCGCGAGTCAAGCTGGGAATGACCTCACAACGGCCAATACAGTAACCGAAGAGATAACAAAGCTACTCGAGGGTTTGAGCTATCACAGGTAGCTCAGTTGATAGCACAGCCAAGGCGTGTCAAGTCTGGGGTAATGGCGCTGTGCTAAGGTGGATACGGTAGGTGGTACCGCAGCCACTCGTGTCCCGGGAGGTTTTCCGCGAAGCCAACAGGAAACGTTTGAAGAGCGACCGTGGCGCCATATATATCCCCGAAGGATGATAGCGCAGCTTCATCTCCTGGTTGTACTGTAGATAAGGGTCAGGTTGTTGGTCAGTAAAGTTTACGCTAACATACGGATTATTCTTGAACCGAGACAGTTGGTTGGCGATTGACATCCTTGTTTATCACCTTGAAGCTGAGGCCAGCTCTTTGTACAGATGCAGTAGGTGCGTAGGACTGTTATACCACATAGAGTTTAGTTCTTTGTTCGAGGACAACCGGAGGACGGTACGCTTTATTACACGAAATCAATAGCTGATTCCGTGTAGTTTATGTACTTACTTGTACACCATTATCATATGAAAGACATCGCTTATAGGCGGTTGAGCTGGTTGGTGAAGCTGAGGCAGAAACGCCATTGACAGAACGAGCTTCCATTTACAGCATCGTACATTTTCAACCCCCCTGCACAAGTCAGCTATTGACGCCGCAAGCTGACAAGTGCCGATGTTCGAGAATTTCAAGAGAAGCATGGCTTGAAATTACAATGATAAGCAATCATCATTATTTGCATGTCTCGCAGCCATGATACATCTTCCGCTGACATATAACGCCCAGCCTTTTAGCACTGATACTCACACGAATTGACCTGGTCATCCAGGGGTCCAGCATCCATCGCTTCAAACTATAAATCAGAGGATGCGACTGGCTGTAGATGCTTAATAACGTGAACATCAAGGAACCATCCATTTGGGACCAGCTCGTAAGCGAGGAAGCCGCTAAGAATTCCTGCATCAGTAGTCAAATTACAGCTCTTATCAACTCACAAAAGACCGAGTACAGACTCGACTAGAGCCGACAGGCAATGGAAGCGCCAGATGACGCACTTGCATGGCTGAAAATAACAGTCATTTTCCTTGTTTCTTTGTCTGCATTTTTGTCGCACAGCATAACTCTGCCAAGATTTGGCTGAAAGAACTGAGTCATTTGTTCTGGAATAAAGAAACAGCCCCCCTTTTACCCCAGACCTTTGGGTCACATCAAGTATAGCCCCGTGCCCCGGATTCCGCTAGTACTCCAAGTGCCATGGTCGAGTACCTCCCTACCAGTGGGTACTCGTTCCTTTGTTAGACGACCCTTCCTTGTTCTTCTCAAAAGCATATCAATCCCCGTCCACACCCACGTCTTTCCTCTCCATGTGAACCATTCAGTTGGGATTCCTTGCCATTCATTTTTGTGCGTTTCTTTACAGCTTTTCCTCAAGTGCCACTGCCTTGCATGTCGCAGGATCAAGTCCTTCACCATGAGTCTCAAGTCAGACATCATCTGCGCCGTGGTCATTACTTGGCTAGCAGCCCTTCTGGCGCAGATCGCTCGTGTTTTTGCTCGTCGCATGACGAAGCAGCAATGGTGGTGGGATGATTACTTCTGTCTTGGCGCCTTTGTGAGTGTTCTCTGTGGAGACTTTAAACTGTGACTTACATATGTGTAGATCGTTGGTATAGGATACAATGTCGTGATGATCTACTGTAACTATTCCCGCCTGGCCCTGTCGATCATAATGCTAATTAAACTAGGGACCGAGAATTGGTACCTAGGCTCGACGATCCCTGATACCGTTACCGATGAAGAATATGACAACATCAACCTGAACGCGCGACTCATGCAGTTCCTCATCTCCAACACATACTCCTACTCGATCGGGTTCTCTAAACTGTCCATTCTTCTGTTCTACTGGCGCATTTTTAAACAATCCGCGATTCGAATTCCGATCCAGGTCCTCCTTTTCCTCAGCGCTTCATGGCTTATCCTTCGTACCTTTATGGTTATCTTCCATTGTATTCCTGTTCAGGCTTATTGGGATAAGAACATTGAGGGTGCTGTGTGTAAGATCAATGATGCACAGTTCTTTTTTGGGACTTGTCTTACGCATTTTGCTCTTGATGTTGTTATTTTGGCTTTGCCGATTATTGAAGTGTTTAAGCTTCGACTTCGCATGGGACAGAAGGTCGCCATTACTGCACTTTTTGTCATTGGTTTCATGTAAGTTGGGTTGTCGCTCATGCCAAGCTGTTCGCTAACAGGACAAGCGTCTGCCTTGCCTCGACATTTGTTGTCATCGAATCAATCAGATATGATGTTAACACAACTCAAATGCCACGCGATATGGCCAGAAACGACATGTGGGGTTGCGTCGAGATCAACATCGCCATCGTCTCCGGTAAGTCTCTCCTCTTTCCTCTGGATACCTCTTACTCACAATACCAGGTTGCTTCCCTCTCCTACGACCAATCTTCACCAAGATCCTCCCCAAGAGATTCCTCAGCTCCGCCGGAAGCAGCCACCCCATCAGCCGAACAACCAACGCCATCCGCCTCACCACCATCAACCGCACCATCAAAGAAAGGGAAGCAGACGACAACAGCTCCCAACACCAACTTGCAGATCCAGAACAAGGAATTCATGCACACTTTGAGATTGATAAGGAGGGGCCCAGGACTTATATCTCCAGCCGGACGACAGAGTCTCTGCACTCGAGGGAGCAGGATATGGCGGGCATTTATGTGCGGAATGATGTGGTACAGGAGGTTGAGGAATCGAGTCATACATACAAGTTGACGCGGTAGATCTCTTGAGTATATATGTAGTAGGCGTTTCTTTAGATATACCCCATTAGCACTTACCACTAGTAAGCAATACCAGTTTCAACGACTATCTTGTCTAAACTCGCGAAGGTCTTTCTAATACTCTGATGCATTACCAAATCCCATCAATTTTGAACGGGCGCCCACTCATGTGCCTTGCCATCTTCGTTCCATGTCACAGAGCTAACGTGCCGATCAGTGTAACAAGATCGATGTCTCACATGGACACGCTAGCTTAACAAGATTAACCTCATACGACTGTCGATCTCCCGTGGATCTTAATTAACAATAAAGGTCATGTCATTCAATTCATAATATCTACCAATCCTTTTCACAGAGGCTCAAGCAAGAACCCGAAAGTAACATCCTCAGTCTTAACCATCAAGTCCTCACGCACAGCCGGTCCACAAGCACCCGATCCCACACCAGCAACCTTGTGATCCAGTCTAATAAAGACAGCATCCTCCTCAAATAGATCAGGAGGATGCTTAGCGTCTTGGATAGTGGTATCTCTGTGGTTCGAAGCCAAAAAGCTAAAGTGTGCTCCGTCCAGACGCGTCGCGCGGAGACCAACACTGGGAGACTTGGAATCGCGGAGTGCGACCCAGCGGGTATCTTCTCTGTTTCCGTTTTCTTGGGGAACGTCATATGCGACTTGGAGGTCAGAGATGGACTCGACATTCCAGATGCCGACGCGTTGAGAGGTCTTCTTGTCAGGGTAGCTCTCTCCGGGTCCGCGACCGAGCCACTTGACGTGCTCGAGAGTCTTGCTTCCGTAGAGGTTGAGACCAATTCTGGGAACGTGGTCGGGAATAGAGCCTTGGGGAGATAGGCGAGTGACGTTGACAGTTAGTGCGCCGGTGAGATACACGGTGTACTCAATCTCGCAATCCCATCCCCAGGCAAGCACAGGAGGAGTGATGAACGTCTTTGATTTTAGCACCACCTTATCTGAGTTGGATGAGTCCACGGAAAAGGATCGAAGCTGTGACTCGAGTTGATCAACGCCGAAGCGCTGCCAGTATGGAACAGCACCGGGAACATCGTTGTCAGTCTTGGGTCTCCAGAAAGATGGGATGATGGCAGCTTTCGTCTTGGGATCGAAGTCAAGTACTGTCTTGCCGTTCGAGACCCAGCTCTTCAATGTACCATAAGCGCGGTTGAAGGTGAACTCAAAGTCCTTTCCTGTGACCGCCACGGTGGAGGTGTTTTCAGAAATGGATAGCTTGGCGGAGAGGGTGTTCGCGACGGAAGCGACGGAGACAGGCTTCTGAGGGACCTGGAGTTGGTGTTGAGACCAAGCGATCTCGTGGCCAGCGGGGGCCCAGGCCGTGGAGTGCTTAAGAGAGAGTGTGACGGTCAGGTAGACCTCGCTATCCTTGTTGTACTTCTTGGCGTCAACGGGGAGGGAAACGGATCGTGTCTCGCCAGCCGGGATGTCGGGAACATCGAAGGATCCAGAGTGAATGAGAGTAGATCTGCCACTTAGTTAGTACTTCCTTGCGCAGTATCTCATGGTGGACTTACTCTTGACCAAGCTGCTCAATCTTGTAAGAAGCAACCAAATAGTCCAAACCAGCAAAGTCTTGTCGGTTCTCAATTTTCAACTCGCCATCGGCAAACTCGAAACCAACAGGCTGAATGACCTTCTTGAACTCAACAAGACCAGGAGTAGGCTCATGCTGACTGTTCAACAGACCATCCATGACAAAGGTTCCATCGTTAGGTGTGTCGCCAAAGTCACCACCATAGGCGTAGTAGCCAGGACCCTCGTGGTCATCTTTCCACAGACCGTGGTTAGCCCACTCCCAGATGAAACCACCCTGGAGACGAGGGTAGTCGCGGAAGGCTTGCTCGTAGTCTTCCAACCAGCCAGGACCGTTACCCATAGCGTGGCCATACTCGCAGAGCACGATAGGCTTCTCGAACTTGCCGTCCTTGACACCCTCTTCCTTTGCGTACTTGATGAGGCGGTCGACGGTGGGGTACATGTAACTGTACATGTGTGTTGTCTCGGCATCCATATCACCCTCGTAGTGGATCAGTCGCGAGGGATCAGCCTTAGTGGCATACTCGAACATCGCCTTGTGGTTGTCACCGTAGAAAGCTTCGTTGCCGAAACTCCAGATAATAACACTAGCATGGTTCTTGTCACGGTTGAGAACAGCGTTGATACGGTCAAGGTAAGCCTCCTTCCACTCAGGGTTGTTAGAAGTGAACTGGGCAGCCGGTCCGAACGCAAGCTTCTTTCGCTCGCCGTAGTCCATCTCCTCAGGAATGTCCTGAGGTCGAGCAACAGCATCATAGAAACCGTGGCATTCGAGATCAGCCTCAGCCATGACCCACAGACCGTACTCGTCGCAGAGATCGAGGACACGAGGGTCGTGAGGTTGATGCGCGCAGCGAAGAGCGTTGATGTTGTGCTTCTTCATGATGAGGAGATCGCGCTTAGCAAACTCTAGAGGAACGGAGCGGCCCAGAAGAGGGTGGTGCTCGTGGCGGTTGACACCACGGAGGCGAATGCGCTTTCCGTTCACAGTCATGAGACCCTCCTTGAGCTCGACCTTGCGGAATCCGACGCGTTGCTGAACCTTGTGAAGAACAGTGTCTGAGCCTTCGGACTTGAGAGTGAGCTCGGCGGAATAAAGGTAGGGTGTTTCCGCAGTCCACTTCTGGGGGTTCTCGACATCGAGCTTCAAATCGACCTTCTTGGAGTTGCCGTCGATGGATGTCTTAGTAGAGCTAATGACAGCGCCGCCGTTCTTGGTAAGCTCGGAGAGCGTGAGCTCAAGAACTGCACCCTTCTCGGAGGAGATGTCGGCGGAGACAGTCAGTGTACCGTTCTTGTAGCTGGCGTCAAGATCAGGCTTGACGAAGAAGTCATCAATCCTGGCAGCGGGGAATGAGATGAGGTAGACATCTCGGAAGATTCCTGTTCCACGTTAGTACTTATTCTCGCTACTCTATCAGCTCAAACTCACCAGAAAGCCACCATTGGTCCTGGTCCTCGATATAAGTGGCGTCAGACCATTGGTAAACGCGCACAAACAGCTCATTCGCCTCTTCTCGGTTGACGAAAGCTGACACGTCGAATTCTGAAGGGTTTCTTGAGCCCTGGGCATATCCAACAAGACTGCCGTTCACAAAGACGTGATACGCGCTGTCGACACCATCGAAGCGCAATCTCAGCTGAGAGCTTGCGTCCCAGCCAGCCGGAATGTGGAATTCCCGACGGTACGTGCCCGTAGGGTTCTCAGTAGGCACATATGGCGGGCAGACGGGAATGGGATACTGAACGTTGGTGTACCATGGCTTTCCGTGCCCTTGGAGCTGCCAGTGGCCAGGAACCTGGATTTGTCCGTATGTGATGTCTTTTGAGCTGGGCTCAGGTGCCTCAATGGCTGTGGGAGCTAGAGAAAAGTCCCATGTTCCGTTGAGTGAGATTGAAGTCTCAGGAATATGGTATGAGCGGGTAGGAAGGGTGTTTCTCCTGAACACAGCTTGGTTGATGTAGTCTGGTCGAGAAGAGTCCTCCTGAAGAGGGATGCCTTTGATACCTCCACCCATTTTGACGTGAAGAAGATGACGAGAGTTTATTGAAAGAAAGCTCAATCTCAGGGACTTTCTCGAGCTTTATCTCTTGATATCGGCTCTACGCCATCGGTCAGCCCCGCATCGTGATACGTTTCTACAACCTGCTTTCCTGATCCCGCATACACGTGCTCCGGAGTGCTTCGGGGAACTTGGAATCCACTGACATCCATGATAGGTGCGGGTACATGGCTTGGTTGGTGATGATCTTGCCTGGTTGGATGGGTGAGCGAATGCGACTCAACAGATTGGGTTTAGTGGATTGGCCGAGGCAGCAGAGCGCGGGGAAACCGGAGCCGGGTGGGGAGACTGAAGACTTGCGGGAAGCCGAGAATGGAGAATCATTTTGCCGCGCTCTTATCAGCGATAAGTGATAAGATAGGAATAGACAGTGTCAGCGTAAAGTATACTGTCTTCTGCACTGTATGGCGATAAGATAATTGATAAGATAAGCGCTGTTTTCCTCGTTTCCAATTGTCACTGTCGCATTTCATGTCGATTGAACCTTGTTACGGCACGAATTAATGGAACATGAATAAGTTAATCAGGACCACCAAATATTCTGAAAAACAAATGATCTGTCCTGAGAGCTCGGAAGAAATCATTGCGTCATTTTTTGACGTCTCAAATGATGTTCTTTGACTCATTGAGCTCCGAGAAGCCACGTATCCTGACAGTGTTATGCTGGGTCTCGGGTAGGTTGCTTCCTGCTTCCTGCTTCCACCCGGCACGATCAGCAGAACGATTTCGCAATTAATTATACTGAAGACATAGCATGGCGATGTACAATAAGAAGTCCAAAGGCCTAATTCCGTAGGCTCTCGTATCAATGGAATCATCAGTTTGGTGGAACCAAGGACTTGTTCGTCTTCACAGTAGTACAGATGAACAGAGAATGAAGAAGTAATGACAGCTAGTTGGACACTTCCTAGAAAGGCTAAGCCAGAATAGGAAGCGGCCAATTTTTTCGTCAAGGTCTGCCTGCACCTTGCTCTTTGCACAAATGCAACTTGTTATCAAGAAACAATTGAGTTCATGTTGCGACTGATACAACAATAAAACATTTTTCACAAGGTCACTACCTAAGTATGATATCCGTACCGAAGTTACAAACATTCAATTCATCTGACAGCATCACAACAGTCTTCCAACTGCATCTGCTCTCAGCTCCATACCAGGCTCTCGTCTCCCCAGCACTAACTGCCCTGTAAGCTACCCACTAAAGCTCCCACCCCCGCTATCAAACCGTCAGCTCAGCACTACAACCAGTGTGGTCGTGAATGCGTTGGACCCGCCTGTCGCGTCGACGCGTTCCCGTCCTTACTCTGCCCACATCTTGCGACGGACCTCACACTCTCCAAACTTCAGATCCGGAAGCTCAGGACCACAGTACCTATCATGATCAAACCTCGAACTTGGGCCAACAAGAAGGTAACCATTCCACAGTCCAGACTTCCTCAGATCCAAGCACTGAGTTTTGCAAAGATCTTGTGGGTAGTTCTTCTTGATCTGCTCTTCGATAGCTCCGCGAATGGTGTCTCGCTCAGCTACTGTGTCGCAGGAGCCTTTGGTACTCTACTAACTGTCAGTATCCCGACGATGTATAATGGCTAGAGGGAGGGACGCACGTAGTATTTGTAGGCGATCTCGTCATCTCGACCAGCAGTTCCGACAACTGTGCCACAATGGTCACCGTACATCGGAGGGAGAATGACATCCTCACGGTTGCCGAATTGGTCGAGCACGAGCTCAACTAATGACTTTTACATATGTTAGCCCACTGAATGATGTGGCGGATGACAAAATAGGGTCTTACTTTGATAGGGATTGCGAGTGCACAACACACTACAATGCCAAACAGAACTTTCATCCATGTCTGGAATCATGTTAGTTGTGTCTCTCGTGGCAACAGACTTTTTTGTTAACTTACTCTCTTTTGTTTGGAGTCTGACTTTGAGGATTCTGTTTTCTGAACAGATTTACCATCACCAGTCGTGACGATAGTCGAAGGTCGGCCACGTCTAAAGTAGGCGCTAAGTAGGTAGAGGCTGATGAAAACGTTGAAAGCAGGTAGTCGACCATCATTGCCTGTCTTGTATGCGATCAGGTTTAATGTGACAAGAAGGAACGGGACGATGAAGGAGGTTGTGATGTCACTGAACATCCCGGGGGCAGGTGAGCTTGGGGAAGTAGTCGAGGTCATTTTGACAAACGCAAGAGTAGTCTTTGAGAGTGATGATTGATATTGTATAAACTGAGTGTTTGTTTAGATACAGAGGCTTAATTGATGAAAACTCATTCAGCTTTATAGTTCCATGTCGTATCTAGTATTCCAATGGCCACGTTGAGAATAAGCTGTATCAAGGCAGAAATGCAACAGATTAACGAATTCAAGCAATCGCGAAACCACCAGAATTTGATGGTGAGTCACACATGATATCGAGTGGGTGGTTGCTAACAAGAAAATAGAGATCTGGCTTTTTGAGGCTACGTGTTAGTTGATCTGGAAGGTTCATACTCCCAGGTAGGAAATGGCCGATCGTCATGGTCAGATCTCTGATCTGGCAAAGGTGTGTGCCTTTTCACATTTTAAAGATTTTGACAGGAAAAGACAAATGAGCATCATTGAACAACATATAATCTCTAGCCTACTATTTTCTTTTTCTTTGATTATTGGTTGCGTCATTCTGTCGAACATGATCTGTCCAAGACGATCTGAGATTGAAGCCCAAACAAAGTGTCTTTAGAAGTGGGAATTTCTGCCTGCTAAATGACCCAGTCACCCACAAATGCATATAAATATTAGGGACTGATCCACCATCTATCTGCCTTGTTACCGGACCTCAAACTCGCACCAAGACCCGTCAACATGATGATGCCCTGGTTCGTTTCCCATGAGGTCATTACCTCATTTTTCGTGCCCGTCACCATCATGGTAGTAAATATGATTACCTTTATGTCGTACACGTCCAGAGACAATCCTTTTCTTCCTACTATAAATATTATTGCCGGCTGGTATCTCGTCAGTCATTACTTCGAACATTCACCCGATTTACACGACACCAAAATCAAGGAGGCACAACAAGAACAAAGGAAGTTGCTGGCTAAAGTTTTGTTTTGGGTTTTCATATGCATTGGCCTATCAGTTCTGTTGCCGGTAAGATAACTGCCATCTGGATAGAGAGCGTTGCTAAAACGTCGACTGAAGGACTTCTACAAGTTTCTGGGCGTGCTTTACCATGATTACGTTAATAAATGGCCCGACGGACCCTGCTATTTCCCTTGCCGTGGTTTCAATGGACAGGCTGGCCCAGGTAATTCGATCTCATATACGTACTCCTCTCGCACAGACTGGGGAGGAAAAGACACAATGGACCTATGGACACTCGCGAAGCAGGTGCACGACTGTAACCCTGCAAATGAGAGGAAAGCTATCGCCCGTGCTGTCATCAACCATATTGGCAAATATGGAACGGAGCTCGACCGTACCCAATGTCTTGACTTGAGCGAGAGCGGTTCAGTGAATGGATATCTTATTATCGGTCCTACGGAAGGCTTTCGGTATAACATGGACTGCGGCCCGAAGTTTCTGGATACGATTGGGGGAATTGAAAATCTTAAATAGCCGCCAAATAGCTCAGTAAGAACCACCGCATGAGAGGTGATCGGAGCGAGTGAAATGCTGAAAGTTGAATTAGTGTAGAACTTAATAGCAGTCCCTAATATAACTATCCGCCTGCTGTATAAGCCACATACTCCGGTCCACGCTCGGTGAGTCTCCCCCAAACGACACGTCTCTCCAATTTCGGAACAACTTCTCCAGATGGCTTCCCACCAGTGTCGCACGCGTACCAATGAACTCTTTCAACGCGGGTATATGAGATGCAGCAAGTATGATAAGCATGGCACCAGACATACTAATTGTTGTTAGAATCAAAAGGTTTGAGGGGAGAGAAAACACTTACGATAGTGAACAGATCCACGTGTCGATAAGAACCGTTTGTGAAAAACCCCTAAGATCCAAAGCATGCAATAGACACGCGTCAAGACATAACTTGCACTTATTCATAACGTCCGGGATAGCAGGTGTGACAGCCGAAGTCGAAGTCCTCGTATCTTCATAGCTACTGCTCAGCATCCACATCAAATACGGTCGATAGATGACTCCCTTGCAGGTAAGATATCGTTGCCTTAGGAATCCTCCAGCAGCAGTAGCTACCTCTTCTGTATCGACACTGAACGAGAAGGAAGCTGGAAGTACATCGCGCCAGTCATCTAATTGGCGCTGGAGTTCGGCCACGATTCGAGGGAAGCGGGTGTGGTCGAATGCAGCACCTGTATCTCGCGCGTATAAGAGTTGGTGGACTCTATTCAGCAAGCGGCGCATGCTGATGCAGGCGAGGAAGTAGAGAGAAGATTCTTCTTCGACTATGTCGGATGTATGGGTGTTGTAGGAACTTGGGAGAGGAACAGAAGATTCGACTCGGGCGATGCCAGAAGGAGGACATGCTGATAGCTCGGCCATGTAGTCACTAAGCGACAGTTAACATGAGGATAAGAATCAGAATAGATAGTGCTTACCTTTCCAATATGTAGCAAGACCAAAATATTCTTCGAATCCGTTCTTCAGAGTCGGTATCGTGCTTGTTGGGGGGATATGACAGTAAAAGCATGCATCGAGTCGCCGTGGCGCTGAGGTATTCCCAAGCTTGAAGTGGTCTGACCAATGACGCGAAGTAAAGACTGGACGAGACGTTAGGCAGATACGAACGAAGCAAATGGCTGGACTTACGCAGTGAAGAAGAGACATTGAGTGCTCTGCGAATCGACCTGTAGGTGAACGACGTGAAGTTTCTTCAGCGCCAGTTGGAAATAAATATCTCCCAACTTCCTCTTCCTCAACCTTCTGTCCTTCTCACCAGCATCAGGCTCTGTCGTGAAGCGCATGTCCTCAGCAGCTTGACTCGCACAGCCCAGAGCCAACGTTAGCAAACAAAGGCATGAGTGTACCGTATCCTCAGCAGGCATCCCAGTTTGAAGTGTCGCCCGGATACTGCCAAGCTGTTCCTGCGACATGGAAGGATACCAAAAATTCACATTCCGCTCAAATGCTTCCAGCATTGAGGTGATGTCTTCCGAGTCAACGTAAGGATACATTGGATTTGCTGCGACACTCAAAGGTGGTCGTGATTGTTCGAGATAAAAGATTGACTCTCCATCGTGACGGAGAAGGGGAAAGACGTCGAAGTGAGGCCATTGGAGTATCGACTCAGTTGTGGAGGTGTGCATCGAGTCCAAGACTGCATTTTCGAAGTTATTGACATTCTCACGGTTATCTTGGCTGGTTGGTGTTTGGATGGCGTGGCTTTGACGACGGAGGTTGAGGTCTGGCGATGAGCCTGAGAAGGAGTTTGTGCGGTGTGTTTGGGGAGAGTTGATGGCTTGTTGTTGGCAGGCTATTTGGATATTGGCCGGCTGTGTAGCTTGGTCAGATCAGAACTGTCAAGAGATGTGAATATGCTCACAATAGTAGAGCGAAGCTCATGTAATGTCCTCTCAACTCTGAGGACACTCTCCAAGATCAAATCATTCTTACTCCTCCTAGATCCACGGTTACCACAATGCAACACAAGCTCAACAACCAATGAGACTCACGAATTCGCTTCAGATCCATATGTACAATCATGGCCGATCGCTGCACAAGTCGCGCAAGGATTATTCCCATCACACCTGCCAGCAATTAGCCAAGCTGTCAAATGAGGCTCTTGGGTCACTTACCTTGTTTTGCGGGTACGACAAGCATCACACTACAGGTCAGCTCCCAATCGAACAAGATCCTGAGTCAAACTTACTGCATGCGACGTCCTGAGTCGCTTTCGCGGCGGCCACTCAGACTCGTCAACAGCGTGTTCCATGGCGATGAAAGTGAGACGCAGGTTGGTTTGCTACCTTCTCCGGTACGGACCGCCGACGTGGGGATAATGAAGGAAGTGGGTGGATGATCTGATGGTTCGGGGAAGTTCGGCCCGGAGGGAATTGGGGTGTTTGATTGGAGCGGGAGAGGAACAGGAACTTTTACCCCAGCTTTTTAGAGGGGGGGATCGATTGGTTGCGGGGTTGGATTTAAGCTGTGGCCAAGGAACGGTGCAAAGCTTGATGGGCATGAGACCTCGGGACGGGCCAGGGTTGGAAAACATGCAGATCGGGGAATCAAGCCGAAGTCGCATTCTCGGCCGAGCTCAATTGACTACCGTACTTTACCGTACTTTGCTTGCGACAAGTTTCCAGTACCCTGTCAGCCTGTCAATTGAGTACATGTGCGTCTAAGAACATTTTGGGTCATTCAGTGTGGTCTGGATGGATTGAAACGTCGCTCATGGCGAGTCAATTATGTGATAGAGCATCTAGTGATTATCTACCAACAAACAAAAGTTGTTCTTGGTCTAGCGCGATCAGACAGTTGCAAGTTTCTCATCGCCCGCCACGTTCATAGTGTTCATGACAGTCTGCGCATCTCTCTTCTGCAGACTCTTCTTAACAGGGTTAGGAGCCTCAAACACCTCCGACAACTCCTCCAAAGTACGATCCTTGGTCTCAGGGAAGAAGAAGTAGATGATGACTGCCTCGAACAAATCCCAAAAGACAAACACAAGGTAAAAGTGGTATCCGATCTTCTCAAAAGCTGGACCACTGCTGTACTGGATAATAGTCGAGGCAACGGAACTAGCCAAGTTACCGACAGCAGTACCCTTGGCTCGGATGTCGGTGGACAGACATTCGGCGATGTAGGCGGATTGAAGAGGAGTCCAACCGAAGGAGAAGACGATTCCGAAGATGAAGATCATGGCGACTGTGGCGTTGGCGGCGGAGTCGTTGGAACGATCATCGAGAGAAAGCTTGCTGGTTCCAGTGATGACGGCGAAACAGCACGAGCAGAAGATGATGGAGTAGATCAGCAGGGGACGACGGCCAACGACATCAGTCATACGAGCACCGAGGATGGCGCCGAAGAAGCAGAGGATAGGGTTGATGCCGTTGAGAGCCAGGACCTTCTTTTCTTCGACAATTCCGGCGTTTTTCATCATAACGGGGAGATAGTAAGAGCTGTGACTGTTAGCCAATGATCGAAGTGATGATTTTGCTGGACTCACCTCAGACTGTTACCGCTGATCTGTCCAAAGACAGCCATACCCAAAACACCGATAAGTCGACGACGCGCACTGTGAGTGTTCCAGAGTCCACGGTAATCCCACCAAGACTTGTCAGTAGCATCAGCAGCAATCTGATTCGTCATCTCCTTGATCTGCAGAATGACCATGGGATGGTTCGGGTCTCCTTCACCATGGTACGTAGCAAGGACCTTGGCAGCATCCTCAACACGATCTTGAGCAATGAGCCATCGGGGAGACTCAGGGAGGAACATGACGCAGCAAACAACAATACCAGACGTAACCATTTGACACCAGATAGGAATTCGCCAGGCGATAGAGCTTTCCTCACCGAGGTAGCTGCATCCGTAGACAACCCAACTAGCGATGATACTGCCGATGTACCAAGTACAGTTGTATAGACCGGTAATGGTTCCGCGCCATGTGGGATGGGCCATCTCACTAACGTAGCAAGGTGCAGAAACACAGCAGAAGCTGACACCGAAGCCAAGAATGAAGCGACCGCCCAGGAATTGGCTTCGGCCCATGGATGTGGCTTGGACGCAGGTACCGATGATGACGACTGCGGCTCCGGTGAACATGCCCCAGCGACGGCCGAACATGTCGTTTACGGGGGCTGTGAAGAAGACGGCGGCGATGGAACCGATGTTGTACATGGCGAAGACGATACCGGTCGATGAACCTTCCTGGGACCTGGAGATTGTTAGCCAAGCCAAAACATCGTGTCGATTTCTACTCACATATTGAAGTAGTGCTGATACGCCTTCATACCATTGATACCTCCCATAACAGAGCCATCATATCCGTTCTAAAGCCTGTTAGCATTCAATTGACTTGCCAAGATACCAAGGGACTAACCAGACAGCCGCAGAGGTAAGCGCAAGCCAAGACGAGATACAGACGAAACATGGTAGGGGTCCATGGCGACAGCTTCTGAGTCTGAACATCATGCGCGACCTGCACGGCTACATGAGCATCGTGAATCTCAGTGCCGTGGTCCACAGCACCTTTCTCATCAGCCTTTGAGTCCATGGTCGTTCAATATTAAGACAAGAGAGACTTGGGAGAAAAAAAGCCAAGAGCAAGTCTGCAGATCACTCTCCACAAAGCCGGGAGGGGAGTCTTTATATAAGACATCTCGCTTGCATATAGGTCCTGTTCCAAGGTCGGGCCATGCAATACGGACCTTATTCCCAGACGGCATCCGCTGTCCGTCCGACGTCGCGTCGTTCCCCGGATTTGCAGTGGTCACCCCTCACCATGCATTGGGGAACGACCTTTTGTAGCGGTCAGGATTGGGTTTAGCTCGGTCTCTTCTGGGGGGCGTTTTCGGCTCCGGTTGCCCCGAGGGAAAAGCTGGGGTAAGCGATTGGTTCGGGTCTGGTAAGCTCAGGCTATTTGGGGTTGGATGTGCATTCAAGAAAGATGGTCGTATGTCGTTGGTTGACACGTGAGGTTGGGTAAGGTTAATTTGAATAAGCCCATGCATCAGGTGCGTGAGAAATTGAAGAGGACTGGGCTGACATGTGGATGTTGCTTCTTGTTGTTCACGGGGAACCGTGGCATGCGCACTAGAACTTGACGTGAGAGGCGAGAGCGGAGACATTGTTTCAATTGATCGTACGAGTAACGATGATGTTGGATGCATGGTAAAAATGGATACACTAGCCCTCTTAAAAGACTGAAAGGCTTGGCTCAGCCCTATGGGAGTTCATGCCAGACCTAGTCCTTCTTCTCTTCCGGCTTCTGCCCATAAACAACATAACTACACTGATTAGCAAAATTCCAAACTCTAGGAGACAAACTTACATCTTCCAATACCCATGAACCTTCGGATCCCTCAACTCCCTCCTGACATCAGCACAAAGCTTCAAAACCTCCTCCTTCGACCACCCCAACACCCTCGTAAAAAGCGCCAAGCTCACCCCCTCAAGCCCAACATCAAAGTTGACAAGGTTCCACTTCCCAAGCTCCTTGAGCTTGGCGTCCTTGGGCCAGCTGTTGGTAGGCCAGCGATAAATGGTCTCCACAACGTTCTGGAAGCCTGCCTTCTCGACGATGGATTTGTACTTGTCGCTTTCGCCGAGGGGGCGGCCGATTTTGCGGGAGCCTTGGATGAGACCTTCTTGCCATTTCATCAAGGGGGATGTGGCGGGGTCGAGGGTTGCGTCGTCGCAGAGGACGGGGATTTGGATGTCTTGGATCTCGTACCAGCCTCCTGGGCTGAGGCCTCTGGTGCTTGTGTAAGAGGGGTTTCTGTTTGAGAGGTGGGCTCTGGTGGAGGACTTACTCGTAGGCTTTGTGCGCCATAGCTTGAGGATCGCTGAAGCTGCCAGTCATCATGCGGGAGAAGATAAAGTCGAATGGTTTCTTCCAAGTCCAGTCCTTCTCGAGGTCGTCGATCTCGAAGGTACAGTTAGGAGGCACACTGATCGAAGTCAGCACATCTAGACCTATGCAGCCAGGGCTTGGACATACAAGGGAGGCTGAATCGGGCTCAGGTCAACACCAATCACCTGTCATGTCAGTTTCATCTGTCACATTCGTTCATGGACAACCAACCTCAGCAGCCGGATGCTCATCAGCTATAAAGGTCAGCCAGGTCTGTCACTTGGAACGACATACTTACCGAACTCCAAAGCCCAAAGACCTGTGCCAGTACCCATATCCAGCACTCTAGTGGCAGTATCGGCGCCAGGGTTAAGAGCTCTCTTTCCATCCAGCGTAATTAGGTACAGGTTGTCCTGTAGATCTAATCCCAATAAGCCATTTATCTTCATGCTCCTCGAGATTCTCACTCACCAAGTCTATCATTCTCAGCCTCGTAGAATAATTAGTTACAGCTCAGTTATGTGCTATGCTGAACTCACATCATCATTCGGGAACGCGTACTCTGGATGCGATTAGCTGATGGACTCTCAAAGTGCACCAATTACTCACTGCCTTCGCTGAGCTTGTGGTATGTACGTCCATTCTCTTGAGCGAACTGAAGGAGACTGGATCGAAGTGACGACGTTGAAGGGTCCTCCAGCGGCTATCAGATGTCAGCCTTGGAATGGTCCGATAATATCCTCCGAAACAACTCACAACCTCGAGAGCAGAGTCAAAGTCCGGGTCGGCGGCCTATCATTATCAGCACTCTTCTCAACACCAGGGACAGTTCCCCGTACAATTTGTTCTTGCATCTTGGGTCAATCAGTACAGTAAAATTAAAGCGCGCTTTCATTCAGGACGATGGAGAGGGGAAATGAGGATATTGCGTGGACAGTGCAGGTTCGCTTCTGCATGTAGAACAAGGGTTCGACGCATCCGATTTGACGTTGAAGTATCAATGGATCCTTGCGCTGCAGATTCTCGATGTACGACACCTGATATAGAAATGATCGCCTGTTCGCACCGTGGGCTTCCCATAGCTGCACGAACTGGCTTTTATAAGGGTTTATGTTTAATTGAATGAACCAGCTTACTTCAACCATGGCACCATTTAGATCAAAGAATAGACTTCATGATTGACAATCCAAGGAGTGACGTTTACAGAATTAGCCAAATGGCTGTATTACTTCTAAATCTACAGTATTCTAATTGTCGCTATGGCAGTTGGTGCAGTAATCCAAATGAATCTTGCACGAGTTCGACAAATAAATATTTCCACAACGACCAACATCCTCTCGATGATCCTCACGCCTAGAAAACAATTAGTATAAGTCATCAAACATCAGATCAAGGGGGTAAAACTTACAGCTTTTTGATGTCGCTGCCCTTCATTCCAATACCGTAGTCATCACAAGAGAATTGAACAATGCAGCTAGCCTTGCCGAAGGTCAGGGTCTTGAGAATACTGCCCATCTGCTCGTAACGGCCGGTGTACTTGTCATACACCTTGTCGTCCTCTAGTTGGTTGATGGCCTTGTCGCAAGCGCTGGAGAGGGCGTTGCGGACGTTCTTGTCACTGCTGCTACAGATGCTTGAACCGGAGCCGTTGGTGTCGGTCGCGGTGGGGACGGGAGTAGAGACGGTGGATGCCGGACCGAGACCGATGGTGTTGGTGATGGGTTGGCTCATAATCTTCCACTCACGGAGGGAGTACGATTGCCAGACGAGAACAGTGCCGGCATCAGTTTGGGTGTAAGGCTCGTTGAAGACGGTGGGTGTGGGAGCGGGAGGGGGAGTGGTATAGAGGCTCATGGGGAACTCGGTGTAAATGTCACAGGCGTAGGAAACCATTGGGGCAGTTGCGACGAGCTGCTTGCCGTCGCTGGTGGTCTCGCAGGCACAGTAGGGATTCTCGACACGGGGACCACCGTGGGGAACACAGGGATAGTAAGTGCGCTGGGTAGATGTTGTGGTTGTGGGAACCTCAGTACTTGAGATCATGGAGGTGATGGTGTCAGAGGAAGTGCCATCAGAAGTGGTGCCAGAGGATTCGTCAGAGGACTCGGTTGTGCGAGTCTTGGTGATGAGAGTGCTGGGGACGGAAGTGGTGTTTTCGGTATTAGCTTCAGTGGTAGACTCAGCAGGAGTAGTCTCCTCAGCCTTGGTCTCGCTGGTAGTCTCAGTTGACTCGGCGGTAGTGGTAGCTTCAGCGGTAGTCTCAATACCAGCAGATGTAGCATCACCCCAGTACTCATCCATAACCTCCTCAAATCTCGAGGCAGTGTCATCAGAGACGGGATCATTGAAGTTGTCAGGAATGTCAATGTCAGCCTCATCGATCTGCATCTCAACACCCTCTTCAACCTCAGCAGAGACGGTTGTAGTAGCAGTAGCTTGAGTGCCAGTAGCGCAGCTAGCGATCGTAGGACAATCACCGAACTCAGTGTGAGTAAGAGTTCCATCAGTGGTGAAGTAGGAGATGGTGCGTGTGCAATCCTCAATCTCAACAGCAGAGCATCCCTCGGTAGAGGTGGTAGTGGCTTCAGTGGACTTGGCGGTTGTCTGCTCAGTGGTGGACTTCTCCTCCTTCTTGGTAGACTGCTTGTCATCATCCTCATCCTCATCATTGTTTCCATCTTCGTTACCACCGGGACTGCCACCAGCGCCGCCGCCAGGAGGGCCGGGGATAGTGGGTGGAGGAGGGGGAATGATACCGGCGGGAAGGTTACCAGAGGGCTTCCAGAACCAACCACCGGGGAAGAGGACAATAGCAGCACCGCCATCATCAGTGGTGGTGGTAGTACCCGTGAAGTCGGAGAAGTCCTTGTCCTGCTCAGGGACGTAGGTCACGACAGCGCCGTTGGTGCCAGTGACAATGCCATCCTCGGTGGGTGATGGATCAGGGTTGGCTGTGGTCTGCTTGGGCTCATCGGGAGCGGAAGTTTGACCGGGCTGGTTGTCGGAAGAAGGAGCCTCGTCCGCATCCGTAGGCTTAGGGTCCGGACCATCTTGTGTAGGCTCGGCAGGCTCCTGAGACTGGGAAGTCTGCTCAGGCGCCTCGGGCTCGGAGCTCTCCTTGGGAGCCTCCTTCTCAGTAGTCTCTTGAGGGGCTTCCTCCTCAGTTGTAGGCTCCGCAGGAATGGGAGCAGACTCAGTGGAAAACTCTTGAGGCTTCTCCTCAGTGGTGGTCTCCTGTGTTGGAGGTTCTTGTGGCTGAGTGGTGGGCTCGGCAGGCAGAGAGACCTCAGCAGAAGTCTCGGTAGTGGGCTCAGAAGCGGGTTCCTCCTGGGTAGGTTCAACGGCTTCAGTTGAGCCGGAAGAAACTACAGGAGGCTGCTCGATGGCTTGGGATGTAGGCTCGGCAGACTGGGTCGACTCGGGGACGACAGGTGGGAGAACGTCTGTAGTACTCTCGACTATGGGCTGAGACTGCTCAGTTGAGGCATCCTGGGCAGGACCAGACTGTGCAGGCTCGGTGGGAGCTTCCACTGGGCCAGTGGTGGCATCAACAGTCTCGACAGACCCTGTGACAGTGTTGATGGGGATGCTGATGTCGGTGGGGGTGCCGACCTCAAGAGGCTGTGTCTCAGTGCTGGGAACAACAACTTCGGGTTGAGTCTCAGTAGAAGGTTGAGGGACATCTGCCGAAGCAGACTCAACAAGCGGAGTTGACTCAGGATTGGGGAACACAGCAAAGCCTGTGGACACCTCCTTGTCTGCTGAGGTAGGCTGGATCTCAACCTGAGCTTCCGAAGTCGCTGATGAAGCAGGACCTTCAACGTATGGCGCCGAAGTAGTCTCTGGTAAAGCGACCTCGGTAGAAGGAGCAGGCTCAACAATGGGAAAGCCAGCATCAGTGGAAGTCTCAGTGCCGGTGGTTGTGTCATAAGTAGATGTGGTGAAGTCTTGAGCAGAAACACCAGACAATCCTGTCGCCAAGCATAGCGCCAGAACGCGCAGCTTCCATGGCTGCTGCATTGTGAAAAGCAATTAAAGAATGAACGACTATACTGAAAAATGAACGAATGTGTGACTAGTACAGTCCAAATGAAAGAATGAATGGCTGGATGAATAGCCGTGATGGGAATCAGCTGGCGATACAGACCCTTTTCATGAAGTGCAAGCCCATCTACAGACTAAAGTTCCAGGGCTAGTGGATCACAATCTCTGGTGTAAGCCTTCTGAAACGTAGTGGAGACTGAAAATCAGCCTTGTTTCTGGGATGCAGACCCATATCGGGAACGTGCATTCGAATCCTACAATGAAACATGGTAATCTTGGACAGAGAGGCTTATTTTATCGTGTTGCATTCGTCTTACGCCTAATCAAATCCTTCGACGGGATATCCGTGGGCCGTTATTGCGCCTCAACGCTACGCGGTTGTGATAACACGGCAGATACGACTGTGCTAAGATGGACGATCGCAGGCTGTGTAGGTTTCTAATCTTAGGCTCTCATGCTTTCTGCCTTGTGTTTTCACCATTCTCATCCTGTGTAACGGCGTCATGAAGAAAAAACACAGAACAAGATTCACTGTTTTTGCTGTATCAATTGCAGTACTTGAGATGCACTGCCAACCGGAACTTTAACGGCTTCAACTCCCTTGTGAGGCACAGCAACCAACCAATCTGACTGATCGGCGATAAGCGAGATTCGTCAACAACCACCCGTCATCCTCCTCTTCCGTCGCGGAGCTCCTTCGGAGAATCAATCGTACGAAAGAACCATTGAAGGATTTCGGAGAAATGCTTGTTCGTTAATCATCCCATCAACTGCCAAGTTTCTTGCTCAATTGTGGAGGGTTGCACTATGCTTACGGGGAACGTGCATAGCATGCGTTCATCACAATTTACTGCAGGGGCGGGTAAGCCTCGAAGGATCAGATTAAGGGCCAAGCTTGTCAGCACCATCCATGTTGTAGCACGTCCCTATCCTCATTTGCCGACTTGACATGCGAAATATGAGAATACATACATGATGGAATTCCGTTACTTTTTTGCAGTGGCCATTCGCTCCTTCATTCGCGTTTTTGGTACGCATACACTCGTTTTTAGTCCATTTTTAGTCATTCTTTTCTAAAAATGCGTTTCTCAACGCTCTCACTCGCTGTCGCCAGTCTGTGGTCAGGCTCTGCGTTGGCGCTCCCTGATGCCTCTTTGGAGCCTTGGGATATTCACAGCAGCTGTGATGCCTACAAGGCTGACATCAAGGACGCTTTGACTCAGTCAATTGAACTCGCCGATGCAGCAAAGTCTTCTCTCGAATTCGTTATGAACAGGTATGTGCACCTTCAGAAGTTGTATCTCGAAGGGTTCTAATAGTCACCAATAGGATGCCCGACCAAAGAACCGATCCTGACGAGGCCGTCAAATGGCAGCGAATCGCCACGCATGTGCAGATGGCGTTTGGCTATAAGATTCCTGCTAAGCCCGGTCCCGGTGATAGGCGCTACACTGAGCGTCTTCGAGGTATGTTACACGGTCGTTATAGAAGAATTGCCCGTCGAGAGCATCAGAGACGAAATATTTAGACGACTTTATGCCAGCTTAGACTAGCATTTAGGCTACTTTATTTCGCCTCTTATGTTCTTAGAGGAGAGTTCATCTGTTATTTAGACAGGACTTAGTCTAACCTTAGACCAGACCTCTACGCCTCAGCAGTCAACGTCCTCCCAAGCAACAAGAATTCACCCGAAAAGGGTAACAACCCGACGCTCGCCGCGCGCCCGAACGCCAAGCCCGTCATTATCTGCGGCGAGTCTGCGTGGCAGTGGGTTGACGCTGACGACGAGCCGGAGCCCGGCATGGGCAAGGTTAAGGACCAACGCAACTTCAAGCAGGACTATGTTGGAGCCCTCTATTTCCAAGGTCGCTTCTCGTTCCGACGTACACAGACAAATACCTTTGGCGTGTGCTTCGGTAACCGCAAGGCTGTCATTTCTGCGCATGATGACTTGATCATGATTTGCGACGACATGCTTTCCGACGCCTTCCGAGCCCGTACGTCGCCTAGAGACTTCAAGGCTTCTGTTTCTTCGGGCACTGAGCTCAAAGACGGTCTTATTTCCTTCCACACGCAGCTGTGGCACGAGCTTTGTCATTGGTTCGGCGGCGTGACTCCGCAGCTCGAGCACAACATTCAGGACCACATTGCTGTTGATAAGAACGGGCAGGTCATGTACCAAGGAAAGGATGCCAGCGGCAATAAGATCATCCGAAAGTATGATTCCCCGCAGCCTCAATCGTATCTTGGTCCTAGAGGATTGAGAAAGCAGGGTGCTTACGGCATCGAATTGATGATGGAGCTTGCTATGACGCGTAAGAGGATTACAGGTAATTCGGGACCTGACAAGGCTACCACCAACGCCGATTCGATTATGATCTTTTCGATGATGATGTAAGTCTCTTCTAAATCTTTGCTTATTTTTACCTAAGCTTTATGATCTAACTTTTATTGTTTTTAGGTACAACGATCAGTGGGATTGGACAGCTTGGGGAAAAGCCCGTGATTTCACTCGTCTTAAGCAGAAGATGGGACTGAACCCGTAAATTTTAGCCCAAGGGATGAAACAATTTGACCATTGTAGATCATTTTAGACTAAGATTTAGGATACTTTATTCTGGCGCTCTAAACTTTAGATGATAATTTTTCTCTCCTCCCGAGGCGCCAGATACTGACGGCCGTTTCTTAACTTCTGAGTAGTGTTTGTTTCAAGTGACCGACTAACTGTAAGCTTCAGTGGGTAATTCTGTCTTACGTAACACAGCACGTGCCAGCAGTAGGAATAACAACCAGACAACTGTTCAATATACAAACTCAGCTTTCTTCCTTCCTACATCATAATTACCTTACTTTACAGAATGACATACAGCCCGTTAGAAGAGCCGCTTTCGCCACACTGGTGTACTTACTCGCCTACCCCCGTTGATGACAGGCCGTCACCGGATTGCTCACCTACCTCACCTGCATCGCCAGGTTACAGCATCACTACGCCGACATATGAGGGCTATTCGCCTGTTTCACCAGGTAAGATCCCCAGCTTGGTCGGCGGGAAAGGCTCTTTCAAAGCTTTACACCCATCGGGGTGTCATAAGAATCAGTGGTCAAGAGTTTGAAAGACGAAATAGTCTGGTCACTTTATGCAAGCTTAGGCGGGCATTTAGACTACTTTATTCTGGCACCCTAAAGCTTTTATAAACACTAATCGCTCCTCTAAGAATTCGATCAGATTTTGACAATTCTTAGTTCATCAAAGTATCGAGGCGCCCAGAAAAGAGATATTTGCCTCTAATTGGAAAGACTACGTTGAGAATATTCCTCGACTGCCACCACGCCCTCGCGCTCTGACACCCAATGGATTCCGAGAAAACGACACTCAACAGCAGAGACATGTTACTTCAACTCTCCAAAAATCGTCATGGTTTAAAATTCCTGCTAACCTGAGACGCGATATTCTGGTGTTGGCGTTTGGAGGTCGACGTCTGCACATGTGTTTGAAATGCGATGTACATCCGCCAAACACTTGGTATAGCTATGGCATGGCCTGTCGACATGTCCCGGCCGGCGAAAAGGGCCCTATGACTCGAGGCTTGCTTCAAGGTCCTTGGTCTGACGAATGTGATCTTCTTTACAGGAACCCCGATCCTGAAGCGGACTTTGAGTCTGTCGGTGTTATGGGATGGCTTCTCTCTTGTCGGCAAAAGTGAGTTCAATCATGTCACGATATCAGAAGAATCGGCTGCTGAGAGCATAAGAGACGAGATACTTTAGTCTCTTAGGCTCTTAGACAATTCTCCTCCCACCCCCCAGTTAGGTCTCTATATTCAGTCTCAGTCGCTAACTTGTCCTCTAGTTATGCCGAAACTATTGATATTTTGTATTCAAAGAATACCATCTTGATGTATGACGAGCCACTGTTGACCTATGCTGATCAACTGATCCTACCTCATCGTGCATCCCTCATCACCTCTCTCGAGGTGAAATGGCAGCCGGAGTCCGCTGAGGATTTCGGCGAGGCCTTTTTTAATCTGTTACAACAACCACGATTCCCAAACCTCAACCGTCTTTACATATCAGCACAGTTCATATGGCGTTATCATTCAAGCTGGTTTGACAAGATGTGTAGCCACATGGACAACCTCGTCAAAAGCAGGCCTGATCTAACAGAGTGTGCCATTGCGATACCTCACCAGGCATTTGATGATGTAGCGTCTGAATATGTCCAGAAGAAGGATAGTTGGAAGCGAGGCACCTACAGCGAGCTTTGGTACTCGGTGGATCGGACGGGTGGTCCGGAGGCTATAAGACTTCCGTATGTCAACAGCTACCCACATCCCCCGTTTCATTTGGGGCCAAATCCTGGGGCTGGATGGTGGCTTCTGGAAGGTACTGATGCGCCGCTATCTTGGAGATGGCCATCGAGCCCTCTTTATTACGGTAGTCCTGGATGGGAGGATTGGGAAGGATATCGGAGTAACTGAGGTACCCTGGAGACATGAGATGAAGGCGCATCGGGACTTTCCTATCAAGATGCATTTCTCATGACTCAAACAAGCACAGATCATCAGCTTGGCACGTTGTCAATTTGTCATTCGGATTAACGTTAATAATTTTATCTCCCGTTCCTGTCAAAGCGCTCAACCGTCCGCCTTAGCGACTAATGAGCGACATGCATTTGAGACATTCAGCTACGCAAACAAGCAAGCAGCTCGGTACCTCCAAAGTATCGGAGGTTTCTCTGCGGGCTGAAAAGTTCCTCGCTTGTAGATCAGCTGGAATGAAGAACCAATCGCAACGAATGATGATCAGGCCCAGGACGTTTAGCCACCAAACAGAGTTTCCCTTAGCGTTGTTGTCTGCTGGACTAGAGGCGGGAATTACACGGACGTTACGTCTTGCTGGCATAATTGCAGGCTCACCTTGTCGTCTCCTTTTTATTATTCTCAGTGATCGTGATCCAAATGTTAGACAGTTCATTTAGTGCTGAGACATGGAAAGGTTGAGACGGGGCGATCAAAGCGACGGGACATTTCTTAGCAGGCCCCGTCCCCCATCGCCCCCCCGCATCTCAATCTCCATCCCCCACGATAAGAGCCGCCGTTCTAGCGTAACATCAAAGCCCCTAAACCCGCATCATCGGCGTTTTTAGCGCTCGAACGTCGTAAGTTTCACTCGAGTCATTACGTTCTCTGCTGACTAGTCAAAGTGAGACATCACACCTTTGTGTCTCTCTTCTTTTCCCATCCCTTCTTTTCTTCCTTTTTTCTTCCTTTTTATTTCCCTTCCCCTTCCGCCGCCCCCGAGAGAGACAGCATCGCGACCATGCACGATGGACTATAGACCGGACGTCATCGCCTCGATTGCCGTTACCTTACCACTGGCCGTGCTGGTTCTTGTGCTGAGACTGGCGGCGAGACGTATGACGAGGGTGGGTTATGGCATTGACGATTGGTTGGCGGTTTTTGCTTTTGTACGTCAGCCACTTGATCTCGACGGTTTGTGTAGCTAATTGGCTTTTGATGTAGATTGGAGCCCTTGGATATTCGATAGAAAGCCTCGTCTGTACGCGCACCTCTCTTTATTCGCTGTCGCAATTGACTGACAATTATCCACTGCAGATCTCGACTATGGACTTGGTATACCGCTTAAAGATGGCCCGTCGCACCTCACCGAAGACGAACGACTCGAACGATCATACATATTCACCTTCATCTCCAGTTTGACTTACACGATAGCCTGCGGCTTCGCAAAGCTCGCCATCTTGACATTTTATTGGCGCCTCTTCAAATACTCCCATTCCCGAATCGCGATACAAGTCGTTCTGGTCCTCTGCATAGCCTGGTTCATCGTCCGAATGTTCCTCTTGACAATGCAATGTCAACCTACTTCCGCCTACTGGGACATCGATCGCCGAGATACCCATTGCAATGTTCCTAGTTCGACATACTTTTTCTCGACCGGGTTGACGCATTTAATCTTGGACATTATCATTCTTCTGCTTCCACTGGTGGAAGTGTATAGGATGCATTTACCTATCGGCCAGAAGATTGCCGTGATGGCGTTATTTGGCTTTGGTGCTCTGTGTGTTTCCTGCTCTGGTAATGATGTGATATGTTGAGCTAATATGTGAAACAGTGTTGTCATTTTGTCTGTATTTGTTATCTATGATGCGTTCAACTTTGATGGCAGTTCAAGAGAAATCGCCTTGAAAATGGGATATCACAGCGCTCTAGCCGCAGCTGAAACCAACCTCGCTAATGTCACGAGTATGCTCTACCGACCTTTCGTCATAAACCTTGTCTAACAATCATCAGTCTCATTACCGATGCTACGCCCCATCTTCCGCACAATAATACCTTCATCATTCCTCTCCTCTCACCGAAGCAAGCGCGCAGTCCTAGACTCAGTACTAGCAAATGAATACGGCATGAAAGGTAGCCGCGAGACAAAGGTTTCCAACCAAAACGCCTCAAGTTCGATTTGCGAATTCGCGGTGCAGGATGATGTACCTGCCGGTTACGATCTTGAAGCTTCACATCCAGGATGGGGCTGGGGAACGGAGATAACGATTTCTAGCCCTTGGAGACACCGGACGCCGCCGCCTACAGTTAACGAGGGGTTGAGTGGGATACAGATTTCGGAGGAGACGACAGTTCATGTACAAAGACTAGGTGAACCGGTGGAAGATATGCCTAGCTTGGAGGAAATGGAAACTCCAAAGTAAACTAATACATAATATGAACCTCACATCAGAGTAATCGCTCGTCAAGCAGAAAAGGTGTGCGTAAAGTGATAAGTTTATTCAGTCTTATATGGATTCGTCAAGCAGCTCTTCTGATGCCCTAAGCGTTAAGATCATAGCTTTGAGCCAACTGACGGCCCACAGGCACATCCTGGCTCCTCCTTCTTAGTCTCGACAAGCGTGCTCTGATTCACAGTCTGCTCACTCGGCGGCACATCCAACGCAGGATTCTTGGTAAAGAAGTTCACAGGCTTAAGATGCACCTTGAGAATCTCAACCGGCATAACAGGAAAGTCCTCAATGCGCGGAATGTGATTTATGCCAAACTGTACCCAAACCACAATATCAGACTCCGGCGTAAGCGTCTCATTCCTCTCCGCCCAGCTTCTCACACCAGTGCCGCCACGCGATTGGTTAGTGTACCAACCGCCCGCGTAGAGCTCGCGGTCACGATGTGTGGTGACATAAATGTTATGATCCGCAAATTCAGCGCGTTTGTGCAAGAAGCTGTCTTCGTCACCCATGTGCTTCTGGAACGGTGGGGCTTGGATTTTGTAGCTAACGGGTTTGCCGTTGATGGGGTTGAGGGAGTTGGGATTTGTGATTTTGTAGACACGGCTGAGATCGTAGTCGATATCGAGACCGGATGTTTTGTCGATAGTCTTTTCGACGACTTCGTAGCCGCTTCCGTGTGGGTTTCGTTGAGGATCGCGAGGGATCTTGTGGGCTTCTGTGTAGGTGAGTTGATTGGTGTGGCCGTCGATCATGGGGTCTACTCGGAGAGAAAAGATGTGTTGATGGACGCCTGCGAGAACACCGGGGTGAACGACTGTACCGAAAGGTACGCCAACCTTGTCTAGTTCGTGGTCGATGGGTTGGGTTGATAGGATGCCTGTTGCTCGGACTTCGTATGTGACTTCTCCCGCTTGGTTGAAGATGAACATGAGGATGTACTCATAGTTGGACACGGTGATAATAGACTGGAGCACGAGCTCTCGTGAGCGAACAATCGCGGCTCTGCCGGTTCTGTAGTTGGTGTGCTTCCAGCCAATACCGGCGTCTTGCTCGTGGATGCAAATCACGTTCTCCATTGGCAGTGCATTTCCCTTGTCGTCGCAGATGACACCGCTCAGATACTGAATGCTGCCGAGACAGTCACATCCAAGTTTGAGGTTATTGGCGGTAGCCCCAGCACCGGCATCGCCCAGGTCGAAGGCTGACTTTTTGTGGAAGGGATGTCGTGGATCACCGTATGGTACACTCATGTCAGACAGGGATAGTCTGTAGAAGAGTGGGCGTCTATCGTATTTGACGTTGTATAGCACCATTCCCTCACGCTGGTTGAAACCTGCATAACTGTTAGCACCGCGAACGGAGTGGTCAACGTGGGCCGTCACATACCAACGAAGAAGTTCCACTTCTGCCACGAAAGAACATTTCCAGTCTCGCCAACCGGTGTAACAAAGAAGCTGGGTCCCTCGGGCTGGTTGACATGAAGTGGCTTAAGATCCTTTCGCAGCTCCTGAGTCTCTGGGATGTACTCATTCGCGGGCTTTGGCTGATAAGCTGTCAAAGGCTTGACAGTGGCATCGGCGCCAGTAGGTAGAACATCGACGCGGACCACGCTGTAGTTAACGCATTCGATGACTGGCGAAACGGGAAGAGGAAAGGCGTAGTGATTCGAGTCAGCTTCGCTAGAGTTGGCAGGATCGCGCATGTAGAGAAAGACCTGATACATGCGATCGTCGTCCTCGATTCCATCAGATCCTACGGATGTCAGTTCCTGAGTCTCTGTCATAAGTAGTAAGCTCACCATAGATCCACGGATCAGCGCAAACAACCGTTCCCTCTGGAAGTTTCAGCTTCTCCAACTCAGCCAAAACCTTGGGATCCTTCAGCGCAATCTTCTCAACCTCCTGAACCTCATCGTAAACCGCATTGGCATGAACATTCGGTCCAAGCTTGACGTTGTTTTCAATTTGTCCTGTCGTCAAGTTGACGATCGCCTCGTGCAGATTGGCCTAACTCAAGTCAGTCAGATTCACCTGTCCCGCAGGATGAGCTTACCGTTCCGCGAACGTAGTAGCACACAAAGACCCGTCGCTCCAGTGGTGAAAGAGTCTTGCCGCTGTCCAAAGCCTGGAGATATGGGGCAAGCTTCTCCTTTGGTGGTTCGCTAAGTGTTATGGCCTTGAATGATAGCGAAACAGATTGTGGCCACACGCTTTCGATCAGACGAGCAGTTGATTGGATCTCGTCGCCCGTTAGAGGGCAAAGCGGGTGAGGAACCGAAGCCATGGCGTATACTATAACAAACCAGAAAGTGAGTTGTTGAAACGAAGAGATAACAATGCGCTGTTTCCAAGCTTATTTATCTCCGTCGGTTTTGAGCGGAGTAGTATTGATACCCCAGAACAGACATGAATCACGGCCAACGTCTTCTCCAAAAATTACCGTCTTGGGGAATAATCGACCCATGTCTGACTAGCCATCCCAGGAAAGGCGCCGACTTGTCAACTTCATGATGATGTGAGAGAGATGCTAATTGGAAGGGAACTTTGTCCCCGGTTCCGAGGCGAGACCTTATCGTAATTCTGATCTGAATCCCTGTCATTGATGACAGAGGGGTTTTATACCCCGCGATAACCGGATGTTGGAGGGCCTGAGAGCCTATCTGCACACTTTATTGAGCAGAGTGAATAAGTGAATGTCTGTTTGTAGACTGAATCCAGACTTTGTATTCAAAATGCATGTTTCTAATTAGGAATATAGAATATATGCCATTATCCTAGACATCCCCTTGGGCGGCACATACCTGCCCTACTTTCAAGCAGCTCTTTCTACGTGAATGTTCCAGGCGCCGGCCCAAAAGTCCCTCCATCTGGAAGCTTGAGTCTCGTACAAGCATTCGCCTCACAACCACTATCAGCGTCATTTCCAATCCAGTTAATCGAAGCCCCATGATAGCTAACAGCAAAGAAAATCACCACTCCAGCAAGTGCAATTCCAGTCTGCCACGCCGCCGAAAGGACATAGTTGTACTTGGACCAAAAGGAAAGATATCTCTTCCTGACGATAACCCAAGAGATCCAACCCGGGATAACAGCCGGCCAAATGTACGCCAGGTTATACGGCGACCAGATATGACCACCGCTGAAAATGACCACGGGGTGAAGCTTGGTGAGGAAGTGAGTTTTAGGGAGTTTGCGAGTGGCGTAGTAGTATAACACAGGAAACACCAAGCCAACAGGAAATGCTGCGAGAAGAGCGGTGTACATCCCTCCTTTACCAAAGACGCGTTGTGGTGCGAGGGAGCCGAAGAGAACGGCTGCTGTGAAGTACGATTCGACGCCGGGGCAGGTGAAGCGGTCTTTTTGGCCCGCTTCGCAGATGTTGGGGATCATGCGGATCTGGAAATTCATGACAGCTGTGCAGACGAAAGCGGAGACGATAGCTGGTGTGTTGTCAGTTGATGTCTGTGCGATAGGACTTTCGGAACTTACTCGCGATCGTTTGGCACCAGAAGGTTTGACGTTGGGGGATCTTCAGGTAGTGGCCCAGTTTCAGGTCGTTGGCGAAGTCGAGAGCGTGAGCTACAGTAACGTAGCCAAAGCCCTTGAAGAAGTTCATCTGACTCTATCAGTATGGAGAACCGTATTCTTGAAGAACTAGATTACTTACCGCCAACGCATTACCTGGCTGCCATGCTCCTCCAATAAACTCAGCCAACACGTTGAACTCAACTTCGATACCAGTAGTAGCGAAGATGATTCCCGTAGGTATGGTGAAGATCAGAGCAAGAGCAAGACCGAAGAAGACGGTACCAACGCTCGTGTTGGTAGGCCAACCTGCGACAGCTGCAACACCGAATGCAACTCCTGCAACCTGCATCCTATTAGTTGAGCCCTTCGGCGACCAGATCCTGTACTCACGTTCAGAATCATGTACCACCACTCGGGAACTTCTTTGTAGCTGTCCATGAGTCTAGTATGAATATCCTTGAACTCGCTGGTCTTGCTATTCTTCTTGAAGCTTTCGATCAGAGACCTGAAGCCGAGCTTGATGTCGTGCCAGTGGTAAAGAAGAGCGTAGGAGATCACTGCGCTATACACAGCGAAGAAGTAGATACTGTGGCCAGTTAGTTCTGTAGTACTTCCAAGGCAAAGGTTAACTTACTAATATGTAAGAGATGAAGCAGTGATATAGACTGGACTATAAGCATGATACTTCTCCACATCCAACAAGCCGCGGCTATCCAGAATCGAAGAGACATTGTACTTGGCACCCGTGTTATCGAACATGGTATTCGTGTTGATAGGCAAGTATCCCGTATTGAACGTATTGTTCCAGTACAGCCCAATGATGGTGATGCCACCTAGAACCGCACCAAGAAACATATTGAAGGTGACATGGAACGGAACCAAGAGAGGATCGGTGTAGTAAGTAGCGACGTTCCAATCGAAGGTCGGCAATGGGTTGAAGCCCAGACCTTTAGAGACGCCGGTGATAGCTGCAAGTGTGAAGTTGAACGGTGCGATCCAGGCGATCCAGTTGAAGATGGATAAGGCTTTGATGATGAGGTTGGGGAGCCAGAACCATACAAACATAGCGCTGCAGGAAATGAAAAAGAAGCGAAATCGGGACATGTTGTAGATCTTTTTGAAAGGTCCGAGGACGCCAGCGTTACCAGAATCTGCGCTCGAGTTAGTAAATGGTGGAATGACCGCGGTAAGGTATTTGACTTACCACTATGCAGACTTTGGTTGAGAGCAATCGTTGCTAGCGATCGAGGCCAGATGCAGAATGACGGATACACCAGGAATCGACGCACAAGACCCGCAAGACCGAATCCAAGCAGGTTCATAGATAACTATTCCCATTAGCCACATCCTCATGTCTCAAGAGAGAGTTACTGACCGCGAGACAAATCTGGAAGCCAAAGTCCGCCGCAAAAGGAAGATCAAAATACTTCTTCAACCAACTCGTAAAGATAATATATCTCGAATGCGGCAGACTCGACGAAACATTCGCCATGATCGAAATAAGCATATGCTCCTTCTGCGTGAACTTGCCAGGGTTAAGCTTGACCCTCTCTCCAAAACAGCCAAACTCGCCAACAGGCATCCATTTCTCCCACGCTCGGCCAAGAGGGAAGGAGAGCAATTGGATAACCGGCGCTTCAAGACGAATTGTAGGCTGGCGCACGGAGAAGAGCTGGTTCACGGAACTCTGCACGATGACGAAGAAAAGGCCGATTGTCCACGCGCGAATTGTACCTGCTGGTGTGGAGGGGTCGTCTTTGTTGCTTACTACGGCGCGGACTTCTGCGTAGGGGGAGTTGATAGTGAGGAGGGAAATTTCGGTCTTGATGTTTGAGATGGCTTCTTCGTGTTTGTCGGGATTTTCAAAGAGGGCCTCGTTCTTGAGAAAGTCTTGTAGGCGAATGATGGACTGGGTGCCGAAATTGGGGTCGTGTTCGTGGAAATGGACGAGTGTTTCCGCGAGCTGTAACTGTCAGTACAATACCATGGAGGTTCATCGGTATGTCTCACGTTCTTAGCCTCATCCAGATCTAGTGTGCGGGAATGCTCTTCGGCCTCGATGACCTCCTCTACTGTTGCGCCGAGGAGCTGCGCCTGCTCCTTTATTGACTCATCGTTAAGGGAGCGTCTTTCCGCTGTGACTGTGTCCTCCACGGGACTCTTCTTAGAAGTGTCACTCATGGTTCCAAGCTCCAAGACTTGGTTTCCTGGATGTGTTTCCATCTCGGATAGAGGGAATCGTTGTTATAAGTCTTGTTCGTGGTCCTGCGGCGCTTTATCGGACGATAGCGATCACGACAGCGTTACCTTCGATCGCGTTTGGTTTGAAATGGATACTTTCAAGAACTATGACACAAACTTTGACCGATCGGATCCATCAGCCAGGGTTGAGAGATGGTAATCGTTCGCGATTTGGGCCGATATGGATGGGGCCGTATGCATGCAAGTTGTTCCGTGATCCCAAATATGAGAATAAAACATGTCGCGTCAGATCTGAGTTGTGTTGTCGCGCTATAGGGCTTGAAAGCGCCATTACGAACTCAAAGTAGTTGTTTTTAATCTTCGACATTCTTTGGAATCACTTCTGTATCAACTATATCCTCTGTCTGCAAATGAAAATTCGACTTGTATAGCATGCGGAAATCAAATTGCGTGCTTGGAAAGTGGATGCTTTCTTGTCGTCGTGCCGTATCTGCCTCCAGTGTATAAGCTTTCGCGAAATGACGACTTCGAATCCCTGCAGCGAGTGATAAAAAAGATCATGTTTTTTTTTTTTTCTTTTTTTCTTTTGTGGTATTTATTTTACGTATGAGGCTGCGGCTGAGGGTTCAATGATGGAAGACTTTAGAAAGTAAAGACGAAACCATATTCACCAATGACTCGCGCGACGGTGGTTCAAAAACTGATTTAAGATGTCGTAGAACCATAATAATCTTCCAATTTGAAATGGCAAAATGTTGTTGAAGCAAAAAATGAGGTTCTGCCCGGGCTCGAACCGGGGACCTTCTCGGTGTTAACGAGATGTCATGACCAACTAGACCACAGTACCAAGCTGTTTTTGTTGGCAAGGTTTTCTCTATTTGTACACATAGAGTACGTAATCTTGCAATGCTCATATCGTCCGCTGACTCTGGGTTACATGGTCTGAGTATACCGTATAAAAGCGACAGGATCACAAACTGTAGTATTCTCAAATTATCAGTCATCAACTTCAACAGCTTTACGACCACAGAGCATGAGTCCACTGAATATCGCGGTTAGCATGACTAATCACTCTTACACCTCGAGTTACCCTGTACCTCTCTAGACTGTTACCGAAATATCGTTTTTGACTCGATGTGCGAGACCAGGACATGAAAGAAATAGATTTACATTTTCTGAAAATGCGCAATCATAGCATCTACAGAGTTTGTTGGAAACCCGGGTAGGGCAATGATGCTATTCACGAGAGTGTCCGATAGTGTGTAGTTTGGTCATCGTTCAATTGCCAACATCAAGACCAAACTTCAAAAACGAAAAAGTAACTCCAATTGATGACAGTGACTGAGGTATCTGCGCTAATAAATCCAAGATGATAATATTTTCGTGTGCCCAAGAACGCCATTTTGACAATAAAACTTCAGTAGCCAGCCGTAGTAGTCTTCACAAAATGCCCTTCCCAAATCCTGCGCCGGGGGTATAGAAACCATTTTGCCTCATCACTCACGTAAACCCATAAGATAAAACATACAGTTCCAAAGAAAGAACAAAGAAGAATAGTGCCGTTGTCGTCACGAGCCAGGGTTGGTTGTGTGTGGTGGTTTAGAAGACGTGAGAAACTCTGTCGGCATCCCTTTGCACAAGGAGAGACCGGCCTCGTGATTCACGTTTGGCGAAAAGAAGACCACATACGTTGCAGAGTGTATGTGAGCCGAAGGGTCCTTCGCGCCACATGGGTGTTTCTTTGGTGAAGCATGAAGTACAACAGGGACTTGGTTCAAGGGATCTGGGAGACCTCTGTGGCTGGTTAGCCGGGATGTCTTATCTTTGACAGGGAATATCTTACCGAATGACGTCTAAGTCTATTCCGCCACGTGCGCGCTTCATAGGTATCTCTCATACTCGCCCTTGTAGAACGAGATCTAATTGAACGCGCCGACGCGGCAGCTGATCGCAGAGAAGACGCGCGCGAACCAGCCTTCAACTGCTCGCGATTGCTCTCAGGCTTGACTGCCAAGGGGCTGGCAATAGCTGTGTTCTGAAACAGGACGACTTCACATAGCGGTCGTCCGGTATGCTGGACATCTTGAGCGCTGTGTCGGATCTAAGACGGGATTAGCCCGGGCTCGGAGGAATAAAGTTGCGATGGGAAATCTTACTCTGTGGCTGGGTCCCGGAGGTCCCCGAGCAAATGTGCATCTTCGGGGCGGAAAAATGCTCGACTCCGAATAATCAGCGCGACAAGGATGAGCGCGTTCGCGTCTCCTGCGGATCAAAGCAGGATTGCTCGTTTTGGTGAGGTTCGCTTGCGCTGGTTTGATCATCGTTGTAAATTTGATTGAATCGATGAATGAACTGGAAATCCGATCTTCAGAGCAAAGGGAGAACCTTGGGATCGAGCCTCTTCTAATACCCCCTCCCACCCCCTCTTTTGTTGCGCTGCGGCGGCGCTGCTAGGCCACTTTCGCCCCAGAGGACCCTTGTAGATCACTGCGCTATTGGTGCAGGGTCCCTGAATCAGGGTCCATTCGCGGAGACCGGAGCAAAGCTACCGCATGAGCTGAGGTTGTGAGATTGGTCTGTTGAGTTTGTTTTGATGGAAAAGCACGGCATGGCACGTTTTTAGAACATCGGGGATAAGGAAAGCCGTGTTTTTCACAATCCAGTTCCATCTGAGTTTTCACCAGCACTGTGCTTATGGTCTTGCCCTTAGAACTCAACAGTATTGCTTCTTTTACTGTACGATCTGAGACATCAGATCGTCTCATGTTCACTGTTCCTCGCAGCAGAATTGGCCTGATAGATAAGGCTGTATTACTAGCTCCTTGCATAAAGACAGCCGTTCCTATGCCCGTGTCTCTCACCCCAGACGAACAGAACAGCAGTTTTGCCTTTTGTCACATCGCTTAGAAATTAAACCGCACATGACTGCTGCAGCCTTCATTGCCGACGCGTCAGCTGCGATTACTCAACTCCTTGCACAGGCCGGGCCTTCATTGGCACAAAGAATATGGCTGAGTTTTCATCTGCGACACAGTGTATCGCGGCGTGGGGGGCTGGTGAACGCCAATCTGAGAGATGTTTGGTTTTGCAACTGCCGACCCTCTTATTTTGGTTCTTCGCCCCTCTGCAATCTCTGAAAGACCTGGAGGCGTTGTTGAGTGACACTGTGTGATTCAGGCGACTTGGCTGGGTGAGCGGGAGGACACTTGCCGGATGCCAATTGAGGGGTTGAAGCCATGAGGCGTAGTGAGTGGCCAAACGTACTGGAACACATTAACCTCGAACGGCAAAACTCCCCGCTAAAGTTAATTGGGTTTCCTAAGGGTTCAAACTGCGAACTCCCACTTGGTGTTTGCTAGCTTGTGTGTGCCTGCATCTCGACGGCAATTCGCCCCCAGGGTTCCTCTCTTAATTGGCCAATGCTCTAAAGCTTTGACGTCCACAGCGGACGAGGTCCGTTGACACGATTGAAGAATGTCATTGGATTGTCTCGGATTATAGTGGTGAAGATCGTGCCGTAAGTTGATTGAACTGTCGGATTTTATCGCAGTCCGAAAAAAGAAAGTCAGTGCAATCACCGGCAGTTCAAACTCGACATGCGGAGGTCCGACCTCACTTTGAAGCTTGTCGCGAATGGCGTTGGTGGCAGAAGTCACACGAGCGGAGCTCCGACCTTGCCCAACGACTTCACGATGATGCACTTATGGTCGGCATTTGTTCAATATTGATGAAAATGCCGTATGTATTCCTAATAGGTTGTCTCTGTTCCTAACCCAAATGCGCCTGGTGTATTCGTTGAACCGTGACGCTGTAACGCTGCAAAATGTAGAAATAATTGTTGCGCCTGATGCTTTTCTTGAGGCGCCGACATTCATTTGCCCAGTCAATTTCTCAACTGAAGCGCGTGTCTGTCATGAATGTCGTGAAGACTCATCCGAGATTGTATCGCGAGTCCCTCGACTGTACTCCCTGGAAAGCATCAATGGCTTCCCCTTCGATTCCCTCTTGGCATAGATCAATCCGCAAACATTGCAAAGACTGCCAGGCCCTTCAGGTCCTTTACGCCACATAGGAGTATCCGTCTCATTGCAAAAAGTGCACGAGGGTTGTGATCTCGAACCCTTTGCCGGTTCTGACTTTGCATGCAGAGAGTAAATCGTTTCTCGGCCAGAAGTGGACCTTTCGCTAAAACATGCTCGGCTGTTGTTGTGTTTCCTCTTCAAACTAATCTTTGGCCTTTCGGCATGAAGTTTCTGAGGCTTTCGCGAATCTGAATATGGTTTGATATGAAGGTGTACTTCATACGTCTTGCCACTATCCTTCAAGCTCGAAGGGATATCACTCGTCTGAAACAGCGGGACATTGCAGAGCGGCTCGCCAAAATCTTCGAGAATCTGCTGATCCTGTAAATCACGTGAGTACACGGCTATGTAAACAAAAAACCAGAAATACCCACGTCTGTCTGGGTCGCAGATCTTGCTATGGTGAAATAGTTCTGCTGGCCGGGGTTCTTCATCTTATCCGTGCACTTCTATGATGTTCTTCTGCAGAGAGAAAAAGGAAATGATGGTAAGTTTTTTCGATCCTGACAATTGCCTGACTTTTTGAGAATCGGAAGCGCTTCTGAATCTTCTAGAATGACCAGCATTGACGAGGGTATGATGTAATCTTTTTCTCTGCCGCAACGCAAAGACCCTTGCTCTGGCCCGCTTGCTGCCTGCGTTCCCCTGAAAAGATGGGAAGGGTTGGACCCTGAATGGTGCTAGTTGACTCGGCTTTGCGGAGTGCGTAACACGGTTCCGTCTTCGGGTCTGAAAGGTGGTCTGATGCTAGGGATGATGCAGAGTGAACTCGAGGCCTAGAATCGCATCAGTCGCTAGATCTCCCCGCAAACGCACAATTCGGTCATTGCCGTTCATGGTGAACATTCCGTGTCAGTTTAAACATATGCGAAATTGAACTGACAGGTTTGGTCCGGAGACAAGCTCTCAAACGACGTCCGCTGTGATGGTCGAATGAGCTGGATGATGCAATGAGTCAATGGGAAACGGTTTTCGCAGATATGTGATACAGTTTGCAAAGAGATTCAGTACATCATTTATATATAAACTTTCAATTTCACTGATTCTCGTGCACATCTCGTGAAAGACAGCTGTTGGATGATAACGCTGAGGGAGCTTTTCCTCCGCCCAAAAATTTCACCTTCGGGCGGCACTTCGTTGAGCTTTGATTGGCCCATCAACTCTCCAGTCGAAATTACCTCACAAATGCATCATCAAACAATGGGAAATTCGCAAATCTGACAAGCCCTGGTCCTACCACAGTCGCGGCGGGGTTTTCCCGAATGGTACCTCTTTAGCCGAGGTGGCTCTGTTGGCGCTTTGTTGTCGGTGAGTGACCCTTGACACGGGGATTCTACGATCGCAAAACCGACAGGGTCTATTTCCCATCAGAAGATAAGCTCTGTATCGGGGAATATTTCGATCCCTGTTGACGGAAAGACGCGTAGTTCTTGTACCGATCGGAATAGCGGTTGGGCATCTGTGAAAGATGATGAAATTTATATCGTAGAATGGATGCTGATAAGAATTCCCCATTCAAGAGTTGAGTTTTAGCTGTCATAGTACAAATATTGGCTGATACCTGCAGCCTACTCCGCATAGAACCACATGTCAGATGGTTCACACTCAAGTGCTCTTCCCCACACGCTCGGCTCCAGTTCATGACCCTGACGATCACGCCATGCTATAGAGATCAGCCGTTGGTGAACGTCTTCCCAAAGCGTTATACCCGTGACCATCTTCCATGTCTCCACAAAGCCATGATAAACATCAGCTATATCATCCAACGTCGGATCATGGGCGCAGGCCTGATGTTTCGTGATGCTGTACATGCCCAGAAAGGCTCTCCATAACCAAAAGTCAGACGCATCGCTTGATCCCAGAGTATCCATAGTCTGCTCGAGATCTCGCTTCATGATGCAGAGGAACCTCCGTAATAGACCGGAGTTCATGGGTTCTCCGCCGTCCCAAAGCTCAAGAACGTTATGCATGTACAAACTTGACGCAGCACACATACCAGACCATGAGATACTATACTTCGCGCAACCCAATGAAAACATCCCATCTTCGAACATAGAGGAGAAATGAGAGCTGATAGTCGCGCATAGCAGCCGTGATTCTGAGCCCTCAATCCACTCCCAGCTCGGATCGCACTTATACCGGTCTTCGCTGGCTGTTTGTGTTGACGTCGTTACGTGCTTGAGATGTTCGATCAACGGCGTCGCATCAATGTTATGAAACTGCGTCGATGAAGGTAGAACCGCGAAAAAGAAGGGTAGCAGCTTCATAGCGTTGAGGCGCATCTCAAGATGTCCGACATTCTGCGTTTTCCAGAGATGGATCAGCGACACGAAAGTCGAGAAGTCAGCAGTGTTGTTCTGGCGGAACATATTCTTTAGGGAATCGCTTCCTAATATTCGGGCTTTGAAACCTTGATAGGCGTAGTGTGTACTGACAGGTAAGCTTTTGAAGGATAATGTTGGTATGGAGATGATAATTACAGTAGGAGGTATCTGTTTGCTAGTTCTTCATCGAGGCTTGTTCTATTACCGAAGTCCTCGTCGAGAGGACTAAGAAGATGGACGGCATTTATCAAGCCGTTGACGTGTGCTTCGGTGTCGCCAACATTTCCGTACGACGCCTGGGTTCTTTAGGATTGAATGATAGAATAGAATAAGTAAGAACGGCTTTACCTCGATGAAGCATAAAATAGAAACATGTCGAATGAAAGTCATCAACCCAGGCTGACTGATATCCTGCAGCCATCTGTTCAAGATACCAATTGTTGATACTTTATGAAACAGAAACGTGGACTTGTAGGTTTGAAGATCACCGACAGTCCATGCATAGTGTAAGCCAGCGACAAGAAGAGTATCGCGAAGGGCATCTGGATGTTGAGCGACAGATGAAAAGCTATACAGGTACCAATGAGATATGCACGAAAGTATAGTGGCTAGCATACGTACATGTTTCTTGAAGCTTTGGTCAAGATCAAATCAGAACTATCGTGGCTGTGGTGGACTGAGCTTACTATTAGTGCTTAGATATGTGGAAGTATACCTCTTCACATACAGTAATGGAGCAACTCTCTTGAGCGTAGTGACATGTCGAGACCCAAACAGTCGAAAGGTTCGACTGACTTGGCGAACGGGGACTGGGTCACCAATGTTACAGGAGCATCCGACTCAATGACCCATGGCGCTTGCTCCCCAGGTAGAAAGACAGCCTTACGATCCCGAAGCGGTAACTCAGGGTCCGCAAACTCACAGTCTCTGCCCGCACTGCTACATCTAGCACTACAGCACATCAGCCAACCCAATCGCGAAACACCTAGTGTAGTATCCTCGTCTATAAAACAAAAAATGGAATGAAAGTCCGACTTACCATGTAGGTTTCCCGCCATCACAGCGCACACGGCGTTTTCGGCACGTCAGACACCCTGCCTTGCTGCGCGTGTGGGGGCGTCGAGTCCTTGTCTTGGTACTCATATCGAATGACTTGGAAGCTTGGATTAAACTTGCGAGGGTCGATGAGAACGATCGGCGGCTTTTGTGAGATGAGGGAGGAGATTTGACGAGGTACTTGAGTCTTTGATGAAGTTTGGGAGGCCACTCACGGGATTCGTTGATTGGTGATACTGATCTGATGTTGGAGGTTGCTGTCTGTGAGATGTAGTGGTTACCGCACTAACAGATGACAACCTAGCATGGGCGGTGTCAAGATGGTGGTCTAGTGCAAGGATGGATGATAAAGTCTCCACTAACAGGAACAAAGTCGTGCTTTGAGAGGTGTCAGCCAAAATGTAGACTAACAATCAAGACTAAACCCATTCCAGCCGCGTAAACGAGCTGAAAGCCAAACTCCGCTGCTGCTCGATACGCTTATTTTTACACGATCTTAGTGCGGCGAGAATCGGAAAGCAGTCCTTTTATTCCCGATCTTTTCATCAATGGTCTTGAACTGTCGTAGCTACCAGGCATGGGCTTCGTCGCTTTCGGTCGTTTCTTTGATTTCCGGACGATGAGATCCAATAGTAGAGAGTAATCAGATCACTGCAAGTTTGTGACAACGAACCAAAAGCTAATAAAGGTATAGCGCATTAATGCTGACTGTATCTTCAGCGGCACAGCGAACAGGGCTCAAATATATCGACCTCTACGGAATTTCAATGCTACTGACTGAGGCACTTTTGTAAGGGTCGCAGTGGAGGTTCAGCCCGAAGTCCGCTGCCAAGGTATTTCGTCCGAGATAGACGAGAAGGATTCACAACATGACCCAAAAGGCCCTCAAAAGAACACCGTGGTCCGAGACTTAGCTTTTATATATAAGGCGCGAATGACACCTTTCTACCGAAGCTTCATTCATCGAACAATGTATTTCAATATCGGAAACCCAGAAACACTATCATGACCAGCAAGCCCACTCTCATCTTTGTCCCTGGTGCATGGCACACCCCCAAATACTGGGGTAAAGTCATTTCAACCATGGAATCTAAACAGTACAAGTGCAAACCAGTCACTCTCCTTACTACCCTGAACAAAAGCAAAGACATCAACTTCGCAAGCGATGTCACGCATGTTCGCGATGCTATCAAAGAAGAAATATCCTCTGGACAAGACGTTGTTCTTGTGGTTCATTCATACGGCGGCGCTGTCGGTGCTAGCGCTATTAAGCAACTATCGCGAAAGACTGCATCATGTGATGAAAACAAAGGACACGTTATCGGACTCTTCATGGTCGGAACAGGCTTCGTCGCGCCAGGAATGTCCTTCCTAGAAGGAATCGGCGGCAAACCACCACCAACATGGGACGCCGACTACGAGAATAACACTATGCCCATCAAAGTGGATCCGATCGACATGCTGTACCATGACCTCCCCAAGCTGGAAGCGGAAGCCTGGGTGGAAAAGCTTACTGAACAGGCTCTAACATCTGTGACGGATGGATATGAAATTGCCCACGAGGGATGGAAGGATGTGCCTGTTTGGTATATTATGACCACTGAGGATAGGGCTCTTCCTCTGGAGGTGCAGAGGCTGTTTGCTGATACGGCGGAGAAGTCTGGTGCGGATCTGACTCGGAGGGAAATTGCGAGTAGTCATTCTCCCATGTTGAGTAAGCCTGAGGAGACGTCGAAGCATCTGGAGGATGCAATCGAAGCGTTCACTGCATCGGACGCCCAGAAAAAGATTTAGACTTATTGCCGATCTCTCCTTATCCATTACAACTAGAGTTCATAAATCAGTGCTGGCATATGGACTTCTCTCCCTGAGCTTAGCACCGTATTTCCAGAATAAAAGCGGCGCAGGTGCCAACAGAACCGCAATACACCCCAACAGCGTCATCGTCCAGTGAACTCCAATACCCTTATACATAGGGCGAGCAGCCATGACCATTCCACCAGCGATGAGATATCGCGACATGGTTATACTGGCAAGTGCTATAGCAGAGTGTTCTCCGTAACTATCGGTGATGTATTCATAGCTGCCAACGTAGATAGCCATCAGAACGATACCAAATAAGAAGCAGGCACCTAGACCACTCCACATAGGAACGCTGGCGTAATTCGTCCAGCCGAGCCAGAAGAGAGAGATTGGAAGGAATGGTGCTGTGACTATAGCAGGCCAAAGTCTGAACTCTGGTTCTATCGACGCTCCACGAACGCGTTCTGTGTGTATCCTTGACCACTCGTAGAGGGCCGGCCCACAAAGGGCAAAAGCTGTTGCACCGGCAGCTATGGCAGCGAAGCACGATCCTTGGTAACCGGGGGTTATAGAATAAGTTTCCTTGAAAATGTAGTCGAAGCCTGATAGAAAGCTGAATAGAAGGATGTATAGTAAGACAAGATAAAGTCCTAGTACTATGATGACTGGCTCGCTGCGGAAGAAGGTGGCTGGTAGCGGAAGCGTCTTTCGGAGCTGTTTCCAGAACGATGGCTTTTGCTCGTGGTCTGAGATGTATCTTTGATCTCCTGTAACTCGACGAAGTTCTCTCGCTTTCCATGTTAGTAACAGAGGAAAGTGCGTTTCCGGGAGGAAGAGAAAGGCCACCAGGAAGGCGACCGCGGATATGATCAGTGTTACCCAGTTCGTCCATCTCCACCCAAGCTTATCGTTTTCAACTATCCAGCCACTCGCAACTGGTGCAATCACAGGTGCTAAGGCAATAAGCGATTGAAAGAGCAGCACTGAAGTGAGCTTGCTTACCTGCAATATTAGCCCACGCAACTATAGGAAAAACAAGCGCCTTCTTGACAGGTCGAAACTGGTCATTGACACTCGCCCCATTGATCGTAAGTGTAGCACTAGCTGACAGTCCCACAAAGTACCGACACACCACTTGACCCCCAAAAGTGGGCGTCATAGCCGTCCCAAGCACAAAAAGGAGATAGAAAGCTGTAGCTACCAAATATGTCGGATTCCGTCCAACAGCCTCTGATAGAGGTCCTGCGAACAGAGCACCTGTTCCGACGCCGAACAGGAAAACAGCCGTAGAGACGTTCTCGGCGACCTGGCTCACATGCAGATCCTTGCTCGCCATGTCATTTCCGATAGAGTCGGCAGCACCGGACCAACATTGTGTGAAGACTAAGAAGCAAATGATGCAGATGTTGCGACATCGTGTTGCCAGGGTCCAGTTCTTTGGGTTGAGAGGGTCATCCTCGCCTGTGCTTTGGACTTTGAAAGCTTCGTCGTTAGGAGAGTCTTGACGGCTGACTCGATCATCGCTACTGAGCAGTAGACAGTTGCGAGACTTGTAGGTTGGTGTTTCGATGGAACTTAGGTCGAGTTGGTATTCTGATCGTATTTGTTTGGCGATCTGTCGTCGTTGGACGAATGACCACATTGTGTCGAGAACCAAGGCTCATATCTCACCAAAAACGCCAAGAAATGCCAAGGAATAGAAGAGTAATCTTTATCGAGTCTTCTTGTTAAAAGAAACTCAGAGTCTTGTCGCGTGATCCTTTACTACATTAGGCTAACGCGAGTATTGACGTCAACAAATCGCACACATGACAGCTGGATGAACACCACTACCGACAAGAAGACTTCGGCTATAAATAAACATGGCGTTCGGAGTCCGCTTCGAATTAGTGTACTCTCGTGATCCAGTAGCCTACAGCGGTCGTGAGAGGAAGAAAAGGATGTTGTATGCATTAGTTCTGCGGTTCTAGATCGTCGGCTTGAGCTAGGGAGCTTCCTCCAATAGAAACCCTTCACTTACAGGTACATCGGCATTCAACGTGCGTGACTTTTGGGTTCTGCAATCTGGCGACTTAAAGAAGAGAAACAAGGTTCTGACTGATTATAAAGCCGAGAACTACTTTTGATATGTCGTAATCGTTCCGAACGCGAGGATACTCGACGACTTCTAGCTTTAACAGAATACGAACAAGATGGCGAGTTTAAAGCCGAAGTTGAAATTGAAACTACGTCGTCATGGTCCTGGCCAGACCTTGATAAGGTAGCCGATGCATCTACTCGAGGCTTAATGTTAGTCTTACTTAAGATGAGACCGACCTTTTCGCGACAATAAATCGGCAAAGAAGCCGCTTCCTGGCTTCGGCTTGGCTGCAGCCATACTCGTATTCGAACTCAAAGATCGCGGGTACTGCCGCGCCAGCATCCTCGAATGGATACTTATGCTGCGAACCAATAGGCTCCCAGTCCGAAAGAAAAACCACAACGACTAGATAAAGAGGTTAAGTGAGAGCCTGAAGTCATGCGTCATGTAATGAGTTGAAAATGCAGGCTGCGTTGTACTTTGAGGAGAATAACCTCCGAGTCTCAATATTCATGCCGAGCGTCATATAACAAATGAAGTTTATTACATAGATGCATTCATCTCTATCCTGTTGATGGTTGTTCTTTCGCGGCTGAGACTCTGCAGATGTAACTAATCATGTACGTTTGCTCACATCACCTCAGCTTAGATGGTTCATTAGAGGGCTAAAGTTGCAATATGAACGCCTGCAAGCTTACTCTGTTTCAAAGTCGACCTGAGAGGGGTTTAAAATTGTAGTGAAGTGTATTGGTCGTTGAATTTCCAGTCTAATGATTGGGTTATCAATGATTGGATCGAGTGGTTAACACTTATCGATATGCTAACAGCTTACAATTACGAATTAGACCCAACCAGAAGCCTCCGGTCTCTATCGCGGGGTGTGTCATTGACACCATCGCAATGCGTACTCGACAGAACAACAATATTGATCACACGGGTGTCATTCTGCATCTTGTCTCTCCCGGTTTAGATCTTGGTAGTAGAAATGGAAGAGGGCCTCGCTGGCAGTAGGTCGCTCCTAATGCTATTCATCAGCATAGCTCCGCAAAAATAAACTTGGTCTTACCGCGGGATCAACCCGAAGTAGCCTATGAACGAATGATATAGCCTCCGTTGTCGCTAGATGCTGGTTACCCTCGTTCTTGAAGTTTTCCCAAGGCTCTCCATCCCAGTGGCCCAGAGCTTCGCGGTCTTCTGGGAACATCGTAATCCCATACTGCTCAACGAATTCGTAGATCTTATCAGACCCAAGAACCTTTGCAATCTTGATCAGCTGGTCTGTAAGAGTGATTCCATAAAAGAATGGTTCTTTCCTGAAGATCATCGAGGCAAGCATGCTGCCGAGACACCACATATCTACACTGTAATCGTATTTCTCGTAGTCCAGAAGGATTTCTGGTGGTTTGAAGAGGCCTACGCAGCAGTCGTACTCTCTTCCTGGTTCATAGAACTCGGCTGAGCTCCATCCTATGAGACGAAGCTGTCGTCGCTTTGTCAGACTTGCACAATGTACTTGTTGGGATGGAATTGTTACCTTCCTTTGTTGATGGTCAATGACCACGTTTTGGGGTCTTATATCACGATGCATAATGCCCTGACCATGAGCAAACTCGAGTCCTTTTAGAACCTCGCGGGTGTAGTATCGAATATCGAAGCCGGTAAATCGAGGGTACAAGGTTCGAAAGTCCGTGTTGTCGACGTATTCGAGGACTATACCGATGTTTGCTCCCTTTTCATACGCTTAACTTCAGTTCATTGAGAAGTACATGAACCAACGAACCTCTTCTCCCTGCACAACATCTACAATCTCTATCATGTTCGGACCAGATCTCAAGAGCTGCAGCACTTCGATTTCGCGGGTGATTCTGTCTCGGCTGTCTTCTTTGAATAGTTTCATTGCGTATACTTGACCGCTTGGATTGCGGCACTCGACAACGATAGCATGCCTGCCCTGGCCTATTTATACATTTGTCAATCATGTTATCATGACAATAGGAACCGAGTTACCTAGTCTTGGGGAAGATGTCAAGTCGTAAAATTGATGTGACCCTAATAGATCCCATCAGCTGGTCCCCCAATTGCTAGACAGCCATCATACCTGGGTCCGCATTTGGCTGGATCGGTGCCATGTTGTCAACACCGGACTTTCCAATCCTCAGAAATTGAATCAAGGGCCCTTTTGGTTGGGAGGTAAGTATCTTCTCAGAAGTGTAAGATCTGAAAGAGAAATAAATGCCGCATGACACGAATAATGCTACGTACCTGTAGTTGCCTGCAAGTGGTACGACACCAACCACAAATATTCTCATTCTCTTGAACAAAACCTCGTCACTCAGTCACAGAGGGACAATCTACGGTAACACAGCATTTCTCGGTCTAATTTCCAGATATCATCCACTCCAATTGCGACAAACCACCTCTAGTCAGTCGGTCAGTCGGCAACCCATCTGCGCAATCAATTAGCCTTGCTACCCATGTCCGATGTAAGCCAGTAAGCCATTTCCCGCTTACTTGGGCTAAAAGCCATGCTTTATCTCCAGATTTGCCCACTATTGTAGGTAGTCGTACTGCGGAGGAGGGCATTTCTGGAATGCACGGTGGCGGAGTCGCGGCCGGACTTAACGGCGATCCACCATTGTGCATATCATCCACTACTTGAGCCTCAACTCTGGTCAGTTCGAGTCTTGTGAGCGCAGTTGTTAACGATTGAATTGCTTTACGGCTTAGCTTTCGTGTTAGTCCGGAGCATGGATTTAAGATGAACTATAAAGATGCCAAGTCTGCGGTGTTCAACTATAAAAAGCCTGTGCTCCCAGCAATAACATGGAACCATCACAACACCTCAGCTTTCAATCTCAGAAACAATCACTTATTCACCAAATCAACTCAATATCAATTTATTTAACATGGCCCGAGTTTGGTTCGTCACTGGCTCTTCCCGCGGAGTTGGCCGCGCTCTAGTCGAAGAAGTCCTCGCATCAGGCGAGATTGTCGTCGCAACAGCTCGCAACCCTTCCCAGCTCGACGATCTGGTCACCAAGTACGGCTCAGACAAGATCTTGGCAACTGGTCTCGATGTCACCAACGCTGATGAAGCCCAAAACGCCTTCAAAAAAGCTGTTGAGAAGTTTGGCCGCATCGACGTGGTCGTCAACAACGCTGGCTACGCCAACATGGCTTCTGTGGAAGACATATCCTTGGAATCATTCCATGCTCAAGTGAATGCCAATTTCTTCGGTGTCGTCAATGTTACAAAGGCTGCTTTGCCTCTCATGCGCGAACAAAAGTCTGGTCATATTATTCAGGTGTCTAGCGTCGGTGATCGAGTCGGTACACCCGGAGCAGCAGCCTACCAAAGCGCCAAATGGGCAGTTGCAGGTTTTTCGACGGGTTTATCTCAAGAAGTGGCACCATTCGGAATCAAAGTGGTCGTCGCTGAGCCTGGTGGTATCAAGACAGACTGGGTCAACACTGCTACCGACACGGCTACGCTTACCGAGCCTTATGAGCAGACTGTTGGGATGATGATGAAGGTCAGAGATGACAAGTCTGGTTGGTCAGAAGCCTCAGACATAGCCAAGGCTATAAAGTATATGTCGGAAGTTGAAGATCCGCCGCTGAGGATTGTTCTGGGCCCGAGTGCTATCCCGTGGGCTCAAATGGCGGCTAAGAATCTTGCTGAATCTGATGAGAAGTGGCTGCACGTTTCTAAGTTGGAGTTTTGAAGCGTCAATCAGAAGTGATCTGGTGGGGACTGTTGGGAGGTAGTTTTGAAGTATGAATGTAACTCGACTCAATATTTAGTTGTTAAAGACACTCAAGTCTTGTGGATCTTTATTTCCTGGATTGATCTGAAGATCTGCCCTTTCAAGCCACAGTTGACATATTCTATAAAGCCAAATCTACAGGCAAAAAAACATTTTATCAATCGTTACACTTTCCCTTTGAGTACTCTAACGTCTAGAGTATATAATGTGTTGAGGTTTTAGTATAAATACATACAAGAAGAGGAGATGTGTAAGTATGCTCTGTCAAGCTACAAAATGCAATACCTTAGTAAACCAGTTGAATATCGTCGATGGCAACCTTGAGCCCGGTGCCTGCGTCTTCGAAACAGAAGACACTGAAGGTCATGTATGCTGGAGTGATGTTGATAGAATTGAACGAAAGTTCTCGCTTAGTCCAGGTCTTGAGGGGGAGGGGTGATGGAAGTAGGAAGAAGTCAGGGAAGCTAGAACTTTTCCCGTCAGTACTGTCTTGCACAATACTGATGTAGCAGCTTCGGAGGCTCTCTGGTTGTGCATCCTCATCGATATACCACCAGTACGAGATCTTGTAGAAGTGACTATAATCAAGCGCGACTTCTTGCTTAACGGTACCGCCATTCTGGCCAGTTACTGTTACAGACCAGTATCTACATGAGAAGCGTTAGTATCGAGATCACTAACTTAATAAGGTAGTACATACGCTGCGTGTGAGCCTGTGCGGGCTACGTCTGGGGTGATACCGACTGAGCTGGAAGGCCCGTCTCTCACGATCCAAGGCGTTCCATCAACCTCCCCATCTATGCTTGGTTCCTCAAATGACGGGTCGAAGAATAGATTGGATGGTGCAGGTTCCTCGCTTGTGGTGGAGATCGGGATATCAGAAGTGGTTGTCTCGGCAGTATTGGAAGTGGTTGGAAGCTCAGTCGAGAGCTCGGTAGTCGATGCAGTAGTAGCGGACATGTCGGCAGCCATTATACCGGACGCTTCGGTGGTCTCCGATGAGGATGACAGTTCAGTTGAGTAAGAAAGGAAGGCATCTGATGTTGTCGTGACAATGAAAGAGACTGGTTTGGAAATGATGGACGACGAATAAAATGACAAGGACTCGATAACTGAGCTTCCCTCCGTAGTTATCGACACTACATAAGAAGCTGAAGTCGCCTCCTGAGTAGACACTGACGTTACTGTTCCTGTTGAAGATGGTCCATCGAGAGCTGCCGATGTGGACTTTGGCTTGCATGGGCTTGCGTGCGCATTGCCACAGACCGCCAGAAAGGCAGATACGAGATTCAAAGACGGTACTCTCATTGCGACTGAGCTCTGGAAGGGATAACAACATCGGGAAAAGGGTTCTGATTCTTCTACAAAGGACTAATATATCTTCTCAGATACAAAAGCAAGCACATTCTGTTTCATCTCGGTAAAGCTAGTGTCTGATAGTACAGCGATGTGGCGTCAATAAAGCTCAGCTGTACTCAATAGTAAAAGCATCAGTCAGTGTTCTAGAACAGAGTCTCTGGGCAACAAAAAAGAAATAACTGTTTGTCTATTGCTTCTGTCCCGTCGACTTCAATTATTGCTATCCTCCTTTATTTTCAGGTTATTAGCGTTTGCAAGCCACCAGAAGTGATTTCCGCCGGTTTCATCCGCTGTAGTCCAGGTTAGCCGTAACTCTGGGTAGTAGCGCGTTACCAGTTATCGCGTCCTTATCAGCTCCATATCGGGTTCCACCGGCTGACCCAACGCGCGAATGTCGCATTGCGTCACACCTCGTCAATTCCTCAACATCATCTGCTTTCATTCATCGCATTGCCGATCAACCATCATGATGATGCCCAGAGGAAGAAGCGTAATTGCTTCATTACGGCGATCACGTTCGCTGCGACCTGCATTGAGAGTCAGCAGCTTCCATACCACAGCCATGTCACGAACCGATGGCGTCTTCCAAGGGCTGGCCGATCAGCGACAGCCGATGCCCTGGATTGAGGCCTTCAGACGTCAACAGGAGGGAAAGCCTGCTCATGATTCCGGCGATACGCCCAAGGAGAGGGACTTGACACCCAGAAAGATGAGCGATAGCTACCATCGTGTTGTGCTGCCTCTCAAGAAGGATCCTTGGTTGTCGGATACATACGTCAATTCGTCTGGGCACATCAGACTTGGAACGCTGTTCATGGATCTTGATGCTCTTTCTGGAATTATCGTCTACAAGCACACCGGCCCAGGCGTCACGACCGTCACTGCTGCTCTGGACAGAATCACGATAGCCCACCCCCTCACCGAGATTTGCGATCTTGAGTACAGCGGTCAAGTCACGTACGCTTCCGGCCGAAGCAGTGTCGAAATTACATGCAAAGTCGCCAAAGCTAGAGAAGAAGGGGAGCCCAGCAAGCCGGAAGATGTCCTTCTCACCTGCACATTCACCATGGTCGCTCTAGATCCCAACACCCGCAAACCCGTCAACATCCCCAAGCTCGTACCCACAAACGCGGAGGAAGAGAAGATCTTCAAAGCCGGAGAAGCCAAATCACTGTCCAAGAAGGAGACTTCAAAGGCATCACTTCTACAAACAGAGCCAAATGATGCTGAGTCAGCCCTGATCCATCAGATCTGGCTACGACAGCTTGCTTACCACGATCCCAACAACGATCTTCGCCAACCATCCAACGTTGTGGCTATGTCCAAGACGCAGCTTTCTACTGCTGCTATCATGCAGCCGCAGTTCCGCAACCGCCATCAGACGATGATCTTTGGTGGTTTCCATTTGAAGCAGACCTTTGAGCTTGCGTTTTGTTGTGCGGCTAGTTTCGCTCATGCTCGTCCGACTTTCATCAGCGCCGATCCTTGCACCTTTCGCAATCCCGTTCCCGTCGGAAGTGTGCTCTATCTCACCGCCACTGTTGCGTACACTGATCCTCCACTGTTAGAAGAGGACGGTAGAGAGCCTGGTTTCCCTGATAACGAGAATCCTATGACTCGTGTTCATATTCGAGTTGATAGCAAGGTTCGTGATGTTGAGCACGGAGTCGCCAAGCCCACTGGTCAGTTCAACTATACTTTCTCTGTGCCTAAGGACCTGAAGGTTCTTCCGCATACGTATGAGGAGTATATGGTTTATGTTGATGCTAGGAGACGTGTTTCGTTGGGAGATAGTCAGAGGGAAGAGGAGCAGAAGGCGTTCTCGGAGAAGCGGCCTGAGGCTTCTGAGAAGAATTTGATAGGATAGAATGGATGTATAATCTGTCTTTAAAATGACGTATTTATTTCTTGGTCATGCCGATCATATAAGATGCTGTTTATAATAGTTTCAACTATAGTATGTCCCAACCATAACTCCATTTACCAGAAAAGCGACTTCTCATCATAGCTGGCTTCGCTCATAAACAACAGGCTCATCAACCTCCAATACCTCCTTCATATTCTCCCACAACTTAACAGACTCAAAAACAGTCTCACCCGGCCCTTGACCATCAACAAACCAGCTAATTCCAGTGCAGTCCCTCGTATCAGCGTACACCATAGTCGACAAAGCAAAGCGATCATTGGCAAACACTTCCAGAACATCGCCGTCGCAGAAGATGCGCAAGTGTAACTTCTCAAGCTCCTCTGATCCGTTTCTATCAGAGTAGAAGAGTGTGAATGGGCCTGAAGCAGGGGCCTTTTCGATATTGGCTTCGTTGTTGGACTTGCTCTTGTCGATTGTGATTGTTTCGGTTTGGGGAGAGAAGTGGATGGCTGTGCCTTGGGATAGATCCTCGTTATGTCGGATCCAGAAGCCCACTCCTTGATCATTAGGCGACACCTTTATCGTGGCTTCTAGCTCCCAAGATCCAGAGTGAGACTTGATGAGGCTTCCGAGTCCAGTACTGCTGACGACGTTGTTCCAGTAAGCGGGCTTTCCTCGTCTGAGATCTTGCAGGTTTGGCAATGGCTGGATGCCTAATGTCTGGACGGTATATGATCCTCTTCCGTTCTCAACAGCCTTGACACAGCCAAGATCCTCCAGTGGTGACGTAAGACTTCTTGTAACGTTATCGACAGAGTACAAGAACAGCTCCCTCGGGAGAGAGAAGTATCCAGTCCATCCCTTCGTCTCACGTCTCGCCAACGTCAAATCATCCTCCTTCAACCACCCCCAAACAATCCTATTCTTCGTAATAGGATGCTCATACGAGTTCGGCGCATAAAGACACCCATGATCCAAAATCCCATCAAACTCATGCTTCAATCTCGGGCCTTCAGCAGTCTGCTCCAGAGATCCAGCCATCCACAAAGACCACTGCTCAGCACCCTCCTTCGCACCAGGCTTAACTCCACCTTCCGTTCCCATAAGCATAAACGGACATTCCTCGGTGTCGTTGTGAAGAGTCATGAAGTTGACGCATTCCCAGTTCACACCGAAATCGCCGCCCCATCGGCCGGAGGGGCTGTAGCCGGTGGGGAGGTCGGTTAAAGGGCCGAGGTAGGTCCACTGGGTGAGATCGGTCGGTGAGATAGCATAAAGAAAGACTGTCGGGCCGGCGTTGACGATACCTCCTGAAACAAAACCGTACAGGCTCGCTTCGCCGCGGAGCTCGTCCATGGCGGGCCATTCGGCTAGATAAGGGTCGCGGAAGCCGGTTACTGTGACGCCTTCTGGTTCACCGTCTAAGATGGGGTTTTGTTCGCTCTTTTGCCATGTCTTGCCTCCGTCGTTTGAAGTTGCTACTGAGAGACCGGCGCAGTTGCGTGTGTATGGGAGAGTCCAGTGGATGGGGAGATGTGTGATGGAGGAGTAGATAACTGTGAGTTGGCCTTCTTCGCCTTGGAGGCCAGTGGGGTGGAGACATCCTGTAAAGATACCTTCCTTGTCGTATGTTTCTGAGGGTTCTAGGACGGGGTTTTGAGTGTTTTGCTTCCATGTTAATCCGTCTCTGCTTGTGAGATGGCCCCAAGTGATGTCACCCCAATCGCAGGATTTGGGGTTCCCTGGTGGCAAAGTCAGTCTGGATGCTGCTTTTCCTGGTGATGGTGATGGATTTTGCACTTACATTGATATGATAGATGGTATGTACCAGTAGAGGCATCATATCCAGGCGCGCAAGGATCGTTGATCCATCCTCTTGGTGCTTTGAGATGGTATGTAGGCGCAGGATGCCATCGTGGGCGTGGAGTAGTGTTCTTGACCGTCATCGTCCTGTCTGAATATTTCCCTGCTGTCTTTTACTTGTCTGTTCACGCAATTGATACTCAAGCAAAGGAACAAAGTCTGGGGAATTGGGTTGATTATAAAACCCAAATTTGAAAGACCAGTCCAGACCGGGTTTTGCCTAATAAGTAAATAATTCAGCCGACCCCCCAAAATTCCGCCGCTTGTTCGTCGGACCGACATCACGTCTCATGCCAATCAGCCGAGGGAATGAGTCTTGGGTGGTGGATCCTGTAGATCATTGTCTCGCCTCTACTAAAAACGCCCATTTTTTTCACAATCTCGACGGTCCGAGATCAGATTCTGATGTTCCACTGCGATTACGGTGTTCCACTGAGATACGGCATGGAGTGTTCCACTGTAGCCCTTGCCTGTTTCCCCGCGCATTTGATACTCGAGGTTCCACTGTAGCGTGTTGGTTGTTATGCTTGTTTGGGGCAGATAACCGATTATTTCCCCTTGTAGGGATAGACCAATGATTGGCATGTCAGCTGCTTCATTGCAGATGCGCCTGCAGGATTATGACGGCCTGGCTTTTCTGATTAACCGCACGTGTAAAATTGCGTCGTTTATTTAACCAAGAATACATAATAATTACATGTGATGTACAATCTCTACCTATGTCCATCAACTTCAACAGCACCAGTCCTATCCCCAAATTGATCCACGCGCGCCTTTGCAAATTTCCTCGCACTCACTCTATGTTCAAACAAAACATCCAATTCTCCAAACGTCCTGTCTTTGGGCTCCGGCAATCTGAAATATGCCCACACCATAATAAGAAAACAAAACGCCGCCCAAAAGAGACCCGTTTTCGCACCCCAGTTCCATGCATGTATACCGAGCATTCTTGGCATAAGGGTATTATTGACCAGGCCGGCCATATTATTAAAGTTGCGCGCCAGCACAATTGTTTTCGCTTTGAGACGCGTGGAGGGAATTTCTGCGACAATGGTGTAGCAGATTGGTCCGACTGCTAAGTCGTAAATAAATGTGTAGAAGATTAGTAGACTGCCGACTGCCCAGGATGGACCAGAGTTCTTTTGCGGCGCGAAACCGAGACCGCCGACGACGAGAAGAATGATGAAAAGCATGGATGTTCCTGCGATGTAAAGGGTACGTCGTCCAAATTTGGACATGAGAAACCATGAAAGAATGACGCCGATCGCACCGACAGAATATTGTACAATGTTGAGAGTAAATGCGTTGCTTGACGATAATCCGGCGCGCTCATAAAATTGGACGGAATAGCCCATGAGAACGCTGCCGCACATCGCTTGAGCGACATAAGTAATCGATGCAATTTCCGTACGTCGTAGGTCAGCTCTCATGAAACAATGCCAATAGTTTGTACCCGCCGACGTAGCCTTTTCAAGCTCATTCGTCTCATGTATCATGGACACTTGCGCATCAGCGTCAAACTTGATATCAGGTTGAGGACTGACGAGCTTGAGAATCGCCTCCTTAGCATCGACATGACGACCCTGTCGTACCAACCACCAAGGCGATTCAGGCGCAAAGATGGTTCCGAGTATAATGAAGGGTGGCCAAAGCCATTGCAACGCAAACGGCACGCGATACGACCACTCGTTGTCTAGATTCAGAAGTCCGCGCAGTATTCCTGCGGAGATCAACTGCCCAATAACCCAACACAGGTTCACATAAGCAGTGAGATAAGGTCTCAGAGCGACCGGGGCAATATCCGACGCGTATGCGAGAGTCAAGGTTTGAAACACACCCCAGGGGATACCCATGAGGATCTGTCCCGCCAGGATCATCTCGATATTCTTTGCGAAGAATACGATGAACGTAAAAGCGATCATGATAATCTGGGCTAGAATCATGGTCTTTTTGTAGCCGATGGCATCGGAAACCCAGCCGTTGAGATACAGGCCAAAGATCTGGCCGCACATGCCGCCGACTTGGATGTATGTTTGCCAATCTGCTGAAATCACCATTCCGCCGTCGGGGTTTGGTTGGTTGCCATATTTGTTGCGGAATCTACATTCGCATTAGCCTTGGGAACCGTAATAAACGGGAGAAGAAACGTACGATTCATAGCCATAAAATGAACCAATGAGAGCCATATCATAGCCCTCCATAATAATAGCCATCGAAAAGACTAGCGAGAAAAAGATAGCCTTGGGATAGAGCCGCACGGCATCTCGAAACGTGAGCTCATGTTCTAGCGCCGTGGCGGCACTAGCTTCAGCGTGTTGCGACTGTTCCTTCATGGCGCCGGTGGTAGTCTGTTTAACCGTAGAATGCGGCTTCTCAGACGTCATCGTGGTAGTGTTGGAGGGCGAAATGGTGTCTAGCGACGCGCTTTCTCCGTCGCGATCCATGCCTGGATTAAGGTTTGAAGAGATTTGACGACAAGGGGTAATGACAACGGCCAGCCGGGTAAACAAGACCCGAATGAACGCTTCTAGATCTAAGTACCAATCGTAAACAGGAGGTTCCGACTTCTCCGAGTCTAAGTAGCTCGATTCAACGCGGTGACAAAAGTCAGGTCATCTTCTGAGAGGCGTCGTCATAAGTTCCTCAAGCCGCTTGGCAGCAACTCGTCGGTCCGGGGAAAAGCGTCACTGCTACTGGTCGTTTCCGTTATTCAAATATCTGGGGATGGGTCTGGGGATGCGACGCGATGCCAGGCCAAGTAAAATCTGGGGTTAAGGAGAAGGAGAAGATCTGGGGCTGAGGGGCGAAAATGGATTCAACTACGGGGAAAGACCGTCGGTCCGACAGTGTATTGAAGCTTTGACTTTGAGTCAAGGATGTCATTTGATGAGATTGGTAGTATGTCGGTCCGACGATCAAAGTGGATACGTTTTCATCTTTGTGGTTGGATGGTATCTTTAGTCTTGAAATTGGCCATAGGGTAGTGAAATGCGGTTCGAAGAGAAACTGCAAATCGACAGCCACGTCTCTTTGGCAACAAGGATCTTTATGAGAACAATGCTAAGAATACCAGTTTATAACGTTGATCCTCACGGGCCTTTCAAGCAAGATTAGACAGATAGCGTTTCCATATCCATATTAGTCAAGGTTTCTCTGAGAAGTGAGTCCTGCAAGGTACACACATCAAGTAGCACAATAACAATCGCAGAATGGTTCATATTCATTACTCACTGCACGAACCAAGCCATCCGATAAACGCACTACTCATACCGTCGCTCTACTCTGCAGTAGCTCCCTGGATTTCAATCCAGTGATAACTTTGCGCTTTCCAATACCGTCATCCGATTCTTTTCTGGTATTAAACCGGAAAGAGGAAAGCTTGGGTATCTTGATATGTGTCACAGACAACCTTGAGCTATTAGAGCTGTCAACCCACGGTCCTGCATGTATCTGGAAATCTTCTCCTGGTGAAGTATTGAGCTTGTCTGTCACCCCGCTCTTCAGTCGTCGACCAGAAACAATTGAACGGCAGACTGTTCGGATGACCTTAGATTCGTGAACAGCAACTCTCTTTTCTATTTCAGAGCTCGCGCATGTAGGAGCAAGTGCCTCCAGAATTTGGCAATGCCACCTCGTTCTGTAATGATCGCAATCTACCCCAACAAAACAAAAGATGGTGATTGATTCCATCAGTGGGTTCATAGTCAACGTTAACGCAAAGACTGCCCCGAAGAATGTTGGCGCGAAGGGACGCAGAGCGAGGGTGTTGAAATAATGCTGTACTTGCGGTACCGTTATGACACTTTTGACATTATGAGGCGAGCTAACGACGATGAGGGTTTCAAAGTCGGGACTCGTTATGTGCATGGGTGACGGCGCCGGCATCAAGAGAGCGCGATCTCTAGGACCGACGATACATATTTCGGTGGGCTCTACTTCATCGCAGTTGTCCATCGGGATAGGACATGAAGGGAATGGGGTTCGAACAAAACGTTTGCTGAGCGGTGGTTGTTGGAGAGCCACGGCGACTCTGCAGCTAGTGTCGCGGCATTGGACGTCGAGTAAAGCTAATGCATTAGCGCTCTTTGGGCCATGAGACCTTTCGTTTATAGATGGCCAAGTGTTATGCACAGAAGCAACATCTACAAGCTTCAGCTTGATAGATAATCCCGAGTTGCTTGTGGTGTAGGAAAGTGAGTCATCACCTCCCCATGCTTGGTGGTAGGATCCCGAGTTTTCGAACGTCTTTGGCGATGGTGACAGGATACTCGACCAGTCGCTGGGGACATGTTCCATGCTCCAATGCCAGCAGAATATCGATTGGTCGTTGGAAAGTCGAATGATTTCTTCTTGCAGTCGAATAAATGCCTTGTCTCCTTCTCCGTAGAGCAGGGGCATATTTATATCGAAAATCCCAAGCATACAATACGCTATGTCCTCGGGTCTTGATGTTTGGCGATGTGAGACCCAGGACATGCGTTTGCTAATGCTGGCTTTATGGATGCCGCTCCTCATATCAGCTTCCTCGATCTTGGTGATATCGAAAATCTCCTGCGATAGGGACGATCGAGTTCCAAAGTTGATACCGTATTTGTCGAAGAAGATCACCTCTTTGGGTGCGAGCAGCTCCTGTAATGTCCAGCCTCTAGTGAACCACCGCGAAGTGTAAAAGGACGCCATATCGCCCGGGTAAACATCAGAAAGATGGGCGTAGCAGACGGCTGAATTCTTGTACCAGTTGAACATCGAGTTGATAGCCTCACTGAGCTCTGAGGAGCTTCTTTTATCGATGCAATTTGTATCGCACCAGAGATAATCATAGCCATCGGCTCGAGCCTGTTGACATGAACGCTCTATTTTGTGGTACCCATCTTTCGTTCTGGCTATGGCGAAGTTGTTCTGCCAATCAACAAACGAGACTTCATCCTTTCCCCATGTATGAGACAGAATTGCGTAAACTGGTATCTGGCTCTGGAACTCCTCGAGCTCCAAGGTTGTGGTGTTGATGAGTCGCATGCTCGCCTGGTGTTACAGAATAGTAACGCACTACCGGTCTTTGCCGAGGTTGTATTCGTCTGATGGTATAGCCAGTCGCACTTGGTAATTGGAAATTTGGCGGACGTATCTGGATTGTGTATACGACTCGACACTCATTCAAATGTTTGTTGACGTGGCTTCAGTTCGCCCAACTGCGTCGTTCAGCCTTGCTGGAATTTGAGTGCTTACCGCCCACGGGGATCGACCCTAGCCCAGCTGTAAGCCCGATCGTGGCAGTGCAAATTTGCTCCATGATTGGTCCTTTAACGACAGGGAACTAGACCGAAACAGTCCGTGAAGAGGTCAAGCCTCCGAAAAGACAGGAGACCCGAATAGGTGTCGAGTTTTGTGTATTTGCATGGTCGATGAAGTCGCCGGACGAAGTTGTGGTGATGAAGATGCTAATCTTCTAGTGAGTTTGGTATTAGTGGAGCGTTCCATTGTGTTCTACTGTGATGGGGCGCGCCTTCCCGTTGACGTTGACTGTTTTAGTGCAAGTTGCGCCCCACTACCAGTTGACTTTTATTGAGCCTCATCAGGACTTTCTCGTTCCATCGCAATTCATCTTTTTCTCAATCATATCATCATTTACTCTTCAAGAATTCAGTACTCTACTGTCATCTTCAATATGTCTCTGATGACACAAGACCCCGGCGAGCTCTCTCTGAGTAAGCTCCTCTCAACTCTCAACACAACCCTTCACTCAACAACTTACGTCTTCGCCACCTTCACCGAAACCTCAAAACTACCACCATTTTCCGAGACTCAAATGCTCTTTAAAGAATCCGAGGGTGTAACTGCAATTGTCAGCAAAGAATATGCAGAAGTTCACAACATCGAGCATTTCTTCCCTTGCAAAATGATCAGCCTAAACGTCACCTCCAGTTTGGAAGCTGTGGGGTTCATGGCTGTCGTCGCGACGAAGCTGGCAGCGAAGGGTATTGGATGTAACCCTGTCAGTGGTTTTTACCATGATCACATCTTTGTGCCGCTTGGACGAGAGAATGAGTCTGTGGAAGTGATTGCGAAAATAGCAGCGGAGAGCAAGGAGAAAACGACAGAGGCATAAGAAAAGTATATGGAATGATAATCAGATAAGTTTTAATTTGACATTTGGAAGAATATGAAAGGAAGTATTAGTGTGTTCAAACAGACTCCCATCGTTCATCCACCTATTCTGCTTTGCGCGAACTCTTCTCCCACAGAAACAACGACGCAATCAAGCCAGCAGCTGCCATGGCTGCCATGAAGATATTCTGCCAATTATAACCTTCAGCAAAGGCCCTTCTTACAGCCACTTGCTGAGACGGATCGAGATTTTCTATAACAGACACGGAGTCGAAGATTGCTGCTGCTTGTTCTGTGGATACGATATCGGTCAATTTTGGTCTCAAATGGTTATTGAGAATGGTAGCGCTGTATCATTGTTAACGTTCCGTGCCTTGATGAAGAACAGCAGTACAACTCACCACATGGCTAGCGATACCGTACCGCCTAGGACTCTGATCTATGTCAAGGCACCCATCATCACGGCTTCACCATGTCAGCAACTCCAACAATCTTCACCAAGGGATAACGTACAGAGATTAGATTCAGAGACCACAATACGAGCGAAGGTCAAGACAGTAGTCAGATCTAACCCAAAGCCAACACCCATCAAGACTTCGTAACCGTATTGTGCGTCAGGCATATCTGTCGAGTCGACTGGTAGTGAGCACATCAAGCAGACGCCAAGCACCTGCAGTCCATCAGTCACGTTGATGGGATACACCGGGGGTATCTTGGCATTCCGCGTCAGATAGCCCGAGAGAACAGTGGCAGCGGGAGATGAGAGCATCATGGGGAGTAGGCTTATGCCGGGGTGGGACAGGTCAACCACATTGTTCGTAGTGCCACAAAGACCAGAGAATATCGTGAAGATCAGAAGAGCGAGCAGAAGCATGGTCTTCCTCCCAAAGACATCGCTCAACTTGGCATAAATAGTAAGAAAGCTTGGCGTTATTAGTAGTTGTTCCCACAAGATCCGAATCGGTGGACGTACCGGTGTATGTCAAAAGATAAGAAGTGACGATCCAGTCTCTAAGAATGAAGCCATTGAGGGCATCTGTGATGGAGACTAACGACGTGCTGACGATGGGTTTGATGTGAGTACTTGGTTCGTAACTGAGGTGGGGCCCTTTGTCGTTATGTCGCTGTGAGGCCTCTCTATTTTCCAGGCGCCATAGGTGTGTCTGCCACTAATTCTAGGCCATGCCCAGTGGCCCCAGCCTCACTAGCACGACTTGTACGGCGCTCCATCTTTAAAGTGGAATGTCATGAACAATACAGAGTTGAATTGTGAACAGTTCAACCAACAAAGAACGTATTTGCAGATGTTTTGTGTTGAAACATGATCTGATTGATTCCTCTATCCCTATCGCAAAAGCCGCGCACTCCCCCAACGCCTCATTATCGAATCCTTGACAGTCCAGAATCCAAGTGTCCAGCCGCTGGCCACAAACGTGGGAGATTGCGCCCGTAGGCAGCCAACGTTTCACAAGCCTCTCCCGGAATCCTTCTTCCAGCCATCAGCGGAGAAACTTCACCCCGAACATCAACACCCATCTTCCTACCCATCGCGACTTAACCTCAAAGTCATCCAAGAGGGAAGAAAACATCGCTGATCATGGCAGAATCACCGAAACCAGAGAAAGAGCTTTTCTTCCGCTCATACAATGAATCAGCCCCAACAACAATCGTACTCATCCACGGTCTCTTTTCCTGCAACCTGGAATGGGAGCACGTCGTACCATTTCTCAACGACTACCATCTCGTAATCCCCGATCTGCCTCAACACTCAAAGTCGAAAGAAATCGGCCCATGGTCTCTTGAACTTGGCGCTGACTCAGTCGCGCATCTCATTCGAACCCATGCCCATGATGGCAAAGCTCACGTCGTCGGTCTCTCGTTAGGCGGCTTCACAACAATGGAGATCATTCGTCGCCATCCGGATCTTGTTAAATCAGCTTTTGTTACAGGCGCCGCGCCTTTCATGTCCTGGCAGGTCTGGTTGGCCGATCGACCAAGTCTTTTACACTATGGCCTCATGGTTGTGTTGAACACTGGTATCTACAGATTCAGTGTTTGGAAAGCCGGCCTCAAGCAGCATACCCAGTTGCAGATCGAAATCGCCCGCAATAACGACTGGACTCTTGTCAAATGTGCTTACGAAGGGCTTGCAAGCTGGGGAAGAGCCGCTATCGACGATGTTGCGCAAAAGGACAAGCGAATACTGGCCATCGCGGGAGATCAGGGTGATAACGTTGAAGGCACAGAGAAAATGGGAAAGGTTTTTCGAACACAGGGACACGAAGATGGGAAGAGGAGTCAGGCCTGTGTCGTCAAAGGGGCCATTCATGCATGGAATCTTCAGTTTCCGGAATTGTTTGCTGATGGAATTAAAGCTTGGGTTGAGAATGAACCTCTGCCTGAGGAGTTTGTCAGTTTGCTTTAGGGACGCAAACCAGTTCTCTTCAAGTCTGCATCGTGGTAGAGTAGTCAGTTATTCATCTCACATCAATTTGTTCTAACATAGCTTTTACCTCCTGTGCTAATGTATCCATTTATCGAAAATTCTTTTCATGATCACCAAGCAGTTGTACCGTTGAAAAACGCAAAAATAGGCAAAGCTGGATTCTGCGCGTCCACCAGCTGCTGATCATCTGCCACTGACCAGTCCAAAGGCATCGCCGGCATATCAGATAAAACCTCTCCGAACTGCAAATCATGCATCAAGATTCCTTCTTCCACAGGCTGGGGCAGTGTGGCGTTCTGTCTCGGCCAGCATAGCCCAGCTTGTAACAGAGCCATCTTCAGCTTAGGAACAAAAACCGGAACGTCCACCGAAGCTTCAGTCGTCGCCTCACGGGCTTCCCACGCTTTCAGCAACAGGCGAGCTAGCTGCACATGAGTCTTCTGCGTTAGGCTCCACAGCTCCTCATGATAGTGATAGAAGCCATCAAACACGCGCCACGTACGCTCAGCGAACGAACCAAGTGGCGAACGCTCAGCAAGTTGACCCGCAAGGAATACGAGCGCGTCCAGATGGAAATGTGACTTAAAAGCCCAAGTAAAGCCTCCCTGGTTCGCCATCTTGTAAACCCCGAGAGCTCCTTCGTGGTGTGTTAACCAAATACGAAAGAAGTTGTCTTTGGGAGTCTTAACCTCTGCACCCCACTCTGGTGTTTCTTCCATCGATGTACCCATTGCCCGCCCCTCTTTAAGGATATTCGGTCGAAGAAACAGAGCGAGCGCATGGAGTGGTCCTCCTGACTGATCGCAGTACTTTCTCTCAGCTTCGGCTAGCGTAGCATCAAATTCATCAACAAGACCTTTGAACTCATGTAGTGCTTCTTGGTATGTCTGATACTCCGGTGTTCCAGGTTCAGCACCTACTCCCCCTAGAAGCAAATGTTCAAAGTCCGATGCCTGATGTTCCGTGATGAACTTGATGAGTTGGTAAATGATCATAACAAAGGCCATCTCGGTACCACTTTCCCGCGGTTGAATCATGGTGGATTCGGTAGAGAAATCGGTGTCGTTGACATTTTGTGGCATTTTCGTGTCAGCTCCCGATAGTAACGATGTGGGCTTGATTCCTGACGTCGTCGCGTACAACGAGTCCAATGCTACGATCTGCCACCACAGGCGGCGTCGCATTTCGGTCTCGTAGGGAGGGAGGCCAAGTATCTCTCCGTCTCGGTGGAGGCCCATCTTGTGCGCGATTCGGATGACTGCACCGCTTAGAACCCATACCGCATCGTGATTACTGCGGCCTTGCAAGGAAAGCTACGGAAGAGACGGGTTAGTGAAGAAGTTTCAAAGGAAAGCTTTATTCGTACCAGATAGAAGACCAGTGCTTGCAGAGTAGCCATGTCATAGTTTCTGAGATAGTTGACTTTGTTGAGAGCAACCTTCAAGCCGTTCGTAAACTTCTGGATCGCCTCGTTCTTTTGAAGATCAAGCATCGACTTAGCTTCATCTTTAGAAAGACTAACGACAGAAATGAGACAAATGGAGAACAACAAGGCTCTGGACTTGTGTGGCATATGCATCGGATCTGTCATCGCGCTGATAATAAGACTCTCTGTGCTAGGTCCATGAACCATCTTGGTCAGAGGATTGACTCTGTTGAGAAAAACTTGCCAGAGTCGAAGGATCTGGAATGGTAGTGGTAAGTTGTCTCCGATGTTTGAGGATGCAGTCTTTGCCAAGAGCAGGTCGACGTCTTCGAGAGGAACGGGGGAAGCTTGTGAAGGGCATGTTTCTTCGTCGGATGTTTCTTGATCAAGGATGTTGCGCATTTCCTCAAGCTGTCATTTCTATCAGCAGCTTGACCATATCATTCCGCTGATGGGAGGAAACCTACGTTGTCATGGATAGTCCCCCAAACGCAGCTGTCCAAGAACTTGTAGCCACCATTCTTAACGACAAGCCTTCCAGCACCCGGTGTTGTCTGGTTCGACGTCCCATTCGATGGCGCAGGCGACGCCGAGGGTGAAAACTCAGTTCCATCTTGCGCCGCGCCAGAACTTTGACCGGGCGAGCCCTGAAGCGTATACTGCTCTAACAGCGCTTCCACCTTCTTGATTCTCTCTTGAAGCAGAACATTTGGCGTTCTTCTTTTGCGTATAGGCGTCGGTTTAGATGGGACGCAGGTTAGATTGGCCTGTTGATGTTAGTCATGCGCCTTGTTCGTAGATGAAATGGCCAGACCTTGACGCAATGAGAGCATGGAAACACGCGATTGCATTTTATTTTGCGCTGTTGGCAGTGAGTACATGCCAAGACCCGCTGCCGTTTTTGCACGGAAGCGTCAGAGTCGTTTGGGGAGTCTTGGAATGCCTGGGCAATGGAAGTCATTATGACGAGTTTGAAATGACGAAGGAATCATTATTCAAGTTAATGTGAGCGATTGCATTGTTTTGAGGACTGGAAGTTCGCGATGTTCGTTTGATCCGACATGTTGTACTCGGCATCTCGGGCTGTTAGATGACCCCGGTTGCGTGAACGGGCAGACGACCAATCAGAGGTGACGTAGAATTTCATGATCGTAGATTTAGTTATTTGGCATCGATTTGACAGGAAGCTTGATCATCTGGAAGGTATCTAACAATTATTTGAGGGACCAGTAAAATGCATGTTCGGTTTGCGCAGAGTTACATAGACGTCGTCATGGTGTGGGAAGAGTTGGCGGCTGGAGACGAGTTAATCCAGCCATGTTGCACCAGTTTAGACACGCTGACACGCACCTAGGCTACTTTATTTTGACACCCAATGGAACCCACCCAACACTTACTTACCGCTCAAAATCGTATAGAATGCCGTTTCGCTTCCTCATATCTTCCACGACAGTAACAACACCCTTGCTAAGCGCTCTCAAATCCGCTTCAGCTTCCCTGTCCTTCTCTTTAATGATCCGTCCAAGCTCCTTAGCCTCCCAAGTCAAGTTCAACATATTCGTGTACTCAGGTTTGGTTTCGCCCAGCTCCTCACCCTTTGTCGAACCCTTCGGAATGAATTCCATGGTGCAGATATCCGTCACATTGGAAGCTTGGCCTCCCTCAATTCTAATAGTTCCCTTCTCACAATAAATCTCAGTTGGCGCAAACGAGCTGTAGAGCTTGCTTGTTTGAGCTTGCAACGTGAATGTCTGTTTATGCTTGGAAGTCTCTGGTGTGTACTCGAAGACGATCAAGCCGCCACCATCTACACCTGTTTCGAGCTTGACAGGGAAATAGGTATGCGTTGAAGGGACACCGAAGAGGCGGATGGCGAAAGTAACAGGGTAGACGCCCATATCCATGAGACAGCCCCCACCGAACTTAAGTGAGGCCACATTGGGGACATTGGGGTTGGCGACGGCGCCCTTGGCCTGGAGGAGAAGCGGGATATTGTCGAAGAGGGGAGAGTGAACTGCCATAGAAAGACTTGCGCCATAGACCTTCCCAAATTTCTCTTCCCTGGTGTTCTCATCGTCGAACAGCCTCTGCAGTGTTTTGAAATTTGGCTCCTGGATATGACGGTAGGCTTCGAGAATAAACAGATTCTTAGAATCAGCAAGTTTGTAGAGATATTCGAGCTGCTTCATATCTGTTGCAAAGGGCTTTTCCATGATGACATGTTTTCCAGCATTCAAAGCCTTGATGCCTTGTTCGTAATGCAACGAGTTAGGGGAAGCGATGTACACTACATCGGTATTCGGGTCATCGGAAAGCATAGAGTCGAGGTTGTCATATGCTGTGACGGACGAAGCATCTTTGATAGAAGGGGTTTCTTTGATGAATGTTCTTGCAGTATCAAGTTTTCTTGAGTAGACTGCCTTGAGTTCAAAGAGTCTGCTCTCGTGACACGATTGGATGAATGAGTTTGTGATCCAGTTCGTGCCGATAACAGCAAGACCGAATGGCTTTTGAGAAGGCATATCGGAAATTTGGAAGTTTGTATGTTCAAGAAGATCGTGCTACACATGTCAAGTCAGTGAGAACTGCATGTTCTTATATTCGCCGGTGCGTTTCATGATGACGGCATTCTCTAGGTGAGAAGCAAGCTGTCGTATATGCTGTGCCGTGTAGACAACCAATGTGTGAAGATGTTTTTGCCTGAATCCGGTAATAGTCGGCGAAATGTAACTTCTTTTGGAGCTGCGCTTACTGCTGCAAGTGCTACGCACAAGCTAACTCCTCTAAACAGTAAGCTTCGCCGAAATGACATCACCGACCTCTTCTGGCAATTGTCCAATCTTGCAGTTGTTGATTGCTCAATTATCTGTTCCCTGACTGATTCCACCGGCTTGCTTGACCCCAATGTCCGATGTCCAAGTCCTCAAACTCGAAGCTCGTAGACCATAAGCATCAGTACAGTCACCAGTCCTTCTCAACCTATCCCAGATCCTTGATTTGTTAGATAGCCCTAGAACAACCCGAGTTCGTCCACTCCAGCTTCTCATGTTCAGTCCTTGTTCTAAGCCTTGCTCTTGCTCTTGGCTGTTCCTTTCTTGACTACTCCTTTCTTCGCCGGACCTTTCTTGGCTGGGCCTTTGTTCTTCTTCATCTTCTGCATCTCCTCAAGCCACTCATCGTGAATGGTCTCGGCAATGTCCCTGACCTTCGTCTCAGGCTCCCAGGTGTTCTGTTCCGGCTCATCGGGATATCCGACCCACTGGCACAAGAGCTTTCTGTTCTTTCCAGCGCTACCGTGGGAATCAAGGATGGCAAAAACATGGTACTCATCGAGGCCTGTAGCTTGCTCGCGTCCTCCATGGCTCTCCTAGTAGCTGTAGAGTAACTCGGGAGACTTTTCCTGAACGTCGCGTTCATCCATCCATGGGCCTATGGTGCCGTTGGGCCACTGTACGCGGATTCGAACGGTGCGATCAACGTGATTGACCCTATGTTTGATGATAGCAGCAAAGATGCTGTCTTCCGGTTCAGTGGCTTCGGAGTCGCTAGCGGGAGGGGGAGCATTACCGGAAGGGGCAAAGTTGTTGATGGTAAGTGCAGGCGGCCCGGCGAGAAGAGACTGATCGTTCTGAGGAGTGACAAGGCCTAACTGGCGAGCCAATTCTGCCTCGGTCCCAGTGCTATTCCGAGCGCTAACCTCATCAATAGTCGCGATTGAAGTGTCGAGTCGGGCAGGAACGCCTGGGGAAGGAACGCCAGAGGCAGGCTTCTCGGAAGCAGCGCGATCGACGCGGTCTAGAAAGATGAGTTGGTATTATCCTCAAATTTAATGAAGTAGCGTACTGTTGTTCTGGACAGATGTGGTCTTCACAGGAGACGATGCTGGCTGAGGACGAGGCCTTCCAGAGCTGATGCCGTGGCCGCGACCACGGAAAGGTCTACCGCGAGTGGCTCTGCGGCCTGTAGAGGTCATAGGAAAATCAGACATGATTATTTAATGCGGAAGGAGAGAGAAGAAAAATATTCGTGTAAACAGAAAGGACGACGGGTTGTGGTGGAAGGTGAAGAAGAGGAGTTGCCCAGGAAACGGCGCCACTGGCAGACAGTTGTCAGTTGCAACAGGCAGAAACATTAATTTCAGAGCTTAAAGAAAAAACAATAGGTCAATTTTTCTTAGGCTACCACTTCTTTATTTTAGCACTCTTTCTGGTCCCGGGACCTTTGAAAAGAAGACTCAGAAGATGAAGCCTGGCCCCTCTTCTCAAAGACAAAGACCACAAACTTGGAAGTGCGGTTCCTCTGGTTGAATAAGACTACTTCTTTTTGAAAATCCTGTTCATCATTTTGTTAAAAAGCTTTTCCATTTCACCAAGGCCGTTGTCTTGAACAGATAGCATACGAATCGGTGTCAACGTGGTGACAAAGCTCAACCCTCGGATTTCATGCTGACCACAAAGAACTCTAATAAGATGCCTTGAATATTGTTTCTTTGTTGAATCAACAGAATGAGCTTTGGCGAATGCCTTTATTATATCTTAAGCGACATAGAATGACTGTGAGTCTAGTCCTCTGAGCACAGGTCTAAGCAAGATGTTTGCCTGCAACGGGCCTCTCGTCTGTGACGGCTTCAAGATGCCGCGTCAATCCCTTGATTACCCGACTTGCAAAAAAGGCAACGCTGAAGTCATACTCAAATCCGCTGACTGCAGCACCTAGACTTCATCGCATCCTTCAGCTTATAGTCAGAAAAGATATGATGTGGTATCGGACGCTGGAGCAAAACTTATTGTCACTGATTTACTGGGTCTATCCGTGCACGACGGGGCAAAAGGCAAAAAACATACAACAGCGGGGATTCGCTGGTCGTCACCGACCCAACTACTAATCCGCCCCTTACCAGCTTGACTATGGGAGAGCGGACGGGATCCCGTATTTTCTGGTAGGTATGGTCGTATGT